TGTTTAGGAACTTGAAACAGAGAATCAAGTGGTCAGATATTGTTTTATTGTCTCTCTCAAGTCCTTCAGATACATGACCAAGGAGAAAGTTGCCAGGCCCTTGGCTTCCGGTTTCATCTGGTCACGGAGATAAGGTTCTGGAAGGGTTCCTGAGCGGGGCTCACCTCCCGGTCGGTGCCAGGAGCGGCATAGGTGAAGCAGGCTCTGCCCTGAAGGGTGCGTCTGCCCACGAGTGTCCATCGGCCGCTGGCCACTTCTTCCACACCCTCACCTCCCTCATCTCTGTTTAGGGATTGTACACGGCCCTGTTCTTGGAAGAAATATAAACAGAACCGTGTCCCCTGCCACAGCTGGCTGCGGCGAAGCTAGCAGAGGGAGCTCAGGGGTGTCATTAATTATTGATTAAGTGGATTCAGAGTTTCTAACATTCGACACGTGGAAAATGGGAACCAGCTTTTAAAAGCGATCCAACTTCTTACTTGTCAAGGACATACTCCTGAGCCGAAGGCCAGATGAGGCAGGGTCGTTTCAACACGGGCTGGGGGCGATGTGACCTTCAGGAGCCCCGACTCCAGTCGCCGAGCCTGGGGTGGGCCCTGTCCCACACCCTCCCCTTTCTGTCTGAGGCGGGTGCTTTCTTCCCGTAGCCTCAGGTCAGCCCTCAGTGGACACACTGACCTGCGGATGAGACCGTGGAGGCCCTGGTGTGAATTCAGCGGGTGTCCCTCCCAAAATGCACTTCAGGGCAGAGAGCACGGTGGATGCACTGATGGGCCTGTGGCCCGCAAAGCTCATGCTCAAGTAATTTGTAGGACTGTCTGCCTACTGCGTAAAAGGGGGAGGGGGGCTAGATAGTTGCAGAAATGACTTTTTTGACAGGTGCTGGCTCTAATGCTATTTTGCAGGTTAGTGCTACAGGAGGGTGATGACCTTGTACCTGAGCTACTTAACAAATAGGATCATTCTGGATGGTCCAAGATAAACCTCCCTTTCTGACCTTACATAGGTAAGATGCTATTTTACTGAGATTTTTGAAACCTAAGCATGTAAAAAATCATACCCGCAAAATCACATAAACTTGAAGTAGACCTAAAACTGGCATTTTGTTTGGCAACGGGACTCCTTCTGGAGCGAGGCTGGGACTCCCAGCTCAGGGTACCACGGCTCGCTTTACTAGCCTTTGTGTAAACATACCCAAGCAAGGGAATATCTTCAGCAACTTAGTATAAATATGCAGTTTTTTTCCTGCCAAAACGATCTTGTTAAATAATCTCCAGAGTTATCGAAAAGCTATTCAAGATGACACTGTACAATTTTCAAATAAATCCATGTGGCAGTTACATTTCATCTGTTTAAAAAGCTAAAGTCACACATTATGTTGTTAGTCATTTAAGTAGCTATGTGTTCTGAATGAAATAAATTCAACACACTCTATGCTCCAAATAGGTTTTAGGTTGTACAATCAGTTAGAATGTTCTGACTCAAGCCAAATGAAGATGTTTAAAATAATCATGCAAATTTGACTTTAAACATGCATCTCAAATATTTTATGCCACTGTTCTCAAACATTTTAAACAGATTTAATCGTACTGGATCCTGTTCTAAAGATAGTACCACGATGATAGTGACCTGTGCCCTTGTTAACGAAAAGCGAGTCTTCTAAGACAGCCCTTCGGAAGAGAGACGTACGGGCAATCCCACAGAGTCCGAAATTAGGGCATCAGGGTTGAAAGAGTCATAGCCCTGGCAGGGTGGCTCAGCTGGTTGGAGCGTCATCCTGCACAGAAAAAGGTTGTGGGTTCCATCCCCAGTCAGGGCGCCTGGGAGGCAACGGATTGATGTTTCCCTCTTACATTGATGTTTCTCTCTCCCCCTCTCCTCTTTCTCCCCCCTTTCTCCCTTCCTTAAAAAATGTCAATTAGCATGAAGACTTAAAATAAGAAGGAGTCACAGAGCAAAGAATCCAAGGGTGAAGACCAGGGCAAGTTCACATGCCAGGTGTGCTCAGGGGCACACTCACGAGTGTTCTTTGTCCAGAAATGTAGACCCAAAGCCCAGCAGCTGCCTTCTGAGCAGCACGGGAATGATGGGAGTGAGTTGCCAGTGGGGGCTGGGATCCAAGGGCCAGGAAAACCTGCACGCTGCCCAGGGGGTCGGTGGGTTCAGGTGGGGGAAAGAGCAGACACTCTGGAGTCCTCGGGCCAGGGCAGATTTTCTGCCCCAGCACTGACTCGCTGGGTGTGCCCTGGTGCGAATGTGTTCACCTTCGTGAGTCTCAGTTTCCTCATCCTGGAAATGGGGCTAACGATAGGTGTGCCAGTGACTTGATTTGAGTCATAAATAAGGTGAAGAGTGGAAAGGACTTTCCCCACACCAGGGTCTCACTGGACATTACCAGTCCCCTCCCATTTCTTTCCTTTCTCCACCCACCCCGACGCCAACCTCGGGTGCTCCCTGCTTTTCATAAAGGGCCAGGGCAGGGCGCAGTTTTAGAGACAGGCTGGCACAGTCCCCGAAGAGCTAAAATCAGCACTGATGTGCAAGCCTTAGCTTCGACAGGAAGTGAGAAACAACATGCTAATTACGTATTACATAAACGTCGCCTGCATTTGAACCACAGCAGCTCCTGAGTGCAAGCTGTGGGTGGGCGGGGGGCGGGGCTGCCCTTAGGGACTCACCGTGTGGCAGCTGTGCCAACACAAACCGTGCGTTAGTGTTGTGCCTAAGTCCCACATGACATGAGCAGTAGGTTTTAAAAAGAAACAGTTCATTACATGTTCTGGATGAAGGGAGAGATGAGGGAGCCGGCAGAGCCCAAGACCAAGGCTGAGCAAAGGCTGTTCAGCGCAGTGGGCGGCGACGGTGTGGGAGCAGCGACCACGGCAGGGGGCAGAGAGACATGGGGGCAGTCGAGCCGTGCCCCGAAGGTAGAAAACTTCTTTGCCCACCTTACTGAGAGGAAACAGTTAGTGCCAGGGGAAGCTCTGTTGCTTCGGGTCTTAATCCAGCCTCGTAAAAACTGCATGACTAGGCCAAGAAGCAGAGAATTTACCATAGTCTGACAGTTTCTTACTGAACCAATCCTTTATTTACTTAATAGGGAGAGACACAAAAAGAGATAAAATATGCCGCCTGCCACGGGAACGGACGCCTAGAATATGCACGGTGGTGACAGGTGTATGTGGGGAGTGATGTGCGGGCAGAGAGGCAGGGGGGGCCTTGGGGGGGCAAGGACAGCCACTCTCAGGGGAAGGGGTAAAAGAGGAGGCTTATCTGCAGGCCCATCAGGAGTTTTGTGGACCTGGAGGGTGAAGTGGGTGGGGAAGGAAAGATGACTATAAAAAGGGACAGAGAGAGCTCAGCCTGGCCAAGGTCTACAGGGCAAGTTTCTGAAGGTCACAGAATTAAAAGGTTTTTTTTTTTTTCTGTGGGTATTTCAGGACCCCCAATGCACCCAAACAGAATTTACGTGATTTCTTAACAGTTAGTAATTAGTAAATGTTAACAACAATATAAGCTTAAATAATAATTACTCTCTGAACAAAGGATCTTTAAGTTTTAAGATGAATCCAGCAGCCCTGGCCAGTGTAGCTCAGTTGGTAGGAGCATCATCTGTAACTAATTCCTGGTCCAGGCACAGACCTGGGTTGTGGGTTCAGTCCCCAGTCCAGGTGTGAATACCCTTGGCCTGGGCGCATATGGAAGGCAGCCAATCAATGTTTCTGTCATTGATGTTTCTGTCTTTCCCTTCCTTTCTCAAAGCAATGGGAACAAAAAATGTTCTCAGGTAAGGATTAAAGAACAGAGTCACCCAGCAAGAAGGCTTAGATGTTCAGTTAGAACAGAATGGATGGGAAGACTGCAGATACAACAGTCTTATAGATTCACACACGTGTTACCGGAGGATTCAAAGCGTTTAGAGACACAGAGGAAAAACAGCACAGGTTTTAAAAACGTCTCGACACATCCGCTATTGAAAACACTCTTTAATCTACTCACAGTTGATTAAAAACAGCGACTTAATGAACTGGAAATAAAACGAAGTTGTACTAACTTGAATAATTGCATTGAACCAACCACAGTTGCCTTGCAGGGTAAGAACATTTATTGTCCCCATTTGACAGGTGAGGGAATCGAGGCAGAAAGTGCTGGAGCAGGACAGAGGGAGTCTTGGAAAGGGGTGCAGTGCTCCTGGCCCAGCCCCGTCCTCTGGGTTAAATAAATCAAGATCCCTGACGCGCTTAGAGCCGCCATCTGCAGAGGTAAGAGAGTAAGAGGTAAAGGTTAGCTCTTGCAGTTCTAGGGTTATCCCACCAGAACCTGCTGCTGCTTTTCCTTATCATCTGTTTCCCAACATGTTAGGGTACAAGCGTCCCTCCTCTTTTAAGTTCTCCTGCTGCGGCAGAGGATAGCAGTACTTAGCCCTGTCTGTCCAAATAGTTTCACTTTCTGGCCTCTGATAGTTAAATATTAAGAAGAAAGGTAAAGTAAGTATGTTCTGCAAATATTCCTAAGTGTCAGTGTTTCCAATAAAAAGGAAAAAAGGTGTTATACAGACAGATGTCGTTATTCCACTGTGCTAATCATGAACTGCACTTCCACGAGAACAGAAACCGCTGAGATCAAACGACATCCGTGGAAATGTGTTTTGATCAGATGACTCTGGGGACCCTTTCTGTAGCTCTGGGAGTGTACAGGTTTGTTCCTTATGAAGCAGAGCTACATGGGTTCAGCTGGACTTCCTGCCACATGAAATTTTACCTGCTTCCTAAAAGGTGTTTCAGTTCTGATCGCCTGTGGGAAGTGGAGCCAGATGATGGAATGCTTTACGCTGTGGTTCCTGTATTTCATAGGTAAGCCTTCCTGGGCCCACGTGTGACTTTTGGCTGTTTCAGTGACAGGGCTGAAGACCTTTGCTCCTCCGTCACTTTTCTTTTTCCTTATAAAGGGGGGAAGGGGACCGTGCCTCTCATGCCCACATTAACAAAAGACATGCCTCTTAAAGCGACTTTTATTTTATATATCTGGACAATCCACAACTTGCTAATTGTGGTTGACAGCATCCTTCTGAGAACTAAACGTGGAAATTCTCCACTCTCCACACTCTTGAGTAGTCCTAAAAAAGAAAAAGGAGAGGAAAATACAAACAGCTCCTTTATGGAGACAGTAGCCTAGATATTCATCTGATTTTCCCCAGTATATTTCCCTCCAGAAATAAACAATAGTTATTGTTCAGTGCCTCTGCTTTCAAAATCAGCAGATTTAAAAATGTCTTTAGATCAAATATATAAGGTAGAATGTGAACTGATTCTGTGATTCTGGTAATTTATAATTTTTAACCTCATTTTGTTTATGATGAGATTTTTATAAACCTGATCTTTAAAATGAAGTTTTATTTATTTATTTTACCCCCAAAATGCATCTTCTTTGGCTTCATCCAGGGAAAGATGCAGGGAATGTGGGCTTCAAGGGGAAGCCAGTAGAATCTCAGACACCTGGGTAGAATACATGAGAAAAGAGTGAAGTACTGCGTGGCTTTTAGGGATGGTAATTATTTTAGGGCCCCATGGGTCTGGTGTGGTGTTTTCACTTCATTGTCATTTGCTGCAGAAAAATGTGGTAGGGCTATTATTTCACCTTCAGGGTTAAGGCAACTTGGACTCAGGGCTTTGCCAAAAATCAGGTGGGTTTTGCTGACTTTGAAGTGCAGTGTGCGATTCTGTAGCTCAGATTTCCATCCAGGACCAATTCCATGTCCGAACTTACTCCCCAGAGAGGCTCCGATGAACTCATTCACAGTGGATGTGAATGACTGGATGGCCAAGAAAACTCAATGTGCTAGTTTGCTTTTTTGAGTAAACTCGGTTGCTTTGTAATTATAATTGAGAAAATGAGAGCTCTTGCACCTGAAGCTGGACCATCAATGAAAAGCCTATTTATTATTATAACTTAATGGATAGTGCTTCCAGAGTGGAAATTCACTTAAGTTTACCTAATAAGTTAGGTTAACCTAGTCATCAGGTTAAGAAACACTTTGATTAAAACCACACTACAAAATGGGGAACTTCAACTGGACTGCTTTAAAGTCTCCACCTCAAAGGAAGGAAACCAATTAACCCATAATGATAACTTGTAGAAGAAAAAAAGGGTTAGGATCCATACCAGATAATGATTCAGCATTTTGGAGGCCAGTGTTGCAACCAGACTTGTGAGAAGCAGGTTCAATGGTATCTCAGTGTGTAAGGAGCCACAGAATTTCTTGTGCCATGCTGTTATTGAGCTTTCTCAACCGTATCTCGGTAGGACCTCTTCTTAATATTAACACTTCTCTTCACAGCAGTTGCAGGAACTCTGCGAGTTGTTGGGGACCCTAGGACAGTTCTTACCAATCTCCTTCTGCCCACACTGGCCCCCAGACCGGTTTCTGTCCCGGTGCAGTAGCCATTGACAAGACAAAGAAGCCCAGATCTCCTTCGGAGCCACTGCTTGGCCCGGAGGCTTCTGGAGGATTTTAACACCGTAAGGAAAGCACTAATGGCGTTTTTGCAAGAAGCACCTTCGCTATCGGACAGTTATCTTTAGTTATCATTATGAGTTTATTTTCTTTGTAGTTTTTTACGATCTCTTTCACCAAGCCACCTCGCACCCCAAACTCTCACCGCGAATCGCTAGGCAACTGGCGGGTGCCAGGAGGGAAAGAGCGGGGAGCGTGAGGGTTCCTGGGTGCCAGAGATAAGGCCCCTGCAGGCAGACGCCCCAGGTGCTACCCTGCAGGGGCCGACTCACACGGATCCCGTTGGGCAGATCTGGGGCTTCGCCGCGAAGCGGGGCGGGGCGGGACGGGACGGACGCGCCACGGCGCACGACCAATCCACAGCGCTTGGGACGATTCAAAAGACCAAGGAGCCAATGGAAGCCCGCTCAAGGGGCGGGGCGAGGAGGGGGTGGGGTGCCGGGGAAGCGCGCGCCCGGGCGGCGGGATCGCGGGACGCTAGAGCCCGAGAGCACGAGAGCGCGGCGGGGCGGAGTCGCGCGTGTGGAACAGCCACCGGGTAGCAGCTCGGCTACTCTCCCAGAGTCGTTAGAGTCCCCGCCGGAGTCTGGCGTAGGTGAGCGCCCCCACCCCCGCCCGCTCTCTGCGGTGCGGCCTCCCGGGGGGCGGGCGGGGGAGGACCGCGGCGGGGCGCGGTTTGTGGGCTGGGGTCCCCGGGCGCTGGGCCTGGTGCCTTGGCCTCGCCCTCCCCTTCTCCGGGTCGGTCGGGGCCGCAGCTGGCGGGGCTTGAACTGCGCGCGGCCCAGCCCGGCCAGCTGCGGAAATGGAGCTGCCGGTTTTAAATTGAGGACGTTTCCCTCCATTTTGGACGCGCCGCGTCGCTGTAAAGTGGTGTTGGTTAGAGAGATTTGGGTATTGGTGACCCTCCCTGGACCCTTTGTCCCCGCCCGGCAGCCCCCGCCCTCCTGGGCCAGTGTCTTGCGCTTTTTTGACAGATAACTGGGTAGCTTCGAGGGTTGTGCGGGTGGGGAAGCAGGAAAGGCGCGGCAGCCTGGCGGACGGGGAAGTGGGGTTGCAAAGTTGACTAATTCGCACTAGTTGGCACTGGCCTTGAGGGTCGTGGCCGTCTCGCTTTGGTGGCTCTCCAGTGCGGGCTGCCGGCTCGCTCGCTTGCATGCGTTGCACTCTCGCCTGGTGTTTGCGCACACCCCAAAAGGGATCGTTGGGGAAGGCTGGCGTGCTTCTGCTAAAGTTCAATCCTGTTTTAAGGCATTTAAAAATGCTTCATAATGACCCCCGCTAGCAGTCTCAAGGGCCTCCCAGTAAGCACTTGATTGCAGAGGGCCTGTTTGCAAGGTCTTCACCTACTTGGTTGTATGAGCTCTTGGGAAGTCAGCCTGGGATACTCAGAACGACCCAGTGGATACACTGGACAGCGCTTGGACGATCCAGGAGTTCAGTCCGGAGCCCTTGGGCTTGCTCACCTGCTACGTGAGGCGTGGCCAGAGCCGAGCTAGTCCCAGCTCTCAGGGTCCTGGCAAATGAACGCGAGCAAATCTGTAACCACACCTGTAGCCGCTGCCAGGAAGGGCGGGAAGGGCTTCGGGAGGAGAGCGGCCGGACCCTGAGTTAGACTGAGCCCCAAACCCACTTGTTTTTCTTTCTGAGAGCCATCTTAGAGAGGAGGGAAAAGAGTGAGTGGGGAGAGGAATGAGCCTTACCTTCACTTTTTACTTCTTAGGGGGAACCTCAGGCTATCCTGCCCTTGCATCCTGAGCAAGGTCAGCGATTACCTGCAGAAACGTAGGCCAGATTTGGGCTCAGGTGTTGAAGGAGGGGGGTCAGACTTCATCTGAGCTTTCTGTTTTGGGCCACAATAAGACTAATTTGGAAAAGTGAAGGAAAGATGGCCCGAGACCCTTAGTATTACACAGATAGGCAGAGAATAGCAGCTTTCTCTTGCGTGGCTAAAGAGTAACATTGGAGCCAGATGTGTGAGGATTCTGGCGTGTTAGCAAGCGTGCCGCTTAATGGGGAAAAGCTGGAGACCCCCGTTTCCACCGCTTATGGGGAAGGAGGACGTTGTTCAGTAAGCAAATTTTTTCTTCGCTTGGCTAAAACTTCCCAAGGGAAGCCTAGTCACGTGTCTCTTGCCTCCAAAAAGTGAGTCCACGATGAGATGCACTCATGTCCTTTCTGGGTGACTTCACTCCTGCCCAGGATTGTATTAGGATGTGATTGCACAGCACTGCCCCGTGCGGCAGTGGCGCTTGGATCTTGTGGGAAGGGGGGGTGGACAGGATGTTGCTGGTTCCATCTTTTGGAGCATTTGTACGTAGGATAGTGAGAGCTGGTTTGTTTTTTCTAGTTCAACCACCATGTGCAACATGGCTCTCAGGTCCCAATTCCTCATTTGGTTTTTTAAAAAACTGAGCTTAGAGAGACCTAACATACCCACTAGATATCTGAAAATGTTTAACCCAAAATATTTAATTGGTTACAGAAAGATGCCAATAAATAAGTTTTTGGAAAGGTACAGAATCTGCTGGAGGGCCTTTGGAAAAATCCAGGAGGCCCCTCAGACTGTTTTCAAAAGTTTATGAACAGTAGTTTGAAACTCGAATGGCGTCCCGATGCAGAAAGATGTGCTTGCCTTCTTTCCACCCCGGTTGGCCAACATGGGAGAACTAGTGTCAGTAACAGGGGCTTGATTTGAGGGGGTCCAGGAAGAAAGGGGGGCACAGAGGAGAGAGGAGAGCCCACTTCCTTCCTCTTTCTTAGAACTTGGAGGCTCGAGCTACATGTTGAAACAGGCAAAGCTTGCTGTTGTCACCTTCCTTTTTTGTGCCCTTCCGCCATGTCCCAAGGTGTCCATTGCCCTCGGCTTCCCCAGTCCCTCTCAGGCAGGTGTGACTTCATCCCCAGAGCTTCCGGGCCCCTCTGCCTGGAACTCCACCCCGAACCCATTCATTCCGCCTGCGATGCTATCTGCGTAGGTGCCGGGAAGCAAGCTGTCTCCTCCACCAGATGACTAGTTGTGTTTCCTTTCATCTGCCAGCCTTGCTGCTGTCTTTCTGAACGAATGAAGCTTATTAAGTTTTATCTCAGGTGATTACCTGAAGAAAGGTGGTGTTTATGAAAGATGGTTTTTTTTTGGGGGGGGAGGGGACGGGTAGTGTAACTTTCTCCTTTCCTAATTCCAGAGTTGTGACACGTTCTTAAACGTTGTCATCATTGCATGACCAGCTCTCGGCAGGAGCTGGGTAAGGAGTGTGTACCTTTATGCCCAGATGATATACAGGCGATTGAGGGCGGGCCTTTTCATTGTTCTGCCTGCTTGGTGGCTTAAGCCCAGCCAGTCGAGGTGGTGGTGCAGGTCAGAGGCACTGCATCTGTCCCCGGGACACGGAACTCTGCCGTCAGTGGAGGGAGAAGCGGTACTCCCTGGTGGCTGGAGCACCCAGCAATCAGCTGATGTTTGAGAAAGGGTTGCAGTCAGGCCTCTTGTCAGTAGCAATTCCTGTGGGTTGCTTGTGGCTTCTTAGAATGTCATTTATACAAGGTTTTGTGGGCCACGTTTTGGTTTGGTGGCAAAGACAGTCGTAACGGTGGGGTGAAGGTCCAGGTGTGAGATTGGCCAAGTTCCTGGGTGTGCATTTGGGACTTGAAAGCTTTATGAAAGAACCCCAAATCTGCTGGTCATTGTAGATTTGGATTTTTTCTCTCCCTGTTGGTGGGCTATAATAATGTTAATTATACATCCTTGATTTTTCCAGACTAGTCTGTTTCATAGTTTGTTAACAAATATATTTTTCTTTTATTTTTTATTGTACTCTTTTTCCCATTACCATTTAGTCCCCTTACACCTCTGACCCCTCCCCCCCAACAGTCCCCACACTGTTGTCCATTGTGTGTGAGTCCTTTTCCCTTTTCGCTCAATCCCTATGCTAACCTCCCGGCCGTCATCTGCTCTCCATCTATGATTCTGTCCCTGTTTTGCTTGTTAGTTCACTTTGTTAGATTCCACACGAGTGAGATCATATGGAACTTGTCTTTCTCTGACTGGCTTGTCTCACGCAGTATAACGTTCCCCAGGTCCATCCGTGCTGTCACAGAGGGTAAACTTCTGATCTTTTTTACAACCCAGCAGTATTCCTGGAAATGCCCCAGAGCTGTTCCATCCCCTCACCTACTGAGGGGCACTCGGGCCGCTCCCACATCTTGGAGGTTGTAAATAACGCTGCAGTGAACACAGGGGTGCATATGTTCTTCCGAATTAGTGTTTTGGGTTCCTTCGGATACATTCCCAGAAGTGGCATCTCTGGGTCAGAAGACAGATCCTTTTTAAAATTTTTGAGCCATCTCCATACTGCTCTCCGCAGCGGCTGCACCTGTCTGCATTCCCACCAGAGGTGCAGAAGTTTCCCCCTTCTCCACGTTCTCCCCAGCACTCATTGTTTGTTGATTTATTGATGACGGCCATTCTGACAGGTGTGAGACGGTATCTCACTGTGGTTTTAGTTTGCATTTCTCTGATGATTAGTGATGTTGAGCATCTTTTCACATGTCTGTGGATCATCTGTGTGTCCTCTTTTTGGAGAAGTGTCTAATCAGGTCCTCTGCCCGTTTTTAATTGGATTGTTTGTTTGTTCAGTGTTGAGTTTTGTAAGTTCTTTATAAACTTGGGATGTTAACCCCTTATCAGCTGTATCAGAGAATGTGCTCTCCCATTCTGTGGGCTGTCTTTTTACTTTGTTGATGGTTCCCTTTGCTGAGCAAAAACTTGTTAGTTTGACGTAGTCCCACTTACTTTTCTTTTGTTTCCCTTGTCTGGGGAGATACAGCTGATAAGATATTTCAACAGGCCGTGGCCCAGATTTTGCTGCCTATGTTTTCTTCTACGATTTTTATGGTTTCAGATCTAACATTTAAGTCTTTAATCCATTTTGAATTTATTCTTGTGTGTGGTGTAAGAAGGTGGTCTAGTTTCATTTTTCTGCACGTATCTGTCCAATTTTCCCAACACCATTTTTTGAACAAACTATCTTTAGCCCATTGTATGTGTTTGCTTCCTCTGTCGAATATTAATTGACTATAAAGGTGTGGGTTTATTTCTGGGTTCTCTGTTCTGTTCCACTGAAAAAATTTATTTCCAAAGCCTTTGTAAGGTTAGATGCAAATGTACAAATCAGAAAATGAATCCTTGGGAGATTGTTCCTTGTTGATTAGCAAGACATGTGGTCACATTAGGTGGCAGAGCTTTGCGTGGGCAGCCACTCAGCGTGTCATCATAATTACTCCTTAGTGTCACATGTGCCACAGTGACCCAGCCGTCCAGGTGAAGGGATCCCTAACGGGACACGTTTGGCAGAAGGAACAGCCTCTGTATTGTCCCAACTCTGCATTTCTCGCTGGCTGTTTTCATGCCCTCGGACAAAACAGCATTCTGTCAAGCTTTAGTTTCTCACCTTGAGAATAAGGGCTTGCACACTGCTCCTCCATTCGTCTTTTGGCACTAAAATCCTGACCAATTAAAAGTTTGGAGAGTCGTATTTTAGTGTCCAGTCTATGAAAAAGGACAAAAGTAAGTGGATATGGCACTGACTCTGTTTTTTTCCCTCTAAAACCAGACTGATTTTCGAAAATGCCAAGTAGGAAGTTTGCCGATGGCGAGGTGGTCAGAGGTCGGTGGCCGGGGAGTTCACTTTATTACGAAGTAGAAATCCTGAGCCACGACGGCAAATCCCAGCTTTACACCGTGAAGTACAAAGATGGCACGGAGCTCGAATTGAAAGAGAGTGACATCAAGGTGAGTGCTCCTGTGGTGCAGCCGCGCATGCTCGTCGTAAGCACGTAATAGCGTGGTAGGTGGGGTTTTCCAGGCGGAGTGGTTAGTTCAGGCGCCGTGGGGAGGCACAGGGTCACGCTCCTGCTTTGGGTCCGATATTGTTTCTGGCTCCTGGAATGTGTGAGTGAGACTCAGTGCCCTGCTCCTGAGACGTTCCCAGGTGACTGGAGAAGAAGTACTGACATCGGTCACATTGCTGGCTTAATATGCTGTGTGACAGAAGTTTGTCGTGGGTCGGGGAGGACTCTGGGTTTCAGGGGAGGCTTTTAGAAGTGGTGACACCAGGGCAGAGTGCCGAGACCCAGTAGGAAAAACTCAGGTGACGGAAGGCGGCTTCCACAGAGGGCAGCGTGCAGAAGGCTTGGCGCTGGGCCAGCGCAGCCAGCCAAGGGCTAGAGGGGTGTGGTGGGTGAGGGCCAGTGGGAGGTGGGGTCAGACCTGGAGGGTTTGGGCCTCATCCCAGACCTCGAGGATTCAATCAGGAGAATAACATTAATTAGATTTGAGTCTGGTGAGGGCTGGGCTTTCAGATATCTGACCCATGGTGTACAAGTACTTATGCAAAAAATACCATGAAAATGACAGATGAAAAAGATGTACACAATAAGTCCTAACTTTTTATTATTGGATTCAACATACGTAAAATTACTTTGTCAAAACGCTGCAGACGTTTCTCCACACCTGTTTGTAATTCCGTTCTCTGTTGCAGATCAGTAACACCTGGTCTTTGAACCCCCGCAGGGCGAGTGTGCTGACCAGGGCCGGCAGGGTTGGAATGAAGGGGCAGATAGTCAGTGTTCCGGGCTTTAGGGGCCCCCCTGTTTCTGCGGAGTGAGAGCAGCCCTGGCAGCCGGTGGGGGGGGCGCAGGCAAGGCTGATCCGATGCACCTTTATTTGTGGACACGGAGATTCGAATTTCAGCTAATGCTCACGTGTCACAAAGTCTCGTTCTCCTGTTGGTCTTGTTTGCAAGCAGTTAAAAAATGCAGAGCTGGTCAGCATCACTCAGTAATCCAAGCTGTACTCGTGTCCAAGACCTGCCTATGTGTTTTGTTCGGAGTGAAACTGTGGGGCTCATTTTCTTGTTATTAGCATTTCTGTGGAGATTTCTCTTGTCCCATCATCTCAGCTTTAATCAGTGTTAATTGCAGCTCATCTTGTGAAAATGTACAGCCAGTTGGTTTAGGCACATTCATTTCGTGGCAGTGCTGTCAAAGAAGAACTAGGAGTAGGAGGGCTGCGCGTGTCTCCCCACGGAGGTCCCCTGTTGCAGCAGCCTTGCTTGTGGCCTCATTGGCGTGACCCTCAGGTCCCAGGGTTCCCCGGGCTGGTGGTAGAGTTGACGGCACCAATGACGGCCTTTGCTACCCTCTTGTGATTCGGCTCTGTCTGTGTGTTAGGACTTGTGCTAAAACCCTGCCTTCTGCTCCCTCTCTAGCCTTTAACTTCCTTCAGGCAAAGGAAAAGTGGCTCAACTTCCAGTTCTCCCTCCAGACGTCGAGGGAATCCATCAAGGTCACGGTCTCGATCCCGATCCCCTGGCCGCCGTTCCCCCAGCCGCCGTTCCCCCGGCCGCCGATCCCCTGGCCGGTCCCCTGGCCGACCACCTAAAAGTTCCCACCAGCCTGCCCCTGCCTCGCACCATGCCGACATTAAGGAAATAAGGAAGGAAGTGTTGGAAGTGAAATTGACTCCTCTGGTATTGGTACGTGCCTGTGTCTTTGGGAGATCTTACCCTTGCACAGTGCTCAGTCTGTCCAAGACACAGTCTTCCCCTTTAGGAACACGTTTACTCATATTATGTGCAGTTAGAAGAATTAAAATGCCAGTTGAAACATCAAATCTACGGTAATGACTTTCATAAAGAGATTTCATAGAAAATGAATGTCTGCAAGAATAGAAGGTATAATGCTTTTAAATGCCAATGAAAAACAATTTAAATTACAAGAACACTATGTGTTTTTTAAAGTAATTTTTAATATTAAATAGATGGAGATTGTAGTTTGAACCAGGTAAGCTTTTATAGTGTATAAAAGTTTATGTACAAAATAAACATCTTCTGGCCCCTTCGCATTGATATACTTACTTGATCACTTTTTCTATTCATAGATGACAGTTTTAATGGAATTACTTTAAAAGTTCAAGCGTGGAACTCTTAGGGGTGTGGGGCCTGCTGAACCTTGCACAAAGCTCACTGGACCATAGACCAAACAAGTGATTTTTAAGTAAAAGCTGAACAAAGGTCATTTTTTATTTATCCACTTATTGTTTACTTTTTCTGGATAAAATGCTCATAGATTTTTAAAATTACCTTAAAAAACTGGATTATGGCCCTGACTGGGTGGGTCGGTTGGTTGGAGTGTCGTCCTGTACTCAAAAGATTGCGGGTTCGATTCCCAGTCAGGGCACGTATGGGAGGCAACTGACTGATGTTTCTCACATTGATGTTTCCCTCCCTGTCTTTAAAATCGATGAACACATATCCCTGGGTGAGAATAAAAAAAACCTGGATCATGTACATACTTGTAGTTAGATTTGAAATTTTTTAAATATTGGTAATACCAATACAAATATTGGTACTATATTTTTCTACATCATTTTTGTTGCATGATATTATTTGCATACACAGATATACATACATACACACAATTGTTAAATACAGCTTCCTTATTGATAGGCATTTAGCTTTTTCTTTAGAAATTTTTCACTATTACAAACAAATATATTTTTTAAGATTTTATTTATTTACTTTTAGAGAGAGAGGAAGGAGAAAGAGAAGGAGAGATACATCTACCAGTTGCCCCTCACAGGCCCCCCAACTGGGGACCAGGCCAGCGGCCCAGGCATGTGCCCTGACTGGGAACCAAACCAGCGACCCCTCGGTTCACAGGCTGGTGCTCAGTCCACAGAGCCACACCAGCCAGGGCTATAAACAGATATTTTTATACAACATCTGGTATTTCTTTGGGGTAAATTCTCACTAGTGGAGCTGCCAGGTCAGACGGAGCGCCTCCCACAGGCGCCCTGACGGGGGATGGAACTCACAGCCTTTGGTGAACGGGGATGACGCGCCCACCATCGGAACCACCCAGCCAGGAACAGACTGGGGTGTTTCCTTTGTTTTCCTCCTCTTGGTTCATTAGCATTGCAATTTGTCATAATTTGTCAGTGACAATTTGAAGGAGCAAAGTGGTAGATGAGAGGTGTGCTTTGCCGGAAACAGCCGCAAGCCGAGGCTCTTTCCTTGTTCACGCTCGTGAGAAAATCCGTCTACTGCTTAGAGACAGAGAAAGCACGTTCAAGAAAGGAGACGGAGTCAGGAAATTTAAGGTTAAATAAGAACCAGGCAGCGTGAAATTGAAAAAGTTATCCGTGTGTGAGTCACTAGTAATACTGTTTAGTATCCACTGTTTCCTAAGTTCCCCTTATGGGCCGTTTTGGGGCAGTGAATGTCTTTTTGTCTTTTGTTTTTTTTTAACCAGTTAATGAACTAATTGACCACTTTTTACTTCTCTAACTCACGTAGCAAATACTGTTAGAATAGTTGTCGTTGAACAAGGACATTTTAACATTCAGTATAATTATGTTTATTTATTTTAAAAGACTTTATTTATTTTTAGAGAGGGGAAGGGTGAGAGAAAGAGAGGGAGAGAAGCATCAATGTGTGGTTGCCTCTTGTGTGCCCCCTACTGGGGACCTGGCCTGTAACCCAGGCATATGCCCTGACTGGGAATCGAACTGGCAACCCTTTGGTTCGTAGGCTGGCACTCAGTCCACTGAGCCACTCCAGCCAGGGCTCAGTGTAATTATGTTTAAAAGATGAAAGAACTTATGTGGAATCTGCATTATAAAACCCAATTTTTTGTAGATTGGGAAATTTTAGGTAATTTTATACCTTTTTGTTTTTAACAAAGGTATCCTGAATTCTTCAGAATTAAAGCTATGAAAATCTTTGACTTTCTTTATTGCTTGATAGCACAATGGTAAAGATTTACCATCAGGGTCCTTTTTAGTAAGTGACGATTCATATGGTTAAAATGCCTTATGTGCTTCGATTTAGAAACCATTTGGGAACAGCATCAGCAGGTACAACGGGGAAGCTGAGCACACGGAGAGGAATGACATACCTCACAAAACCCCTCAGGTATGACAGCGTTCATTTTCATCTCCGGTGTTTTCTTCTAAAGACTTTATTTAATTATTTTTAGTAAGGGAAACGGGGGGAAAAAGAAAGGGAGGGAAACATCAATATGTGGCGAGCCCCCTACTGGGGACCTGGCCCACAACCCAGGCATGTGCCCTGACTGGGAATCGAACCAGCGACCCTTTGGTTTGCAGGCTGGTGCTCAGTCCATTTAGCCACACCAGCCAGGGCTCAGGTCATTGTCTGGTAAAGTGACTTTCTCTATGAAGCACATTGAAAACCATAATACTTCTTATAATTGATTCAGAAAATTTGTTCTTCATTCAAGACTGACTGTAACTTAGCAAATTTATTCTTAGCACATGGCTATATTAAGATGCTGAATTAGTTAATATAAGCATTAATGATAATTACTGATTATAGATATTTTTTAACTAGGAAAAATACCATTTGTCAGAAGAAAGAAGTTATATATCTACACAGTACAGCCTTCGTCCAAGAGGAGAAGAGAACAAGTTAAAAGAAATAGACTTTCAGGAAGAAAAAGCTGTTACAAAAGGACCTACATCACTGAGAACCTTTGAAGTGCCTGCTGTGCAGACGAAGGACTTGGAGTTCGGAGGAGTACCTGGTAGGTGTCAGAACTGGGCTCAGGGTGGGGGGGCCCAGGGTGGGGGGCAGGAGTGGCAGTGAAGTGAACAGGCAGGGCCTTCTCCGCGGGGCTCCGGTCGGACGGGGCAGGCAGGTGGTGGGCGGGGTGGGAGCCTGGGGAAGAGCCCTCTAGCTGGGAAGGGCAGCCGGGGTGGGAGCGTCTTTGAGGATTACAATTGAGTAGAAAGGTGCCAGAGTGGCTGTAAATAAAACTTTCAGCAATCGATCGCTAGAATTAGATCAGCAAGGTGACGGGAGGAAGGTTGAAGTGAACTATCAGGGACAGGGAAGTCCGCCAGTCCTCCGACCTGCGGTGACAGGCCTGGCAGCGGCAGGGGCCGCGGGAGGACCCTGCAGTCATGAAATGGGGTTGCGGCATCTGCCTTACCGGCTAGACGGGTTGGCGATGAGAGTCGGAGATCTGATGTGTTCAGAGGCTTGGCGTTATTAAGTGGGCGGTGCTGGTGGAATTTTATGAGCTAGTAAAGGAAAACACTTCTTGACCACATGGTTCAAAATCTGGCGGGGCTTAATTGCTTTGGTTTTGTAAGTTGTTGGCTAGCCGGTCTGTTAAAGATGGCGTCCGGCATCACCGAAAGCCTGTGCACCCTAATTTGCCAGAGTTTTAACATGTTTGCTCCACAGTGGCTGGAGTGTAAATGTTCTAGAGCTTGGATGCTGGAAGTTCAGTGCCGGACAGCTGTGGCTGCACTACTTTAATGGCCACTTTGCTTGCCCACTGGACGCGACAGGTAGAGATGAGGACTTTCCGATGGGACACCAGAAATGGGTTTCCAGCAGCCAGCCAGCCTTGAGTTCTGACCTTAAAAGACCCAAGTGATTCATGGGGGCAGAGGGACGGGAAACACTGGGTTGAAAGCTGAGCCTTGAACTTCACTAATTGTCTGCAGGTGTGTTTCTTATCATGCTTGGCCTGCCTGCCTTCCTCTTCCTGTTGCTGCTGACGTGTGAACAGGAGGAGCCCAGCCTTCTGAATTTCCCGCCTCCTTTGCCAGCTCTGAATGATTTATGGGAAACCAGAGTGTTTGGGGTCTACCTCCTCTGGTTTTTTGTTCAGGCTCTGTTCTACTTACTGCCAATCGGGAGGGTAAGTTTTTGTGGTTGCGGGGTGCAGAGTGAAACCTCTCCGTGTTTATGTAGAAGTTCACAGGTTGAAGGTTAAAAGCTGTCCTTGGTCATAACTACCCAAACTTAGATTGTTAAGCCTTTACTCTTGAATCCAGTGACGCTTGCTTATTAAGTGGCACTTTAAAAATCTGAGTGAGGTCTCTTGTGTAACTTTCCAAACCAAATAGAAAAGAATAAACTATTGTGCAAAATAGCCTAATGGTAGAAGTTGCTGGAAAAAAATGTTCCCTGTAGTATATGTCATTTCAGATACAGAATTTGAAATGATCAGTTGGTAAGCTACTGAACTCAATGGATTTAGTCTGCATCTTTTACTTAATATATTTTTAAAAATAAGGTGAGTTTCTAATTTTCAGAAGTTAGTTGTCAGGAACATTTTCGGTTCTTTCAGACTCGTGAAATGTCTAAAATGTGTTCTCATTGCTAAGGTAGTTTTTTTCTCCTTTTGGTAGAATACTTGGATTATTTAAAGGAACATGAGATTCCTTGAGCAATAAATGATTCATTTGGAGATCTTGTTCTAGGGCTTTGCAAGTTTACCAACTGCCTGTAAACCAAAGGATCAGGTTGACTAGGAGCAGCAAACGCTGGTGACGGGGCGCCAGAGCCGCTGGCTGGGAACACTCAGAAATCTCACGTCACATTATATGGGCTGAGCGAGGGTTTTTGTGCTGTGGACAGTCAGGCATTGTTATGGTCAGCCTCTGTTGTAAAAATCAGCAGTTCAGATTAATTTAGGTAAGGCTAGTTAATCTCAAACTAGATAATATTCATTATGAAAAGCAGGTTTGATGGTTAAATGTGTGTGTCTGTGGGTATATTTATATATAGAGAGAGAGCGGGGGAGAGAGAGAGACACAAACTGAAACCCAGCACAGTATTACGTGAGACCTTTAATAAATTAGGGGCATTTGGAATTAGCATGTGTGGCTTTGCTAATCCTGTGATCTCAGAAGGTACTGAATTTCTCCTGGGTTCCCTTTTATAGCTAATGAAAGGGTCAAGTAGTTTAGCCCAAGAAAAATGATGCCATATTAGTAGTTGGCAGATGGTTTTGGGTAGCGAAATGTGACTGCCATTGACCAGAGGACTTGGACTTGAACTCACCCCATCCAAGGGGTGTGTTTCTTGAGCGCCTGCTTTGCGGGTGCCACCAGTGTTCTGCGTAGAGGTGAGTGGTCCCACCCAGAAGTGCTCAGTCTGCTATTGGAGGAAGAAGGGTCACCTGACAGGTCTAAGGGGGTGAGCATGTCCCTGCAGATGGCCGAGCGGGTCAGTGCGTGAGGGCACAGGCTGCAGCAGCAGGTACACGGGCCAGAGCAGAGGGGTGGGTGGGTGGAGCCCAGATGAAAACGACCTCGCCATAAAATCACATTGTTTACGAGTAAAAAGAAAAAGAAAAAAAAGGGCCTCACCAGTGCAAGACAGTGCAGCTGAAGTCGTTAAAGCTTTTTGACTAGAGATGAGGAAACACAGGGGTCGTTAGAGCTCGTAGTCACGTGGGGTGGTTGGGGGTGGCCGCCGTGATGTCTGGCACACTGAGGAGGGTTGCTAGGGTTGTCTTCCAGACGGTCCCCGAAGGTGGGCTCTCTCGGTCAGGGGGTTTGCCAAGGCAGGTTGGGGGGACTGGGACAATGGTAAAGGCACAATCACTAAAATACAATTAAGAAGAGAAACTTTTCACTAAGTTTCCCTACTAAAGGTAGCCCTCCTTCTTCGGCATGTGCAGATTTGTAGTATTAGAAGACGTGTAGGATGGTGTTATGCTTTTAAAATTTGTAATGAAAATTTTTTTCTTTTAAGGTTGTAGAAGGAACACCGCTGGCTGATGGAAGAAGACTCAAGTACAGATTAAATGGTGATTTTTTCCTAAAGACCCAAACTGATGACTTGATAGCTCGGAACTTTTGAGTGTTGTGCTCTGTGAACTGTCCGAGCTGGTTGGGCCAGAGTGGTGGACCGGGAGTTGTCCCCAGTTGCCCGAGGGCACGCGGTTAGGGTGCTTTGTACCTGCAGCCAGCCTGTAAAACGCGTGGGAAGCTGTCTCAGCGGTGCGGCGTCTTTGTTGAAGATGACCCCCCAGAGGTCTTGTTTGCTCGTGTATCTGCGCGTACTCGGCCTGAATGACCAAACCGAGACCTCAGAACACGACGCTGCCTTACATCGTGTGGGGCGAATCTCGTGCGGCCTCTGCGCTCACCTGAGTTTTTGCCTTTCCTTAAGGGTTCTATGCTTTCCTCCTGACATCCGCGGCGGTCGGGGCCGCACTGTCGTGGGGCGTGGACCTGCACTACGTGTACCGGCACTTCCGCCAGTTCGCACTGGCGGCGCTCGTGTTCTCCGTGGCCCTGAGCGTGTACCTGTACGTGCGGGCGCGGCGCGCGCCCCCGGGCCAGCTGTCGCAGGCCAGCTCAGGTGAGTGAGCGCGCGGGCACCCGCAGGCTTGCGGACACGGAATCTCTTCGAGCTTCGGTTTATGAGATGAAGAGACAAGGACAAATAGATGAAAACACTGAAAGAAAAATAAAGTTAAAGGAAGAAACTTTATTTCCTCCTACTCTATTGGTTTCTCATCTCTTTTTTAGTCGCTTGTTGACCGTAAGGCATTCCAGTACTTTACGTACAGTAACGTTATAGTGGGGTTAATGGCATCATAGTTCATTACACGTATTATTTTTCCCCCAAGTAGTAAATATCCTTTAAAAAAGACATTTCAAATTGGTTGATTCTGACCTAAAGTATTTAAACAACAAAAAAAAAAACGTTGCTTATTTTAAAAAGTTGTGAGTCTACTTTTACAAAAACCCCTGTAGTTTCCCTAGTCAGGGCACCTGGCCCCAGGGGCCCCGGGGCCGAGCAGCGGCTTCGGATGCTTCCAGCTGGGCGGGCGGCACAGCTGCTGGCTGTCCCCTCGGGCTCCTCCTCCTCCTGCCACAGCGACTGTGCGCCAGGCCTCTGGACTGAATTGTGACTCAAAAGCCTCTTATTGGGATTGGAATGGAGCTTTTCTAAAAAGCTGTTTGAATAAGAACCTTTCCCTTTTCAGGAAATGTCATCTATGATTTCTTCATTGGCCGTGAACTAAATCCTCGGATTGGTACTTTTGACCTCAAATACTTTTGTGAACTGCGTCCTGGACTGATTGGATGGGTATGTCTTGTCTTGTGTTTCTTAAATTTCAGTGCAGTAGTGCAAGTTAGTCTTGGATTTAGAAAGAACTGTAGAAAATTTCCAAGTAAGCTGTGGGTGATATATTTTTAGGAATAATTACAGCTTTCCCTAAATCTGTCTACTTAAAATATTTTCTTAGTATAAACATAGTCCAGAGGGGTTCAGATGCCCCTTTAGAGGTTATTAAAGCTTGAAGGAGTTTATTTTTATAGTCGTTTCTGTTTAGGTAGAAAAATGATAGTCGATGCATTCATGTAACAAAAAACATTTTCTTCCCTGTAAAAACAATGTATTTTAGACATAGGAGAGTTGCAAAAGCCGAATGTTCTCTTACGTTGTCCCTCCATATCCCAGTGGTAACGCCTGGCATAGCCCTGGTCTAGTGACCAAAGACAGGGTGGAGACACTGTTTACAGCCTTTTAACTGAACCCACAGGCCTGGAGTTGCACCAGCTTTCCCGCTGGTGACCTCGTGCTGTTCCAGCGCCCTCTGCAGGCCCCACAGTGCATTTCGCCGCTTAGCTTTGGTGTCGTTTGGACACAGTTGCTTGGCCTTTCCTTGTGTCTCCTGACTCTGACCCTTGGAAAGGACACTAATTTGGGTTGGCCCAGTGTTTTCTCACAATTGGAGGGGACGAGGCATTTTGGCAGGGATACTGTGTTCTCCTTAGTGCGTCCTGTCTGGGCTCCTGATGCCGTGTGTCTCCTCAGTGATGGCAGTTGCTCGGTCAGGTGGCGCCCGCAGGGGCCTCTTGGCTGCGAAGGCGCGGTCTTGCCGTCTGGGGGGACTGAGGGCCTCTGCGGAGGTGCCCCAGACTATTCTCGCCCCTTGTATTTCAGGTGGTTGTTAACTTGGTAATGCTTCTGGCTGAGATGAAGTCACAGAATCGTGCTACCCCATCCTTGGCAATGATTTTGGTTAACAGTTTCCAGTTCTTATACGTGGTGGACGCACTCTGGAATGAGGTAATTAATTTTAAAAGCAGAGGCCTTGGGGTCGGAGGGCTTTGAGTGTGGGCGAGTGACCTGACCTCTCAGGGCCCCAGCTTCTCATGTGCAGTGAGGACGACGCCCTGCCCTCGGGGCTCAAGAGCCCGGGGTCGGCGTCAGGGCCCCGAAGTCTGAGCCGGCCCAGTGGGCACAGCAGAAGGCGCCAGGCCCGGAGGTGATCTGGCTGCTCGGCTGTGCTGACCAAATGTGGACAGAAGCGTGTCTGTCCACTCAGCGTGGGAAGTGCGGTGGGCCCTGTCACCGGGTGGCTTGTTTCCTCATGTGGACCATCTGCCTGAAAAGCAAGATGGGATTAGAAGTCGTGCTGGTGCACGTGCACTTGACACAGGCAGCTGGCGATCTCGTTCTCCCGCCAGCAGACACACGACACGTCCTCCATGGCGGGCGGGCGGGCGGCACGCCGTGTGCTGGGACAGCGTGGTGTCCTGGTTTTTACCCCCTGGTCTAGTGGGGGAGAGCGACGTGGTCCCAGTGCCGTCCTACACTTGCTGCAGCCTCTCAGGGGGTGGGGGGGGCAGCGTGAGGAATGCCAAGTGGGAAGGGAGGGGCGGGCCTTGGCTGAGGCTGGAGAGGGGTGTTCCGGGCCTCAGCCAGGGCCAAGGTGGGGCACTAGAGGTGCCCCGGCCGTCCATGACCTCGGAGTGGGGGTGCAGAGTGACAGCAGGTGGAGCCTGCGGGACCATCTGGTGTGAAACACGCGCCGGGGAGCCAGAGTCCCCTCCCCACTTCCAGAACAGTTTCAGCTGAGGCCCTCCCACAGCCCTTATAAATCTGACTGTAAACTAGTACTTTATTTGAATACTTTAAACAGAAACTTTTCTCCCCTCGCCTTTTTAAAAACTTTCTTTCCCTTCTCTGCCCTTCCAGGAAGCAGTGTTGACGACCATGGACATCACCCATGACGGGTTCGGGTTCATGCTGGTGTTTGGGGACTTGGTGTGGGTCCCTTTCATCTACAGCTTCCAGGCCTTTTATTTAGTCCACCATCCGCACGAGGTGTCCTGGCCGGCAGCTTCTTTCATCATTGCTCTGAAACGTGAGTGTTGCCTTCACTCTGGGTGCTGAGCGTCATGCACCAGCTCTGTTGCGCTCTCCTCTCTACGTGTTTGGAACACGCCTTTTTAAGTGGCCGTAGTGAGCTCCATGTTAAATAATTTTGATGGAGGAATGATAAGATTCTTGCATCTTGCAAAGAAAATGGATGCTTCAGTGGTTCTCTAAAGAGAATGATTTGTTTTTAATTTTTTAACATTTAACAAGCTTTTGCAGTTATACTCAATGTTCACTGTTAGTTTGGGTGTGCAGCACAGGGGTTAGACGTTCCTCTAGCCCACACGGCAGTCCCGTCCCAGCCTGGCCCCCGCCCCACTCGGCGTTGTGACAGGAACTGCCGACTCTGTCCCCGCCCCTGCTGCACTTTGCATCTGCATTTTTTTCACTCTGCGCCCCAGACCTCCCACTTTGTGGCAATGATCAGTTTGTTCTAAAGAGACAGTTTTTGAACAAAGCAGTTTGCTTTTGAACTTAACTCAAATGTAATTGTTTAGTGACAATGCATTTTTTTTTTCTATTGAGCACCTGCTTTTTCTGGTAGGCCCCTGAAGAAGTAGGAAGACTAGTCTTGCCTCCTAGGACTTATATTCTGACGGGAGGACTAGACTCTCGGACACTCCCATGAGGCCTACGGAGGAGACTAGAAGAGGGACTGATAGACCAGAGGTGATGGGAGCTGAAGGTAGCGCTTCTCCCGGGGCACGTGGTGTCCAAGCAGAACTGCAGCGGTGACAGCGGGACCAGCGCAGGGTGGCCCCGGGGGAGACGTGCTCGGGAAGAGCGGAGGGCTGCGGCTCACCGTGGGCGAGTGACGTGGATTAGCTTCAGAGGGGCTTTCCTGTCACTGCCCCGCTCACTGAACTCCTCCCCCAGAGCGAGGGGAGGGAAGATCCGCATGGGCCTTCAGGTACAGCTGGTTCTGCCACACGCAGGAGGGTCTGCGGTTTGGCTTAGCCGAGCCAACCCTGCCTGTGGGACGTGTAAGACAGGGCGTTCCAGGTCAGTGGATAATGAGGAGTAACTTGGCTACTTTGTTGAGGACTGACGGTATCACAGTGAACAGTCAGTGGACTGTCAGGGCCTGTTAGCCTGGACAGGTTGAAATTTGAGATGAAGCCACCAGCTTGTAGGGCTGCCGTGGGATTTGACACAGACTCACGTGTGAGGTGCTGCCGTGTTAACAAGTGGTGTTCCTCCTGCGGCCAGTAGGTGTCACCACTGACAGTGTTCCTCAGTGTGCTCAGGCCCCAGTCCCAGCGCTGGTCACTGTGATGTGGGCTGTGTCCCATCCTGTTTGCGGAGGTCACTGTCGTAGGTTAGTTTTGCCTGAACGGCGCTCTACCTTTGGCAGTGTCCTCAGAGCTCAGAAATAACCTCTAAGTGGAGTTACAGATGCCTTTAAATGTTAGATTATATCTAAAGCGCTAACATGAAATTTTTAAAAACCTACAGTTTGTGGCTATGTAATCTTCCGATGTGCAAACGCTCAGAAAAACGCATTCCGGAAAAACCCCACTGATCCAAGGCTCGCACGTAAGTATTGGTTTAATATTTGTATTATTTGTATTGCAAAGGGGGAGGGAGAGGGTGAGAAGCATCACTGTGTGGTTGCCTCTCGAGCACCTGCAACCGGGGACCTGGCCCGAAGCCCAGGCATGTGCCCTGACTGGGAGTTGAACCGGCGACCCTTTGGTTCGCAGGGTGGTGCTCATACTACTGAACCACACCAGCCAGGGCTGAATAAAGATTTTATGCCTCTACTTGTCTGCATATCACCACAAACGTATTTCTGTTTTTATACAGACTTAAAAACCATTCACACCTCCACGGGAAAAAACCTCCTGGTGTCTGGCTGGTGGGGCGTGGTCCGCCACCCCAATTACCTGGGTGATCTCATCATGGCTCTGGCGTGGTCCCTGCCGTGTGGTAAGCCTTCGGGGCCGTGCTAACTTCACTCTCCCCAGCTGCCCACAGGGTCTGTGGGGACACTGTGGTCCAGGGACACTGGCTGGTGTGAGAAGGGCTGCCTGCCCGAGGTCGGGCGAACACGCAGCTCCGTGTACGTCTGGCTTCTGCGGGGAGTCAGCAGCTCCCAGAGCCTGCCATTTCACCCGAACTTCTGAAAGCAGAATTTTCCGTTTGGAACTGCCTTGTGCATCTTGTTACGTGGAGTACATGGAACCCGTGGAGGCTTTTCCTCGGTGTGCCTCCGTGCCGAGACCTGGGCTCTCCCGAGGGGCAGTGGGCGGCTCTGTTTGGTGGTAGCCCTGCTGCGCCCAATACGAGGAGTTGTAGGAATGGATTAATCACACTTTTCACTCAGTGCTGCCTCTGCCCTGCACCAGCGGGACTTCCTGAACTGGTTGAGTTTTCCCGGTTACTAAAGAAAATGAAGGCACTTCAGGGTTCTCTTAGAGGGTTTGGGGAAAAGTGGGCACAAGTGCGTATTGTGCAGGAGTAGAAATCGAAATACCGTTTCCTGCTGTTCTCCACAGGCTTTAACCACATTCTGCCGTATTTCTACGTGATTTACTTCACCCTGCTGCTCCTGCACCGGGAGGAGCGGGACGAGCGCCAGTGCAGGAAGAAGTACGGCGTGGCCTGGGACCGCTACTGCCAGCGCGTGCCCTACCGCATCCTGCCCTACGTCTACTGACCCCCGCCGCCTGTGCCGACAAACGCAAAGCCAGACTCCCCTGCGCTGCACTGAGTGTCTCCAAGTTTCACTGTGTGTGAGTCAGGGCTGCAGGCCCCAAGTCTTTTCCCCTCACCGTGTGTATTTTATTAAATCTGCATAATTAACATCAGGAAAAATCACAGAGGTGTTCGACTTTGCTGGTGTTCTAATAGGAAATTTTCAGTCCTGAAAAGTCTGATCAAGGCCCTGAGAAAAACACTTCTGATGTTTATGTATGAGTTTTGATCCTTTTGTCTTGTCGGTTGGTTCTTAAGTGAAAACCCTGTTACAGCTGAAGTGCATTACGGCGGTAAGAGAATCTTCATTTGTTTCCTTGAAATCGATGCATTAACTAGTCGTGTGACTGGCAAGTAAAATCCAGACTCGTGTCAAATGCGAGATGAGACACAGGGGGTTTATCGGTGGCACTGTTCTAGCGAGACAACTAGCAGTAGTTTGCTTAACCTGAACTTCTGAAACTGTGTTTGAAAATGTAATTGTATATAGCTTTTATGTAATATATGGTGACTTCACTGTTTTCTGTACAGTATTTTGAATGTGAAATAATTGCCAGGACTGAATATCTAACAAAAACATTTGCAGTATTTTAAAATTTAAATTAAATTTTGTAAAGTACTACATGTTAGAATTTTTGAAACAATTAGAATTCATTTACTATTATATGAAAGATGCTATTAAGATAGAGGAAGGATATTTTTCTTAATCCAAAGTTTGCAAATTTGGCTTTTTTCTACCTCAATCGCAGGTGTTTGTTTGCCTTTGTAAACTGTTGCAGATAGGAAAAAAAGATATATTTTTGCAGTAACATCCCTATTTAAACATTTTTACTCAGATTGGTGGTTGAAAATTTGGGGCTAATATTTTTATATATTTTTGACTTTTTTAAACTGTTTTTGCTACTGTCGTGCTCATGCAGTTTATACTGTGTTTCTATTTACAAAATTCTGTGAAGGAGTGTGTTTATCTAAAATCAGTTAAAGGGCATAGTTTAAAATCCTCTCTCTAAAGCCTATTTAGTTTAATAGCTGTGCATAAGGTAGTGTGGGCTGTCAAGTGCTAGTTAAGTTGAGGTAGCCTCATCACTCATTACTCGACATTGGAAAGCAAGTCCGCGGGCCTTCAGTACTCACATTGCAGTTGCCACTGTCTTACGTGTATGGGAGGCACTGAATCACGCGTGTTCTGCAGAGCCGTCTGCAGATGCGACTCAGCCCCTATCGCTGTGGCTCTGAGGTGGCTGCGCCCTGGCCTGGGCCGAGCAAGGAGGCTGTTGGCAGCTACAATTTGTTTTTTATCTTTGACAGGTTTTATATGAAGTTTTAAGTTGGAAATGTTGGGAATAAAAAGTTGTCCTCTTATCACTGTGGAGCCTCGAGTTTTCCTTTGCCCGTTATTCTGGGCTCATCCCAGGGTGCCCAGAAGACCGGCGGGACCCCCAGCCAACGCGGCCTTTAGTTCTTGTATGAGAGGCTGCATGTGTTGGTAGGTTCCTTAAACTGTTTGAGCAAATAAGCTTGCCCACCTTTTGTCTTTCGTTAAAACCCTGTACTTTTTATCATTTTCTTACTAATTCCTAAATGACAGGGACCAGGTCCTTATACTGCTTTTCTGTAACATTGTGTACACTTAACTCTTACTTTCAGACAGTACGATTTCCTAGACAGAACAGTAAACAGACGTTACTGTCTTGTCCATGGCTGTTATGGAGTCTGTTCCAGGTATGGCGGCACCAGCCTCCACGTGTGTAAAACGTGGCAGGTGTAACACACCGGACGGAGGTGGTCTGAGGGCTGTGTAGGTGTCCTCGTGAGTGCTCAATGTAGGGCTCAAGAATAAACACCTTACCTCCAGGAACACGTCAGGGCGTTAATCCAATGTGCTGAATTCTCGGGACTGGCTCTTCAGTGGGGGGAGAAGGCAGAACGAGGCTGTTCTGTGAGGGAAGGTCGTGTGCATGCGCCCGTGTGTGTGTGTTACTGTCTGCAGATGTAGAAACCACTTTTCAGGACCAAAATTTTGCAGAAGCAAGCCCTGGTATCTGCCGGCCGCAGCCCAGGACGTGCCCACTCACCTGCAGTCCAGCCGGGGTGCAGAGTCGTTGCTCAGAAAAGCAGCTGGAGGGTTCCCCCACGTGCTGACGTGTTCCCGAACGGCGAAAGAAAGAGACTGTGCCTGGCTGAACACACAGAGGGCTTTATGAGGGGTGTCACTATGTGCATGTCTTGACACACAAATCCGGTTCCAGGCCGAAATCTGATGGGTGGGGCTGTGAGGTTATTTCTCGTTCTTCTCACATAGCAACGCGACCTGCATGGTGATCCAGTGACTGGGAGGTTTCTTCGTGGGCAGATACACCGACATCAAAAAATTTGAGGGCAAGCCCGTGCTTGTCACAGTCCTTAACCTCTCAGGTGTCTGATAAACCGGGCATTCAAAAGCATAGAGTTCTGAATCTGTCTGGTTAGACGTGTTTGCTGTTTCGGTGGAAATCTTAAAAAAAGAAATTCGATAGTCACATTGCTTGGTTCAAACGCACCAGCAGCTCCCATCTGCTATGTGCCAGACCTGGGGGAACCTGCGAAAAATTCACACCCTTAAGGTCAGGCGTAACTTCTACGTGTAACTGCTTTCGGGGGCAGGGCTTTCTAGTTCGTGTTCTTGAGAAACAACGTTGTTGGCAGAGCATGAACTTGAGATTTTAGCAGTGCTTGGGGCTACTACTTTGGGAGTTCTCTGCCCGAAGCGCATTACCATTTTTAACTTTCCCTGGTGAGGCCACAGGGCGTGGAACTATAGAAGGGACGCTTGTGTGGCTGGGAAAGCGGGGAGGCTCAAGACTTAGTGATAAACACTCGGGCGCTTACCTTTGTGGGCAAGAAGTGAATTTCAGGAAAGTCGCAACACAGCTCGCGAGGCAGCGAGTCTTCCAGGACCTTTTCTCCGTGATCCCACCTCGCCCCCTCGATGAATAAACCAAACACGTGGACACCGACGTGCGTGGAGTCCGTAGCCTAAGATCAAAGAGAGGTGCTGTCGGGGGGTCCCGGGCAGGCTGCACACAGCCTGTGACGTCAGCTGCCCTGGGGACGGGCACGGAGGGGGCGGGCCGCTCCCCTTCCGGCCCAGGGAGGGTCCATCCCTGCGCTGGGCAGGTTTCCTCCAGTTCGAAGGTGAGTAGCAGTAATACACGAATAAACTGTTTTGTGTACGCACAACGAACCTTGCTTCTGCCGCACCCTGTATAATTGTTTCCGTCCCCCTGGGAAGAGTGGGAGAGGAAGTCTAATGGCATCTGGAGTCCAAGGGGGACTGTGCCTTGTGGGTGCTGCCTGTCCAGGGCCCAGCTCGAGCCGAGTGGCAGGTAAAGGTCTGCTGAGGAGGTGATGACTGCTTGCGTGAATGAACGAGTGAATGACGGATGCATGAGTGAGCCGTCTAGTCTCTTAAGCATCCCGGTACCTTGAAGGCTGTCCTGACGATGTTGAGCTTCTTCTGGATGATGACGGAGAGCTCCTTCTCTTCGCGCTCGGCGGTGTCCGAGACCACGTGGTGGGTGAAAGTGAGGGTGTCCATTGAGAGTCCTTGGGACCTTGCGTAGTCTTGAAGCACAGCAGTCAGAAAGGCTGTGGAGAGAAACACACCCTGCGAGTCTCAGGGGACTGTTACCACCACCAGTGTCTCATGGGGAGGGAAGGGTGTGGAGAAGAGAGAGGAGACACCCGAGGTGGGTGGAGGGCAGTGTAAATCCAGCCGCTGCCCGCGGGTCTTGGTGAGGGTCTCAGCGGCTGCTCGAGCTTCCCGAGGAACGTGGGTGGCTTTGTCGGCCCAGAGTCCCTCCCACATTCGTTGTGGGCGTAGAGGGGCTAAACTCCTGGGACCTTACCCACTTCTGACCCAGGCTTGGCTGAGGATAGTATCTTATCCTCCTGGCATCAAAGGTAAGTTCAAAGGTAAGTGCCCTCCTGGCACCCAAGGGCAAGTTCAAGATCCATGTGTATCAGAGACTCTCAAGAAATGATGTGGTAGAGTTTTGGCCAAGATGGAGGCATAGGCAGAAACCCTTCACTTCCTCCCACAACCAAAAGCAGGACAACAACCAACCTAAAATCAATAAACATGCACCCCAATGTTCAGAGCAGCACAATTTACAATAGCCAAAAGCTAGAAGCAACCTAGGTGCCCAGCAGTAAAAGAATGGATCCAAAAACTATGGTATATTTACACAATGGAATTCTATGCAGCAGAAAGAAAGAAGGAGCTCCTACCCTTTGCAACAGCATGGATGGAACTGGAAAGCATTATGCTAAGTGAAATAAGCCAGGCAGTGAAAGATAAATACCATATGATCTCGCCTATAAGTGGAACCTAATCAACAAAACAAACAAGTGAGCAAAATATAACCAGAGATGCTGAAATAGAGAACAGGGGGACAGTGACCAGAGGGGAGAGGATTTCAGGGGAAAAGGGGAAGGATTCACAGGAACAAGTATAAAGGACACATGGACAAAAACTAAGGTGGGGGGGGCAGGCTGGGACGGGAGTAAAAGACAGAAAACTGTACTTGAACAATAATTAAATAAAAAAATAAAATCAATAAATAGCCAGAAGTGCCAGAAAATCCAACTCTGACAACCAAGGAATTGAAACAGTCAACCAGAACAACCAGACAACCAGACCAGTAAGGCGGCTGGGCGGACTGGGTGGGCAGGGCTGACTTCAGAGGAAACTGAGAGTCAGAGTGGCCTGTGGACTGGGGAGAAACTCCCAGTGTCACAGGAGAGTCCCTGGGAAAGTGGGCTAGATCCCAGCAGGGGGCGCTACATTGTTCCCTCTCTGGCCCCTCCCCCACAGGCAGCGCAGCCAGGAGGTTTGCCCCGCCCTGGTGATTACCTAAGGCCCCACCTCCTTACGACTTAACAGGTGTGCCGAACAAAGAAATACGGCCCAAATGAAAGAACAGCAAAACTCCAGAAAGAGAGCTAAGCGATGAGAAAATCGCCAAACTGTCTGATGGAGAGAGTTCAAAACCCTGGTAATTAAAATGCTCACAAGACTGACAGCTTGGTCAAAAAATGAAAAAACAAATAAAAGATACCCAAAGGGAAATAAAGCAAAATATTCAGGGAACCAGCAGTGACAGGAAGGAAACTAGGACTCAAATCAACAATTTGGAACAATAGGAAGAAATAAACATACAACTGGAACAGAATGAAGAAATAAGAATTCAAAAAAAAAATGGAGACTTAGGAACCTTTGGGACAACTTGAAACACTCCAATATCCAAATTACAGGGGTGCCAGAAGGAGAACAGCAGAAAAATGAAAAGTTATTTGAACAAATAATGAAGGAGAACTTCCCCAATCTAGTGAAGGAAATAGACTTCCAGGAAGTCCAGGAAGCTCAGAGTCTCCCAAAGCAGTTGGACCCAAAGAGGAACACACCCGGGCACATTATCATCAAGTTACCCAAGATTAAGTATAAAGACAGAATCCTAAAAGAAGCGAGAGGAAAGGAGAGTTACCTACAAAGGAGTTCCCATTAGTCTATCAGCTGATTTCTCAAAAGAAACCTTGCAGGCAAGAAGGGGCTGGAAAGAAGTATTCCAAGTCATGAAAGGCAAGAACCTACATCCAAGATTGCTCTATCCAGCGAAGCTTTCATTTAAAATGGACAGATAAAGTGCTTCCCAGATAAGGACAAGTTAAAGGAGTTTATCATCACCAAGCCATTATTACATGAAATGTTGAAGGAACTTATCTAAGAAAAATAAGATAAAAAATACAAAGAGTAAAATGATAACAAAGTCACAACTATCAATAAATGAACCTAAAAAAAAAAAAGAAAAGAAAAACAATGAAATCAAAAAGTAAGCAAACAACTAGAACAGAAACAGAATCAGAAAAATGGACATCACCTGGAGGGATTTCAGTGAGGCAGAAGGGAGGAATAAGGGGGAAAAGGTACAGGGAAGAAGCAGCATCACTGGTAGGCATAAAACAGACAGGGAGAGGTCAGACATGGTATAGGAAACAGAATTCAAAGAACTTATATGTACAAGCCATGGACGCGAACTAAGGCAGGGAGATGCTGGAGGGTTAGGGAGTGCAGGGCGGAGGGGGGATAAAGGAGGAAAATTGGGAAAACTGTAATAGCATAACTAACAAAAGAAAAGGAAAAGAAATGACATGTGAACACTGGGAAAGGAAAGCTCTTTTCCCTCCCAACTCACTGATGTGTTTTCCCCAGTTTCGTGCAGAAAGGCTGTGTGCAGCAGAAAAGAACCAACGCAGAGTGGAAACAGCTGAGAGGAGGCAGGCTGAGAGTGACACAGGACAACTGACTACCCGGACCCTGCGTGCCTGGAGCCAGAGCCTTGGCATTCTCCCCATTTATGTGAGCCTTTAACTTGCCCCGTTGAGCTTAACCAAGTTCAGACTGCATTCTGCATCTTGATGTCAAGATACCTACACAGTTTAACTGTTTGTTCTCTTTGCCACCCGCTCCTCTCTCCTGTGATTGATTCCTCCTGCGTAAATCGCCAGTTTAGTAATTGCATCTTACTTCTCGACTGTGTAGCGGCCCTGCCCAGAATCCACCGCACCTGTGCTCACAGTGGATCTCCGTCTCCCTACCTGGGCAGTCAAACTTGCCACACTGGCCCCGTCTTCTCTGTCCCCGCTGCTACACAAAATCACAACCTAGACAGTGCGCCCGTCTCTCTGCCCCTGCTCATGCTGTCTGCCTTGGATCATAGTTCTTAAGTTTCCCTCCAAGTCTGCAAGGCCCAAGAAGCCATCTCTACCGGCACAGGCCGCAGTGACCCTGCCCTCCTCTGAGCCCCCCTCAGAGGGCAGCAGGCTCCAGGAGACAAGACCTGCGTTGACCAGCTTTGCCCCTGCGGCAGTGGCTGTCACACTGTGGCGTCACCTGAGGGGCTCAGTGGCCTTCTGCCTGAGGTCCAGCCAGGATAACCGGCCCTTACTGTCATTGTTCCCATCATCCAGACACCTCGGACGTGACATGGCCATCACCTTGCCCCTTGTCAGTCTGCTGCTCTCCATGCCTCCACAGCCTCAGTGACAGCCATCAGCCTCCGCTCAGTACTCCAAGCCAGAAACCCGGGAGCCACTCCCGCTGACCCTGCCCTCTTGGGCGTGGAGTTTCATGGGCCTGACTCCTGAAGGCCCCCAGTTGACTACTTTCCTCCTGCTCACCACCCCCGTCCTTGTCCACTCACCGCCAGCTCTGGCCTGGACAACACAGCAGGCTCCTGAGGGACTGGGCCCCAGACTGTGGTTTTGTGCCTCTCTGTCCCCATGCCCCGCCCACCCATCAAGCCATGATGTCCCTGGCCTGAAGCTCACCTGCGACTCGCAAGGCCACAAGGTGTAGACGCCCTGAGTGCGTCTCCTACGGCCCCAGCTCCGGGGGCCGGCCCTTGCCCATCCCTCCCCCTCCTTCCTGCACTGTCCCTTTGCTGGGTCCTCCTCTGTCTGGCTGCAATTAGCAGTTGGTTCCTCTACTGTGCTTGTTTTCTGTCTCGTCTCTGGGCCTTTAAATGGTTTCTCTCTAATGAGAACGCTATTCCCAGTTCAGGGCAGCGGTGAGACGTGAATTTCCAAGTTTGACCGAGTTCAAATCTTAGCTTAGTCACTTATTTGCTCTGTGACTTTGGGCAAATTACTTAACTTCTACCAAGATTCTCTTATCTGAAAATAGGGGTAATTACAGCAACAAATCCAGAAGGCTGTTCTGAGAACTGAATGACTTCATATATATATATTAAGTCCTCAGAACAGTGCCTGGCACCACGTAAGCACCACGTAAGGGTGGTGATTATCCTCTGAGTATTCTGTCCCCACCGGGATAATACCTAACTGGTGGCTTTAAGTCTCATCTCACAAGTTACTTCCTTAGTGGCTTCCCTGATCCTTAGCATAGGTCCCCCTGTTTCTTGCTCTGAAGTATTTAATCATTCATACATTCATTCGGGAATTCACCCATTCACTCTTCACAAACTTATTGAGAGCGTTTTAGGTGCGGCCGCGGCGGCCCGAGGCGCTCTGGGAGACGGGGAGGAGTCAGCCCCGCCCTGGCCCCGCCCACACGGAGCCTGCTGGGTAGAGCTGCCCTTTACAACTCCCACGGCTCCCGCCCCCACACACTGTTCTGACCCCACGGCTGGATACCTGTCTCTCCCGCTGGGCGCCTGGGCCGAGCAGGTGCGGCCCAGGACCCAGCCAACCTTCGTTCATTCACTCTTGTTAAATGAATAAATTCAGGAAAATGGCTGAGGCACAGAATTAAGCCCTTGTAGAGGCCTTTGACATCATAAAACCAATGGCCTGGAGTTGAGACAATGAGACACCTGCTCAGGTGCAGGGAGGTGTGTGTGTGGGGGGAGAGACTGCACGCAGGAGGCCCTCATACCTGTGGGGGGCGCAGAAGCCATACTATGGGCCTCTCCTCCGAAAGGGCAGGAGACAGACGGTGGTGGAGGACTGGGCGCAGCCTCCCCGGCCAGGGGTGGGGGCTGGTCCTGGCTCTCAGGCTTACCTTGTGGGAAGAAGAAAGCTGGGAGCCAGTATCTCACAGGAAACCCGCCCAAGAAATTACTGTCTTCATCCACAGGACGTCTGGGGTCGGGGCGAAGTGACGGGACGGTGAGCTTCGAAGCTGCGATAAATCTCTCGTACCTGTTGGAGGGCAGCCCCGGGTGGGTGGTTAAGGGCCTAGTAATCGCGCATGCGCCTCCCAGCGTCCTCCTTTCCTTTTCATCTCCGACTCTCCCCAACTCAGGCACCCTCTCCCGGACTGGACTGGAGCCCAGCTCCGGCCTTGGAACCCTGGCTGGGCCTTGCAGAGCCCTGGGGACTGTCCCGGAGCCTGACCGCTGCAGAGCGCTCGTTGCTGCGCGGCCTAAGAGGCTCTGTAGCGCAGGCTGGGAGCCGGATTTTCCGGGTTTAAATCTGTCCTTCAGCTTTCTAGTGGTGGAACCTCGGGCAGATGACTTGGTGTGCTTGTGCCTCAGTTTCCTCACCTCTAAAGTGAGGACCGTGACAAATGGCAGCACCAGACTTGGGTCCCAGGGCCCCTGTGACAGTCAGCGACTCAGCTGGAGGAAAGCACTGGGTGGGTGGCCCACTGCGAGGCGCTCCGCAAGGGCTAACAGTTTCCCTGCCTCTCAACCTGTTCTGGTCTACATACTGAGCACATTTAAAACGTACACGCTAGCTAATTCTTGTTTCTTTTCATACCCTCCGCCCCCCCCCCAGGTTTTTCACAAGACGGCAGAATAACGGAAGCAGAGATGTGCTGCTTCTGGTTCTCTCGCCATCTCTGACGGCCAAGTGACCCTGGATGAGACTCGGCTTCCTAGGTCTTCATCTCCTCACCCTAAACTGAAGATGAGAATCCCCCCCCACTCATTCCTTACTTCACATGTGGGTGTGAGACCCGAACAGGCCAAACATGTGAGATTCTTTTGTGAACCTCTAAGCTCTAGGTAACAACGAGGAAGCCATGTAAACCGGCTCTCATCCATACCAACGGTGTATTTCCCCATAAGCCATTTTGGCCCAGGTGTTGAAGAAATTCAGTCGCTGGATGAGATCATTAACCCAGGAACTCAGGGGTTTACACGACTTGTAGGCGTATTTCTGTTAGGATAGAGAGACAGGCATTGAATTTTGCAGCCAGTATCCACCTCACTCCCAGCTCCTACTTTACAAAAGAAATGTTTGTAGCCACCAGCCCTCCCCCATGTCCCTGGACACAGCGGCCCGGCTCCCTGTGGCCCCTGGCTCCCGGCAGGCCGGGGCCTGCAGCCAGCTACACTCAGAGCTGACCTGAGCCCTGGGCCGGCCTGGGAGCTGGGCCCCAGCCAGCAGCCCCTTCCAGCTGGCCCCTCTCCCCCCAAATGCCTCCTGGAGGCCCGCCTTGTTGGCTCTCCCCAAACTCTAGTTTGGGTTTCTCAACTCTAAAGCAGGTACACCTTTTCCTAAGCACATACAGGCACATACAAGCATGGATTTTATGTAAGTATATGTATGTTTTCACAGTCCTTAGAGGTGACATTTTTCTGAAACTTAAAAAAAAAATTTAACACAACTGAGCGATCTTTTCCATATCCGAGTAATATAATTTCATGAGATTCTTATGAATAGATGCTCAGTTAGTTTCAGCTTTATGCTGTTATAAACAGTCCTGTGACAAACAGCTCTTCGATACATTTATTTAGGAGAACTGCCAAATTCTCCTCGAAGAGATTTGATGACTATGTACTCACACCAACGCCATGGCAGCATCTTTCAGTGGGCACGTGGTATTCCTTCCCTGCCGCTGGAACCCACGTTTGCACCGAGCGAGGGGACGCGGGCCGTGACGGCCGCCTACCTGCCACAGCGGCGGCACCGCCGACTTCAGGAGAGACTCTTGCGTCTCCTCCAGGTCCTGGCTGAGGATGGTCTCTCCTCTTATGGCAAGTTGAAGGTCCTTCAGAGACTCGTGGATAACAAACAATAACTTATCAAATCGTTCCATTTCTTGCTTCAAAAAGGCTAGCAAGACGCTATGGATCAGGGGGTCGTAGCCTGGATCAAAACAAGAGATAAAATGATGATACCTTTCAGATAAAATGGAGACACACAGGGGCTGGAAGTGAGAGGAGTTTCATTGGTCTAGAGCAGGAACTGAAGACCCTCTTTCGAGGAAGGCCGCTTGGTCACTGGCTCGGCTCAGTGGGCCACACTGTCCGGGTCACAACCACTCCCCCCCTACCCATGGCCCCCACGCCCACCTCGGCGTGAATGCGGGCAGGTGGCAGGAAAATGGACGGCGAGGCTGTGGTCCCGCACGGCCTGACTTGTGGGCACTCAGATTCGATTGCCTTGCAATACGTATCTGTCACAAACTTTTTTCCTCCACCCATTCAAAACCAGGTGAAAATCATGTTAGCCTGCAGCCTTTGCCCAGCCCGATCTGGATGCAGTGAGTGCTGTTCTGACAGACTATTGCTCAACAATTGGTTCCCAAATGAATCTCTTTTAAAGGGTTAAAACGTGGACGTTGAGAATTTCACTGGGCAACTTACCACAGTCTGAAACTTCGGGGCCTCAGAGCTGGGCCTGGAGCTGACCCTGGATGCCCAGGTTCGCCCGTGTCGTCCACCCCCGCCCCCGAGGGTCGCATCAGCAGCCGGCTGGGCCCTCGTGCCCTGGTGCCGCCCCCCGAGGCAGAGAGGCCAGGACGGCAGGGGCCTCCGCGCTTTCCAGAATCTCCCGAGCACACCCGCTGCCTTCCGTTGCTACGGTGATTATTTCCTTCCTCTTAGTCTGGGGGCCATCACTTGCACGCCCTCCAAACCCGCCCCCCAAAACCAAAGAAACCCCCAGTGTCATTTTCTTCTCTGCTCTTCAGCTTCCAACCGGGAGACAGAGGGAGCGAGGATCCGGCTTTCTTTCCATCCATCTGCTCTCGGCCCCCGCACTGCTGTGATGTCCTCTGCTGAGGGGGCTGTGGGGACGGGGGAGGCTCGGGCCGTGCTCACCTTTGAGATTTTTACAAAGGGACTCCCAAAAGGGGCTCGACATAACGCCCCTCAGCGTGCTCTGAGGTCCCGTGCTTTCCTCCCGCTCCACGGTCAGCGGCAGCCGCTTCTGCAGGTCGGATACGATTCCCATCACCAGTTCGTCCTCACTCTTCTCCCGGCTGCGAGAGGAAGGAGGAGAGGGGTGACGTGTGTCCTTGGGTGGGGGGAGGGCCCTGCCGAATTCAGTCCCACCCGAGGCAAACACAGCCGCGGGACAGAACCCCAGTGCCACGAGAGGGAGCCTCGTGGGGGCCATGGCGTCCGTCACGTTTCACAGATGAGAAAACTGGTCCGCACCCCTTGGACACCTGCAAGGACACAGGCGTTTCTGACGCTTTCTTCAGATTTCTCTGTGCAAGTGCTGCCGTCTCGGTCCGTCTGCATGCAGGAAACACCGAGACCCGGGGGAAGAGAGGCAGCCGGGGTGCGCTCAGGTCGCCTCGCGGGTCGTTCGCCTGGGGGCCAGGTCCCTGTGTGTGCACCATGTCCCGTCACATGCTCAGTGGGTGGCGGCGGCAGGACAGCGCCTGTGCTGCAGGTCTGGGTGAGGGGGCGGCGGAGCGGCACCGACGTGGGGGAGCTCCTTGGACCCTGGTCGAGAGGGGGCGCCAGGGCCCAGGGAGGATGGCGGGAGTGCGCACTCCTCTCCCTGCCGGGCACTGGTTTCCCAACAAGCGTCCCAGGTGTCACACCGCCGGGGGGTGTCGTCCTCAGTGAGAAGCCAGGAGCCATGGTGATGCAGGGGGCTTCTCAGCCAGGTGACAGCTCTCGGGAGGTGGCCTGTGTCCTCGCTTTGTCATCCTGCTGGGTGTCTGATGTCAGGAGGAGGGCTGCCCTGTGGAATCCACCCACTGTGGTTCCCGCGGTTGGGCAGGGAGGGGCGGAATGACCCCGTTGGCAACATCGAGGGCTTCGGCCACCACGGTCGTACTTTACAGTCACGGGCTGAGGGGCCCCGAGAACACGGGGGCACGTGCTGTACCCCTGGAGTCTCAGTGCGGCCTCACCGGGTAGACCTGCCTCCACTCAGGGATGAGCCGGAAACGGATGTGGAGCCAGCGTGACCTTGGTCAAGGAGCTAATAGGAGGTAAAACTGACATGGGACTTTAACTGGCGTGGCTCAGGTGGTCGGATGGTCCCACAAAGTGAAGGGTCGTCAGTTCGATTTCTAGTCAGGGCCATGTGCCTGGGTTGCAGGTTCGGTCCCTGACTGGGGTACAGGCAAGAGGCAGCCAATAGATGTTTCTCTCACACGTGGATATTTCTCTCTTCTCTTTATCCCTCCCTTTCCATCTCATTAAAATAAAGAAACAAAATCTTAAAAAAAAACAATAAAAGCAGGGCTCCCTCCTCTTGACTGACTGTGCTGCCTTATTCTTCCCTGTTCCGCAGAAGGGAAATGACTTTTCATATTCAAACAAACTTGTTTTAAAAACACAGCTTACCAGGTACAGTTCAATAACTCACTCAGCAAAGATTTACTGAGCACCTACTACATGCTTGGTAATTCATACGTGTGTGTACTCTGGCTTCTGTGTCATTCAGAGAATCAGGTTTTATGCCTTTCAAGTGTAATTTTAGATTCTACTTTTCTATAAATTTTGTGCTACAGCTCTTCAAAGGGATGTTTTAATAGCTTTTAATAATACGTTTTAACATTTAACTGACGACAGTGAGTCTCACCTGATCATGAGGCTGACTGGGGTGGCTCTCGGTTGCAGGGCAATGAGATGGTTGACGAAATTCTGGCTCTGGGTCTCCCTGAAGCCCCTCATGGCCTCAGGGTGCAGCCCTAAAAGCTCGTGAGGGTCATCGTCCGGCAAGGCCTGGATAATGCGCACGTAATCCTTCATGCATGCCGGTTCTGGCACCGGCTGATGTAGCTGAAAAATTTTAAAATGTCACTTTTCGCCTAGTGAGGTATGTCCTTTCAGTAATGCACGAAGACAGTATTTGCCCATGACATTTTACACAGAAGGCTCTTCTTATTTGTAGGTGGTGTGTTCTAGAAATTTCTACCAAAAGCTACCTCGGGGCCACTGCCCTGGAACGCGCAGCTGCATGACACGCCCAGCTAGTGTTCTCATTGGGACGAGAGAGGAGGAAAGACAGACAAGTAAGGCTAGGGTTGTGCTGGGGTCCCGGGGCCTTGGTCAAGTGTCCCCTGGAGAGTGGACACACTCACGCCTGAACCAATCGTTTTACTTCAGTAAAACCTACAGAATCAACGAGAGAAAGAGAGAGAGAGAGAGCACAAGAGCTTAAGAACAACGGACCACTCAGGAATGGGTGGATGTTGTCAAAAGCTACAGACTTCCAGTTACAAAGAAAATAAGTTAAAAAAAAAGGAAAAAAAGGAAAGTTATTTAATGGGAGAAAAACAGCTCTTTCTCCTGGTTTACCAGTGTGTGTCTTCCTGGTCAGGAGCTGAAACCAGCGCTGGCTGGTCAGAGGCTCTGCAAGGGGAGCAGGGCCCGGATGGACAAAACAGTGATCGAGACAGTGATGGTCAGTTAATTCTGTAATTCTGCAAGTTAATAAAAACCGCCAGAAGGGAACGTCAGCACTGATGTAAGTGCGGATTTTAAATGCTTCACCAGTAGTTTAAAATCAGTCGCAGAAAGACACCGATGCCTCTCTCACCTCCACACTGGAGAAACTGAAGTTGTCTGTCAGCAGGTCGGGGTTACAGAATTTGTGGAGGAGGATGTTCAGGCACCGCTGGTCCCAGGGGTCGGTCACCCGGCCCCCGTAAATCACGTCCCCGATCTGGCAGCGCAGCATCCGCCAGGGCACGGCCGACTGCTGGGTCAGGGCGTTTTCTAGCACCATCATGGCAACCTTTGAAAAAACCCACCAGTTTTTGGTATTTCAGTATGTGTTTCCAGCTTACTTTGGTGTTTGGACATCACATCAGCGACTCTCACACAGCGGTCTAGAAATCCTGGCTGCTAGCGCCGCGGAGCTGGGTGGGCCGGCGGGTCTCTGTACCACCCTGTCGGTGAGGAGGGGACCTGCTGCTGGGTGGGACACTGTGCTTGGGCACAGACCCTCCCGGGGGAGGGGACGCCCTGTCCCCGCAGGGCGGGGTGTTTCCGAGGGGCACTGCCACTCTGACCAGAGCGACCCCTCAGCCTGGAGGGCTCAGTCCACCTTGACGTGCGTTTCCTCCAATGCATCTGCTGTCAGGGGGGCCCCCCAAACCTGGACCCGAGCCGCAAGGGCAGCCCGAGAAACATGATGCATCCGGGAGATCTGGCAGCCAGAGAGAGAAAGAGCACAGGAAATAGAAGAGAAAAGCAAGATCGTTTTCCATGTGTGCACAGGAATGAAAAGTAACAGGGCAGTTTGTTTCTTTCCCACCAGCAAAGCTGCTCTGATGTTTGCCACGCCAGAGGCGCGGTGACCCCTCGTCTCCTACACGGCACGGCTGGTTCTCTTTACCAATGTACCGTCTGCCCATAATGAAGCTTGGAGTGAGGTCTGGACAGGCGCCCAGAGTGCAGCTGTTCCTGCTTAGGGGCCAACGCCTGTTCTCTGCCAGGCTGAGTGCGTGAGCCCGAGGCCTCCTGTGGGAACGGAAAGGCCCCACAAGGGCAGGGAAGAGAGGGAAGGGGCGCCCATCTAAGGTAGGCCCAGGTGACAGATACCCAGAGGCAGAATCAGGATTCTCCTTGGGAAGTTTTTTGGGCATCTGCTGGAACAGAGACATGAACCGGCAGTTAAGGCCATGGTGGTGCAGGAACCTGCAGGCAGAAAAGTGGCCCTGGGGAACCTTTAAGCAGGTGGCACCACGTGCCTGCTGTGGCAACAAGGCAAACAGGCCACAACAGGGGAGCACATAGAGAAGTTACACACAGAGAACAGCACAGCAGGGCTATGCGCGGGGCTTTTCCTCCCACAGTGGGTCCGGGTGCTCCCTCTCGCTTCGTGTGGGTAAGTGAAGGCCCTTCTGCAGCGATGTGTCTGTGTTGGGAACGGCCCTCCGCCCTTCACTTACGTTAACCAGTCCGCCTCCTATAACTGCCTTCAACGCAGGTGCTGATGCTTGCCCTCCCCTCCCTGGCCCTGCCGCTTTCCGCCAAGGACACCACGACCCAGGGAGGTGAACCAGCTTGCCCAGCTCAGTAAACACTTGCTGAGCTGAAGGCAGTGGACATATGATTTGATTCCAGAACCACTGGCTTCAAAGTCCACTCTTTTAAACATCCTTTTTTTCACTCACAGAGCTCATTCCTGTACTACCACAAAAAAGGTGCTTGGTTTGTATTAGACTGTTATTTATTTCTTATTAGTGTTTATTTTGAAGATACCACACGTACCTTAAAGTCTGAAGGCCTAAAGTCGCAATCAATATTCCACCCGAATATTCCATATTTTTTCCTTTCATTGACCACGGCATTGAAAAAACATAAGCCAAATAAAAGTTTTTTCCACCATGGTCCGCAGTCAGGTTTTTCAAATATTTCTTCCGTCACCTCTCCACTACCACTGTATCCAAGCATCTTCAGTAAATTACTTTTCAATCCTACGGGCCTTTCCACTGTGACCTTTAAAACAAATGTGGGAAAACAGCAGCATGTGAGGACAGATGCGGCAGCAGGACCGGGGGTGACTCTCGCACAGCACTGGTGAGAGAACTAGCTGAGAATGGGACTTTTCGAGACTCAGTGGTAATCTATAGATTCAAGGCAATGCCTATCGAGATACCAATGATGCATTTCTTGGAACTAGAACAATTATTCCAAAAGTTTATATGGAATTGCAAAAGGCCCCCAGAGCAACAGCAACCTTGAAAAAGAACAAAGTTGGAAGGATCACATGACCTAATATTAAACTATACTGTAAGGCAATAGTAATCAAAACAGCATGGCGCTGGCATAGAAACAGACACATGGCTCAGTGGACCAGAATGGAAAGCTTGGGGACAGACCTACGCCTTTATAGTCAACATTTGACAGAGGAGGCAAAAACATGCCATAGACTAAAGGCAGTGTATTCAGTAAATGGTGTTGGGAAAATTGGATACATGCAGAAAAGTGAAACTAAACCACCTTTTCATAGCTTTTTGCCACATGCAAAATAAATTCAAAATGGATTAAAGACTTAAATGTTAGACCCAAAACCATAAAAATCCTAGAAGAAAACACAGACAGGACAATCTTGGACATAGCCTGCCGCAATATTTTTGCTGACGTATCTCCTTAGGCAAGAGAAACAAAAGAAAAAATAGACAAATGGGACTAGATCAAACTAACAAGTTTTTGCACAGCAATAGAAACCATCAACAAAATAAGAAGACAACCCACAGAATGGGAGAGCATTCACCAATACACCTGATAAGGGGTTCATATCCAAAATTTATAAAGAACTTACAAAACTCAACACCAAAAAATAAAAACAAACAAAAAACCCAAACAATCCAATTAAAAAATGGGCAAATGACCTGACTAGCTACTTCTCCAAAAAGAGGACATTCAGATGGTCAAATAGACATATAAAAACATGTTCAATATCACTAATCATCAGAGAAATGCAAATTAAAGAACCACAGTGAAATATCACCTCACACCGGTCAGAGTGGCCACCATCAATAAATCAACAAACAGGTGCTGGTGAGGATGTGGAGAAGGAAACACTTCTGCATGGAAAGCAGTATGGAGATACTGCTCAAAAAATTAGAAACGGAACTGCCTTGTAACCCAGCAATTCCACTTCTGGGAATTTATTTGAAGAAACCCAAAACACGAATTTGAAAGAATATTTGCACCCCTATGTTCAATGCAGCATTGTTTACAATTGCCAAGATGCGGAAGCAGCCCAAGTGCCCATCAGTAGATGAGTGGATAAAACAACTATGGGACATTTACACAATGGAATACTACTTGGCCGTAAAAAAGAAAATTTTACCCTTTTCGACTGCATGGAAGGACCTGTAGAGCATTATGCTAAGTGGATAAGCCAGTCAGAGAAAGTCAAGTACCACGCGATTTCACTGATATGTGGAATCTAATGAACACTCTGAACTAACAAGCAAGATAGAGGTGGGCTCAGGGAGAGAGCAGGCTGACAGCTCCAGGGGGCTCAGGTCTGTGGGGTGGAGGGACGGAGCACAGAAGGACTCACGGACACGGACAACAGAGTGGTGATTGCGGGGGTGGGGTGGGGGAGGTGGAAGAGGGTGTAAGGAGGATAAATGGTAATGGGAAAAATACAGTAAAAATAAATCACTAAAAAATAAATAAAAATTCAAAAATTCCCGTCGGTTGACTTTGTCACTAGGACAACTGAAGTGAGGGGGGCAGAGGTGAAGTGGGGAGAGTCAGTTGGGGGCTTTGTTGACCGTGTGGCCATGAGCACACTTATGTAAAGTTGTGTGGATATGTCATGACATGTGTCGATGTGTGTGGGTACACAGATACAGGATGTGTGGGCACATGGACCTGAGATCCTGGATCAGACTAATTACTTATTCACAGAGCAGCTCCGGTGCCCACGGGGAGACATAGTGGGGGCCCAGGTACCCCGTGCATGCACAGTGGGGTTCGGACCGCGGGGGTGGGACTCTACTGGTGAAACTTGGAGCCGACAGGACCGCCTGGCAGAGCGGCCCCTCCCCCTTCGAGACGGACTTGGAGGCTTCCACTGGGGGGGTACACGGGGGGGGGGGGGGCGTTAACAAATCCTTCCTGGGGACTTGGTCTCTGGGTTTTTGTAACTCCCACGGTGTCCTGCGGTGTCACGTGCGCGGACTCCGTGCCGCCAGTGTGAAACACAGGCGTGTGAGGGGCAGGTTCCAGGCCGCTCCGCAGAGCGGCACAGGGAGTGAGGTGTGGCTCTGGGCCCCCAGGACCGCTAACAGCGCCCTCTAGGGGTGGCTACAGGTGACACTTGGTCATCTTTGCTTCTATAGGATCCTTTCCCTCTTCTTATTCTTTTGTAAAATTTCTATGATGTTCTATGTCCTGTTTTTGCCTTCTGCTTCTTACCACAATCATTTCATGCTCTCCTATCATGAAATATTTCTTTAGAATTTTATTGTTGGTGGCAGCATACTATTCTGTCTTCTAGATAGACCGTACTTTATTTGGTCTTTTCCTAGAAGTGGGTCACCTGGTGGAACTGGATGACACTGTAAGACTCTCTATAAATTGCAAAAGTACCTTCTTTCCTGCATTAGTATCTTTCAGACATGAGCTTAGGAGCCGTGTGTGAGACTGGTTCTTTTGTAGGATCCGTAACGTTACTGATGACAGCAGAATGATATTTTAACCTTTGCCAACTTGATGGGCTATCAAAGGTGTCTCATTGTTTTGATATGCATTTCTGATATCTCCAGGCTGAATTTTTATTTTTTTATGTATTTATTGACCTTTTGTGTCCTTTGTCAATTTTTATGGGGTGTTAGTGTTTGCCTTAATCACTTGCAGAGGCTCTTACAGGAAAATTATCATTATCATCTCTGTCTGCATAGATGATGGTTCAGGAAATGCCTCGCAAAGTTTTATGCATCTATTTACCACAACCACATCAAAAATGTTTTCCTTGCTATTAGGACTCCAACTTTTGGTCAATCAGACACTTGTTTAATGAACAGAATTGACCACGTCTTAGCATTTATTGAAACTCAATGATGGAGATGAGGAGAAGTCACAGGACTTTTTACGCAACATCTCAGCTTGCTCTCTGCCAGCCCCTTTGCAGAGAATTAACAGTGCGCCGTGACGCAGGGAGCGCCGGGTGGGAGAGGGCTGCGTTCCACGCTCTGGTTTGTAACAACTGGACCTTGTTGGGCGAACAAACATCTACACTGTGAACCGTGTGTGTGTGGGGGTCTTGCCTGCTGCTGCTCTGGCGTCCCTCCAGGTCCGCGGCAGAGGGCTGAGCACCGGGTGTGGATCTAGCACCTGAGAGTTAGCACTCTCTTCTTCAGTGCGAATTACGAATGCAAGGTGACCTACGTTCCAACACTGCTCCTCGGTCAGCCTCAGGATCTGTTACTCTCTGTCCTTACCTTTAAACTCTTCTGAAGAATAGTGACTGGAAAGGAGGCATCGGACTCTGAGCCTAACCACAGCCTGAACTCAGGGTCTACCGTCACATCTGGACTGCTAAGCCTGCAAAATAAAGAGAGTTCAGGTACGGGTGTGAAAAACTGAAACCGTGCCAATGTGTTCCAAGAATCACAGCATTTCAATGTTTTAAGGGACCTTAGAAATCATTTTAATGATCAAAGACCTTATTGGACTATCCTAAGAACTTTCATGTTGCACAAGACTCATTAATTCTCGTTTTAAAAAACTGGTTTTAGGCCCTGACTGGTGTGACTAGGTTGGGTGGGGGGCGTCCTGCAAAGTAAAAGGTCGCTGGTTCGATTACCAGTCAGGGTGCCTGCCTGGGTTGCAGGTTTGGTCCCAGGTTGGCGCGTGGGCGAGAGGCAGCCGGTCAGTGTTTCTCCCCCTCTCTTTCTCTCTCCCTTCCCCTCTTTAAAACTAAATAAAATCTTAAAAAAACTCGTTTTTTTGCTTCCCTAAGCACAAACACAATATGCTCATCAAAAACCAGGGGTGAGATGGGGAGACAGTTTAAGAAGAAAACGCCTGTGGTCACGTCTGAGACAACTGAGCATCAGCCTAAGTGACGCAGTAACGGGTCACAATCCACTGAGTGCAGCAGGAGTCCCTGAGTCCACACCGACTCGAACACACTGATAGATGAACGGGGAGAAGAAAATCCTCTCCTCATACTAGACTCACTCAATTAATTTAGAAGGAACTGCAGAGTTTGGAAGTCACCACCAGCAAACCATACGGTAAATAATTCAGCCAAAAATAGCCGTGGATGCTAAAACCAGAGGGTGAACCTTCTCACTTACGATTCCACAATCGTGCACAGCGTTGGCATAAAGGATGCCGCGAGGTGGCAGTTCTGGAGGAAGACCCATTGCTCTCGGCTGCTCAGAGCCTTTGCCACAAGATCTTTAGCTTTCTCTGCCCGGCTGTGGCCCAGGGACAAGGTGGTCACGTGCTGGGTGGTCCCCTTTAGCTCCTGTGCAAACTGCAGGAGGGTGTCAGTGAGGTCGACCCCTGCGGAGCAATGCAGAGAGGTCCACACAGGTGTGAGCTCGTTCAGTTCCCTCTTAACAAATACAGTTCAGCAATTTTGAGTGCTGGCGGGAGGCAGCGGTCACCTAGCCTTTCCAACCGATGGGGATGATAACACCTACCTGCGTCAGCGCTCCCGGTTAACCTCTTCAATTCACCCGTCCCTTCCTCCTCTGTAGCTGCACCCCAGTGTTCCCTGGGTGGGCTGTGTACCCGGCTAAGATGCCTTATTTTTAGCCTCTCTTGCTGCTAGCTGCAGGCATCTAAGTTTTGTAAGTAGATGTTGGCAGCCAAGTTTGTTAACATTTGTGTGATTGTTCTTTTCCTCCATCCCGTTCATTACAACATGGATTCGTGACGGCTAGAGCTCTGGCTGCCACCTAGGGCTCTGTCCTCGAGAAAGGGACACAGATATTGAGAGCGCGCCGGGCACACAGCCAGCGGCTCTACAGCACAGGGGCGAACACATGGCCTGTGGATCAAACCCGGCCCCCACCTTGTTTTATCCGGCCTGGCGCCTTGTTTCTACCTGGTGGCAGCGCCGAGCTCCTTGCCCCTAGTTAAGGAGGAGTTACATGTACACAGTCCTAAGTTACATCCGGCTCTTTCAGGGCCACCCCGAGGCTGATGTGGCCCCCGGGGAAAGTGAGTCTGGCATCCCTGCCACGGAAGGGTTTCAGCTGAGAAACCTCCAGGCGCAGGCATGTTGGACGAGATTTTTGCCCAAAATTATTATACAGTTTCTTGTATAAGAATTGAAGTTTGAAAGTGGTGAATCCTAAACACATGTTTGACTCGGAGATGATGAAGAACAATAGATGGATGAAGAAAATATTTTGCTTTGGGTCTGTAGGTCGAAGATAAGAAAGAGAAAAGGAAAAGCATTTGGAGTTTTGAGGAATGTAAGGGCTGGCCCAATATCAGCAGGACCAATTTCTGATAGTTTATTTTATAACACATATATTTTTCATGAGTCAATGTTACTTACAACGGGTAATAAGTGCAAGGGAAATCGTAACTTTCTATTGAATCATAAGAGCTTGGGGATATTTTCTGCACAGACAGAGTGCTGATAAATTCTCCCATACATGTGAAGCCTTATTTCTCTTTGTTCTTCTACATTTCTAGAAAGGTCCTTTCTTAATATACTTTAAAATTTTAATCTGTCCCTTTCCCAAATACTCACGAGAATGGGAACCCGTTTTAAACGCAGAACGACCCGACACAGAGCCCGCTTCCCTGCGTCTTCTGACAAGTTGTGAGGTTGTCTTACCCGGCACCGGACAGCTTACCGTGCGCGTGAATAAGCACCAGGGGGGTCCTGGCGCTGGACTCTCTGTACGATTCTTTCAGATTAAGTCCACTTCTGTAAATGTCTTCACTTCCTAGTCTTTCGGTTATAAACTTTCTCACTGCGCTCTTTAATTGTTCTGGTCTAAGAATTTTTATCTGAAAGAAAAACCAGGAAGAAGGAGAGAAACACAGGTTAAGGCGTTGGCACCGTCCCCGGGACACCCTGTGCTCTCACGTATGACGGGGCTCCTCCGTCACCTCCCTACTGCTGGCTCCCACTTCGCTCCACCCACCAAGCCAGCATTTATAAAAGTTCCCACTGTTCTGGTTTTTAACCCGAGGACTTGTTTTCTGAGGGGTGGGGAAGAAAATGAGGGGTGGATCAAAGAAATGGGAGTTCTGCTGAGTTCAATTTGACTGGCTCTTTTCTAAGCAGCTACAACTAGTTCTGGAAATTGTCACTGTGACCACGTGCCCCATATTGCCATCTTCCCCTCTCTTTGCTGTCCAACAGGCTGTAGCAATAGAGAGAGGGGAATAAACTAGACAAAGGCCTTGCCCCATGATATTGGTCTTCCCTGGACTGAACCTTCTTTCTAGTATCTTCTAACTTAACCTCTTGTGTGGCAATCTCGATTTCTGACTCGCACAGGTCAGACCCAGTTTCCAATATTTGACCTCAGTTTCTCCCTATGTCCCTCAGCACTTTGCCAGCCCAGGCCTTCTGACTGGGGGTTTGGAAGATAGGGTCACTATGCTCATGAAGTTTCCAGCTCAGAAACCCAAACGCCTGGAGCTTATTGGGAGAAGGTAAGGCAGCCTGGGCTTTAAAGTCCCGTGATGTGGCTGTGGCCACACATTTTCACGCGGCGGCCATCTCAGAAACCCACTCCAGCACAGCTAAGAAGCAGAGCAGAACCTGTGCTTTCGGGAGGCAGGCAGGTCCCCTGAGGGACGCAGAGTCTGTCCCTCAGATTACCCACCTTGGAAGTCCTTCCTGCTCTCTAGGGAGGAGTGACGGAGGGGACAGAGGGCTGCCGGGAATGTCCCTCTAACTGGATTCCCTCCACGAAAGGACACATTCATATGGAGAGAAGGTGCTTCCCTCTAAATGGCAGCTGGGGCAATCGATGTTTTGCTCATACGGTTTTAGGTTTGACGGTGTTAGTGGCTGACAAAGTGCTCAAAATATGTACAATACCACGACTGGCTCACAGCGCATCTTACCAAAATAAGTCTTTGAAATGGAGTGAGTTTCTCCCAGGGAAAATTCACAGGTCTATGTAATTCTTCATTTTCATTCAAATGTTCAGCTAGATACAATTCAGAGAAAGAAACTGAGATTAACAATCAAATGCTTTGGATCACTAAAAGATACCACGATTGAAAAATTTTTGTTATAAAGTTGTGAAGTTACAGTTTAACAAGATGCTGGCCTTCTTGTACAGTGGAGCTTTAGTTCTATAGAATTTGCAGTATCACTAACTGTCTTTAAACTCGCAGAGGAGGTAGACATTAAGGTAGATTTAGATTCAATTTGGCCCTGGTGGCGAGACTGTAAAGTCGGTCTAAGGAGATGATGGGCAGCTGAAGGAAAACAATGAGCAGCGAAGGGCCCGGCGACCACTTTAGCACCTGCTCCTGGGCGGGGGCTGTTTTTCTGATGAACACAGGGCGGGGCGAAGGAGGTGACAGTTCTGAGTATGTGGAACAGAGTTTATTCTGGTATTGTTATTTATTAATGATTGCATTCTTTTCCATAGGAACAACTGTAAACATACTTTTGCCCCACCCCGTATAAACTAGTAACTTTAGAGGTTAGAGATGTATGTTCATACTCTACTTATAGGAAATGAGCACCAAATGAAAATGCAGCAAAACTGTCGAAGTTCTGAAAAACTTCATGCTACACATGTACGTTTTTTAACCCGGACCCCTCTCGGCGCGTCGGCAGGCTCCTGTGGGCCCTGCTCCTGCGGGCCGGGACGCCTCCGGGTGCTGGGCGCTGACCGGCGTGGCTGCGGCTGTCATTTCTGCCTCCCTCCCACTTCTGTTTTCCCAATGTCTACACGCAACTTTGACGAAAGAAGTAGCTTTTCTGATTGTAACTAAAATAGGTTTGTCGATCTTTAAAAAAGTCCATGATACATTAAAATTATTTAAAAATTAGTAAATTTGGGATCATTTGAACAAGAAAAAGAGCTTCACTTTACAAAACAGGCCGGTAAAAAGTTTCTTTAAATAAAAGTTATCAGCCCATCCCATAATATAATAAATGATGAATCCAAAATAGAATAGTAAAAATGCAACAAAATGAAATAGTAATGGCCCAGAGAGAAAACTCTAGAAGAGGAAGAGAACATCTTAATGAAAACTGGGAAGAAGCTCTAAAAGAAAAAAAAAAATAGACATAACTGAACATTTATGTTCAAACATTTAAACATTTGTGTGGTATAGATACTATAAATGAATCCAACAGATAAAACACATTTTGAAAAATACTCGAATAAAGAGGTTCATACTTTTTAACAAAACAAAAAATCATCTTTTAGACTGACAGGATTTTTACAAATGGACAAAAAAGATAAACCATCCAGTAGAAAACTGGGCTACGTACATGAATAGGCAACTCCGACATCTGAAAAGGTATTTTTTTAGCTAATAGGGACATTCGGGTCGGAGCAGTTTAAACTTTTCAGATTGGCAACAGGTAAAAAATTCAAAACTCCTCTTGGATAATGGGCACACGTAGCTTGCTGTTGGGAGTATAAATTATTGTGGACTTTCTGGCAGAAACTGTTACCATAGAAAAAATATAAAAGCAAAAGAAATACGTGTCGTGCTGTCGATGTTACCGCAGAAGCGTAACTGGAAACACAGTTGGAGACTGTGGCAGAAATTCGGCAGCAGCACGGAGGAGGCCGTGGCAGGAAGGAGGAGAGTTCAAAGAGGGAGGGGGGAAAAAAGAGGAAAAGATACGCTAAAAATAGCAAATCATTTAAAGTAAGTTCTATTTCCTCTGTGATTTTAAAACACGTACCTGCTTTATAAAAATATAAAACACACCTGTTCCATATACCACACATCTTTACATACGCAGGCCTGTCTGGATTCAGGAGCGAGGCCCCTGTGGTCTGAGGAACGGTGAGGGGTGGGGTTCCCCGCTGAAGTCTCGACCTCACTGGAGTCTTTGTCAGCAGCGCCCACGTTCACCAGGACCGGCTCACACGACTGTCACGAGGACCAGAGAACGCAGGGCGTGCCGGCGGCATAGTCACGCTCCGCCTCAACTTTTCAGGACAGAGGGTATTGAACTCGGGTCATCTTACAGACACAGACATGACCGACCGAGATGGAGACGCCGAGCGCTTGCTTACCTCCCTCCCCCGATCTCCTACCTTCCTCGTGCGAAGCGCTTTCCGAAGGGAAAGGCCTGCTCATCAGGACGTAGACAGCCTCGCTGTTTCGGAAAGCGTCCCACTGCGGCGCGTTGGACAGCAGGGATTCGCACAGCAGGGCGAAGGGCTCCAGCTGGCTGCTGGCGTGCTGGCTCTGCGTCCACCTGGGGCCCGAGAGCCACGCCAGGTGCCCGTCCCTGAGCCTCTCGTACAAGCCTGGTGGAGAAGGAAGGGGGAGTGGGCCCGCTGGGGAGCCGGCCCTCACCCGCCCTGCTGCGTCGCGAAGCAGGTGCTCAGTGAACACCTGCTGTTGGGGGGAAGCTATTCTGTGTGACAGTTAATTACCCGAAGGGCAATGTTTGTATTGTGGCAAAGAGAGAAAATTTACCATCGTAACCATTTTAAGGGTATGGTTCAGAAGAGTTAAGTATATTCATGTTGTTGTGAAACGTATTTGGAAGTTTTTCTGCAATGCTGTGGCTCTGTACACATTAAACAACCCTCTTCCCCTCCCCCAGCCCCTGGTAACCACCATTCTACTTTTTGGTTTTTTATCAGTTTGATTTCCTTCGATACCTTATGTAAGTGGAACCACGGAGTATTTGCCTTGTCACTGGCCTATTTCTCTTAGCATGTCCTCAAGTTTCATCCATGACGTAGCATGTGACAGGATTTCCTTTGTTAAGCTTGGATACTATTCCACAGTATGTATCCACTACATTTGGTTTATCCACTTATCCATCAGTGGGCGTTCTGGGACAACACAAAGTGTAATAACGTCTACATCACGGGGACGCCGGAGGGAGAAAGAGAGAGTGAGCAAGGGATCGAGAAGTCTTTGAAGAAATAATAATAGAAAACTTCCCTAACCTGGTGAAGGAACAGGACATACAAGTCCAGGAAGCACAGAGAGTCCAAAACAAGATGGACACAAAGAGGCCCGCTCCAAGACACATCCTAATTAACATGGCAAAAGTTAATGACCAGAGACTCTTAAGAGCACACGAGAGTGACAGCTAATTACCTACAAGGGAGCTCCCGTGTGTCTGTTGTCTACAAGAGATACACCTCGGAATGAAAGGCACACACGGGCTAAAAGTCAGGGGATGGAGAAAGAGATTTCGTGCAAATGGAAGAAAAACCCCCTGAGGTAGCAACTCTTATATCTGGAAAAAAACGGTCTTTGAAACAAAGGCTATAGAAGAGACAGAGAAGGACAGTACGTGATGGTAAAGGGAGCAATCCAACAAGAGGACATAACCCTTGTAAACACTTATGTACCCAGCACAGGAGCACCTGAATGCATGAAGCAGACCTCGATGGACATACAGGGAGAGAGTGGCAGTAATGCAGGCACAGTCAGGGGTTTTAACACCCCACTGACGCCAATGGACACATCTTCCAGACAGAAAATCAACAAGGAGACAGCAGCCTTAAGTGACATATGACACCAGATGGATTTCAGGGCAGTTCACTCCAAGGCAGCAGAATATGCATTCTTTTCAAATGCACATGGGCCTTTTAGATCAATGGAAAAGAACAGAGAACCCAGAAATAAACGCACACCTTACCAGTCAAGCCATGTTCAACAAAGGAGGCAGAACATACAATGGGGTGAAGACAGCCTGGTCGGCAAACAGTGGTGGGGATGTTGAACAGGTGTGTGCTAAAATAACGAAACTACACCGCACACGAGAATAAATCCAGAATGGATTCAAGGCTTAGGTGTTAGGCTCGAAACCATAAAAGCCCTGGAAGAAAACACGGGCAGTAGAATCTCAGGCACCTTTCAGAGCAGAGTTACCGGGGAAGATGGGAAGTGGGTACCGAAGCCCCTATTGTCACCACGTCACTGCTGTGTCCGCCCACAATCCCGTCTGTGTTTGCTTCCCATAATTAGGAGCTCTGAGGTGTGGTGCGTAAAAGCTAGTAGTTTTTGTATCGTCTTAATGAATCGACCCTTTTGTGATCATATAACGTCCTTCTTTGTTTCTTTTAACAGCTTTTGAGTTAAAACCCACTTGTTTCTTACGTCCGTGTACCTGCTTCGACTCTCCTCCAGCGGCCGTTCACTTAGCAGCCTTCTCCACCCTTTCGCTGCAAACCTGGGAGTATCTATGAATCTAAAGTCAGCCTCCTGTCCAGAGCACAGAGCTGTGTTCTGGTTTTTGTCCATTAAGCCGACCTATGTCCGTGGATCAGGGAGTTTGACCCACTTGCATTAATCATGGGTGGGGAAGGGCTTGCTACGGCCACTTTGCTGTTTTCTGTGTGTCTTGTAGTGTCCCTCCTCTTGTTTCTTACTGCCTTTGCATTTCACCACTTTTTCTGGTGATTAATCATATATCCATCGATCCTCTTTGTGTTTCCTCTGTATGTACTCTACGGATTTGTTTGTGGTTACTCTACGAGGGTCCTCCAGAGAAAGAGAACTAATCGGATATGTGTCGATCTATCTGAGGAGATTTATTGCAGGAATTGGCTGGGATGGTCCCGGGGGCTGGTCAGCAACTGAGTTGAAGATCGCCCTCACCAATGTGGATGGGTGGGCAAAATCCAAGCCACCGAGGGCCCAACTTGGACAAAAAAACTGAGAAAGGGCAACACCGCTCCCTTCCCCTGAGCCGCGTGTTCTCCTGAGTCTCAGCTCCGTGGACCCAGGATTCACCACGGCGGCAGTACCACCTCTGGCTCAGGCCCCCAGGGGCTTTCGGGCCTGGGGGCTCTCACCGACTCACACCTCTAGCTCTCCGGGGGCTCCAGCTTACGGGTGACAGATTGTGGGACTGCTCAGCCTCCATAATCACATCGATTTAGTAATCGATGTGATTACTAAATTATAATAATAATTATAATAATTACAGCAGCTGTCACGTACTCATTCATTCATTCGAACAGTACCGAACACCCACTCTATGCCTGACAGCGCAAGGGACACAGTGCTGAGTGAGACGCTGCACTTGAACTCAGGCTGCTTTTGGTCTAATCAATACAGAAGCACTGCCTTGGAGCACCGCAGAAATCGTGCAGCATCTTCCAGGGAGATGTGCTTTTACTCAACCCGGAGGAGCTGCTTTTGCTTACTGTCAAGCCTGGGATGAGGCATCGCGCCTTTGGTGGTCGGCAGCATGCCCGAGTACAAGAAGATGCTCCACTCTCTCTCCGAGAGCACCCCGAAGTCGTCCTGCGGCCGGCCCTCGGTGGCGTTGTTCCGCATGATCGCAGTGCAGAGCAGAAAGGCGAAGCAATGCTTGTGTTTATCGAACAGAGCCCACGTGACCACCTGTGGGGGAAAATAACTCTTAGGTTAACCCGGCCGGACTGAATCAGTTCGCGCAACTCCCATCAAAGAATGTCTCACCTTCAGAATAGTTCTCGTCAACGCATCCACCGAGTTTTTAAGATGCCTCTGTAGGGGACTTCTCCCCCGTCTTAACTTATGTCCTTTGGAGACGTTCACGCTTTCCTGAGGTCTTCTCGGATGCACTTTCTCCCTCTTCACACCGTGTTCTTCCTGTCTCTTGCTCCGGGAGGTGACCGTGGAGATAAAGACCTGCCGAAACCAGTCGAGGGAGAACTGATACATGTGGCTGAGGTGTGTGAGGCTGGCCACCACGAAGTACAGCAGGGCACCGCGCGTCGCGATGGGGAGGTAGGTCTTGCGTGTCACTTGAATCTCGCTCTCCGCTTTTTTGGTTGCGTTGATGCGCTTTGAAATTTCATTCGACGTAACTTTGGATTGCCTTAAGAGGTCTATAATCTCCTCGTTATCTAGTATACACCCTGAAAGCAAACACAGACGGATTTCAAGAAAGACCATCACGAGGTTAAACGCCGTCTCCGCATTCTGTCCTCCTCCTGTTCGAGTGTTTGCCGTTGGCTCCTTGCAGTTTCGCTCTGGGGATGAGCTCTTGAATCAGGGCCGGCACACGGGTCTTCACTGGGGGCCACGTCAGCCTCGCAGTTGCCTTCAAAGGGCGGAATACAGAGCTCCTTGCCCCTAGTTAAGGAGTAGTTACATTTACACAGTCCTACAATTACATTTGGCCCTTTGAAGGCAACCTCGAGGCTGCCGTGGCCCCTCGGGGGAAATGAGTTCGGGGCCCCTGTGTTAAGTGAAGAAAAGCCACAGTTCTGGTGCATTTGACTGACAGCTCATGTGCCACTCTCCCGACTCCTTCGTCCCTTACTCCTGTCACTCTAGTGTCCGTGGGGCCTCTTTTTGTGGCGGGCACATCCTAAGTAGCAATTCCATCACAAGGAATACGTTTCCACAGCGACCCACTGTACACATGGAAAATGAAAGTGAAACGCCCCGGAAAGAACAAGGGTGCCATTATTTCAGGTGAAGTGCTCCCCTATTTTCTAGAGGATTCTGTTTTTTAAACAAATGAAATTGATAATGACCAAAAAAATGGATTTCTCATCCCATGAATAGGGTGCCCTGATTTCTGGGAAGGTGAGAGGGGCTGAAGGTCGAATCACTCACCAATGGCCAGTGATTTAGTCAATCTCGCCTCCATGAAGCCCTCCCAGGACAGCGTCGGGGGGGCTCCTGGGTCGGTGAACACGGACTTGGGATGGACGGGAGGTGCACCGGCCGGAGTGAGGAGCTCCGCACCCTGTCCCTCCTCGACTTTGCCCTACGAATTCCTCGCGTGTGGCTGTTCCTGCATTATCTTCTTCATAATAAACCCGTGATCTAGTGCGAACGGGTTTTCTAAGTAATCCGACCTAAGGAGGGGGCTCCCACTTCTAGCCTGTCACCGATCTCTTCGAAGTCCAGGTGACACCCTGGGCTTGGGGTTCACATTGGAAGTGGGGGCAGGGGGCCGTTTTGCAGAGCAGAACGCTTACCCTGTGGACTCAGATGCCAGCTCAGGTGGACAGTGTCAGAGCCGAGCGAAGCGAAGGACACCAGCCAGTAGCGAGTTCTCACTGGCAGGGGGGGACGCCCTCCACCACGTTGGAACTGGGCATTCAGAGCCCCTTTTAGGGGCAGATAGATTTATAATGCTTTTTATCTAATTGTTGAGCTGTTCAGAAATTATGCTGTTTCCATTTAGAGGCTGTGGTTTCTTAGACATTTCTTGTGTTCAAGAGGAATGCAATTCCTACTGCTACTTTAATAAACATCAGGTTTTAATGGGATGCATATGAGTTGCTGGATTGTGTCCTTCTATGCTTTAGTTATGAATACCTAAAGATGAACTTCAGTTAATCTTTCGTTCTCTGTAGTCTAACTTGATACATGGAAGGGATGTCAGGTACCTGAAGGACAGGCACAGGGTGAGGAGGAAACGAACCAGTTTCCACAAGATTTTTCTTACAACCTACACTGACTTTATGGTGGCAAGGGACCCAGGACATGAAGCACTGAGAAACATCAAAATCCACATTGATTTCAGTTTGGACACAAGGCAATTCACCTACATTAATTGGTTACTGGGTGAACATTGAGATTTGGTAGTTTTGTTGCCAGCACGGCATACTGTCCTTAAACTTGTTTTGTGTCCGGCACCAAGGCATGTGCCGAGGTCTCCCAACAGCACCAGGCAGCTGGACTCACCTTGCGTGCTCTGCAGCAAGTTCAGGGCTTTCTCCTCCAGTTCTTCAAGAGCCACGGTGTCCAGGGAAATGCTCTCCAATAACTGGAGACGCTGGTTTTCCAAGTGGGGAACTTCGTGAGTCACCACGGTGGATAAGAGCTGGTCCTGCAGACCTTGGAACGTGACCGTGAAGTTGATCATGGTAACAAAGTTATACACGGATGGGGGGAAACTCGGGTTGTCTATTTCTGTGGAGATGTACAACCTGAAACGTGGGAAAGGCACCCTTGGTCAAAGGATATACAGAGGGAAAAGGTAGAACATTTATTTGATAATGGAGCAATATTTCTCCTAGAAGGAAATAAGGTCAATTTTTAGGGTTATTTGGCCTGATACACAGGAAGGCTCTCGATTTATGCTACGTGAAGACCTTGCTATTTCTGGCCTTACAAACGCAGATGTACAGATGTCCACATGGCGTCTGGTCTGAGCCTATGGACAGAGGAAAGACAAAGGCTAAATGTTACGAGTTCTGACCTGCCACCAGATCAGGGTAAGAACTATGGTTTGCACCAAGTAGGAAGCCAGTGGAGGGATTCGAGAGGAGAGGAGAGGCATGATCGGTTTTGAGCAGGACTGCTCTGGCTGCCGTGGTGAGAGCAGCTTGTGCAGAGGGGGATGTGGGCAAGAAGGCAGCTGGGGGACGGGGTGAAACGTGAGAGCCGGTGGCGGCTTGGAGCAGGGCAGCACCAGCGGCTGGTTGGGGTGGTCCGACGCGGCACCTTTTTCCTTTTTCAGTCGTTGCTGAAACCCAACCCAGCAGAGATGACCCTCCTTCCTCCTTTCACAGGGTGGAGCGGAGACTCAGGGAGGCTGGACGTGCTGCCCATGACACATGGCCAGCACGAGTGGGGACCTGCCTCGCTGCCCTCCTCAACAGGGCCCCCCACTCCCTTGACTCCCCAATTCACGCATGGGGGCCCCGCTGCCACCCCAGGAAGAGGTCGCCTCCTCCGCATCTCTGGAGCTGTGGCTTCACCCATCACCGAGTCCTCGGTGAGAAAGAACGAACGGGCTCACACCGTGTCCCCCCCATGTGTGTCCCACACGATGGTGTTTCCTGGCGAGGCCTTGCACAATAAGACGTTTTAAGTCCTTGCAGAAAAGCATCTTGTTTAACTGTTTGTCTCAGAGCTTTTTACAGACGAACAGGACCCCCTTTTCTGAGTGACACCTATTAAATCCCTGGAAATGTTGTTTTGCGGAAGATACTTCTGAAGGAGGCCGGAGGACAGGATGGATTCTAAGGAGCAGGAATCTGGCTGCCCTGCTCCGGGGGGCGGGCCCCGTGGCGGGTTTAAGAGTCAGGACCACGTGGGAAGCAGCCAGTCTGCCTGAGCCCCCGAGAAGGTAAGCACACCCGCTGGGGGCATGTAAACATCTTCTGGTTCTCCTCGCTGGTTGTTTGCTTGCCCAGCAGTCCTTCTTCGGATTACGAACTGGAGGAGCAACACTGGGACCTACCACCAAAGTGTCTCATCCCTTGGGAATGATACTTCCGGGGCGATTCATTTTGACTCTGCAACTGTCAAGGGAAGTGGGCCGGCAGCAGCAGAATTCCTGAGGGCCCTTTACTGCCTGGACAGGATACAATGGTTTTATCTGCCTACAAAGAAATCTCTATTCTTTTCTTCTACATATAACGTGCGGATTTTTTTTTAAATGGAAGCAGAAGCTTTTCCTGTCCAAATGAAATGCCGGGCAAACAGATCAAATCAAGCCCCTCTGGCTCATGCAGGGCCAGGCTCCTGCTGGCTGCCGTTCCCCCGCGGTTTCTGAAAACTCTCTGCGGGACCCACGGGTCTCCCCAGGCACCGTCTGAAAAATACCGGTTTGCAGTGACTTATAAACAAAAGTCCTTTCTCTGTTCTGCAGAGTAATGAGTAAGACGTAAGAAACTGGAAAGATGAAAATAAAAGGAACATCCAAAACACAACCTTCCTTTTTCTTCCACAAGACGCTTATCAGAGCTGAAATGCAGAACCTTCAATATTATTGTCTCAAACAAACACACAAACCAAACACTGGTCTCAATTTAACAGTGTCATTACCTGAATTTGGAATTATATTCAATCTCAGCATCCTCAACCCGTATGAAATGTTTTCCTCTTCTCTGATAGACAGCCTTCTTCAAAATCGCCTTTAAACCGGGAGCTAGTGTTTCAGGGAGATTCTGAAAAACCCGACAGACATGAATGAAAAATTCACCTTACGAGAAATAAACCAGTTGAAAAGGCACAGCTTTCACAGAACGCAAAACCTGTTCCTACGTGGGCAACCGCGCAAGGCAGGTCTGAGAAATGGCCGTCGCCAACTCGCTGTGTGTGCCTCTTTCCCCGGAAAAAGGTGCCTGTCACTTACTCACACCTCCTCGTGTCCGCGCTCGGTGCCCACAGCGGAGGGGTGCCCTGGGCGGAGCTGGGGGACGAGGCCATTTGGCACAGGTACCTGCAGGAGGACGCTGCCCCCCGACTTCATGGCCTGCTCGATTTTCCGGACGGCGCTGCTGTCCTCGGCCGAGAGCTCCTGCAGCCTCGGGCCTTCCATCTGCCGGATCCAGTTGTAGGCCTGCCTGTGTGGGTCGATGAGCAGTGGCCACTGCAGGCCGTTCTTGATCAGGATGGCGTTCTCCGTCAAATACTGGCCCAGCGGCAGCCCCTGATGGTGCCATTGGTGGATCTGGAACGAGATCACTCGCGAGTTCGTCGTTGTTTGGTAAACTTTACACCTTCGATGCCCGCAGGCTGTGCCCGCCCACCAGTCGGTCGCTCAGTAGCCCAGACAGACTCGTGGTCTCCTGGTGCTTGTGTTCAAGTCACCCTCATCTGACTTAATACTGGCCCCCAGGCGCCAGAGCAGCGATGCTGGCAATTCAGAGAAGCCGTGGGGCGCCCCCTGTCAGCGAAAAGGTGTGATCACACAGGAAAACCCCCAGTACAGAGAGGGCCCGGTGCCACCTGTGGCTTCAGGAATTCTCTGGGGGTCTTGGACCGTATCCCCTGCTGATAAGGATCTATAGATCAGTTTGGAAAAAACAGCCAGCTTTATAATGCTCACTGGTCCAATACATGAACACGGTATAACTCTTCATTTGTTTAGGATTCCTAAAGTTTATCTCAAAAATATTTTACGGTTGTATTTCTGTAAGTTTTACACAACTTTCTGATTATTCGCTTTGATGCTAAATGAATGTTACCTAAAACCACTGTGAACCCTGTTTTGTTGCTGGTGTCGAGAAATGAGATTGGTTTTTGCATACTGGCTTTAATCCAGAAATTTTGCTAAACTTTTATGAATGTTCCTATCTACACTTTCTCTTTGATTTTCTAGGCACGTATCTATCACCTTAAAAAATTTCTATTTTTTCTTTCTTTTCCAACCAGATCTCTTCTCTCTCTTTTCCTTGCCTTCCTGCACCGTCTGGGCCCCTGGTCCAGGTTACACTCCGGCGGAGGATGGGGTTGGCCCTGTGGTGTTTCCGATTGTGAAGGAAGACCTTCCACCAGAGGTTGTTTTCGTCAACCCTGGTTTCGTCGTGGTTAGTTTAGGTTTTTTACTAATGACCAGGCATATCGGGGTTTTCAAAGAAACTTTTAGTTATTGACTTCTAGCTAATTGCATTTTGATCAGAACACATCATCAAGTCCCTTGGCATCGCGCGGTCAGTTTGGGCGGAGAGTGCGTGCCCTGCAGTGTCCCGTGGTGCCTGCTGTCCATCTGCTGATTGTGTTGTTTGAATCTTCTCCACTTTCACTGATTTTTGTGTTCTTTTTTCCATGAGTTCCAGAAAGAAGGGTGTTAAAATCTTTCACTACAAATGCAGATTTGTCCATTGTTATCAGTAGTTCTTTAAAGGTTGGCTTTGTATGATTTGAAGTTGTGCTTTTAGGTACAAACACATTTAGAATTATCAGCAGAGTCTTGGAGAATGAAAGCAGTTCTTACTGCACTGTAGCATAAGGTCATACAACTTGAGTAATCGCTTTTTGCCTTAAATTCTATTCTGGCTTTTTTCAGGATTATCTATAGTAAGTCTCCTCCCATTGTCTATGGCCAATCTTAGTTTCAGATGTGTGCTTTCTAAATGACAGATGGTTTCTGCTCTGCATTTTAGTTCACATTTTTATATAGTCTTACAGTCTCAGCCTTTTAGCCAGACCATTTAGTCCACTGACATCTAATGTAACTATTTATTTATTTGGTTTTAAATTTGTTATTAGCATTATGGAAATGAGAAGCCAGCATTTGCCGCTGAGACTTTGTAGGCTGTGTGGGCAGTTTGAGTTATCAGCAGGGGGAACAATCTAAAATGACTCTCTAGGGATAAAAAAAAAAAGGAATATTTCTTTTTTATTCTCTTAATATCGGCATACAACTTACATAGAGGCAATAAATATTCATTGATAAATTAATACATGTGAAGTCTACATTTTGGCCATTTCTAAGAATACTACCTGTGATTCAGTAAGTTTATCAGTTTATTAATGGCAGGAGTTTCAGGGAAACTGGCTGTATTTATTTGACTGGCTGTATTTATTCGACGGGGTAGTAGGATTGCAACAAGAAAAGGATATTTTGTGACTTTTGCCCAGAGGATGAGAAATAGAAAATGTAACTAATTGAAGCATTAGAACTATAATTAAAAAAAAATTTTAAGCCTGGAACAGACTTCAGTGTTTTCATTTATCAAAATAATTTGGGGAAAGATCCAAAAGCGGCCCCCTCCCCCAATAAAATGCACACACACGTAAAATCCAAATCAACAGTAAAACCCCTTAAAGTGGAGAAGGGAAACCCCTTCCTACCTCCTGTTTCTGGGCCATCACTTCAACCAGAGAGAAGCCGGGAGACAGGGGAACTCCACGTTCCGCGCACAGGCTCTCCCAGCGGCTCACGATCAGCTGGCGGAACTCGGCCGTCAGGACACCGCTGTAGACCAGGCAGGCGGCCGAGACGAGGAGGTCGCCCACCACCCCCTCCAGCCTGAGGTCTATCTCATCAATCGTTTCTTGCCATCGGACCTAGAGGTGAAAATAAAAACGAGTGACTGACATTTGCTATGCAATCCGTGCTTCTGAGGCATTTTCGGATGTGAATGGTCTCCAAGTGGGATCTGTCTTTGCCATTTCTGTGACTCTTCTCATGCTGTGCTTCTCGTACAGTTAATAGTGGGTAAAATTAAACACACCCTTTGAAGTAGGGGAGGTAGGACCAAACCAAGGCTCAGCTCACGAGGGATTCAAGCACAGAGCAGGAAGACGGATTAGGAGAGGAGCAGTCAGAAAACAGGGCTCAGAAGGTGGGGAGAACAAAACATGACTTTCTTTCTCCTTCCCGGAGACAGCTCCTGCCTCTCAGCTCGGGCTGGGCCCGTGCCGGGAGGAGAAAACTCGAGGCCCACTCATGGCAGGTCTGCCTCGCAGACAGAAGGGTGCCGAGGTCTCAGACACAAGCCAGTGCAGCTTCTGAGCCTCGGGGTCTGTTATCGCTCTTTCAGACTCCCTGGCCGGGACTCCCGTATTCGTATCTGAATAGGAGCATCCACAGACCTCAACAAGCAAACGGAGAGTGAGGCTGTTTTAGGTGATGCGTGTGTGTGTGTGTGAAGGCCATATATATATATATATAATACACACACAGCCTTCACTAAAACGGCATCTTGGGGTTTGTGGGGCCCGTCGGAAGTGAACAAGGGGACACGCGAGGTGAAAGGGAGCCCTGCCTTCTCGTCCTGCAGCGCGGTCAGCAAGACGGAGGCACACTGCAGGCGCCTAGTGGCCAGCTGCCTTCGACTTGCCAGCACCTCTTTCTCAGCCACGACGTCTTGGTAGGTTGCCTGCAAAAACAGCAGGTGTTCCTCAACCTGAAAGACACATCGATTTACTTTCTGAAACATTATATTGATTATGCTGTTACAGTTGCCCAGATTTTCCCCCCTTGGACAACCGATTTATTAGTGAGACCAATCACACTCTCGTTTTGCCTCAGGCGCTCATTTTCATTTACAGAGACACAGTGTGTAAGCTCATCACCCTCGCAGCCTGTCCGACACTCTCTATGTATCTGAGTTTGTCAGAAACGCCCGTCGTGGGGGCCAGCCAGGCAATGCAGACGCCTGAAGCTTAGATCTCATTGTAGTCAGGTGAGACCGGGGTGGCCAGACCTTCTGAATTTTCAAGAGAAGATAGAAATTTTTTAAAAAGACTTATTTTTGCCCTGGCTGGTAGCGCTCACGATTCAGGACATGCCTGGCTGCGCAGTCCGAGGAGTGGTCTCCTCAAGATAATTAATTTTTTTTTTTTTTAGAGAGAGGAAGGGAGGGAGAAAGAGAGAGAGAAACATCAATGTGTGGTTGCCTTTCACATGGCCCCCACTGGGAACTGGCCCGCAACCCAGCCATGTGCCCCGACTGGGAATCGAACCTGTGACCCTTTGGTTTACAGCCCGAGCTCAATCCACTGAGCTATGCCTGCCAGGGCCAGAAGATAGACATTTTATCTAATGACATTCCCAGATTTAAAAATTTTGGCAGCTACTGCACACTGCAGGGGGTAGGGAGAGAGGCTGCAGGGGCCAAACAGGAGACGTCAGTGGGCTGAGGTTGCCCAGTGGACCACTGTCTCCCGAGACTGTGTCCCCTCTGACCACGTGTGTGACAGGGACTGGTGACCACGGTTCCATCTCTGGTTCTTATAATGCTACTCTATTTTAATTTTAAACCAAGACGTGTAAGGAATAACCGCCTGTTTACGAAGCAACAGAGTAACTGATGTAGACGGGTTAAGCACAGTTTTTTAAGAACACGGACTGATACTGAGCAAATGTTTGGTAAGCTAAAGTTATAAATGTCTCCTGGGAGAAACTTGGTCAAAGGCTAAATTAATATATTATTAACAGAATAATCATAATGAACATTATGGAGCATTTTATTAAGTGGCAGGTACTAAGACTTTTACATTTATATTATTTACTTAACCATAATTAATCTTTTACTATCTTTGTTATTATCCCCATTTTATCTGAAATCGATAAACTCTACTAAGATAATGACTTTTTCTTGATGTTTTTGTCTAGTTCACAAAAGCGTTGACAGTTTAGCAAGTAAAAAAGGTTCTTACCAGCTGCAAACCTCTCTGTTTCTCGGCCAGCCTCTGCCGTGCAATTGTGAGAACGCTCTGGGCTTCGGCCACTTGGGTCTGTTTGGGGCCCACCAGCTTGAAGGGAACGTCACAACATTCGAGTGTTAAAAAAAGTTCACTTTTTAAAATGCCACTTATGTTTATTTTATACATATATGTTAAATATTTTATTTATTTATTTATTTTTAGAAAAGGGGAGGGAGAAAGAGAGGGAGAGAAACATCTATGTGTGGTTGCCTCTCAAGCGCCCCCTACTGGCGACCTGGCCTGCAACCCAGGCATGTGCCCTGACTGGGAATCAAACCACTGACCCCTTGGTTTGCAGGCTGGTGCTCAATCCACTGAGCCACACCAGCCAGGGCCTAAAATGCCACTTATATTTAAAAGACATTTATGGATCGACCCTTAAAATGAACTCTCCTGGAATTATGTGTACAAAAGGAGTATAAAGCGGTTTAAGGTGGGGAAACACTGCAGCAAACAAATGAAACAGCAGCAGTTGCTACAACTAAAAAAGTTTGACAGGAGCACCTGATCTTCCTGTGCCTTAGCGTAACCTGCTGGACTAAAGTGGTTTTATTAGGTATTCTTTCCATGGAAGTTCGTTCAAGTATTGCGCAATAAAACATCATTTCCGGACACTCAGTGCCTCTGATGGGCCGCTCCCACACTGTCTGAGGTCTCTCGGAGGAAAGCCTACCTTCTGGACCTCGTTGTAGTTGTTCAGAGCTATGATCCACTCACACAAAGAGCAACAAGCGACGGAAACCAGAGCAATCTTGCTTGGGTTGAAGTCGGGTAAGCTTAAAATCTTCTTCAGCTTCATGAAAACCTGGGGAGAGCACGGTTCGTGTCAGACGTGAGAAAAAACATTACCGATCTGACGTTTTCTCTAATCCACATTAGGATAAGGTTTTGTTTTGTATAAGAAGCACCTAAATCCTCCTCCACAGTAGAAAAGACACCTATGTGGGAACACCTATTTCTAGCACCAATGGCTGTTTTGGGGGGAAAGCCTCTAGTACAAACATCTTGTTAGTGCAATTATCATTTCAGTAGCTTTGCTTTAGTTTTTGTAAAAAGAAACTCCATCTCAAAATACAAAGGAAACAGGTCAAATTTCTCCAGCTTCACAAAATTCGGTGCACAAGGAGGTCTGGAGCCCCCTCCATGGGCTCCCAGCTGTGCAGGGCCAGGGAGGGCTGGCCTCCGCCCCCTGCCCCCTGGGAGGGGCACGGGCAGGCCCCAGTCGGAGGGCTGGCAGGTCAGCGGTGGCTTCTCTCTTGCCCGAAAGGGCAGAGCCACTTTGCTGAATAATTTAGATGGTGGGTGGTCCATTCTCTACTTATTATTGGTGGTCTTATTACCATATACTGTTGGGCTTTTAGCTGCTTCTTTAGATGAGCTATTAATTATTTTTAGCCTGAAAGATCTCGTGAAACAGGGAATCATTTTTGCCAAGAACGCTTCAGAATGAGTAGTTGTTGCATTAATTCATGAGTAATAGGGATAGAAACACTGACATTCTGCTAAAAACATTCACCTTGTTCAAACGCTGCCCTGTGCATCCTAAGGGCACAGATCATCATCGCTACTAATTGATTGTATCAGCTCTTTAACATCCGTCTTCCCTGTTACAAGGTAAGCTTCATAACGTCCAGGAGTGAACGGGTTCTGTAAACTATCGTAATGTCTCATAATGGCTCTGACAAGGCAGAGCTCCACAAACATTCACGGAATGAGTTCACGTCCTTGGGCCTAGGACAGGCATTCACTTGTCTACGGGTCTGTCTGCCTTCCCCAAACTCGGCTCCTGTGTACTATCCCGGTTTCAACGCTCACCCAGCCTCTGAACGTCACCCAGTCTCCACTTCCACACTTTCAGGTATCTGTTATGGCAACAGCCACTTCTCGGTGCCAAATTCTGCATTAATTTCCTGGGGCCATTGTCACAAATCACTACGAGCTGGGCGACTTAAAACGACAGCAATTCATTCTCTCACAGTATCTTCCTGGGAGACCAGGAGGCTGCACGGAGGCGGAGCTTCGGCCTCCCTCTTGGGGGCTTTAGGGGAGAAGCTTCTTCCAGCTCCTGGTGGCTTTGAACCCTGCTCGGCTTGTGGCTGCAGCCGTGGCCTTGGGCTTTTCTGTGCTCCTATTGACTACGCCACAGTCCTGCCCTTGTGACATCTTGACTCCCCTGCTTCTCCCCTGTGACCCAGAGCGGCTTCCCCCACGACTGGCCTCTCCTCTGCCTCCATTATTTAAAGTGGTTCTGAGATGTAACACTTTCTGATCTCAGCGACACCCTGCTTTTCCTCGACACCCCACAAAACCTGCAGCCTCTTTCTGACCTTTCAACTCTCACCTTTGTCTTCCAGTTCCAATACAAAACCCTTTTTAATACTTCTGTTGAGCCCTACAGTTCATAAGTACGAAGGTATCAATTCCGCATTAATTAGCGATGACTCCGTACCTTCTGAGGTATGCTGTCCTTGTCCAGCTTAATCAGTTTTTTCAGGAACCCGGTCTCGGAGAGAAGCAGCTTGGCCGTGGCCCAGGAGGGCTTCTTCTGCAGGAGGATGCACACCGCGTTCATGACAGTCAGCACGAGGAAAGGGGGCCGAGTGTAGACCCTGCGACAGACGGGAGAGCCCGGTCAGCCTCACCGTGAAAATCGGACGCACCCTGGAGACCCTCAGGGGACAGTGCACACAGCTGGTAGCAAGGACTCTGATAAGGACACCCGTTTGCTGCTAGGTAGCTTTTTTCATTATTTGGGTTATCTTTCAACATTTGAGTATTTTTAGCACATGGGTAGGTTTGCTTTAGGAAGGTGAAATGCCTAAAACTTAAATACGGGGGACTTCTTGGTTAGAGGTTAATTTTTTCATCATAAGTGGATTTTTTGTAGAGTTCTTTAAAGTAGGACTTTCGCCCCTTTTCACCTACGTTCAGCAGGGTTTCACCCGTCCTGGCTTACTGCTGACTACTCGACAGAGACATATGTGTGTGTGTGTGTAGGGCTGGGTGTCTGGGGTCAACACTTGTGATTTAAGGGGTGCTGTAAGGCGCCATCCCCTTGTACCCATCCTCTGACTCAGTTGCTAATAATGTCATTGCTGGAGCACTGGAGACCGCCTCTTATCTGTGTCCTCATCAGGGGACATGCCACTGAGCCACTGATGAGAGGGTGGCCCTTGGGAAAGCCAGAGGTCAGGGTGACACTCACTTCTTGTGAGTTTCAGAGAAAAGACACCAGTCTCTGCACGACAGCACTTGGGACTTGGAGTGAAAGGGACGCGTCTGTCCAGGGGCACAAGTCTCCCCGAATGGAAATCGTGCAGCCCACCCAAAGGGAGGCAGGCAGGCGGCAGGGCCAGCTCTGCACACACAGTTACCTACAGGGGCCCCCAGGGAGCTCCCCCGCCTTACAGTCCATCACTAGGGATTTGTTCAGTTACAGTCATCTTTGTTCTCCTTAACAATCTTTTAACAAGCAGGCAGTTTTCAGGACTCAATAAGTCATTACCACTTATTTTGAACTAACGTATCAGGTTGCTTTGCTTTCCTGAGATTATCGGTCTGGGTTTTGTAAAATAAGTGAGAAAGATGGTAACAGAAGAACTAGGAAGGAAGAGGCAAGACTCACAGAGAAGTGAGAGTTCTGAGACCAGACTTTCCCTCCACTTTGCCTGGGTTTGAGTCTTTTTAAAGCAATCACATGGGAAATAAAGACGCACATGAAGACAAAATACACTGCCTGTGAATTTCAATGTATATGAAGGAGAAAACAGGACTGAGCTGGCTGTGGTTTACGTGCCCCTCTCCAGGGAGCCCCAGGGAGCCCCGTCCACACCGGCGGTCGGCCCTGAAGCCCCCCTCACCACACAGGGCCCTCTGTCCCGGACTCCCCCACCCCACCCCCCCCCCCCCCCCCCCCCGTTCGCTCCATCCGCCTTCTCTGCCACCTGCTGCCGTCTGCTAACGGCTGATGTGCCAACCAGCCGAGGATGGGACTGCCTCGGGGCTGTCGTCTGTTCTGATGCTGGAAACAGCAGCCAGGGAGGAGGGTGGGCCGCACCCTGCGTCCCCGGACGTCGCCCCCGGAGGCCCCCGGGGAGCTGCAGAGACCACGGCAGGAGGCACTTCGCTCCTCGGGCCTTTCGAAGTGAAGTGAAACGCCCAGGAGCAGCGTCACAGGGGAGAACCTTTAGAAAAGGCGCCTGCACAGAGTTCAGGCACGAGGTGCGTTCCCCCTCGGCGTCTGCAGGGCGCAGGCAGCGATAGGGGCCTCCAGTGGAGCACTTGCCTCTCGTCAGATGCTGGCCTGTGTTCCACGTGTTGTAACTCGGCCAACCCTTCAATGTCCGTTACTGGCCCCACTGCGTACAAGGGAAGCAGAGGTGCGGACACTGGCAGTGCCCGATTCCAGCCCGGACGCGAGGTGCCACAGCCGGAGAGCGCGGAGATCCCACCCTCGGAAGCCAGGCCGAGGGGGGGTCTGAATATCTGCCACAGGGAAGGCAAGAGACTGGGACTTGTGGAGCAAGGCCACGAGGTGGGGTGGGCCGCTTCCCTGCTGTCCTCTCCTGACCCGCCTCGTGCCCCCTGAGCATCAGCCCTCTGGTCTCACAGTCCCTGAGCCCAGCAGGCACACTTCTCCTCAAGACGTTCCTGCTCTCCGCCGCCCCTGCCTGGGGTCCTCTCCCCCTGGACCCCTTCCCAGGTTACACCCAAACCCCACTCCGGCCTCTGCTTCAGTGCAGTGCCCTGTGCAGCTGGAACGGGCCTGGCTCGTGGGGGGCGCTGGGCGCGGAGCCGAGTGAATGCACGCGTGCACACGCAGAACCTGCGTGTGAGGGGAAGACGGAGACGCACGTCTGGGACTTGCCCTCTTCCCCTTGCCTGTCCCTCTCCGCGCCCGAGTTTTCAGCGTCAGGCGGAGAAGCTTTGGCACTGACGGGCTCTGCTCCCCCCGCGAAAATACACGGGTCAAAACCGCCTGTTGCCGTATCCAGTTCTTGCCCCAAGTTCATAATGCGTTAGAAACGCCACGGCAGGGTGGCTTCCTCCTGCCGCATCTTCAGTGGAAGAGCTGCTTTCTTGTACCTGATGGGGACCTGGAGACACTCTGAGAGGTGCTAGGCAAGTTCCCACTGTCTGTGGGGCTGGACAGCTCAACTTAAAAATGATCTCATCCAAAGATTCAAATCAGAACCATCAGATTAGAAACTCTGCACCTTAAGGCATGTTGTTTCTTCTCGTGTTTTCTTAGGAATTTCTCTTCTGTAGCTTTTCCCATGCAGGCAAGGCCGGGTTTGGGAAAGTACTCCCGCAGCGCCCCCTGGTGGTGGTGGTCAGCATGGCGGCACCGGAGGCGGGTACTGCATCCCTGCAGCCGGCTCCCAAGCGCCCCCTGCAGTTAGACTGGCACAGGCCGCAGTGGCCGTCCTCTAAGCTCTGGGCCTGTGGGTCAGGCATCTATAGCATCACCAGGGTTTTCTTTCTGGTCCGGACGATGCTGTATTTTATCTGTTCTAAGATGTACAAATATTCAAATCAACTGTACATCTCCCACACTGGGATTCAGTTTATAACCAAAGGCACGTGGTACAGTTTACTTGGTAGTATTTTTTCTTTCTGAAACGTCCCTAAAACACGGATACGCCTTACAGTTGATGGTATCACACCACTGGTTAGACACAGCATAAATCACACACAACAAAATCTAGAAGTGAAACACAGACTTCGTTCCCTTTGCCGTGAACTTACACTTGACCTGGAGCTTTTCCAATGGGAGAGAAATGGGTGCGTTGCTCACCTCAGCTCGGCAACATCAGCTTTGTCCAGGGCATTCAGGGCCAACGTCGCCCTGGTTAAGGCCGGCAGGACGTTTTTCAGTTCATTGGTGGTCTTCTGCAGTAAACACAGAATCCCCCAAACACAGGTGAACGTGTATAGCTGCATGCTTGCAACTGTCATACACTAAACGTGGAAAACACAGCTTGACCTTTTTACCACGCCCCTAACTGACGCACCCGCATGCACCCTGGTGGCCATGGGTGGTGTGTCCTGGCTGCCGTCGGTCCCCCGCGAGAACCCGCCTGGGAGAAGCAAGCACACTGAGGGGCGTCCACCTCTCCCGGGAGACCCCGTGCAGTGTTAACAACGTCTAGCGGAAGAGCAGTTCGGTCAGCGGTGGAGTTGTCACGAAGCGAATGAAGCTGCGGCTTCTGAGACCCTGCCTTGCCCGGGACCCTGGAAGCAGCTCTGCCCATGTGTTGGCAGGGTTGTGTGTTGTTGTTAGACTTACAGAAGGCGTTTTAACTGCAACCGGTCAGGGTCAGTTTGTCTTTACACTCAGCTCCCTCTCTCTCAGGGTTCCTGCTCCGTCAGGTGGTGCGGGAATGGCTGTGGACACGCTTGGGGTCTGGGTAAGGAGCGGAGTTGGGAATCACACAGGCTGGGGCCAAAGTAGGTTCACAGTTGGGAGTATGTGAAGCAGTGTACTTTTGTATTGTCATTTACTAATCGTTGTATTGTTTTCCAAATGAACAACTGTGAACCTACCTTTGTCGCACCCTGTATTTATATTGCTCAGTTGCTCTCTGTATGATTAAAGCTATCTCAGATAGGAATGACTTCTAGAAACAATCTCCCCAAAGCTCCAGCGTTCCTGGTGACGGGGCACCGAGGTGCAGGGCCAGAGGTCACATTCTACCAGAGACCCCACCCTGGAGCGCCCAGCTCCGGAAGAGAGTGGGCGGTGGAGGAAGAACATGGTTTGCGATGTGTGCATCTGGAACCCAGTCTGTGGGGACCCTCCCACGCATTAGATGCAGAAAACCGAGTACACGGCCAGACTCCCACCGACAGGAAACGGCCACCCACTCCTTCCTGGGGCCACCGGAGAAGGCCGCACACACGCTTCCCGTTTCGATGGGGGTCGTGCAGAAAGGGCTCTTTAAAATTCCTGGGTTTTTCCGTAATAATCAGATATTTTGAAATGTCTTAATAAAATAAGTGAGAAATTACACTCCTTATATAGATACGTAGATATATGTGAAAGGTGTCTTATTTCATAACTCTGTTATTTACAAATAAGACAAAAATTTGTGGGATGTTAAGCAAAAGTGATTGTGTGTTAAAATCTACAGAGATTACTTTGCTATCAGGAATGAAGTGTAATAGAAATTTCAGACCAAAACTAATAATGTATTAAGAGGAAAAACAAATTTAGGATAGAAGAAATGATCTGGTTCTTGGTCTATTTTAATAAACCAATTAATGGAGAATGTATCATATAATCATATTAGTAAAATCTAAGGCTCTGGCTGAGTTTACAAGAAATATTGACATTAATGAAAATACAAATATCAGCAAACACATCTATAATGAAGATATTCAATGAAGAATGTGCTCAATTCAAAGAGTACTAAAAATTAATCACTACACAAGAAATCTTGAAATGCCATTGTTGCTTATACTACATTTGAGAGCAACCCCAATAAAAATGTTCATGATGTTATCAATGGTTTATAAAGTTGGAAGAAACTTTACTAAACTGTCAAAACAAAAACCATGGTTTGACCAACTACACTAATGATGCTGTGGAAAGTGATGTTACAAAATCATTAGACAAAGAAGCAATTGCAGAGAATACAGTGAAAAAAAGCCAGGAAAAAGTATTATGGGACGCATACGGCAGCTAATTACTAAATATTGGTATTTTTCTAGATTCTGTGGTGTTTATTATAATAATTGTCAGCTTTAAAAATTTCATATATTTGGACTTCCGCCAAGATGGAGGCATAGGTGGATGTGCCGTGCCTTCTCACACAATCAAGTTTAGAGACAACTAAATATTAGCAACAGAAAACACAGCCAGAACGCGGAAAATTGAACTTTTTGGAAGTCCGTTAACAACAAATTCTTCAGCCTGACCAGTAAGGGGAGAAACCAGCGGCTGGTGAAGCGGGGTTGCACAGGAAAACTCGGTCAGACGGACTCAGGCGGGCGGAATCCAGACGCGCAGAATCCAGGCGCAGGGTTGGACCTAGTGAGCCACCGAGCTAGCGAGCGAGCGACCGGGTGAGCGACCGCGGGGGAGACAGCGGGGGAGCGGTGCTGCGTGTTGACTGTGGTCACGCATTTGTGCACGGGTGGACAGGCAAGGGAGTGGGCGGTTGGACCGGGGCCGGCGGGTCCCTGAGGCAGGTGGCAGTGGAGGGTGCCACCATTTCCCTGCTCTGACCCCTCCTCCACATACAGCATCATAACCCAGCGACTCTGAGTGGCCCGGCCCAGGTGAACCACCTAAGGCGCTGATCCTCACCCAGCTGTGAGAAACAGCAGAGGGGGTCGCCATTTCCTCGCTCTGACCACGCCCCCACATACAGCGTCACAACCCAGTGACCTGGGAGTCCAAGGCGCCGCTTCTCACACTTAAAGGGCGCAAACAGACCAAAAATGTCACAAGAAGATCTCAAAGCCTCAGAGCCTATAGATCTAAGCGATGAAGAAATAGCAAAACTCTCAGACGCACAGTTTAAAACACTGGTCATCAGGATCCTCACAGAACTGGTTGATTATAGCCACAAATTAGACAAATATATGAAGGCGAAACTAATTGAAATGAATGGAATTGCACAGGACACCAATAGCAATGAAAAGGAAACTGGGACTCAAATCAATGGAGTGGACCAGAAGAAAGCAAATAATGGCCAAACAGAAAAGAGTCAAGAAGCAAGAATTCAAAGAAATGAGGAGAGTCTTAGGAACCTCCAGGACATCTTTAAACGCTCCAACATCCGAATTATAGGGGTACCAGAAGGGGGAAAGGCACAGCCACCAGTGGAAAACTTATTTGAACAAATAATAAAGGAGAATTTCCCCAATCTGGCAAAGGAAATAGACTTCCAGGAAATCCAGGAAGCTCAGAGAGTCCCAAAAAAGTTGGACCCAAGAAGGAACACACCAAGGCACATCATCATTACATTAGCCAAGATTAAAATGAAGGAGAGAATCCTTGAAGCAGCAAGAGCTAAGGGGACAGTCACCTACAAAGGAGTCCCCATCAGACTGTCAGCTGATTTCTCAAAAGAGACCTTCCAGGCAAGAAGGGGCTGGAAAGAGGTATTCCAAGTCATGAAATCCAAAGACCTACAACCAAGATTGCTCTATCCAGAAAAACTTTCATTTAGAATAGAAGGACAGATAAGGTGCTTCTCAGATAAGATCAAATTCAAGGAGTTCATCATCACCAAGCCCTTATTATATGAAATGTTAAAGGGACTTAGATAAGAAAAAGAAGTTAAAGAAACATGAACAGTGAAAGGACAACAAACTCACAGTTATTAACAACCACACCTAAAACAAAAGCAAACTAAAAGGACAGGTAGATCAGGAGTGGAAACATACAAATGAAGATCTCAAGGAGGGTTAGCAACAGGGGAGTGGGAGGAGGAGAAGAGGGGGGGAAGAGACAGAAAATAAGTAACATAGACAGTTGATAGAAAATAGATGGGGGGGCAAGAATAGCATGGGAAATATAGAATCTAAAGGACTTGAGACACATGGTCATAAACTAAAGGGGGGGTAATGGTGGGGATGGGGGTGTAGGGTGGAGGGGAATGAAAGGGGGAATAGAACAACTGTAACAGCATAATCAATAAAAAAATTAAAAAATTTTTTCATATATTTGATGTACTTATTCTAAATACCCACTTTCGAATTGGACTGTGAACAAGTGTGTATTCTTGTAAAAACATATGGCCTCAAAACTGCATAAGCTTCAGGTCCCATTAAATCTGGATTTACCACGGAAGCCAGACTCACCCTGTGGTGTGGCAAAAACAAACAAACCAACGCCCCCATTAATTTCTCTATATCCATTTCCTTTTGGCCTAAAAAATTAAAGACTGAGAACTAGGCTGGACACATATTTAGCATATTGGTTAACAGCGGCCCCTTGTGAGGTCGGCCTGGCGGAGGCCATGGGTGACTCCCTGTGACAACTCCTGCGGGTAATTTACAAGTAATTCCATGTGCAGTGGGGGTACAGGCTCATATGCATCTATGTATTCACTGGTGGAGCTGCTCGATCAAAGACCTCCGCACGAGAAAGACAAACGAAACTCCCCTCTCCTCCTCTTGAGAGCAGGGGTGGCTGCCGATCAGCCGGGGCTAGGCATCTGGCAACTTGCTGTGCCAGACTGGCTCCTGCTGGGCTTCTGACTGGAGAGTGTGGAGTGGGACGGGCCAGTGGAAAGAGACATACTCGGTCAGTGAGAGAAGGGACACACACCCAACGGTCCCCAGAGTGGCCTCATCTCCTGCGGGTGTTTACCAATCTGTGGAGGCCCCATGGATTTCCTCTGGGTCACGGTACCCAGAGAAGTGGTGGTCTGCTCCCCCCAGGCTGCAGGTCTCTCAAGGTCAAAGACTCTGTGACGTCTTTGTGCCCCCTCTGTTCCTGTGACGTGCCTTCCACGTAGGAGGAGGTACTCAGTACCTGCTCGCCCAGGGCAGGCGTTAAACGTACCCAAGGCTGCAGGGCTCTCTATTTGAGAGCCATCAGCCGACCTTTCATGCTGGGGACTTGGGAGTCATTTTGCAAACCCCTGGATGACCTTGACGGACCACATTCTAATCTTACCTGCGCATAGTTTTCCACGATTCTCACTTCTTCCGCCACAATTTCCTCGTCCTGCTTAACGAGCATCTTAACTTTCTCCACCACTTGGGAATCCTTCTGGAGCTTTTCCATTAAGCTTTCTTTTTCCTAGTGGACCAAACAGTTCTCAGCGCGGATTCTCAGAGACATGGCATCTTTTTCAAAAGGGAAATTCAAGTATCTTCTCCCATTGTTGTGACACTGACCAACACCGGCTTGAAATATATTTGTTGAATAGATGGACAGGAATAGTAAATATACAGACTAAAAGAGTTCACTGCCTCCAAACCAGTATTATATGAAATGTCAAAGGGTCTTTTTTAAGACAATGATAAAAAATATGAATAAAATGGCAATAAATATGTATCTATCAACAACTGAATCTTAAAAAACAAAATGAACAAATACACTGAACAGAGACAGAACCCTAGATATAGAGACGTTCAGATGGCTGCCGGGTGGGAGGGGGGCAGGGTGGACAGAAAAGGTGCAGGGACGAAGCAGCACCTGCGGTTGTCCCAGAGGAGTCACCGGGCGGGGGCGGGGGGTGAAGAAGAGGGAACAACAGTGTGATAATTGTGTCTGGTGTCGGGGGGAAGATTTGTCAGAACGATCTCCCACTAAGTTACCTAGTGTCCAGTCACTGGAGTGTGCACCTGAAACTAGTATAATACTGTCTGCCAACTGTCACTCAAAATTAAAAATAATTTTTTAATTTACAGTCTTCGTGAGGTTTTACACTTCACACAGAAAACATACCTGTCATTACGTTTAAACATCAAACTATAATGATGCCAATATTTTGTCATTGTTGTTACTGTTTTTCCTCATTTATTTGACAGACCAGAAACTCGAGGCTCAGACCACAGCTGCCCATCCCAAAGCGAGAGCCGTGCCCGCAGCCGCCCCGAGTCCTGGGGCTTCCGCTTCCGAACGCCGCTCCCTGTGCAGCCGGGGAACCTGAGCAGGGACCCCCTCGGGGTCTACCTGTGTTTTCTGCTCTATGTGAGGGCCGACGACCAGGAGCTCCTCCTGCATGTCTGTAACCAGGGCGGTTGCCTCCAGGATCTTGGACAGACCCACGTGGAAACGGTTCCTGGAGAGAAAAAGAAGCATCAAGAGGGAGAATGTATCATGAAACATCGGCGACGCCGGCTCTACTGTGAGCGCGGCCGGAAGGCAGCACGGGCCCGAGGCCGGTTCTCCCCAGACTCACACGGAGGTTCAATGCCATCCCGATCAAGACCGCAGTCAGATTTCTGTGCAGGTACAGCCAAGCTTACTCTAAAATTAACATATAAAGGCCAGTGACCTGGGATAATGGAAATAATTTTGAGAAAGAATTGAGTGGGTGGAATCCCCCCTTCTGACTGCCAGGCGGACTAAACAGTGACTTCGCGGTTGCCGGGTGCTGGCGGAGGGACAGCCGTGTGGACCGACGGGACGGGGCCCGGACCCCAGAAACAGGCCCGCGGGAGCACTGTCAACGGACTTTGGGACAAGGTGCAAAGGTCACAGAGGAAGAAAAGTTGTTTTAAAAGATGGGCCTTGGCCTACACCTCACACCTTCTAACTAACTCAAAATGTGAAAGCTAAAACTGTACTACTTTTAGGGGGGAAACAAGGGAGAAAATCTTTGGGATCTAGGGCATGGTGAAGTTCTTCAACAAGACGACAGCAGCACACTTCACACGAGAAAACGATGACCATACTGAACTCCATCAAAACTAGACCCCTTCTCTGGGAAGGACCCTGTGAAGGGGACGCAGGGGCAGCTCCCAGGGGGAACACACTCTGTCGCCGCACAGCTGTCAAAGGGCCCACACTGAGAATGAATAAAGAACCCCCGAGACTCAACACTGGAAGCACGGGAACAATCCATTTAGAAAACGTCCAAGAGATGCAACAAAGGGACACTAACGGTGAAAGGTGAGAAGAGACGTCAGACCGAGAAGGGTGTGTGGGTGGCAAAAAGGCACATGAGGAGACGTTCAGCATCACTAGCCATTAGAAAAGTGCAAATTAAGATCATAATCAATATGCCTTCACTAGAATATTGAAGATAAAAAGTGGTAACAGTGTCGAATGCTCACAAGGATGTGGATGGAGACTCGGGATCTCGCATACACTGGTGAGAATGGCAAACGGTCCGGCCACTGTGGACAACAATCGGGTATTTTCTGAAGAACCTCGGCATACACGTACCCCGTGACCTGACGCTCACACTCCTGGCACTGGCACTGGCCCCGGAGATATGGAAGTGTCTACCCACACAGAAGCCCGTGCACCTCTGTTCACAATCGCTCCACGTCGAAAACGGCCCAGTTCCTGCAGCGTCTGGATGCTGGACAAACTGGTGCATCCGCGTCAGGGAACGCAGCTCAGTGACCAAAAGAAACAGGCCACCAATACTCGTGACAGCGGGAGTGGCTTTCAAAGGCAAGACACACATCCCTCTAGGGAAGAAGTAAGGTGGCAGAGATGGCGCACAGGTAGGTGTCTGCAGGGAATTTGGGATGGGGAGGGAGTGACAGTAAAGGGGCGGCACACGGAGACAGTTCTGCATCTCGTGCCGTCTTGTGACAGTGCTGTTTTCTGTACTTGCTGCATCTGTGAAGCTGATGATTTCAGAGTGAAAAGGATGGAAAAAAAGGAGCTATCAGATAAAGTTGAAACTTTCCCACGTACCTATTCACTAGAATAAAAATGAGAAATACACAGTGTGCATGGAATAAATACCAATAAATATTTTAAAATAAGACTACAAACCTATTAGTCAACAAAGTTTTAGTCCTAACTCTACCAAGAGAGGGAATAAGCACTGTGGGGCATTTTTTACAAAACGGAAGATAAGGTTCCCACCTCTTGGACCCACAAAACCTCAAAGAGCCCCCCCTGGAGGCCCATGGAGGACCATCATCCACGCCCTTTAAACTGTCGGTTGCGAAAGCATGTTCGGCATTTTACTCTTTGAGCTAAGTCTAGGACAGGTCCTCAAAACTTCCCAGCTGGATGACAAGAACTTTAAGATCTTTGTTTTTATTCTTGTATCTCTCCACAGGTACTCTAGTCTAGTACCAGAGGGTTCTTACTGAAATGCAGCTCCATTTACTTACGTGTCTACTCACACGGTTACCATCTGTGGTGTGTTGTAACTGACAGACACTGCGCTCAGCATTCAGCCCATAAACCCATCACCCCTGAGGAGCAGGTGCGGCTTGGAAGAACACGGACCCTCAAAGGGAACAAGGGACAACGGAAGCCTGGCTGCCAGGGCAGCGCCCATTTGAGGGGGGCCCTTGGGCTTTACGTGTGGTAAGTCCCCGGAAGGATGCTCCCGCTTCAACAGAATGTTTAATTATGAGGTTTGGGTGGGGGAGAGGCAGAGGATAATTAAGCCCTTCCCTTTCTTTCTCCTCCCACCTCTAATCCTGGGAAACTGGGCTCCTGGAGTCTGTGAGGACAGCTGGGGACCCGCACCTGCTGCTCCTTTGACCATCCAGCCACACTTGGGAGAGACCAGCCATATGGCTGTGGATGACAGTAATCATGGCCCGAAGGTGACAACTTCTAAGGTGGACCTGGCATGACCCCCACCTCAAGGGGTGGAGATGTTCTAGGACAATGCAAAGGGCACGAGGAAGACACCACTGTGCCACCCAGGGTGTGTCCGGGCATGTGGAGTGGGTGAGGCGCGGGACGCACTGGGGAAAGGGTGATGTGACTGTGACAGGCACTGGTCACACACAGGGCTTGGAGTGGAGCAACAACCCAGGGGGCTGGAGCGGGACCCCGTGGGAACCCGGAGGTTAGAGCTGGGGGGAGGGGCCATGAATCCCCCCCCCCACCCTTCTCTCCAGGGCGCCTGGCCCTCGCTTTAACCCCTGACTGACCAACCAGTCTCAGTCGGAAGGGCTTTCCAAAACCTCCCCAGAGCCGCCGCCTCGTGGACTACACAGCCTTTACTCATGAAACAGAAAGAGTAACTTCCTGAACCAGCACGGTTCCCCTCATCCACTGACTCTGCCAACTGCTCCCCACTTAACTGGTGCTGCATCTGCCTTCTGAGCAAACACTTGATACGATTAGACCTTGACCTCGTAGCAGCAAAACGCTGCTGTCGTGACTGCCTCTGCCTCTTACGTGAGAGCCAGGCCTCTGCGTGTCTGCCCCTCACAAACCAGCCTCGACCCTGAAGCATCAGTGGGGATGCCAAGCTCAAGGCCCCGGGCTTCCTGCTGGCTCTCTGGGACAAATACAAGGGACTGCCAGGGCCCCCGGATGCACCCGGACTGGTGACATTTCTAACTGGCCCGGCTCCAGACGGGAGCCGACAGTGGTTGATCCTCCATGTCCTAGCCAGTCCTATCCGATGCCGCCCAAGACACACAGAGTGGCTTTGGTCCGAGCCCCAGTCAGCACACTGGGTCAGGCGATCTGACCGGGTGGCCCATTCTTTCTTAGTGGGACACACGACAGGCCAGAAGATGGCGCTGTAGAGGAAGGGCTGCACCGTGGCAACCTTCCCTGCTGCTGCCCAGGTTGTGTGGGTGCGGTTTCCATGCAGCTGGGCGAGGCCCTGGCCCAGTGGTCCTCCTAGACCACGAGAGCACGGATACTTGTGAGCACACAAGGCCAGCCCACTCACCTCTGATCCTCTTGGGAGGCTGCTGAGATCGTTTCTCAGTGTCTCCCGGGTCCCGATTAGCTCTGAGACTTCCTACCTCCTGCTTCTGCCCCCACCCTCCCAGGTACAGCTGCAGCAAGACAGGGCTCCAGCGACAGGTGTCCCCCGGTCTGTGTGGCAGTCGTCTGGCTCCTTTTATGTGGGTGCAGTCCCAAGGGATAAGGGGCGCGGGGAGTTGTGTACGTTAGCAATAAACCTTCTGAACCTAACCAGGGCTCACTGCCTCTTGACTGGCTGAATCTGTCCACCTTGCCCTGGCAAGGCGGCCTCTGAACGCCCGTGGGAGAGGCCGGCCTGGCCTCGCGAGCTCTTCTAAGGCTTCTGCCTCTTCCCACAATGAAAAGGCGGATTTAGTCTCAGTATTTTGTGTGTGTCTTTACAGATAAAAGCACCAACGAAAGATACATGTACACATAAATATAAAAATATATATGTTCTGATGCAAAGACTTACCTCTTTGTCTGCATTTCCTCCTCTCGTGACCTCAAAATGTGAGTGAATGTATCTATGAATCGCAAGTAGCTTCGGGGAGTAATATAGTTATGCCTCCTAGTTTTTTGAAAGTACTTTGTGTTCAAGTCGTTTATACTTTTGTGAATTTGGACACATGTTGGGGCAAGTTTTTCTTTTAAGTTCTGAAAAAGTAATTTTTAAGAATTAAGAAAAAGCAGTCCAAATATACATTAAAGAAAAAAAAAGCAAAGGAAACACGGTGAATAATTTGAAATAGTTTATCATGTTTGGATATGGGAATGTAGAAAAAGGCCCTGGATGAATAGAGCTGAGAACAGATGAGTGTCAGTGGTTGGGATGGTATTAGGGGGAAGAGGTGATGATATGTGATGACCAGTGACAGGCCAGACTCCTCCTCCTGGGCTGACCCCTCATGTCTGCGATGGCCACCCAAGGATTGAGGGCACCCTTGTCAACGGGCCAAGTTTATGGTGCTTTCTTTATCTCCAGTCTTTCTTTCTTAAAGTAGGTTATTGATAGCAGTATATTCAATTTCTTTGAGTTAACAGAAGCTACAAAAATGTAAGGGCCCAGAGGATATACAGCCGAACAAAGTGACAGCCGACAGAGAGTGCCCTTTGCTCAGCCGTGGCGAGAATTCTGATGTAGACAGACCTGGTCCTACCCACCCGTGTCCAGTCCATCAAAACCTGCCGACCGCCTGGCCGCTTTCTAGCCAGCTGCATTTTCTCCCTGGCTCCACCTGTCTCTACCCTTTTTGGCCTTTGCTTTCCTTGAGCCCTTGGACAAATAAGGTCACAAGCCCCTTCCTGGTGCCTCACTGGGTTTCGGGCCTCAATGCACCTGAAACATCTGTCGGTCCCCATGGGGCCTTCAGAGGAACCACTCTGGAAAGAACCCTTACTTGTGGCTCATAGACTCGGAGACCACTCTGTGTGTGGCTTGTGCTGCCACTTCTTTGTAGTCTTGCTGTTGCAGCCAAGCCAGAGAAGTGTAGTGGAAACACACAGAGGTGGTGGCAGTCTTATCACAGGACCAGGTGTGCACAATGAAGGCTGTTCTCCTTCATGGAAACTGGCTGTTCACGGGGGGGTGGGTGGGGGTGGGGGGGAGCGGGGGGCAGGCTGGCATAGAAGAGTGAGAGACCCAGGCAGTGAGGAACCTGGGCCTCTCTGAAATAAGGTGACTTCGGTGGCAAAAAAGACGGGATATCAATCAAGAGTCAAGATAAACGCTTGACTTATTTTATCATTTTACCTAGAGCTGCCTCTGTTTGTCCACCTGGGGTTCACAGCCATTCAGAGAAATGACACTGTCAGATTCTGTTAACACACTGAAACCTCCCCTCGGATTAGTTCTTTCTGAGAAGTTATACTTACCCCTCTGTTCTCCAAATCCACCTTCTCTCTTAGGAAAGAGCTGGCTACCAGAAGCAGGGCTTCTTCCGGCCACTTCTCGTACCAGTCGATGGTGCAGGCGCAGATCATGGAAGGGTATGCCCGACAATTCTGGCGCAGGTGAGGCCCTGCAGGACTCATTGTCATAAAAATATGCAAGTTTTTTAATATTCTCTGAAAATGAATGAAAACATAAGTTGTTAAAATGCAACCCATTGCTCGGAAAAAGTACTTGTTTCAATGACCTCCCCAGAGAGCAGACCGGAGGCCTCTCAGCTGCACACCGAGTGCCCGCCACCACCCCTCAACCCCATCGGAGGGCAGCGGCAGTTCCCGCAGAGCCCCCTGAGGGTCGCAGCCAGGTCCTGCCCCGTGCGCCCCCATCCTCTCTGCAGGGGAGACCCCGGACCCCAGAACATCCCTCGTACAAACCAGCCCTCGTGAGGGGGTCTGGCGCTAGGGTTCTGCTCAGTGGGGGCCCTTGCATCAGATGGTGATGCATCTGAGCATGTCCCCTTTCCTCTAGGGTGGGCGCATTAAGACCCACAGACAGCCGAAGGGAGCAGCGGTCAGACGCATCCGGGTGGAAGACACACAGAGAGACAGACCGGTGTTGGAGCCCCGGGAGGTGTCCACAAACTCCACAGCTGAAGGGAAAGCTTAGCGCTCACAGTTTGTCAGGTCCTGGGCAAAGCGTCGGTTCTCTGAGCCGTGCCCACATCCCTGCCCCCCACCCCCCAAGACCCCTTGGGGGTCAGCAGCTGTGCTGCTGCTGCTCCTGGCTTCTTGGAAGGACTTCAAAAACCGTATAAAAGCAAATTAAACTGCTCCATGCAAATTTCATACAACGCAGAAATGTTTACAGTGAAAACGAAAATATCTCTTTGCTCTGCCCGTGCCCGACCTCCACCTGATGTTCAAGGTTAAGTTTAAAGGGTGCCTTTACTGTCTATTACTGCAAGACACTGCAAATCATTTCACGCAATTAAAGTTGACCTCTAGCTGGAGTTCTCGGCTTGTCTTTTATTTCTGGAGTGCACTCCCCCGCCCCCCATACCCCATTCCAAACCAGAACTCTGTTCTTTTGACCAGCGGGCCGCAGGCGGCCAGGCTGGCTGCTATCCTCCTTTCCACCACCAGGAGGCCTTCTCAAACACAGCGACCCGAGAGCATCCATTCACAATGACTTGTTCTCTCTCAATGGTGGAATCTATTTATGGAGTTTTTTACGCCCGCTTCTTGTGCCAGATCGCACTGTATCTGTTGGGGGATACAGGGCTGCCCAGTTCAGTTTTCAGATGACTCTGCGAGAGGCAGAATCAGGCACCAGAAAAGCAATGGCCTGCATCACCTCCCCAGAGGAGTTTGGGCAATCACATCGGGTCGGTAGTGACACTGGAAAGACACAGGGCGCCTAGGCCACTGGTGTGGCTCAGCTCGCTCACCAAACCGGCCCTCTCGCAGCCACCCCACGTCCAGTGCCTTCTGGCACCGCCTGCTTTTTCTGCTCTTCTGTGCCCATCACCTCCGGCCGATTGTAGGGCCATGATTCAACGGGATAAAAAAACTGTTTTGCCTGCCTGCCTGCAAGAACCTGGGTGGGAGTCTCAGCGCAGGACGTCACCGCCAGCTGGTGCCATGTTTTTAGGCGCCTGGCAGCGAGGCCCAGCCTGTGGCTCGTCTTTTGCCTGACACCTTGTGTGTCTGTGTGTGCGATGGCAGTCATTACTGTAGTTTTCAAAACTCTTGTAAAGAACGAGACAAACCGCCCAGGTTGAAAATCCCGTACACAGAATTACGAATGTAGTCTATTTTTAACCACAACAGTCTGAGAAAGCCAATGCACAGAAAAGGTACCTTTTGGAAGAATGAAAACAAGGCTTCTCTGCCATCCATGTAACTGGTCTGCTCAGTGATGGATCTAATCTTTAGCACAAGAGAGTCCAGCTCCTCCTTTTCAAACATTTCGGGTATTTTCCCCAAACTGATAATGCTGTTCAAATCCTCCAAAAGTGCCTCCTTGGGTAAAACAAATATTTAAACATAAATGAGTAAATGAGTCATGTTTTCTACTCTAAACTCACCAAGCAATAGTGTTTAAGAAGAATTTAGGTTAAGTCTTTTTTTGAAAAACCAAAGTTCTCGAACCCATTTCCCCCCCCCCCCCCAATTTTTTTCCCCCTGAGTCAAGTAGGCTTCCTTAGGTTCCCACCCTCGGACATCAGAGAAGTGCAGGCATGGTGGGAGAGAACGCCGACCCTGCGCCGGGCTGCAGAGGTGCGGGGGTGGAGACGGTGAGTCGGGCAGGGGCGTTGCCTCGGGCAGTCTGAGGAAGACCCCAGTGTACCTACCTCCTCTCGTGTTCGAACACTGTACACACTGGGATTATTTTACTTAGGTCGAGTTTGTCTCTACAAAGGGCTCCCTGTCTCATGGCAAAGGGAACAGAGGAGAGAGCACGATGAAAAGAATCTCCACCAGAGGACTTGTTAAACATAGGAACATTTTGGCTTTGAGAGTAAATCCAGGCTTTCTTTAAAAAAGTAAGACCAAAAGCATTCGCCTTACACAGATGCCTCGGGATCCTCCTCAGGCTCTCCCAGGGTCCTGGAGCGGAGCCCAGCCCCGGGGAGGCGGGCAGAGAGCGGGTGGGACGGCCTCCCACAGAGGCCAGCAGAGGGCAGCAGAGGGCAGCAGAGGGCAGCAGAGGCTCGGCGCCAGTGCCGCCCTGTCTCTCGTCATGATGGAGGGCCACTGAGGCTCCTTCAACACGCGGATTATCGCCCACCTATCGAGAGCTGGGCTCGGCGGCTCCGCGTTACTGCTGCATCGGCATCCATTCGGTTCGGCCAGGTGGCTCTCGGGGCTTTAAACTGACACCAGCCCCTCATGCCCCAGACAGCAGCCGCAGAGTCACAAGCCCATGTAAGTGCCTGACCTGACTCCCCAACAACCCTGTGATCAACAGTCTCCCCCGCCTCCCAGGGCCTGTGTGCCTTCTGGGTCCCTTAGATAGGGCCCCACGGGGTTTACCAAAACCCCGCTCTTCAGGACTGAACTGACCCATCTGACCCTAACCCAGAGACCCCAGAGCAAAACACTGGGACCCTCGCAAAGCCATGCACCCTGGGTGCTGCCTCTCCCCGAATCTGTGCCACGCCGTCACCGCCCTGCATGGCCCTTCATGGTGCGCAGTGTGCCGCCTCCGAGACCAGTGAGTAACCAGCCTCTCTGTCTGCACCTGGCTCGTGGCCTGAGGCTTAACTGCCACTCAGCATCTGGTGCCTGGTGCACCACCTCACACAGGCTGACTTTACAGAGTCATGGCACCGTTTTATGGATTCACATAAAAACCAGTGACGTGGCCTGGGGAACCCTGGGGGTGTGGAGAGCAGACCCAGTGACCTTGGAGTCCCGCCGAACACGGGGGCAGAGGGGCCTTGTTCGTCTCAGCTCTGGGCAGACAGTGGTTTTCTAAAACTTATCTCTTAAATGGGAGCTATGCTCCCAGCATGACAGAAACCACATCTTCCAAAATCCAGAGGGGAGGTGTCTGGCAGACACCCAACCTGATCAACAGCACAGGGGATTTAAATTGGGGAAGGGAAGAACCTAGTTAACCCAGAAAAACTGGACATGGCGCTTGGATTTACTCTCAAAATACGACCTACAAGGAGAACTCGACTCTAGAGGGAGGCCCGGGGACAAGATGGGAGTTTGAACAATACCCATCACTGTCCTTGGGAGGGTCCCAGGTAACAAACAATGTCTCCCTGCAATGTCGCCGCAAAGAAGCAAATATAACTTAATTATGCTTTAGCTGTAGAAGGGTGTATGTAACTTTTGCAGATGAACATTTTCTGAAAGTTGGGTGATTAACCTTTTTTGCTTGTTTATAAATAAACCGCGTCCTGGGAGGGGAGTCCCCACCTGCAGGTGGGGCCCAGGAGGCTGGAGGAGAGGAGCCGCGGCCTGCACGGTGCGGGGGCACCGTGTGCTCAGACGGCGGGCGCCCCGGGCAGTGGACGTTGTAAACAAGGCCACAGAGCTGGTCGGACATGACCCAGCTGATGTCCTCACAGCACAGGGGGCAAACACAGGGCCCGCGGGCCGAACCCGGCCCTCCACCTTGTTTCTACCCCGCGGCAGCACCGAGCCCCTCGCCCTGAGTTAAGGAGCAGTCACATTTATGCTGTCCTACAATTACACGTGGCCCTTTGAAGGCCACCTCAAGGCTGATGTGGCCCCCGGTGGAAATGAGTTTGAGAGCCGGCCAACACAGACGAACGGCCATGATCGGCCAGTTACAGTGGGGACCAGAGGGAAACCGGAAGTGCTGCTGTGTGAGGCGGCCGCGGGACGACCCGTGTCACGACCATGCACACGCACACGCGCAGTCTAGGGCTCCAACGGGAAAAACGAGGATAATGGAAGGAGTTGACATGGCAGGTTAACAGGACTGTGCATGAATATTCCCTTTTCCAATGCTACATGGGTGGGGGGACTATTTAAACACCACACTGGAGCCACGGAGAGAGGCGGGAAGCACTTGCCTGGTCGAGGCTTAGGCTGGCCACCATCAGAGCGGTGGGGCTCCCTTCCAGTCCCGTCTGAAGGAACACCTTCCTCAAGTCCTCCTTGAACTCCACGGGGGCGTAGCTGTGGGACACCGGCATCTGGTACGCTTTGTGTTCCGCCAGGTGGCAGGCCAGCGTCCCGCAGGCTTCCTTCCCGCATCCGTCCATCCCGATCTTTGGGAGGAGAAGAAACTGACATTGCGTCCTGTGAGGCCGCTGGGGCCTTTCACTGCCGGGCTTCCGGCTGGAGGTGCCCGAGCTGGAGGCACCTTAGGCGGCCTTGTGACTTTTGTGGGGGAGGGGTATGTGAAACAGAGTGTTTTATCAAAGCCTCTGGAGCCACAGAAGAACGTCACTGGAAAGAAACTTGGAAAAAGAACTTACGTGGGCTTATAACTGACCAGTAGGTCGTTGTCAGTACTGACCCTTCACTGGTGAGCATTTAGACAGGTCTTTTCCCATTTACTTGGAGCAGCAAGCAGTTAAGTGCTTTTGGTAAAGAAGACAAAGGGTCGCCTTTTTGAAATAGCTGTACTGAAATGTAACCTACAGACTTCATCTATGTTAAGCGTAAAATAGTTCCTCTAGGGATTAAACTTTATATTTTAATTTACAAAGCACATTAATTAACATAGTATCAATAAAGCATATTTGTTAATAAAGTATTAATGCTAATAATTAATAAAGTATATTTAATTTATTAATTTAATACACTTTATATTTTAATTTTAATAGATGGATAAATTAGAGTTCGAGTCATACTAGCTTGATTCCAGTAAAATATGGGAAGTTTGCCCTAACAGAGTCCCATTTCTTCCCTCCTCTGTTGTGCTAGTTATTATTGTATATACTAAACCTTTGTTATAATCCTAACAACAGTTTTCTAATTATTGTTCTGTGCAACTGTTTTCTGGAGCAGCTAGGAGAGTACTAATACCTGTGTCACTGTCTGGTCTGTGACAGGCAGGCAGAACGACATCTTTGCCACCCCGCCCCCAATAACACGGCCACATCACATCCCCTGGATGGCAAGAGACTTTGTCCATGTGACTGAGGGCCTTGAAATGGGAGGTAGTTGGTGTTACCTAGTTGGGCTCAGCTGCCTCAGAAGCAGGGGCACGTTCCTGAGTGGGGTGGGAATGGCAGGCAGGCAGACAGAGGGACAGAAGTGTGGTGGCTGATGAAGGGTCAGGGAAACGCCACCTCGCCAGCTTGGGAGGTGTGGAGAGGGGCCACGAGCAAGTGAGGAGCACGGCCCCGAGTCCTGGAAAATGTACGGAAACAGACAGAAACGGTCGCCGAGACAAATACTCATAAATTAGTGAGTCAGCTAATTGGCCGAATATGTTGGATTTCATGCAGTCTTCCGAAAGCTTTTCTCTCTTCAAGGTATTTGGGGATTCTCCAAGAATTTAGCTCCCACATGTTTTCATGACAAGTACAACTTTGGGCGGAGACTCAGGTTTCTCAATCCAGTGAGCGCACTGTTTTGGTGCGTGGTACCCAGCACAGAGAGAGCCTGTTAATGCTCAGGGTACGGGGGCGGCGGTGCCCGAGCCACCCTTTTATCCATATCCGACACTTTCTAAAACACACGGCACATTTAGGTGCCGGCACATTTCTCACTCGGGCTCTGGAGAGGACAGGAGTCTTGGCCTGTGGCTAGTGACATTGACCTTTCCCATACGGGAAGTCAGGATGGACAAAGTGTCTGCGGGCCGAGCAGGTTTATCAGATTCCTTCAACTTCCACTTGACGAGCTTTAAAACCCGGGGGTGGGGGGCGGACGTCAGGACGCTCACCAGCAGCATGTGGCTCCCTGGCTGCCGCAGGACCCTTGCTGCCCGCACGATGTGCTGCACCGCCTCCTTGAAGAACACCATGGACTGCGAGATCTGGCAGGGGACACGGGGCGGGTCAGCTGGCTGCAGGCGCAGACAGCGTTCGTTTCGGCTTTGCACGTGAGGACGTGCACATGAGGGTCACTGTCCCGGTCACCTAGGCCCGGTGAGCTGGTTTGCCTCCCGGGCAATGAACCGGCACAGGGAGGACGGTCCCCAGGCGGTCAGGTCCCCGGCAGTCGGTTGAATGGGACTGGGGCTGGGCGTGGGCAGACGGGAAGAGAACAAGGGAGAAGGCAGGACCGGCTGCTGTTCTGCTGCCCTGTCTCAGGGTAGAGTGAGGGGTGGGAGGAAGAGTCTCAGGACGTGGGTTCGTGTTGCGGGGGGCTCTGCTGGTGCCCCTGTGCCGACACGGCCCTGCCCACAGCTACGGGGAAGGTGTGAACGAGTGCCGCCCATTCTGCTTGTTGCCGCCCCAGACCCTGCACCTCCCTCCCTCTCTCTCTCTCTCTCTCTCTCTCTCTCTCTCTCTCGTATTTCCTAATTCCACCAACTGGAATTATTCAACTCCCTCCAGCCTCGGCTGTGCACCAAGTACTTAAAATTTTACCCTATTAAATGAAATGAAATAAGATGAAATAGCATATAATTGTATTTCTAATGGCCTGCTTTAAAATATGAGGGCACTTTTTTCCCCGAACTCTCTCCCCTACACACACGCGCGCGCACACACACACACACACACCTTAAAGATATTTGATCTCACATACATATATGTGTGCCTATATAAATAAATGTATACATATCTATAGTATTTCTCATCTTTTACATGTTTTTACCTCCAAAGACGCTGAACTCAACTTCATCTGGAATTTATGAAGAACCTTGGCTAGTTTATCATAGTCACTGGTATTCTGATAGATCTTCTTTCTATGAGACTTGTTGATATCCAGGAAATCCACAAATACGGTTGAGTCACTCATCAGTGATTCTTGGGTCCACTGAATCTATTGTAAGACAAAAATTTAATAGTATCTGTTGAAAGCACAGCTCTGCTTTTCAGAACTAATGGAACACACCTGAGCCAGGGAAGCTCTCTACACAGCAGAGCTAGACCTCGGGGTTTCTTAACCCAGACCCCTTTTGGTGGTGAGAGGTGTGGTCTTCTCAGGATAATACTTTCAAATGCATACAGCAAGATACGAAGGTTGCACAGGAAACGAAATCCATTGAAATGCAGTCTCATCTAAGGGCTCCTTGAGGGTCCCTGGGTCCCATGGTAAGAACCCCATTGTGGAAAAACCATTTTGAGGTCTCACCAACAACTTGAGGAAAAAAAAAACTTCCCTTAATTGTTCATTACCACCACAGATCTGCGAGCGTCCACACATGCTTTCCCGGCCCACTCGGAGAATTTGCCCGTCCCGCACACCAGGGTCACCGGCTGCCTCCTCTTCGAAGCCTGACTGTTTCTCTCCCCCCTGAAGCCGGGCAGAGAAGAGTAGGTTTCTCTGCTTTGTGGCACCACCATGGCGTGTGCACGGGTCTGTCATAGCACTTACACAAACGCGGCACACTTGCCAGGCTGCAAGGGGTTTGGAGGCAGGGCCCACACCGGTTCCGGGCACGTGTCTAGATCCATCTTTAGGCCTTGTCACCAGGGTTCTCTCTTCTCCCTGTCCTCATTGACACGTTACTTGTTGATTTACTGATGATGGCTACTCTGACAGGTGTGAGGTGGTATCTATCTCACTGTGGTTTTGATTTGCATCTCTGATGATTAGTGATGATGAGCATTTTTTCACATGTCTGTTGGCTAAATGTATGTCTTCTCTGGAGAAATGTCTTTTCATGTCCCTGCCCATTTTTTGATCAAATTGCTTGGTTTTTTTTTGTTATTGTGTTGTATGTATTTCTTACATATTTTGGAGATCAACCCCTTAAGAGATCATTTGAGAATATATTCTCCCATTCAGTAGGTTGTCTTTTTATTTTGTTGAAGGTTTCCTACACAATAACATGCTTCCTGACCTCAAACTATACTACAAAGCTGTAACAATCAAAACGGCATGGTAACGGCACAAAACCAGACACAGATCAATGGAACAGAAAGAGAGCCCAGAAATAAACCTAGTTTTTGCGGTTAACTGATCTATGACAAGGGAGGTGAAAACAGACACTGGACTAATGACAGTCTCTCTATTTTTCAATTACTCTCGTAGACCACGCATGAGAAGAAACTTGAAGTGGGTTAAAGACTGAAACGTGAGGCCTGAAACCATACAACGTCTAGAAGAAACAGGAAGTAAACTCTCTGACATCAGTGTCGCTCTGCGTGATACCTTTTTGGAAACGTCCCTTTGAGCAATGAAAACAAAAGCAAAAATAAACAAGCGGGACTCCCTCACAGCAGAGGAAGCCTTCAACAAAACGAACAGTTACAACCCTTTTACTATCCATCAGTTCACTGAAACGCTGGCTTTGGGTACCTAGACCAAGAGGTGCCGTGGAAACCAAAGTTCAATGAAATGCTCGGCTGAAGTTCAAGGGCTGGAGAGGGATGAGGACCTTACGGAGGTGTCCAGAGAGCGCCCACTCCTGCTGGTTCTGGAGAAAATGAGCGGTTTGAGGTCCCGTGGGGGCCAAACCTCTGAGCAAAGGCATCGAGACCTTGACCTTTCTATCGTATCTAATCCGTATTTATCGTCTTCAAGTGAAACTTCCTTTCATTAATATGACAGAAATATCCATATACATGAGTAAAACAATACTTTTGCCCAAGACACCATCTAAAATAATTTTTAAAACACAACTTTACTACCTGGAAGTAATTCTCAAGTTCCTTTGAAAGAAGCTGATAGAAAAGCCTTCTTTCAGTATGTTCGATTAAGCGATCGTGAAACACTCGGGCGGCTTCGTGGGTGAAGAGCAGAGCAGCCATGTCCTTGGAGTTGACGACGGCCTTGTCTGCCTGCAGCAGCCCGAGGAGGAGCTGTTAGGGATTCGAAAACAACACTTTTTACACCATTAGCAGGAAGCGTGGGAGCAAGACCTCAGTTTTTGTAGGTTTACGTTTCCATACAAATAGAAGCAGCAATCCAAGGTACGAAGTGACAGTTTCTACCTGTGACCATTAGGGGGAAGATGGTTTCAGGACCCCCCATCCCCACCCAGCCATGCCCAGAGCAGGAGGAGGCCCTGCCAGGATGGGAAGCATGAGCCCAGACCTCGGGGCTGACAGGGACGCAGGGCTGGTGGGGGCCTCGCAGTGCTTCTTGAGGTTCTATTCCAAGATTCCTAATTTGCATTTAAAAATCTCTTACACCCTGCCTGGTGTAGCTCAGTGGATTGAGCGCAGGCCTGTGAACCACACAATCACGGTTCGATTCCTAGTCAGGGCACATGCCGGTTCCTGGCAGGGGACTAATGAGAGGCAACCGTACATTGATATTTCTCTCTTTCTCTCCGTCCCTTCCTCTCTAAAGATACATAAATAAAATAAAATAAATTTATAAAAAAATTAAGTCTTCATTAAAAAAACATCCCTTATAAACCACTTCGAACACAGTGTGTGCTACTTTCGTCTAAAATGCCATAGCCAGCGGAGAAAGATCAAATTCATAAATTGTGTTTCTTAACATTTTACTTCAGGAAATCGCACATGTGATGGAAGCCAATGACCAGTCCGCACTGTTGGCAACGTGCCCTGGAGTGAAAGCCGGGACAGCTCCGAGCCCGTCGGTGAAGTTCCTGCAGGCTTCCGTTCTCACAGTCTCACCAAACCCTCAGAAATAAAGCAAAACCACGATCTACTTTGTAACCGTGTCACTCCTGTCCCTGCTGAGACCCCCCAACGGGCACTCTGGTTGTCACCGACTGCTCTGCGGGGAGCTGTTCCAACGCTTCCTTAATGAGCTGCTGGCAAAGAGCGGCAGTCATCAACCCGAGTTTCCTTTCTGGCCCCTCTTAACAATTAAATGCCGACAGCATCAGTAAGTCAGGACAACAGAGAGAGGGGGAGAGAGGGTCAGTCAGTGAGATCACATTTCCTCGACTTAAATATTAAATGAGCTAGAGAATGAGCTTTAAAACAAACCTTAAACATGTCTTGAAGATTAAACATGTAGTGACACTTTGTTGGCGTCGGCAACATGCTCTGACACATGTGATGGTACATGGCCAGCGAACAAGACACTATTTGATCCTTACTTCTCTGCACATCGGCTGTGAAGTTGTAGATGGAGAAGTAGATTCCCAAATGGACCTGTAAAAGGGAATTTAGTAACTCAGTTTGCCCCAATGCTGAGCACAGACTGCTCCTAGCTAGATTCGACTGAAGGAGGGGATGTGTGTGCTGTACGGAGGGTACATTTTACTTAGAATGTTAGTAATTAGAGTCCACTTTAAACAAACAGCAGCCCCGTTAAAAAACATTCTAGATGTTACAGATCAGGGAAAATTCCAATGGGTCCCAGTTCCTTGAATGATCGAGAGGCGTGTATCCGTTCTCTGGGGCCTGTTTACGCCCCGTCGGTGTGCACACCGGGTGTGCGGGGAGTCCTTCCATGTTCCCGCTCCCTGGTAGGTGCTACCAGAGGAAATACACCGGAACATGACAGAACTAATATTTCAGCTTGGACTGGTATACGGATATACACTTTTCTACATCAGGTTTTCTCGAGGTGTTGATTACTGATCACCTGCAAAGTTCCTAAGTGCTTTTAAAAATGGTTAAAATTGTATTAAAGCTGTATTTTGCTGTGTATAACGTGCGCCCACATTTTTGTGCGCATACGCACGGGATTATTGTACCCAAAGTATGTAATCATTCTACCCACGTATAATGTGCATCCTTATTTTTAAAATATTTTATTTATTTTATTTTCTTAGAGAGGGGAAGGGAGAAAGAGGGAGGGAAACATCAGTCTCCTCTCACGTGCCCCGCACTGGGGACCTGGCCGGCAATCCAGGCATGTGCCCTGACGGGAATTGAACGTGCAACCCTTTGTCTTCTCAGTCCAGCACTCAACCACTGAGCCACACCAGCCAGGGCTGCATCCTTATTTTTCCCTCAAATATTTGGGCAAAAAGGTACACATCATACACAGCAAAATATGGTGAGCTTGAAATTTTATATGAGAAAGAAGAGCAAATGTTTAGTTTTGAAAAATTTAGGTCCCAACCCGGGGTGATGGAAGCGAGTTTGACTTTGGGTGGTGGGCACCCCGAGTGCAAGAGACAGTCGTGTGTCACAGAAATGTACACCTGAAACCTACGTGACTATATGAACCACGTCGCCCCAATACTTTAAAAAATAAAAATTTAATAATCCTGCGTAAGATATAGTTATCTAATCCAACTAGATTTCAACTGAAGCCATTTTTCTGATAAGATAGTCAGAATTTTTTTATCTCATTACTTTTTATCCTGTAAGAAAATGAAAAGACTCAATCAGTTCTAGCAAGAATCGGGTACGCCTGCTAACGGGTCCCTGAACTCCCTCCCGATACAGTGAGTTGGAATCTCTGCGGACAAACTCGTGGGGTCTGCATTTAAACATTCACTAAACAAGCCCTAATGTGTTTCTTACACACATGAAACTAGTTTTGATATTTAGGGACAAATCGTAGTAGGCCAGAAAATAGAGAGAAAGTAAAATTCATCATCTGAAGGTAGTTTTTGTTCGATATTAGTGGTTTTAAGTTCTCACACCTCCCCCCATAGTATGGAATTCACTTTTGTTTTCCCGGTAGAAAACGAGCTAGACGTGTGACCTGGAAGATAGTGTTCAGGGCACTCTGTGAAGGGTGAGGCAGCACCAGGATGGAGAAGTGTCTGAGGAGGCGGGGGCTCACGTCCCTGATGCCGACTGAGGGGGTGCAGGCTGCCACCAGGGACAGATCTGGAACATTCTGTGGGAAGAGTGAAAACGGAGACTAACTAAATGCATCTGTGGAAAAGGAAATGGGTTCCCACTTCCCCCAAGTGGACAAGAGACTTCAAATGTTGAACCAAAAAGATTAAGCTTATTATTCCCTGCAAAACAAAAACTGTGATGGTCATGGAAATCTATCTTCTTAGAAGTAAGCCCTTCCCCCAAAAGGTCATTTCAAGATATGTGCTTCCCAGGAACCTTTCTAAATGACATCAGGAAATAGCCTATTTTCACAAAAGCCATCCCTGGAAAATAAGCAATCTGCTCCTGGGGCCGCCAGAGAGGATTTGGCTGTAAGTGAGAAGCCAGGGAAGGAGCGGGGAGTGAGTCTCCGGAAAAGCCAGCTTTGACCTTGGGGGAGAACATGCCTGGCTACAGAGAAACAGCTGCCTGAGGTCTCAGGACATCCCAGCAGCACAGAGCTGGGTGGAGCCCCTCGGACAACCCAATGCTCTCCCCACAGGGTTGCTGTTCACAGCCCTTGCCCTGACCCCTGCCCTCAGACACAGAATCCCATGAAAAGCCTGCCCCGCTACGCTCTTGTCACTTCAAGGTGCTTCTTCCGGTCGTGCGTTCCAGCCCATGTCTCGCTTCCTCTTTTTCCCTCGTCTCCTGGACACTCCCTGGGTGACAGCACCTTGATTCTTTGGGCTCGGGTCCATGCCTGGGTCACAGGCTGACGGTGTCCGAGCTGCCACTGCTCACCAGCCAGCGTGCGTCCTCTGGGCTCCTGGGCCCAGGTTTGCCTGAGACCTGAAACCACTTGGTGACGTAGCCACACAATTTCACAGAAGAGGAACCGAGGCCCAGGAGGGTACAGTGGTAAGTCAGTTCGGGCGGGACCACAGGGCTTAGGTTTCCAGAGAAGGAAGTGCGTAACATTTAAGCCATTCTGACTTGGGCCGGTGTTAACAAAAATAATTGCCCAGAAATCCCTTCTTGAGATTTTCCTTTTTGACTTTGTAATACTTCTAAAAATCCTTGACCTATGTTTTGGAAAGCAGAAAAATGTGAGCAGTCTTACATAGAGATTGGCTTTTCCCAGAGGTACTAACTGCGGAAGCAATGACTCAATCTGACTCACTATTGAAATCTAAACCTACAGGACATACTTGCAATTTTCACTAAGGTTTAATCCTACTAAAAGCAGAATTCCTATGAACCCAGGGACTTGTGCTCAACTGCAAAGATGTATTTGGCATAATTTTTTGGCTCTACACATCCATTTCACTAGGTTTTCTAAATTTCTCACTTAATCAACTCAACATCGTTGTAAGTATTTAGTTTATTGTTAACTAATGACATTAAACATGAATTTTACCTTCCATGCAACTTTTTTAGTATCGTAGAATCCTCCCAGATCTAATAGTTGTCTGATTAACTCCAGGGGCGGCTGTGCTCCATACGCGTCTGTCTCTGGCATGTTCAGATCATCAACGAACACGACGGTCTTAAGGAAGACAAAAGGTGTTAAAAACTATTCATCAGTATTGCCTTTCTTTACATTATGAATCAGAAATATTAATCATGCTATGGTGCAAAAACAAATGCGTATGTAATGACATCCTTTTTCTTTTAAAAAGTAGCAGACCAAATTTTATTTTGGTATGACTTTAGAAAATAAGTTTTCAAAATAGCAGAAACGCTACTTATTCTCTACAGGCCTATGATACTAACAGTTACAGAACATTTGATGCTGGATAAAGTAATCTAATCACGCTGATCACAAAGGAACAGATGCGACTATTATTCACTCGACGTTTACTTCCGGAGCGGCTGCTACAGGCCAGGCACTGCTTCAGGTGCAGAGTGTTTCTTTTGCCTGCACCTGGCTTAGGAATAAGACCTGTCCTGTGGAACTGGGCTTTCACAGTTCCGCTGCAGATGCACTTGTCATGAACAACCAGCAGGAAGTTCAGACGCGGCTGCAACTTTTAAACTTGTGTTCTTTGCACTTCTGAAAATATTATGCCCTGAAGTGTACTGATTACCAGTATAATTTCTGTGTACCTCAGCCCCCTTAAATTGTAGTTATTCTTGTAAAACAAGTAAAAATTTAAAAAACATGAGTAGCAATTTATTTTGAGTTACCTAACTACCCAACCTGTAACTTTCAATGCCATTTTTAGATGCTCATTTTCCCATATTGTATCACAGACTGATGAAGGACTGCTTTGACCAAAATGTCCCCTGCGTGCATTTTTTCATTTGTGTGATCTGGTTGAGCAATTGCTATCCTTTTCAAAGTTCCTAAAATGTGCCCAGTTAGTCAAAGACCCACCAAACTCGTCCAAACCTTTGGTTAAAATGGAGGAAATCTGAAGCAAACCTTTCCAAGCTTCTGAAATGGACAGCCCTGGGGGTCAAACTCAGGTATCGCTCAGGGCCCCACGTGAGGACTTCTCATCGATGCCTCTGAGCTCGTTTTACGTTCCTGCACAGGAACTGCTGACGTGAAGTTAATCGGGACAGAGGGTTTGGCTTAACCAGGGGACAGTCGGTGACTGCCTGGAAGATGGGCTAAGAACAGGGAGTGCACGACCCCCTTTCCACAAACTTCTCTTTTTCTTACGTTCTCAAGCCAGGTTTGCGAGAAGAAAATGCAGTAAAGTGTACATTGATTAAACAATTGGCACCTAACTCATTTTCCAGTTATCTGCTTACATTGGATTCAGATTCCAGTAGCTTCTTTTGGTCTTAGTAATACTGAATCGGTACGACTCACCAGGTTAAAAAATGAGTCACAGTGATTTGAAAACTAAAATTTCCATTTAAAGTGCATTTAAATATTCAGGAGTATATGTTACACTTGCGTTTCTATGTTCATTAGTATTTATTAAAACAAGTTTATTGGTTGTTTAATAAATAACATGTATTTATTAAAACATGCCATCGATTTAGTGTGAGCAGGTTAGTCGACCAGTCTGAGAGGTGGTTTACCCGGCTGCTTCTAGGTACTCCAAGAGCGTCTTTCGTTCTTCTTCTGCACTTCTTAAGAATCATCTCCTGGATTTTGGCAGCTGTTATTTTGATGTTAAAATTTATCGTAGAGACCGTAACTCCCTTACTACTATCATTACTTTTAAATAAAATCTCATCCGATTTTCCTGGCTCTTTAGTGATCTTATCTATAATGTCAAGTACGGAAAGAAAAACAAATTTAGAAATACTTTCAAAATATTTTTTGCTTTATCGTAAGTATTAAGAAGTATGGAAATGATATAATTTTACTACATTGCTGTCATTCTAAAGAAATCGGTCTGTGAACAAATCATTGAGGGAAGGAACATCAACCTGGAAATGTTTCCAAATATGTCCTCATTTTTATGTGGGGAACACAGCCAAGGGCCACAGTATAAAAGCTCTGACAACCCTCTATTCATTTATTCACAACAGACACATGTCACTTTTACTGCTTTAAAGTATTTAGACTTGCAACATGCTATTTTTTAAATGAAACTGCACGTGGAAGATCTAAAAGCAGCATTTGGTGCACCCACAGAGGCATTGAAATGAGAACACTGTCTCTGAGTGAGGGTCATCCTGAAGGTTATTTAGGATGGCGCTGGAGCGAGAGGAAAAGGAACCCAGAAGGACCCTTCCGGTGGGAGCCTCCTGGCCAGGCTCCTTCCCCTGCGCACGGCTATCCCAGGGCCACCCCACCTCTTCCCCTTCAGTGGAGCTACCACGTCAGAAACTTCATGGATGGAGTTCCTGAGGCCTGCGTGTGCTCCTACTGCACAGTCTGATTCGAGGACTGGGGAACCGTAACTTCCCCACTGCGTTACTTCTGTAAGCATCACAGACCAGAATGGGCAGAGGTCACCCTCGGTTACTTCTGGCCTTGGTCCGGGGTCCCACCGGTCCCCAAGAGTCCCCAGCCCCTCCCGGTACACAGATGTGACCCTCCACTGAGGGAAGGAAGGTCTTCAAACTATTGTAATACATACCTAGGTTTCCAGTTGCTGTTTTATGAGTTTCAGAGAGCAAGATGCTGATATTTTGTCTCAGGCTGTTGGAATAAGACATTTTCGAAATTCAATATTCACTTATTTACCTTAGGAACCATATGAACACAATAAAATGAAAGCATCAGTGGGTGGCTGATTTTACTCCTATCTCCTATGAAGAAACAAATTTACTTCTCCTCTTCACATTTTTTACAGATCAAGTTAGCACCACTATCGGAACTGAGAGCCAAATTTAGCAACATGGCGTGCACTCGAAGACGCAAACTGGGCGAATTCCTAGGAGGCCCCGCCATGGGGCGTTTGGTCTCGTGGATCAGCCAACGAAAGCCCGCTCCCCTTCATTCTGGTTTTGTTCCCAGGTCTTCCCCTGCTTTGGTTACCTTTCCATATTGGTAAAATCCACTGCAGTTTAAATATTGGACACACAGCAGAACTTTAATTTTCTCAGACTCTATTCTTTATGATTCTAATAATGTAGATATGGAATGATTCTTATTGCATTAAATGCTTCAAAAACAATTTCTCTGCAATTTTAAGGCCTTATTTCAGTGTAGGGGGATTCCAGTCCAAAGCAGCTGGTGTCAGAGGAGGGGGATGGAGTCAGGGACCGGAGGACACTGAAGGGAGACATGGAAGGACGGAGGACGTGCTGTGGAGAGAGAGCAGACCTCGTGCAGGTGGTCGGGTCAAGGAGTCTGGCGAGTGGACGGAAGGGCTGATACGGGCCTCCCCACAGTCCGCCTCTTACTGCGTTCAGACAGCAGCAGGCTTCTCTGCTGTTTCAGCAGAACCAGAATTCCCTTCAAAATGTGTGCTTTTTGTTTGCACAGCGTAGACACACACGTGATGACCGAGACACAGTTCTCTACATGGTGGTGCCTTCGATAAGAAGGAAATATATTGCCCTGGCTGATGTAGCTCAGTGGACTGAGTGTGGGCCTGCGAACCCAAGGATTGTGGTTCGAGTCTCAGTCAAAGCACAGGCCTGGGTTGCAGGCCAGGTCCCCCATAGGGGACGCATGAGAGGCAACCACACATTGGTATTTCTCTTCCTCTCTCCTTCCCTTCCCCTCTAAAGATAAATAAAATCTTTAAAAAATGTTAAAAAAAAAGAGAGAAGGAAATACATTTTAGTGAAACACAACCAATTCTGCGGAACACTTTATTTGTATGTTTATCTACATTTTCCCAGGAAGGAAAATAGTTTATATCTGTACTTTGTTAGGTAAAAAAATATCAAAAATTAAATTTAGTGTCTTTAAATATAAGATGTTCTCAATTAAAGAAATTAATCTGGTTGTTAATACTTTGGAAAAGGGAAGATTTTTAACTCCTCTTTTGAATATTTCTGCATTTTTATACAACAGGTTTGCTTTTTGAAACAAGGCACACTTAGATACTAAAGCAAACTATTTCTTTTTACCAGACAAATCACATTGAGAGTTGTATACCACCTTGATTTTTTAATTTCGTTGTACAAGAGGACTTCTCCTAAGAGTGACCCGTACTTGACGTCCAGCCCTCCTGGGCTCTCTAACTTCTCGAGCATCTGATGGATGGTGGCCGTCTTCCCGACTCCAAAGTCTCCTTACGGGGGCAGGGGCAGGGGGGAGATACAATATGTCAGAGTTCTGTGCAAGAAGAAGAGCAAATACTAACAGATTCAAATGCACCGATACCATTTTCTTCCACGTGAAAACTGCGTGAAGAGTCTGGTTTTGCTCTTCCGTTTTTAAAAAATTGTGATTAAAAGTGGGTAAACCAAGCAGTTGATAATAAACACCTCTCAAAGTACTTATGTAATTTACATCTCTTACAGAAGAGTGTATTGGGAGTTAGCCATCACTTTTATATAGGGTTCATCTAGGCCCATCACAAAGGGTCTGGCTTACAGCACAGCAGAACTGCTACAGACAATTCATTTTCCCTGACAGTCTGGGGGCGGGGGCGGGGTGGAATAAAGTCCTGACTGCAGCAGAACGGGGAGTCCTGACTTTATCCGTCACCAAAGATGGAGTAAGGGGACCTCCTGAGTCCAGCCTGGGGCAGAGTGTGGCTTCTCTGAGCGTCCCCGCCTCACCGGCCTGAGTACTGACTCTGAGGGCAGGTCTGTAGGGAGAGGCAGCCGGACTTCTGGGTGGGAAAGGCAACGGGGTGGGCTGAGACGCGTGTTAAGGAACAGTAGAAGCTGTCTTGAATTATTCATTTGAGAAGGTTTACGACTGGCTTGAGGGATTATGTAAATTTTTTTGTAATGAGGCAATTTATTTATATGTTTTCTTTGCATACAGTTGTGTGTGGGTGCCAGTGTAAGCAAACCAGTCTCAGGCGCCCGCTGAAGACCTCGGCCCACAGGCTACGGAGGCCACGCGTGTATCAGCCCGACGCCACTGGGGTTTGCCGTGGAGTCATGAAAAGGTGGAAAAGACTTCTGACGTCCTGCACAGGTGAACTTGAGGAGAGGTGTGCCCTCACATACTGTCGGGAGGAACGTACGAAGCTTTTTAAGGCATTTTTTCCAAACTTATACAATAAAGTGGTGAGACGGCAATTCCTCAGACTCTTCCTAACTCTGAAATTCTCCTTCCTTACATACTGTGAATACCTGTGAGAAGCACAGGGCAGGAATTCTTTAGAAGCAGGCTCATGAGGAAAGAGAGGCATCTTGTGTCCCTGGTAGCGATGAAGTTGATGGTCTCGCCATACTCTGTCACCTTGTAGAGGTTCTCACTGGAGTCTTGGGGACCAGCCAGCATCGAAGTCCCTGAGTTAAAATTGTAAAGAAGGTGCAAACAGGCCAGAAAGAAACGTTCACTTCATCTCTTTGGTAGGTACTGAATACTTTAAGGACAGGTAGGTACATTATGAAACTATTTAAACATATACAAATAAACTGAAGTTGTGGCAAGTGCCTGGGGGGCTCTGCTGCCCTCAGCGACTGTCCCCTTAGTTCACACTCTGAGCTGGGAACTCGCCACAGGCTCCCGAGCCCCTCACATGCGAGCTCTCTGACCTTCCCGCCACCACACCTACCAATCGGGCCACAGTTGCTGACGAACTGCTTTTACAGGGAGCGTGTTCCCCACATTCCAGGGGAATTCGAGTGTGATTCCTGCAACAGCTCTTACCCCTTTGAATCAGCGTCTGAACACTGGGAAGCAGTTCCGCCCAGGGGATGAATTCCCCTTGCTGCAGGTCCACAAAATACCCAAAAACAGAGTGTTTTTCAGGTGGCAGCTTGATGCCTGCATTTGGAAAGAACAAATAGAAAAATACCAAGAAATCCAAGTAAGAATGACGTTCATTTATGAAATGTTTCATGAACAATAGGATCTCTCTTTGCGAGAGTCGACTATTGCACCAGAAATAATAAAAATTCACCACGGGTATATCCGAATCTATAAAATAAGCCTATAGTTTCTTCCAGGGTTTGGCTGTATAAAGGCAAAGTTTTATGAACTTTATGCCTTTTTTTCCCGTATCCAGAATGCCAGGTGAATCATGACCTGGTATCCTTTGAAATCTCAGCCAGAAGTTCTGCTCATTACCATGTGTGGGATATTGTCAAAAGCCAGCGACACACATATTGGCTGTGGTCACACAACCAATATGTTCTCTCTGCGTTAGAGAACTTCGGTACTTATCTGCAAATTATATTGACTATTTAAAAGTAATGCATTTTCTTAATAAATTCTAAAGGTTTTCTAATGAATTTTCTTAATAGATTTTAAAGCCTTAATAAATCTAAAGCTTTAAGAGTAATTTAGAAGCGGAAAAGAAGTCGGAAACTGTAATCATCTATGGAAATTTCTGCTGTATGGTGGTCTGTGTAATGCAGACCCGGCGATACAGTGGCTGGGCTCTCGGGCTGGGCTCCCAGTCTCGGGGCCTCACCTTGGCTCTGCCCGACCCGACTCATGGGTTCCTGGAGCAACAAGACCCAACCAAGAAGCTAATGTTCTCCTGCCTTCTTCATTGAAGAAAGGGTGCTGCAGGGCACTTATTAACACTCTTTTACCTTTAATGTTCACCTTTTAAAAGATGGGCCGAATCAATATAAGCCAGTCACAAGGAGTTTCAAGGTTACTCTCAGTTTGTTCTTTATTTCAATGTCTCAGGTTCTGTTTGGCTTGCTTGTTTGTTTTGGTGATTAGATTCCACTTACACACTTGTAGGTGAGATCATATGGTATTTGTCTTTTACCACCTGGCTTATGTAACCAGAGGAGAGGGAGGAAGGGGACAGATAACCTGGGAAAGCAGGGGAAGGCTCATCAAGGAACCCGTATAAAGGACCCACGGACGAAGCCAAAGGGAGGCAGGATCCAGGGTGGGGCAGGGGAGAGTCGTGGGGGGGAAATGAAGACAACTGTACTTGAACAGCAATAAAAAAAAAATCACAAAAAAAAGAGTTTCAAATTAATATTCTAAAGCAAGCATAATTATGCCTTTTCCTTGCTAGAACTTACCTACTTGTGGGTTGCCTTCAAATAATTCATGAACGAGGTCATCAAAATCATAGGTTACTCTGGTGAGAGAAGTAGGTTCAAAACTGGAATACAACAGTGTATCATTTTCATGCTCATCCTCACGTTTTAAAGTCCCTCCAAACGCCCATGTGAATGCAAACACGAAGAGCTTTTGGATCATTATCTTCAGTTTATCAGGATGCTTCTCCAGATACCATGTGTTGTCAGCCCTGGAGGGGACAGCTCTGGAGGGGCGAAGATTAAAGTGTTTAGCAAGCATTCGGTTAATTTATCTCAGTATCACATCAAAGTTTCCTTACTAAAAATTACAATAGTTAAGTGTTGACATAAAAACATTTTAAGTTAATGTATCATTTTCCTTCAGCAAGTCATCTAAATCATGGCTACTATTTTTCTTTTCAAAGCACCATATGAGCAAGAGATTTGCAGTTACCTTTGATTTATTTAGAACACATGACTCACTTTTATTTTAGGTCAATTTACTGGCTGAGAGTTTGCCTGCCTTTTGGAAGGGGATCAGATAATTCTCTATTTTATATAGAAGACACAAGCCAACGTCATTCACTGTGTACTCCTCTTAACCAAGTCCTAGAATGGACTCAGTTCCACGTGGCAGAAGCCAGGGCCTGTGAGTGTGGGCGGAGTCTCCTGTGACCCAGGTCGGCCTGGTCTTTGGGACCTTGAACTTCTATAGTGAAAAGGCCAAGGGGGCAGGGGTGGGACTGAACCAAGGCTTGGGCCTGACTTGAACACATTTCAAGCGGTTCGAGATTTAGCATTACCATAAAATTATTCATGTTATAAAAATCCTAAAAATACCTCACTGAACTGAAATGGATTGGCAACCGTTAATGTACGATGCACGTGTACAATTGCACCTGTACTTTCTAGTCACATGTAACAGTTTATTCAGCAAGTAAACTATAGTTACTGAATTTCGACTATGTATCAGTCACTCCAAGCCAAACAAATGTGGCCCCTTATTTCCAGGACAAGAAAATGAACAGTAGGCCAAGCTGAGAGTCAAGAGCAGAGTCAGCCACTCCATAGAGAATAACAGCGGAGATGACCTAGACCGTGGGAACCGGGGCAGGCGCCCGCCAGGAGCCAGCAGTTAAACTGAGACCTGGATGTGAGTGAGATTTGGCCAAACGGAGGCGGAAGAGCCACTGAGCAGAAGGGATACATGTGCCAAGAGCACAAGGTCAAAGGTCATGGCCAGTCCGAGGAACCAAAAGGGGAAAAAACCCAGGGGCTCGCCGAAGCATGCACCCCCCCCCACACACACGTACACACACACACAAACACACGCACGCGGTCAGCTGCAGACACTAGGTGGTGAGCTGCGCCACAGGGCTTTTCCTGGGCTTTTCCTTCATTCTGAGTGTCATGGGAAGTCACTGAAGACTATGCAGAGGAACATTCCAATTCGTGTTTTTTTTTTTTAAATCAAACTCCTGCATATAAATATGAGGAGGCAGGTACAAGCGTATCAATCACAGTAGCATTTGTAATCATGAAAACTGGACACAACCTGTATGTCTGTCCGTGGATAAATACATTGGACTGAGGTACACAATAAGCTGTCAGCCAGCAGTGGAAGTGGGCCAATCACAGGGACGTGGCGCTGAACAAAAACGTGGGACACGGAACACAGACCGTGACTCCACTGAAGCCAAAATGTGCAGCGTTGGAAGATGCAGAGTGTGGGAACCTATTACAACACAAAGCCCAGGACGGTGGTCATCTCGGATGAAGCGATACCATAAAATTGAGGTACGCAGGGGACTTCAAGGGTCAATTAACATGTTTTTTCCCCTGTAACTAACTGGTATGTACATGGATAGTGGTATATTGTGCTTTCTAACTCACACATATTTTACACATATTCTTTTACAGCTACCTGCTATTTAATGAAAATTAAAAATAATGTATGACTGTCCACTTGAGAATGGCCTGGAACCACTGAGGAGGCCAATTCATAGTCTATCGTGACAGCGCAGGCAGGCAATGGTACAGCCTGGGCCAGAACGCGGTCAGGCAGGATGTGTACGAAGGAGTGAACCCGCGGGCGGGGCTGACAGGCAGAGTAAAAACCATGTCCGGAATGTTCTATTGTTTAGAGGGAAATGAGACATGAATGTCTCGAGGACCCAAAGGGAGGCAGAGCAAGTCCTCGGCAGGGACTTTCCTGTCCCGCAAAATGGCAGAAGAATTATAGACTTAATAATTTCTAACACTGCAATTTATTGAGCACTTACTACGCACCAAGCACGTTCTACGTGTCTAGCACATCACATTACTCCAGTTTTTTTAAATGAGAAAAATCAAAGCTCAAAAATACTGGTAACTGGTTCAGTGTTTCTCATGTCATAAATGGCAGATTCACATGACACATTCATGTCAATTTTATTTTTTTCTCAAGTATGACAGAGAATGGACAAATGTATACGTTAGTCATATAACTTAGCATACAAATGTAGTTATCTTGTATTAAATATACAAGACATTATCTAAGCTGAAAGAAAATAAATTTCACTGGATTTAATGTTATAAAGTCATAAAAGTACTGGTTTGTTGACAAATGATTCTGTTTTCATTGGAGTGTCTGGCACCTAGTACGTATTGAAACATGTCTGTTGAAGGACCGTAACTGACCTCTCTTTCACTTCCTTGAATTTGACAGATACTTGTAAAAATGAACAGCTTTTCTCCTCAGTTGAAGTGTTCTCCAAATCTTCACCTTAAGAAGGAGAGAATATTTTTCCACAATTAACAGCAGACTTCAAGTTCAGCTGATTCACTAGTGAGGTTTAGTTGTCAACACCGTTCGGTTTGTGAATCATCAGAGGAGTGTCTTAGTTTTACATACAATACCTCAGACTGGGCTCACCTGGCCAAAGGGGGAGTTACTTTCCTAAGAAAAAAAGGGCAGAGGATGTACCTACAATTGTCCGAATCAATCCTTGTTTATTTGGAGCATAAATCTGCATACTTTGGTTCTCTGTTTTATTCCGGTAACTTTTCGTTAAAGCTGATGGTTCCACAGTGAAAACTAACACATCACAAACTAATAAACTGGCCGCTTCTGCAAAGTGGAGCACTGCAGAAGAAACCTGAATGCTTTCAGGTAGGAAACGTATCGAACCCTCTGCCAAACGGGTGCACCACAACTGTCTCCCTCCCGGGCACATCGCCCGCCTTTTTTGGCTCAAGTCATCTGTTTCACAGAGAAATGTAAAGAATAGGTAATTATTCATTCTTCCTTTTAGCTTTTTAATAAAAAAAATCACATTTGTTTTCTTTGTTAAAATAGCATAGGATTCTTGTAAAACAGGTAGAAATAATGAAAAGTATATAGAAGAAAATAACAATCACTTATAATTCTACCGCCCACAGATAATTATTAAATATTGATGGATTTTTATCGTGGTCTTTTTTATAAAAATATACTATGTAAATATTAAGTGTAGGATATTTTAAAATCTAAACTTAAATCATGGAGAGACTTCATTCTGCTTTTTATTTTATGTCTTATCTTTGTGTCTGTCCACTGAAACATGATATTGTTGCATCAATCACACTTCATGAATCTAGTCTCTTTTTGTTAGAATTCAGATTATTGCTGTTTTTCATGATTATAAATAATCCTGTTATAAAGCTCCTTGTGCTGAATCTGTACACTTCTGAGATGATCATACATTTCTAGAACACTAGAGTCTGGGGACATTTCCAGTGTATATTGCCAAGCGGATCACCGGGAAACGCTGAATCAACGCCTACGTGAGTACCTCAGTGAGAGTTTTCGCTGCAGCTCTAGCTGTGGTAATGGAGAGCAGGCTGCTAGGGCAATAAGTTATGATGTAACCACCACCACGAACCACAGGAGTGCTCCAAGTAAAGAGAGGGAGGTCCTTCAGCACCAGAAGCAAAGAAGGGAGTCAGAGGCAGGAGCGTCAATGCAGAGGTGTGCGCTGCCTGCCCTGGGGGGTGCAGCGGTGAGGTGGTGCAGCCACCGGGCCATGAGGACGAGCCCTCTGCACGCTGAGAGGAGGGCGCCCCCATCAGACCCCTGAATCAGCCCTGGGCCCTGCCGGGGCTCCCCATGAAGAGGGGACTAGGGAATCTTGGGCTGTTGGCCCAGCAAAGGCACAAGGAAACTTTTTCCTGCCTAGATTTCTGGGGGTAAGAGTGTCCTAGGAGAAATGAACGCTCGGGCTTGTGCCCTGAGCAAGTAGGTGCAGTCGGAGCAAAGCAATTCTAAATGGCCAGCATCCGTTTTGTTAACATTTTTATCATCTCTTGGCCCCGCCATGATGGCGCACTGTTCTCTTAACCCTTTCATTGCTCCTTACAGGTGGTTTGCCGCTTCCCACGGCTCTTTGCCTTGGTGTGAAATCCCACTGTTAATGTCTCCAAGAGTTTCTAAAACATGGCAAAAACATTCTTCCCTAACAGTGATCCTCTGAGGATTCTTCATTGTCGTTTTCTTTGTGACCAGTCGACACTTACAGGATGCTGATCTATTTCATCGAATGCTCCTCTGTCAGTGATTTCTAGTTTACGCCACGTGCCTGGCGGCTTTTGGTGCCGGCAGACTGAACGTGCCTGGCATTCCCTCCTTTCTTTTATGAAATCTAAAAGTGGCGGTTAAGTTACGGCACTAACTAGCTAAGATATAACACCATTAGCATGACTCGGGGAGAAAAAACTCACGTTGTCCGAAGCCTCCATTTTTACTCATGAACTCAAAGAAAGCATCAAGAATTCTGCAGAGGGTTATAACGATTGTTATATCTTGCACAGAAAATGGCTGAAATTTCTGATGTTTCTTTATAAACTCCAGTCCACTTCTGACACTGTTTTGAATCAAGAACTCAAGATAATCCACTCCTGATTGGCTCATAATTTTACAAGTTTTCAGGAGCCATGACTTAACATAAGGCTCCCATCCCAGATCGACGGGGTCCTAGCAACAAAAAGCACAAGACAATCTTATGTAAATACAAAAATACAGCTTCCCCCAGCTTTCTTACTTTTACTTACCGCTTCCCCTGCCAAATATGGTTCAGAGTCATCATTCGTTAAAAGGGCAAGTGATCAAAAAAGCTTAAAGAGTTACCCTCCTCTGAAGTGTTTGACTTTGAACAAAGGCCCTACAAGCCAATGAGCTCTTGGGACATTGTGGGTAGGGAGTGTGTAGGGGCTGTGCGCCCGCCCACCTGGTGAGAGGAAGCGCTCGCCCAGAAAGTCGTACTTAGTGGCATTCATAAAGCCGAGTTAACTGGGGCTGACGGCGGCGAGTCTTGAATTTCATGGATGGAAAACGATTCTTCTTCGTTGTGTCTTCTACCTCTTTGCTGCCCTTGGGAGCCTGTGCCCCGAGTTCTATGGGGCGTGCAGTGGGTTTAAAAAGGCTCCAGCCCATCTCCCCTCCGCTGGAAAAACAGCCCCCCACCAGCAGCCTAGCCCGTGAGCTGAAAGCACGTGGTTCTCACCGCCATGGAAAACGCTGATATTCCTATCACTGAGAAGTAGTGACAACGGTAGTAGTACATTCATATCCATCTTAGGGGACACTAAGCCTTTCACTGCTGGGCTCACTCTGCTGGTCACCATAGAACGAACAATGCAAAAGGCAGGAGGCAATGACCCGAGGTTACCCGAAACCACGTGTTTTCTTCCCGAGGGACTTCGAGTCTGAAAACTTACCATGTGGACCACCCCGCAGCGGCCGACGGTGGCGGGACTGGCCTGAGAGAGACTGTCCACTTCAAAGATCACTCTGATCTTCTCGGTTAAAGCGAGCCTCTCGCTGTTCGCCAGGCACAGTGTTCTCGTGTCATCCAGCATCAGGTTCAGATTCTCCACCCAGAAGGGGTCCACCGGGCCGTCCAGGACCACCCACTGCCAGTCGAACCCTGCGAGGAAAGCGCCTGCGATGGGACTGGGACGGCCTCGGTCCTCTTCCACCACAGTCCCGCAAACACTCTGGTTTTGTTCAGAAAGTGCTTTCTAGTTAAGGTTAGAAATGATACGCTAGAAAACATCAGAGCCAATGTGTTTGTCTATGGTCTTTAAAGTCTGTCAAATAAATACTCATACCATATACCTAATAAGGCCTTGAACGTTGTTTCCGTGATCTTAGGCAGCTGAATTGTACAACTGGCCCGTAAAACGTGGGTAAGGGGAAGAGGCATGAGCTCATCTTTTCCAGGACGAGGCTTGCATGCCCCCTCCCACCAGGAACATTCTGGGGAGACTCGGCCTCTGGGAAATAGGACAGGGAAATAGATGCCCTCGGAATAAAGAACCAGACAGACAAATTTCAGAGCACTCCCCCACACTGGGAGCCTGTTTACTCGATTTCCACACTCCGGACCCACTGCCTTGCTCTGGGAGTTTTAGAAAATCTGTCAGGATGGGGGAGGCATGAACGGGTGGCTTCAAAGACATGCAAATGCCGAGGAAGAACAGGAGAGGAAGAGCTGCAGGGATGGGCCCTCGTGGCTGAAACACCTGCCCTGGGGGTTTCCTTAAGACCCTATGAAGGAAACTGGTGCCCCAACACTGTACGAGTATCAACAAGTAACGCCCCACACTTTGGGAGTCTGAGGGGAGCGGAAGCTACAGCTGATGTCTCTTTGAAAGTCTGGAACAGGAGTGAACTTCAGGGGGATGTTGATTTGAGGTTCGCCGGGATGCGGTGAAAGCCGTGGTCTCGGTCCTGCAGGAGACCATCCGCCCCTTTGGAACAGGGTCCTCGCCACACGCATCTCTGCCCCCAAGCACACGGCAAAGAGGATTGGGGTGGGGGTGCTGTTAAAGTGAGACGTCCGTGCTCGAGGTACGTGCGCGGGCCTGGGGCCATGCGGCTGTCGGGAGCCCCACTTCGGAGGCAGCGCTGCGGTAGTTTGCCACCGCTGCGCACCACACAGTATTTATTTCTACCTGTAACGTCCACTTGGTATGAGCCAAAAGGGCTTTATAAGCTAACAGCCCTCACATTTACACAACATCATTATATATGTACGTGCTGTAATGTAACATGGGGCAAGATTATTCCAATTTTAAAAGTGCTCACGAGGGAAAAATAACAGTAGAACAAAGTATCACTCTCATCAAAAATGCTCGACAAATGTAAACAAAGCTCAGGTTGGTTCAGTGTGTCTTTTATGTTCAACAGTCATTTCATTAAGTTCAATTACAGCACTTACTCTCACTTTCTGTAATTTTAACATCTTTCTCCATCTCCTTAAAAATATTATCATCCATATCTGCTTCATCAGAGATAGGAAGTTGGAAAACCTAAAATAAGTCATCAATAACGTTTAGATTTTTATTTGATCATGTTTTCCAACTACAAGAAACTATACGTCACTATGCTTTTTTGTGTGTGATAAAATACGAAAGGCAGAAGGTTCCATAGTTGAAAAGACCAATATGTAACCACCACAGCACTATGTAACTGTTGGGACTACGGGTCATTTTCTTTTAGAGAATACTTTTTAGTTTTTCCCCAGAAAGGTAACACATGCCTGTTACATATTACTTAGTTAATACCGCAAAGCATGAAGAAGAAAGCAGGAGTTCTCTGAACTGCCACCATCTCTAAACAACCAATCGCAGTTGACATTTTGGTGGGTGGTTTTCCTAGACCTCCCCTCAGGACAGACTGAAAAGTTCAGGCTGCGTAGAGACACCCTGCAGGTCTGTCCACGCGCAGATTCCAACACCTCATCCTGAGCAGTTTGGACTGAATACGTTTGGAAAGGAGCCCAGGAATTCTAGTGTTACTATGCTCCCGAGGTGAATCTAATACGGCTTGTTCTCACACCAGTCTGAGAAGTTCTGATCGATGCACCTACTGAAGTCTTCCTTATCGGGGTCGGAGGGGCTTAATTATTTAATTCCCCAAAGGGGGTAAGAGGTCATCTGCTGCCTGCACCGCTTCCCTTCCACTGACAGCAGGAGGGGGAAGACCAACCTGTGAACTTCCCTATTTTACAACCTTGTCATTATGGAGTATTATTTTTTCTGTTTAAAAAAACTTTGCTAATCTATTTGGTTTCGAATATCTTTTTTATTAATATGGTTTAGCTGATGAAATATACTGGTAAGCCGATGAGGATACAACCTTTCAAATTTTGTTTTGCTATTCACATTTATTCTTTGGTGAATCTTGTATCAAATACTTCATTCGCTTTTCTATTAAAGCATTTCTGTACATCAGTGACTTGTAAGGTATGCTGGGGTATCAGAATCACCCCTTAATCCCCCTCCTGTAACAGCAGCATCGCTAACTTTATTGTTTACTGACCATTTTAAAACACAATGGCTTATTTTTATAGCTCATAATCTTTCTTTCTTAACTGATCATAATTTCTAAATTTACATTTACACTAGTATTTAATGGTGCTAATCTGTCTTTAGATAAATAATGAAATAACCCAGAACAGTAAAACTAAAAATAATTATTCCATATTAAACTTACATTAGATAAGTCTGAGATTCTTGACTTTAGTCTAGGAATGTTATCTTTCTTTGAATCCCTTTCAGTGTTTAAACACACATAATTTCGAATTGCTGCTGACAATAATCCATCGGTCCATTCCATAGTGTTAGGATCCAGGCATCCATACAGCTCACTAAGAGTGACACTCTTGGGGTTTAGAACGCAAATATCCACTTTGCCTTTTCTTCCTGCAATCTGAGGATAATCCAGTGTGGTTGTTTTTAAAGACATAACTATGATACGGTTATTTAATATTTGACATCGTTATTACCAAAGAGTTTTCGGAGAGATCTGTGATTCCAAAGAAAGCTCCTTTATAAAGGTAGCGGTTTGCGAGGAACAAGCAAAATGGATGCATTAAAATGAACCATTATAATAAAATACTGCTTTTAAAAAGTCTAGATATTACAAGTGATATCTCTGGAAAAATAATGAAGAAAAATTCCACCCTGCTCCCCCAGGAACACGGTCCGTGAGCAGGGAGGCGGAGGGCCTGGAGCCAGGGCTGGGTGCGGAGGTGAGGGCCAGCAGGGGGCCGTTCCTGGCCTCAGGGCAGAACCGGCACCCAGGCAGACCTGATCTGTGGTATGGCCTGGGGGGCTGCCTGAACACCTGGGGTCCACGCCACCCATCTCGGATCTCAGTTGGAAAAAGTGGCAGACACTGTAAAAACTGCGAGACTCTGGACTCACAGAAGCCTAAGACGAGAGACTATGGATGGAGACGTGTAACCAACCATCGAAGGCCCCAGGTTTAGAGGAGGGCCAGCTAATCCACGAAGAACGACCCCAGTACACACAGCAGGTCTACAAGGGCTGGAAAAGGGGGCTGTTTTTACTAATGTCTCGTTTCCAACAAATAATCTCAAGGCATGAAAACAGTCCATTCAAAGGAATACAATCAACTGAGAGAAACCATCCTTGAAGGGTTCACACATTGGACAATGCTAGACAAAAGTCTTTAACTGCACAAGGAGATGAAGGAAATCATGGCCAGAGAACTAAAAGAAATGAGAACAAGTAGGGAATGTAAATAAAGGGACAGAGGATCATGGAGCTGCAAATACAACTGAAATAAAAAATTCAACACAGACATCGATCAACAAAGTTGAGCAGACAGAAAAAAAGGTAAGTTATTTGAAGATGGGGCTGTTGAAATTACCCAGTCTGAGGAGCAGTCATAAATAAGGCAACTCTCAACAAATTTTAAAGTATTAAAATCATACCAACTAGCTTCTTCAATTACAATGGAATAAAACTAGAAATCAATAACAGAAGAAAAATTGAAAAAATTTCAGAAATACATGGAAATTTAACAACACACACTTAAACAACTAATGGATCAAAAGAAGTAGCTTCTGAGCTTGAGAACTGAAATATTTGAACATAAAAATACAACACACAGCCCTGGCTCCGTGGATTGAGCGTGGGCCTGCGAACCAAAGGATCATGGTTTGATTCCCAGTCAGGGCACATGCCTGGGTTGCAGGCCACTTCCCAGCAGGGGGATGCATGAGAGGCAACCATACATTGGTATTTCTCTCCCTCTCTCCTTCCCTTCCCCTCTAAAGATAAATAAGTAAAATCTTAAAAAAAACAAACCCCACAACACACAAAACTAATGGATACAATGTAGTACAAAGGAGAGAAATTACAACTACAAACACCAACACAGAAAGAGAAAAAGATATCAAATCACCAATTAATTTTATACCATAAGAAACGAGAACTAGAAGAGCAAACTAAACCCAAAGAGAGAAAAGGAAGGAAATAACCACTAGAGGAGATAAACAAAATAGTGAAGAGAAAAGCAATAGGGAGAACCAATGAGACCCGATGGTGGTTGTTTGAAAAGATCGACAAAATCGACAAACTGCCAGACTGATCAAGAAAAGGATAGAAAAGGCACAAACAAATCATACTAGAAATAAAAGAATGGACATTCGTACTTCTGTGAAGAATTTATTTATTTTTGTCTTTTTAAGTATATTTTATTGATTATGCCATTATGGTTGTCCCATTTCCCATCCTTCATTCCCTGCACACCCCCTCCCACCTGCATTCCCTGCTGCTGTGAGGAACTTAAAAGCATTATAAGAAAACACTATGAATTGTATCCCAACAAATCATATCATTTAGATGAACCAAATTCCTGGTAACACCAAAAATTAGCAACCTGACTCAAGCAAGAAATAGAAAATCTCAACAGATCTATAAAAAGTAGAGACTGAATCACTAATTAAAAACCTCCACCAAAGAATAGTCCAAACAGCCGGCAATGAAGTCTGCCAAACCTTTAAACAAGAATTACCACCCATCCTCCCCCAACTCCTGCGAAAAATGGAGGAGGGGGAACACTTTCTAACACATTCCCAGCGGCCAACATTACCTGACATCAAACCCACAGATACCACAAGAAAAGAACAGTTCGGCCAACATTCCTTACAAACAAGGATGCAAAAACCCTGGACAAGGTGCTGGCCACTGAACCCAGCAGCAACTTGAAAGGATTCTGCATCGTGACCAAGGGAGATGTATCCCCGGGATGCGAGGGTGGATCGACGTGAGAAAATCACCCAGTGTAACATGTCACCTTCCCAAAACGAGGGGAACGACCAGGTCATAGCTACAGGGTGGGAACCACAGAGACACCCATCCAGGGATGAAGAAAGACACGAGATGTGACGAATGGATGAACGGACATCCCACAGTGAAATGTTACTCAGCCGTAAAATGCAGTGCTGATACAGGCCGTAACCTGAGTCAACCTCAAACACATGTGAGAGCAGCCAGACACACGAGATCACATATTGTCTGATTCCTTTTCTATGAAATGCCCCGAGTGGGCGGGGCCACAGTGACAGAAAGCCAACAGTGGTTTCAGAGAATAAAGAGGGAAGGTAATAAAGAGCCATTTCTCAGTGGGCAGGGGGTTGTCCCTGGGTGATGAAGAAGCTCCGAAACAAGAGAGAGAGAGTGATGAGGACACCACGGCGTCAATGCACTAAATGTCACTGAACTGTCCCCTCAAATGGCTCCTCATCTGACTGGTGCATTCCACCTTTCAGTACGTGGTCTACAGTTGTGCCCTACCATGAACTGACCTCGCTGCTGGGCAGATGTTTTAAAGGTCCACCAAGATGGAGACGTAGGTGGAGGAACCACCTTGCCTCTGTGTACAACCAAATCTAAGAACAACTATTTTTAACAACAATCACAACCAAGCCACACAGAAAATCGACAATGTGGAGTCCAAAGACAACTAAATGCTCAGCTAAACCGGTAAGAGAAGCGAAGCCAACAGTGGAGCAGGTTGGCAAGAAAAAATTCCCGGGTGGTGCGCGGTACTCAAGCAGCCAAAGGCGCTGATCGCGAGCTAGCTTCGGGAGTGCACAGGGAAGAGGCGCGGCAGGCTGTCTCGGTTGGTCGCGCATCTGCGTGCGGAGAAACCAGTGAGAAGGGAAGCCTGCGCCGGGCAGCAGGCTCGCACAATTCCGATGGGATAAACAAGCCCGGGGCGAGTGGTGTGACTGGTCGGGCTGGGCTGGCGGAGAGGACCGCCATTGCTCCCTCTCTGACCACGCCCCCACACATAGCGTCACAAACCAGCGACCTGGGTCGCCCAGTCCTGGTAAACAACTAAGGCTTCGCTCCGCTTACTTAACAGCACGAATAGACCAAAAATGGCTCTAGGACAACTCAGAGCCCCAGACCGATAGATCTAAGCGATGAAAAAATAGCTAGTCTTTCAGATGCACAGTTCAAAACACTGGTTATCAGGATCCTCACAGAACTGGTTGATTTTAGTCACAAATTAGAGAAACATATGGAAGCTAAACTAATTGAAATGAAGGTAATACAAAGGAAACCAATAGTAATGGAAAGAAAACTGGGACTCAAATCAAGGGAGTGGACCAGAAGGAAGAAAAAAATGATCAAACAGAAAAGAATGAAGAAATAAGAATTCAGAAAAATGAGGAGAAGCTTAGGAACCTCCAGGACATCTTTAAACGTTCCAACATCCAAATTATAGCGGTACCAGAAGGGGGAAAGGCACAGCCACCAGTGGAAAACTTATTTGAACAAATAATAAAGGAGAATTTCCCCAATCTGGCAAAGGAAATAGACTTCCAGGAAATCCAGGAAGCTCAGAGAGTCCCAAAGAAGGTGGACCCAACCAGGAACACACCAAGGCACATCATCATTACATTAGCCAAGATTAAAATGAAGGAGAGAATCCTAGAAGCAGCAAGAGCTAAGGGGACAGTCACCTACAAAGGAGTTCCCATCAGACTGTCAGTGGATTTTTCAAAAGAGACCTTACAGGCAAGAAGGGGCTGGAAAGAGGTATTCCAAGTCATGAAAATCAAAGACCTACAACCAAGATTGCTCTACCCGGCAAAATTTTCATTTAGAATGGAAGGACAGATAAACTGCTTCTCAGATAAGACCAAATTCAAGGAGTTCATCATCACCAAGCCCTTATTATATGAAATGTTAAAGGGACTTACCTAAGAAAAAGTAGATAAAAAAGATGAACAGTGAAAGGACAGCAAACTCACAGTTAGTAACAACCACACCTAAAACAAAAGCAAACTAAGAGGACAGCTAGATCAGGAGCAGAACCATAGAAATGAAGATCTCATGGAGGGGTTAGCAACAGGGGGAGTGGGAGGAGGAGAAGGGGGGGGAGAAGGTACAGAAAATAAGTAGCATAGACAGTAGATAGAAAATAGATAGGGGGGAGGGTAAGAATAGTAGGGGAAATACAGAATCTAAAGAATTTGAGACACGTGTTCATGAACTAAAGGGGAAATGGTGGGGGAGGGGTATGCAGGGTGGAGGGGAATGGAGGGGGGAATAGAGCAAATGTAATGGCATAATCAATAAAAAAGTTTAAAAAAAAAGATGTTTTGAAGGACACACACATATGTAAGGGCGTGCAGTAAAGACATTAGAGAGGTTTTTACCCCTGTGACGAAGGGGTTAGAGAAGTGAAGGTTAGGAGACACAGCAAACTAACCTGAAACCAAAATACAGAGACGATCTCAGACCCATTAGGAAGCAGTCACGAACTCAGGAATAAGATCAAAAACCTTACTTAAGGTCCTGCCACCAGCCTACATACTTTTATTATGATATTTAAAAACCCTGAAATTTAAAAATGTTAAACACGACAGAATCACTAAATTATAGTATAGTTCCATATACAAACTAGAGTCATCAGAACGACACCGTGGGAGGTTTTAATGACATGGGGTTACTTCTCAACATATAATAAATATTAGGTGAAAGTGCTCACATTAGAAAAACTGAGATCACTTACGCACAGCATTATGTCGATTACTTTAAAATATAATCAGTGTGGGGAAAATAATCAAAGGAAATATAGCAAAATATTTGCAGGCATTCTGCCTAGTAATCAATCATTTTTTCATTTTTGCATTTTCCAAGTTTCTCACAATTGTCCATGTTTCTTTTGTAATTTAAAAAACTGATTTTTTAAAAAGATTTTATTTATTTATCTTTAGAGGGGAAGGGGGGAAGGAGAGAGGGAGAGAAGCATGTGGGTCGTGGAGAGAGGAGTGCCTGACTGGGAATTGAACGGATTGTATGGTTCGGTCGCCTCGGAGGCCTGATTTTTAATGAAACCAACTCCTGCTCACAGGGTTGTTCTGAGGATTATACAAGGTAATCCAAGTGAAAGTGTTTCAGCTGGTATTTGGCCCATTTACAGTACAACACAAATATTAGTTATTATTTTATTGCTGTGATAATTCACCTCTTGTTAATTATAGTAATTGCTTAAGAACTAATTAAGATCTGTTGATAAGGGGCATTTAGATAAAGTCTCAGGAACTGCCCCGTGAACAATTTTGGAGCAGGACATTGCACAGGAACAGAAAAGAACAGGTCTCCATCCCCGAGAACCTGCCTTTCCGAGGCTCTTGTCACGGACTGCCTCGGATGACTCCTTACGTAACTGAAGAGAGGACTACGTGTGGGAGTCCAACTTACAGTGACTAAAGCTGTGTCGTGAAAAGAGGGAGTTGTCCCGGGAATTCAAGGGCAATTGAACGGTGGTAAATCCGGCAACATAGCTTTGTACATTAACCAGTTATAATACAAAAATAGGTGCTAAAAATCATCTCATAGATTCCAGGAGTCAAAAACCAAAGTATAATGAGGATAGGAAAAAAATTCCTCAGCATGATAAGGAATATTTATGACAGACCAAGAGTGAACATCACACTTACCCGTCATATCAATACAGAAATTCTCACTGCGCTCAGGATAAAGTAAGAAAAGAGGTATTACAGCTGTCCCGGAGAGTCCATCAGTGCAATAAATGAAGAATATCAGTTATATAAATATTAGAAAAGAGATGAAATTATATTCACTTCAGGATGATTCAACTGATTACCTAAAAAAATTACAATCTACCAGTCCATTAAATAAGGTAACTAAATAAAAAATAAACACTTAGGCCAATTGTTTTATTTTACATTAGCAATGACCAGGTTGAGCATCAAAATTCAAAAAATCCCATTCACTACAATTAATTCCTAACTACAAAATTCCTAGTAATAACGTCAATGGGCCCAGGACAGCCTGTGTGAAGAGAACATAAAATGTAACCGAGCGTCAGACAAGATCCTAACCGATGGAGTATCTCGCAGGACATGTACCCACCTGTGAGACAGGGGCCTCTTCTTCAGGCGCCAGTAGGTCTTCGACCGGCAGCAGCACCAACGCTCTCTCGAGAATTCTCCTGACCGTCGTCTTCCCCCCGCACGTGGGGCCCACCAGCATCACACCGACGAACGCCTGAACACGAGTGCAGACGTGCCGTGTGGAAGGTTCTTGTTTAGAAACACGTCTCTGACCACATGCGCAAACCCTCCCTCCAAATTACTGCGCAGTCCACTGTCCTCCGGGCCGGTTTATTGACCAGGCTAATGTTAAAATCACCAGGAGTCCAATTTTAGCATTCAAAGAAAATTCTCCAATTCTTGATCTTGGACAATGTATCTCACTTTCTGACTGTCCTTCATTCCTGTACCTTGCTCTACAACTGGCCTCTTCTGTAACGAAACTAACCTGGCTTTCCTTGGCTCCATTTTTCTCTCTCTCTCGAATTCCGATCATTCCTTCCACGTTAGTTTTCTGTAATTCACTTTCTCTCTGTCCCCCACCCCCTTACACTGACACTCTCTGATCTCATCAATTCAAGTATCTTTCCCTAGATCTCAACTTCTAATGACTCCCTAACATATACACTTCCCCAGTCTTTGGTTCTGAGTGGCAGAGTGAAATTTCAAAGGTCTACTAAATATTTCCCACTGAGTGTCTCACAGGGTTTTCAAAGTCAACGTCACCTAATCCATATGCTTTTTTGCACTTGTTGCTTCTCTTAGGGAGACATCCACCTGGCTTTGTGAGGTGTTCTAACCGCTTATGGGATTTGTTCCACTTTTCGGACCTGGGACTTGGGACGGGGATGGTTGAAATCGACACTTAGGCTGGCCTCATGCTACTGTTGACGGTCCTACTGAGAGCAGCCTTACTTAAATGCTGCCTGAGAGGAACTGAATGGATGTGATCTTAGACCCCGTCAATCACATTAATCAGAGAGGGCAACAATACGGGATATTTTTGGGGAAATTCACCAGAAGACAAGACGGTGTACAGACAGGGGGAGATATTGTTAGGAGACCACTCCTTACAGGTCTCTGACGTTACCACAGGCCTCCGAGCAGAGCATCAACTGCTTTGTTCAGAACTCTCTTTTCAAGGGTGTTTACAGAGCAAGCAGTTTTGGAAGCTAAAGACAGTGTTTCCTATCAGGATGCAGGACAGATTGACTGGCTGTCCCAGTGAAGATGATGGAGATGTCTCCTTCAAGAGCACAGGCTGGGAATACTTGCTGGTAGGACCCTTTTAGAGGGGCACGCTCTTCTCCTGTAAAACAACTCGCCGTGGGTGCCGCTGTCACCTGGCCTTGTCACCTGGCCTGTGAAAACTAAGTCTCGGAAAAAAGGCTCCGCCACTGCTGTAAGGACTAAACGGCCTGTTCGGACCTAGGAGTCCAGAGTTTCCTGCCACTGGAGAACTCGGGCAGGCTTACAAGCAGAGTAAACCCTTGACAAACATCCACGGAGAAAAAAACGTGGTATCTTAAAACGCACATTCTCACCATAATTATTCATTCAGTTCTATCCCAATCTAAACCCATGCAGGACGTTTTAAATGGCAGCCAGCGGGCTGATTATTGAAGATGTTTGACGATAACAAAGATGGAAGGTTACGATGGGGCTCGGGACACACCACCCCCCAACCTGGCACCTGCGCCTATTAAACACATAAAACCGAATCAGCGCTTCTAGATAAATGGCAGAAGCGGGAAGGCCACCCCAACTCCCCGCCTCAGCCTTCTTCCCTAAAACGGGTCATCAACCCCACGTGTGCTGCTTCCAAACCCTGGCGAGTGTCAGTGTTGCTGCGATGAACAGAGGGTGCATATAGTCTTTTGAATTAGTGTTTTGGGTTTCTTCAAATCTATTCCCCAAGTGGCATCACTGGGTCATGGGGCAGGTCTATTTTAAACCTTTTCAGGAACGTCTGCTCTGCTCTGTTTTCCGTAAAGATCGCACAGGTCACCTTGTCCTTTTCTTCTTGACCACACCCTCCAAAACCCAGGGGTCAGGAACGGCCAACACCCGTTCTCCACTCACCTGAAGTTGATTGTGAAACTGTATGATTTTCTCTTTCTGAGCTGGCAATTGCTGTAAGCCCAACTGCTGTGTTGCCACAAATATTACTTTCTAAAAGAAAATAAGTATATTAATTTAAAATGCATTGCAAATCAAACTCTTGGTCTGTGATCCTACAAAATCTCTCCTATCTAGGGACCAAATATTGTACTTTAAGAGAGTAGTTCCTAACATTTTCGTTTGCCAACCTGAGAAGAATGAAAACCTACTTTCCACATAAAATATAATACATCCAAATCTTACGCTCACAGACCCCAGCAGCATATTCACAGGCCCTCCCCAAATTTAAGAACTCATGCTGTTCTTAAATTTGATGTATTTAAGAACCAGCTGTTACCAAAGTACAGTAGTTTCTTCTACAGCAAAATAAAATGTAAAAGATCCCACATCTTTGTATAATTCTAATCACCATTAAAGTACGTTTTCTATTTTGTAGTGATTATTTTCACATTTCCATGTTTACAATATTCTAAGATATCAAGTAACATTTAAAAAATCACCAAGTTGCTGTTAACTATAGGAAAAAAGCCTCAGAGACTGGCTGTACCTTAGAGACTCAATATTTCAACACTTTAAGTTGTGATATGAGTCATATACTATCATTTGGTAACATCTTTTAAAATTTTTTATTTACTGATTTTAAAAAGAGAGAGAGAGCCCTGGCTGGTGTAGCTCAGTGGATTGAGCGCGGGCCTGTGAACCAGACAATCGCGGTTCGATTCCCAGTCAGGGCACATACCGGGGTTGCAGGCTGGTTCCCTGCAGGACAGTTCCCAGCAGGGGACCCATGAAAGGCAACCATACATTGATGTTTCTCTCCCTCTCTCCTTCCTTTCCCCTCTAAAGATAAATAAATAAAATATTTTTAAAAAAAAGAGAGAGAGAGAGAGAGAAAGAGGAGGAGGAGGAGATGGGAGGGGAGAGAGAGACATCAATCTGTTGTCCTACTTATTCATGAACTCACAGGCTGTTTCCTGGATGTGCCCTCACCAGGGATCGAACCCACAACTTTGGCGTCATTGGGACCTGGCCAGGGCCCAATTTGATCACCTTTTATTAAACAGTTGACAGCTTGCATATTTATCAAGTAAAAATTATGCAAATAAGAAAGTAGCTGAATAAAGTGATACACTTGTATGGACAACTTCCCCATCAACTCAGGCTGTTACAAACTGAATTGTAAAACTGATGAAAAGATGAATATATAATGAGGTTCAAGGGTAAAACCATTAATGTACAAACAGAACGGACAGCAGGATGGCCACGCTATTTGTTTTAGCTGTGACTTGCAGAATGTCAGAGGCAACACTAGAGGGACTTAAATGGGAGAAGTGGGGAGGGATGTGTAGCCTCCTCCTGGGAGGGACGGAAGGATGGTTACACAGAACAGAGAAAGCAAATGTTTGCTTTCTGTCAGCTGACATTTTCCTTTTGTTTTTTCCCCCAAAGTGAAAATCCACAAAACGTACATGTGAACCTTCAAAATGTAGGCAACAGCTTAGACCCAAGTATCCACTGTACTTCTCCTAGAAACCACACAGACCAAAAACCAAAAAAAATTATGTATATTCAGATTAGATCATATAGTCAAACCCAACTGTATGCTGTTTAAAAAAGTCACATTGAAAAGAAAGTGATTCATCAAGTTTGAAAGTAGAAGAATGATCGAAAGTGCACAAGGCAAGCAAAAATGGAGTCAGTCTTACCAAGGTGGAATTCAAGCCAAAACAGTGGAGGAGAAAAACAAGAGCACTTACATACTAAAGGGTACATTTTGTAATGATGATTTACCATTGATATTTATATAGCGGACCACCTAGTAATAACGACTAGAAAGCAGAAATATGAATGCACTCAGAGGAGACACTTATCGACTCCTCTCAGCCCAAGGAAAATGAGGTAAACTACCACCGCTGCTCGCCCACAGGAGACCTAAGAGAACCACCAACGAGAGGTGCAATGGTGTCCAGGGCTTAGCTAAGCTCCTCCAGGGCATTTCCGCCTCAGCGTCCCTTCCGCTGGGTGAAGCGGCCTTCGAGGGCCTCACACTGACACCAGCCTCCTCGATCAGACGACTGCCCTAGATCAGAAGCCAATGCAAGCTCCCGAGATGAGTTTCTCCACGGCTGTAGAATCAAGTCTCCCCTGCCACCCAGGGCCTTTCCTGTGTGTGTCCCGAAGGGAAGACCACTGTGGAGTTTACGAAAACCCTGCTCTTTTTGGTTTGAACTGCCCAACCCAGCCGCAGGCTGAAAACCCCACGGCGCTCCCCCCCACCCCGGGGACCCTCCTAGAGGCACGGGTGCCAGGGCCTGCCTCTCTCCCTGTGTCTGTCCCCACCTGCACCCTGCCTTCACTGCCCCACGTGGCTCCTGGGAGGCGGGCAAGGTGTCCTTTCCACAGGACCTGTGAGTCATCAGCTCGATTTTAATTTCTTCTGTGGTCTTTTGTTGAACTGTGGTTCACCATCCCACCCTGTGCCCCATTTAACAAATGTTAATGAAATCCGAACAAATGGAAATAAATTGACCTCTGTATGTTTTATGTGACCTTTGAAGTTATAAGAGAATATGCTTTCTTTTCATGTGCATATGAATATTCAAATAACCTATATATTAGGTTATAAAAATTACTGTATTTTATATATTACTATATAAAAATTAGTAATACCCTAAATTACTAAGCATAAATTAAGAGAGGAAATATTCTCATCACAATAGAGTAAGATTAGAGATTAATAACAAAACATAAAAATAAAAAGGTCCCTTACTTGAAATTAGACACAGGACAAACCTCAGTCTTAAAAGAATAAAGGGAAATAAAGGAATCACTAACTACAAAATTTCTGGAAAGCAATTTTGATAAAACCCTACGCATCTAAACTCATGGCATGTATAACTGAACAAGTGCTAGAAGGAAGTTTCATAGTCTTGCAAACCTATACAAGTGAACAAGGACACTAAATCAGACACTTTACTCCAAAGGATGGAGAATGAATGACAACACAAAACCCGGAGGAATAAAAATGTCTAAAAATATTTATACAGCTACTAAAGAGTTAAAAAAAGGAATTAAATAAATAAAAGGCTAGTTCTTTGAGAAAAAATAAAATAGGTAAACTTATAGGTAATCTAATGAATGAAGACACCCCAAATTAAGAACAATAGGAAATGACTGGGAGGATAATAACCTCAGAAGCAGATGTTGAAAGAATCATAAGCTAGTGGTTTGTTCATATCCATACTCCTACCTTTTAAATCTTGAATGAAATGAGAATATTGTCTAGTTTAACAAAACTGACCTGGAAGAGCTATAAACTCAACGAACAAACTACAACCATGAAAGCGCCACAGTCAAACTCATGGTCGGATGGTTTTCAAGGGGAAGTTCTTCCAAACCTTCCCACCTGACCTAGTGAGTGGTCAGGGTTTTTTGTTTGTTTGTTTGGAGTAAAGTGCTTCCTGTGTGCTGAGAAATCATACATATTCTGTGTTTGGTGGGTATCAGGTTATACACATAACCTACTAATTGTACTTAAAGAAGAAATAATTATGAAACTGGTTAAACTATATTTTCTAAAATACCTTTAAAAACATCATTTTTAGAAGATGGTAGGGACCCAGGGAAAGGAATCAGTAAGTTTCATGGCCTGACTCCTGGTAAAGGCCAAGGAAGAGCCAGAAAACAAGCAGAGATTCCAGGTAGAAAAACACATGGAGGGGAGGAAAGAGTGGAGGAGGGAAAGAGGGTGTGGTGGGAAGACCACCGGCCCGGCCAGACTGCAAAAGGCACCACCTACCAAGACAGTCTGGGTCCGCACTGCAGGCAGCCCCGCCCACCCGTGGCTCTGTCGATGTGGTCGGGCACCTGTCTCAGGAAGGCAACTCTCCTGGCCCGCTGACAGCGTCCTGGACGCAGGGAGCACCCCAGCACCGAGGGGTATCGGGGTCCTACCTAGACTAAGCAGTCACTGTGAGACTGTACATGTAAGAGAAAAAAATGGAGGGCTCTACAATTACAGTACGTAACTTCAGTGATCAGGAAATATTTACATTTGGAAGTCTTTTTTCATGACTCTGATCTAATTTGATTCTTACAGCACCCGCTTAAAGTAGGACAGCAGACATCATCACTATCATTCCCATTTGAAAGATGGGAAAATTGAGGAACCAAATACCTAGCAGCCTCCCTTGCCTGAAGGTACAGTTCATCCTTCCTTCCTTCCATTAGGCCGCAGTGCAGTCCAAGCCCTTTCTCCCCCAAGGGGAAATACATCTCCAAGTATCTTTATCCCCCAAATTATTACAGAGTATTTCAGAAAAACTCTTAATACTTTTAATCCACATCTAGATACTCTATATGTAAATAATTTATGGCAATTTTCAAAGGTCTTTTTACCTCTAAGGCAATTTGGTTTACTTTCGAAACGGTCACTTGAGGAAAAATATCTCCTATAATTTGTTCAAAAAGTGGGACGTCTTCTGCAAGAAATTTTGGTAAACACACTTCTCTCACAGCTTCAATGACAATCGGAGTTTCATCTGTTTCAGAGAGGTCGTCATTTGTGTCACTGTGATAATAGAAAACAAATATAAAGAACCAGTGAGCAAGCGTGTTTTGCTGACAGTCGAGACCGCGGACAGTCATTTTTAGAAGTGGCTACTCCAGTGTCCTTGCCTTCTTCCTGCCCCTGCAAAGCAGCTCTGTGGCTTGGAGGGGGTGAGGCTGGCGCCCGGCTCAGGGAGGGGCCGACTTGCCCGGAACAGCCAGGGCAGCGTCCTTCCCCCAGTCACGGTCGGAGGGACGGACCATTGCATTAGGGCTTTCTTTTAGCCGCAAGCAACAGAAATGAATTCTGGCCAACATCGAATACAAAATAACGTAACGATTTATTAAAAATCCCCAGAAGTGGGAGAGTTCCAGGCTTTACTGCTGGGGTTCTAGGGAATAACCCTGACCCTTTCCACACTTTTCCCCCAAGACAGATCCCGCTTTACACTGAGGATGATTATATGCCTGGCTGTGTGCGTTGCCGGGGGGGGGGCGGTAATATTAGATATAGACGGGGGAGATAAATAATAGCTAATGTGAAATGTAGTGTAACAAACCTCGGTGTCAAATCTAAAAATACCACTTTACTAAGATTCTACAAACAATGATTTGGGGGGTTGGCATCTGGGAATGCCACGGGGTCTGTCTGTCCCAATTTAGGAATGAAAACTCAGTGCTCTGGTTAAATGCCACCTGTGGTGCCGCACAGATACTGTGTTTTCTGCAAATCTTGCATTGTGGCCCAGCAAGCCTATCAGCGCCACTTCTTGATAATGTTCTCGCATGTCACGTCGCCGGGTCGCAGACCAGAGAGGACGGTGCTCTCAGTGACAGGAGACGGACTGCAAGTGAACTGGAAGCCGGAACGCCAATCCAGAGGGGGCCTGTGCGACCTTGGGGTGTCCTGCGACCGGAAGAAAACTTACAGGGACTTGGAAAGCAGAACAGTGCGGCCTTCGCTGGAACTGTCCTTCGGAGAACCAGACGGCTGTTGGAGCGAGCAGAGCACTTGAGGACTTCGGGGAGCTGACACCTGGTACTGCTCCCCTTTAATTAATTTTTTTCAATTAGAAAACATGTCATTGCAAACACCTATTTCCATGCCAGTAACACTATACAGGCCGTTCTTCAATATTTGCCTCAGTTCTTCTTTCATTCTTAAGAAACAAAATAGTGTCCTAGAGCTAAAGCCTTAGTTAGCCCTTGGGCTTCTCCCAACATTTGATACTTGTGATTGTATCTGTATGTAATCCATAAACAATGATAAGGTTTACCGTTTAAAAATTTCATACAAATAGCATACTGATATATCTATCCTTTTGTGGCATTTTTTTTTTTGCTTTTAAATAGGTAATACCTCAGCAGAGCCCCAGTCTAACCAACAGTGGGAAACAAAGCCTGCTGCTCTGAAGCCTGGTCGACAGAAAGCGCCCCCACCTGCTCACTCCCGCCCACTTGATGCGCGAGAAACACGGCTGCGGCGGGCTTTTGATGAGCATTTCTCCCCTCACGAGGGAGGCCAAGTGTGTTCTCACTCACTCAAGGAACTGCTGTTTCACTTTCTGAGAACTGTCTACTGGGGCTCCTTTGCCCACTTTCCTGGGAACACTTTGTACTTTATGAGAATGAGCTATTTAACTGCAACATGAGTTGCAAATATCTTTTTTACTGGTGTGTCATTTGTCTTTTAACTTCAAAAGTAGTGTCTGTTCACTTTTATGGCTTCTAGGTGGAGTCTTAGTTTTAAAATTGTCTAATGTCTAAGGACATAAAGGACATTTTCTTTGTTCAAATACTCTTAAGTTTTACATTTTTATATTTAGAAACTTTAATACTTTTAAAAAATCCTTTTTGAGTTTATCCTGGTAAGTAATATTGACCACGATTCCCACTTGATCTTTACCCAGATGGCTGTTTAGTTTTTCTAACACTATCCATTAAAAATCTGTTCTTGTCTCCCAATGTATGACGTGCTAAATGCCCAACACAGATAGTCTTACTTCTAGACTTCCTCTTCTTTTCCAATGGTTTGCCTGGTGACTCATAAAGACAGCACCACGATGCTCTAATTACTGAAGCTTTATCATATGTCTTAATCCTTAAAGGGATATTCCTCCCTCATTGCTCTTGTTTTTCAGTATTTTTCTAGCCAGTCTTAATTGTTTATTTCCTATGTAAACTTTAGGATCAGCTTGCCTAAAAAACTACACACACACAAAAAAACACCACCTTTGGGGTTTTCAATGGCATTCATAAATTAACTTTGAGAGGATTTAAATCTTTATGATGTTTAGTCCTGTAAGATGTTAAGTATGTGCCACATTAGTTCATTTATTCGTGTGCTTTCATTTCTTTCAGTTGTGTTCAATGGCTTCCTCATTTGGGTTTTATACATTTCTCGTGCAGGTGTGTTCGTGCAGGTTTCACACTTTCCATGAAGTCACTGCCGTCTTACATGGGCTCTTTCATTCTATTACACATTTACGATGTGAATGTGGCCCACTGGTGAGAGATGGGTTCACTCGTGGGAGGGCACCCAGAGATTTTGTGCACTTTCTTCTTCTTTTCTTCATATTCTTAACAACCTCTACCATGGTTTATTGTGACACTCTGGGAGCTTCCTATTTTACCACTACTTAGAATTTTAAACATTATTTTCCCAGTGTTGTAGGATTCCCTCTGACCTAAAAATTCAAAATCCAACTAACCGTTGAAGCTTGCGTTTCTTCTTTCCGGCTGCAATTATAATCGTCTTCAGCAACCTCAGGCCAAAATTATAATGATCCTATCAAAACATTGCAATATTTGAGTTATTAAGCGTCTCACGGAAAAGTAAAATAATCTGTCAACAAATGAGAGGAGCATATAATTCATTCACTAACCCACTATGCTGTGAAGGGGAACAGGGATGTAATTCTAGAAACACTCGATTTGATTCTAACGCTCTCACTTCCCTCTCAAACTGGTGCTCATGCAACTCTCCTTCTTGAAGAACAACAAATCTGTATTAAAGGCGTTAAAAACGGAACGAAATTTTCTCCGACACAGAGAGATGCACTGAGATAATACTGGAAGGAGAAATGCTCTGGAAATAACCATGGTTAGCTACCCAAACCACTCGGGGCTATAAACAAATCCTCAGGAGGCTGGCGTGTCCTGGAACAGTAATTTTTACGATGTGGTACTCTCGGACCACCAGCACCAGGCATGCTGGAGAGCTTGTCAGAAACGAAAATTCGTGAGACAAGTGAGAAAGCTGGCAGTGAGGTCCAGCAATCTGTTTCTTAACGAGTCCTCCAAATTGTTTTGCTGCACAACAAAGTTTGAGAGACGCTGCTCTAAATGCTAAGGTTCCTGCCCGCAGGACACCACCTATAATTTGAAATGACACATCCTCAGTTACTCTGCCCAGATCTTGGAGGGAAGGTTTGCAACCTTAGCTGACTGTACACGGTGCCTTACATTTGAGACAGGGCATGGACTTGGAGTGCTGGTAGGAAGTCCAGCCCCGTTACTGTCCCAGGTATTCCTGGACCAAGCCCAGAAGAGTTTCACATAGTCATGATCTGAGAAAAGCGGTTCATTACCTGTTGCGAGAGCTGTTTGCTCGCTAATTCGTTAAGGGTGACTAGTTTTCTGGAGAGTAACTTTGCAGATTTGAACCCAACTGAAAACAGAATTATTTCAGCAATCATTTCATAATGGGGCGTCATCATTGCCAACGGGCGAAACAGGGATTTCAAGTTCTCCGGGAGTTCTACTCGACCTTTGTATCTTCAGAGGGCAAGAAAAACAAGGAGACAAAAAACACCGCTTTTCAGTTTTCTAGATGAGGCACCACATAATGGAACTCCCCCCCAAAACTCTATTGTTAGTGAGCAATATTATTACTGGCTTTCTATGTGACCTTTATCAGAAAAGAAGTTGAGCCCTGGCTGGTGTAGCTCAGTGGATTGAGCGCGGGCCTGCAAACCACACGATCACGGTTCGATTCCCAGTCAGGGCACATGCCTGGGTTGCAGGCCGGTTCCCTGCAGGCAAGTTCCCAGCAGGGGACGCACAAAAAGCAACCATACATTGATGTTTCTCTCCCTCTCTCCTTCCCCCCTTCCCCTCTAAAGATAAATAAATAATAAAATATTTAAAAAAACATTTTAAAAAAAAAGAAAAGAAGTTTACAAGATGGTTTCTATTCTACTTTTCATCTCACAAAGGGTATCTTGGCTTATGGTCTTTTCTTCCTGGGACCCCGCCTGTGGGAGGGACTCCATCCCGCAGAATTCCTCCCATCCGTCGTAGATGAGAAATAAGTCGTCCCAGATACAACCTTGTTGTTCCAGTGGGAAAGGGGGTGGCGATTCCCTCTAGGAGAGAACATCTGGAGCCCCTCTCCCACATGGCTTTTACTGGGAATGGCATGCATGCATAGCTCATCAGTCAATGTCAAAAGGCTACAGTCACACAAACGCAGGTATTATCTAGAGATAACAATTGAAGGAACATAGAGACCTGTCACAGGTCAGGATCTGTAAGTCATGCTGATGCCACAGGGTCTTTAAGACCTATTTCATGAGATAAGGCGTTTACTCCTCATGCCTTGAACTTAAACATCTGGTTTATATTGACAGGGCTATACCGATCAGAGGAAGGATGCAATGTATTTATCAGGCCTGATTCCACGGGAATCCTCGGTGTTAGAGTTGGGTCATGTCTGCCACCTGCATTACCTGGTTTTCCAGGGAGACTTACTAGCCCCTTTCAGAGCCTGCTCTCGAGGGGTACAATCTCCCGAAACCACACAGAGTGTTCCCCAACACCTCCCCCTTTTTTGTTTGTTATGGTGGCATAACCAGAAACACTGGTGCTGCTGTCACAGACAGGGTTACACTAGGCAGAGCAGGCTTCAGAGGACAAAATGTACAGTTCAGGCCAGATTTGCCCCCAGAGCCATTCATCCTGGTACAAAGCTGCAGCTGCCTCTGGCATCATTTTTAGGCCGAGTCGGGGGGGGGGGGCGAGCAAAGCAGCCAAGAGACTGAGGACTCAGGCTATGACAAAGCTGAGGGGTGAGGGTCTTTCTGCCCCTTCTCTGTAGACCCCTAAGTCCTTCCCCAATGGCCCATCATGACTGTGCCTGTCTTAGGTTGCCCCTATGCCTTTGAGGGGTCTTACCCATCATTGGCTAACCAGTCATTCACCTGGGCCAAGCAGGGGGAAGTGAGGGAGGCAGGAGCGCAGGGGGACAGGCTCTGTCTCCTTTGTGGCTCATGGCCCCAAGGCCTTGTCACTCAGCCCCAGCCGTGGGTCCCTTTCGTCCGTTAATGAGGCTACAGTCCCTGAAACCAGGCAAGACAGCTCCCAGCATTCCCCCACTTTTGTTTGTTATGTCAGACATGCGGTAAGTCCGATGAAGCCTGCTACCTGCCCTTTGTGTGTACAATCCCTGGAAAACAATTTGTATATGCATTTCAAGACACAAAAGGCCACAATGATTAGAAGGCATCCCATAGCCCCCATGACCCAGACACGCAAATTTAGTCCTTCAAACCAAGTTCTTGGATTGAGCCACTGTAAGCTGTCATGCAGGAGGTCATGCAGGGTCTGAACTGCCTAATGTACTGAAGTTGGTGATGCAGCTCAAGCTGGAGTTGATCGATTTGTCCCTTGAGATCAGTGGGAAAGACCCTTTGCCTGCGCTGTTGGACCTCCTCCCATGAGTACTGACTGGAGTTCCACTTCAGAGGGGTGACACGTAGCACAGAGCAGCCTGGATCACAAGTGAGCTGGTGAGTGACAAGAGCATCTTCATCATCTGTACTATGCCTTCCTGGATCAGGGGAGTCCAATGTTAAATGAAGGTGGGGTACAGGCAGGGAAGCCTTTTGTATGATATGGCTTCACCCCCTTTGCCGGCAGCTCCAAGGGTGCTTCAGGAGAGGAGACACGAGCATACCCTTTTCCCCCAAAATGGAATCGGTCCCCAACACCCTCCCATAATTCACTTCACACTACTTCTGTGTGGTTCCCTGGGCCATCGTCCTGACATTTCAGCAACAGATATTTATGAATCTGCCCCGCCTGCACCCCCAGAACCACCATACTCTTATGCTTTCTGCTGTTCTCATTGGCTTTTCTGTCTGTATCCTCTTTGTGACAAATTGTTGACCCTTGTTCAGAAGCTGTGAGATCAGGCGCATGCATGGATAAGAGGAGAGAATAGCTGTTCATAAATGGTGTGGGTAGCAGAGGGTTTAGACAGGTGGTGGAGGGTGAACGACAGGCATACGATGTCAGCAACTCCACCTAAGGTTAAGACTTTAAGAGAAGTATTTTGGCCTGTGTCTACTTCCACTACACATTAACTGACACTTACCCATAATTCATGGTGACAAATATTGCACACGACAAATTGATACGAATTTCTCTTCCTTCCAGTACAAACCTACAAGACATCACAGTATTCATCACTAAGAGAACCGTTTCCTCTAACTCAAAGTACGTTAGAACTACAACTGAGTTTGGGAGCTTCCTGAAGGCGAGGTTACGTCACACACCGAGCCCAGCATGCTGGGAAAGGGCAATGATAAGAGGGGAAATAGGAGGCTCATCTTAAGCCAAAATTGTAAGTCCTGCTGAGATTCTGATGATTTGATCATGTGTGAAGGTGCCTGAAGTTTGGGGGGCGGGCTTGAGACTTGGGGTAGGTCTGCTTGGACTCTTGGGTACCTCAGAATGAAGCCACTCACCAGGGAAAGAACCCACGGACAGCCGTGGGGCAGAGCCCTGACCGGGCGGCACAGTGCAGCAGAGAGAGGCCGCTGAGTAGAGCCCGTGCCTACACCCCAATTAAATCATTTGGGGAGCCTGTGAGAGAGCCCTCTGCATGGACATTAGTGTCCTGCTGTTGGCACCGGTGCTAGAGACGGTGGGGAGGAATCATGTGGTGACTTAATGGACGGCTGATACCAACGAAGGTGGTCAAGACAGGGGACGGGGCACAGTTGGGACAAAACCTGAGGCCTCCTGGACATGGCCAAGGGAAACTTTACAGAGGCTGAGATGGGCTGAAGAAGTGGTAAAATGTGGGTCCTGTGACCCCACTTACAACTGGGCTTGTGAGGCTCTGACGGTTTGAACAAAGCCCTTGAAGGTAAAGCTAGAAGTGAGTGTCCATTAGCTTGCGTTAGAAATATCAGATGTGAGAAACACCGTCAACCCACAAATCCAATTCTGCCCATAAAGTTAATCGTGTACGTCCCTGAGTATATCCGAAGAGAAAAATATTTTTGTTTGGATTACTAAACGTTAGTAATCCTGACAAATATTATTAGTACAAGGCTTTTTAATTCAAGTACATTAATGGATTAAGAGAGGGCTTCGGGATGTGGCTGGTATAATTTTTCTTTTTTAAAAAGATGTAGCATTACTAAAAAAAACCCGCTGATTTCTTCAAAAGAAACAGTGTAAGGTGAAAAGTTATCGAGAGAATCTAAACTCAAATATTTTTTCGTGTTTGCCGAGCACAGGAAGCATTCTGGGTAAGTGCCAGCCCTCTTGTTGTGTGTAGATGCTCCCCAATGCTTCTTGTGGAGACGGATTATTAGTAACAATTTCCTCATAGTCATTAACTAGACAGTCAGTGTGGACCACACTTGCAGCCCAGAGGCAGGAATGTGTGCCCCAGATACCGGACGGAGTAGCTGTCCTTGGCAGCCTTGATGGTCTGGATCTGCGAGGCGACGACCGAGAGAACCTCCCTGTCGATGCGGTCGATCTCGTCGAAACAGCACCACGCTCCTGACTGAACCAGTCCGAAGAAGAACTTTCCCATTATCTTAAACAAAAATAAAACGATTATGGAAATTACTGTGCAGGTAAAAATTCAAGTAGGGTGTTCGTTTTTGCACGTTCTCCCCATTTTAGCCAAACCAAGCAAACGCCGTTGTTTGGGCAGGTCTGCTTGGACCCTCCTTGGGTGACCGTGTCTGGTAAAAGCCTAAACACCCTGATGGGGCCATCGAGGGAGGGCCCCAGCGTCGGCTGGCACGGCTGAGCCCCCACCCGCCACCCGCAGTGCCACACGCGTTCACTGCAGAGTCCTGCTCTGTCCTGAAGTCTCTACGACAATTCTCTGGTGGATGGCTGTCAAGTGTCTGAAGGAAGGCGCTCCTTTTCCTAGGTGGAGACAAGGCTCCAGGGTTCGTGGCAGGTGCTGGCAGGTCGTGAGGGTTGCTGGGCCTGACAAGGCGGACCCCAGGCCAGTCCACTGTGGGCCTGGCCAGAGCGGGCCGCTGCCACTCAGCCAGGGCGGTACAGGGTGGCAGGTCTCCAGTGACCCTGGGAGAGGCTGGACATCTGGGTCAAAATCTATTGATCTGCCAATGCTGGCAGCTAAAACAAAAACCAACAAAACTGAAAACACATGGTCAGCCCAAACAGCGCCTGTGAGCAATGGGAGCTTCCACCAGGGGCAGCGGAGAGAGGGGTCCCCGGGCCCCGGAGACAGAGCTGGTTTCTTTCTCCCTCTGCCCAGGAGTCAGAATTTGTCTTTCTTTTAATGTTTAATATTTTGCTTATCACAGGGTATTTGGGCATTAATTGTGATTCTAAAAACACTGCATTAAAAACATTATTTATCTTGATTACTAGGCTTCCTGGTTTCCCTTTAAGGTTTTGCTCAGCAAACAAGAGCCTCCCCTGGGAGGCGGTTTCCTTCCGGAGAAGGGACCCTCCGTGGCGTCTCCATCAAACCAGCTTCTTTATGTTACTGAACGTGCTAAGTGAGCACAAATCGGAAATGCTGGATCTCAGACGCAATGCGCTTTGAACCGCAAATAAAGTGACAGCAATAAAACGGGAAAGGTTGGGACTTAACCCACAAAGTGTCTTAGAACTTCAAGTAGGTTTGTGGCAGGCACAGAGTACATGAAATTTTAATAGAGATTTCCGACTGTTATGAGATATATCTTAATGTGCAAGGCAAACAAAATAAGGCTGATGTAAAGTTGTAATCATTTATGTAAACTCTGACTCAAATTTTTGTGTTAATCTTAAGAGGCTCATTGTTCTTAATGATTTACCTTTTTAGTAAATTAATGTATAGGAGTAAAACATATAAAATAAAACAATACTCTTAATTTTCTATATATTTATGTTCCATATTAGATTTTGCTTGGACAACAAAAAGTTTGAAAATGACAGTCTTGAGTAGTAGTTCAGTAGCATAAAAGCAAAATGTATAATGTTTTAAGTTTATATTACATTCTAAATTTCTATTCTATTAGTTTAAATTATTATAATAGTTACAGTTCTATTAATGCTTAATGTATCTCTAAGATATTTTTCTTGGTCTTTCAATCCTCAATGAATTATTTCTTTTATTTGTACAATATTTTTACCTGAGTATGTAACTTTTACCTTATAATCCAAATCCTCAAAACAGTTGAAGACCACACAATGTTTACCTAAGGACTGGAAAAAACATTATTTAAATATATTTCTTGCTTTATGACACAAAATACTAATGTTAACACTGCCAGAGTAATAAAATGTCTTAATCTTTTGAGAAAACTTTTACAATTAAAGATGAATTACATGCCAAATTGAAAAAAATACAAAACTCATTTTAGTCAAAACACACATACACTATTACAGTTTAGATGATTCGTACATGGAGCATTAAGGTCGTGTTTGTAAACACATCAAACAAATAAAAAATGAGAACAAAGCCTTCCAGTGCAGTCAAGGAGATCCTCTCGTGGGTCACTTCCATCTATGACCTATGTCCCATCTGTGACTCACTCACACACACCAGTCCCCAAGACCAGGCAAAGACCTGTGTACCGGATTCCAGATAAAGGAGTCCCCTCCAGGAAGGGGTGGGGGGCCAACCTGCCATTCACAGGGCAGTTGGCGGGTACAAGGGTGTTCCAGGTAGACACACAGAGCACAGTGGCTGACTGAGGCCCCAAATCCCAACGGATGCTAGCCATCCGAAAATTAACCCATGAAGTGTATGAACGGATGAATGGGCCCATTAAATGTCATGGACATCTTAACGATAGAAAGGGTGAATTTAAGGTACCATTCAAGTTTTTGACTCTAAAAAAGGTTTCGACTTGGGACACAAAACCACTAACTTTTGCCAGATCTCGGACGCTCGCGGTTTTTCCCGTGCCAGTCGGACCAGAGAGGCAGCCTCCAAGGTTCAAGTGCAGAGCTCCAGTGAGAGTCAGCCAGCACCGGTCAGTGAGGGGCGTGACCACCAGCCGCGGGGTGCAGCCCAAGTACTCGTAGCCGTACGTAAAGCTGGCCTCCCCTTGAGACACATAGCACAGCTTTTGTTTGTCATTCCATTTGTACTGCAAATGTCTGAAAACAATGTTTTAAAACAACGCTCATGTTATGGGGGCAAAAATTACTTCCAGTTTTTTGAAATGCAGAAACATAATGAAAATTAAAAATGAAAATGAAGGTCAAGTGAAAAGTGACAGATGATTCATAATGGCTATGCTAGCCCTCGCAATGAGAACCCGTGAGTGCTCTTCCCCTTGAGAAAGCGGCCTTGCTGAAGCACGCTCCTTGCTGTGAGGCCGTCGGTGGTGGTGTGCTCAGGTTCCCTTCTCTCTCCTTTTTGTGTATTTGTAAGTTTTTGCTTTGTGGCTTAGTTAAAAGATCCTTTATTTACAGCAGGGGCCACCTGTCAAAGGCTGTAGCTTTAGGTCAAGGAACATCGAATTTTCTGTTTGCTTAGAATTTTTGCACACCGCAGAAAATTAAAATTCAGGTGTGGCAAAGTTTGTGGTAGAGCGTTAACTCACCGACAGGCGTGAAAAATCATTTTACGTAGAGTCGCACTGAGATCAACCTACCTCGTCCACTCGAAATCCTCTGCACTGAAGATACTTTTAAGCAGCAAATCTCCCACGATGTCTCTGCAGTATACGTGGAGGGTGAGCAACGCCCCGAGCACCGTTTTCGCCCGTGTGTTGCCAGGGCCCAGCACCACCAGCTCTGCGGCCTCTTCTAGACGGCCCAGGATCCCCGCATGGACCCCTTTCAACTCCTCTCTCGGGTGAGGGCTCACGAAACTTTTGACACAGTCATTATAAAACATGATCAGGCTCTGAAAAAGTAAGACACGGATATGACAGTTGAGGCACAGATGTTATGAATTAAATGTTTTCAGGATGTGTATGTGCGAGGTATGTGTGTGTGTGAGTGCACCTGCGTGTGTGTAAAAGAGCTTGCACATTTGTACGTACGCGAGAGTTAGAGACTGAATTTTGATGAATGAGGGCCTTAGTCATTACTGAATGGAATAAATTTATCACCAATATTTGTAATTTCTAAGTGTTGTATCTTAATCACTAGGTTAAGCGGGTGACCTGGGGACAGTCAAAATGGTCGAAAACTTCAAGATGAAATTCCTAGTGTTTCCTCAGTTGAACTCAGAAGCACTATCCCTAGAAAACGGTAATCACAGCTTTAGAAACTTTATATAACTGGTTATTTGACCCATTTGTTGACACTCTGGTCATAGACACCAGAGCTGTTATGCATGAGAGGGCTACTGGATTGATGTCAGACTGACCTGGAAGTGTGCAGGGGCACAGGTCAGAGGCTTATAGGTCACTTGAATGGGCCGTGCTGTCACGTGTAGCCTTGAGATTGGAGACATGTTCTGCCTGCTAGCAGAGGGAGATGTGACCGCAGCAGACGGCTGGAGAGATGCAAGGCATTATGAAACGAATACCTATATGCCCACCACCTCTATTCTACAATTAACTCTTGCTGCCTTTATCACACATCTGTCCATCTTGTTTCTTGATGCATGTCAAAGTAAGCTAGGTAACACAAGCCCCTTCACGATGGCTTATCTCTAAACCTTTCCTCTCTTGGCCACAGAGAAGCATGGGTGTGCCAGCGTGGTGCCAGCCTACCACAGTGAGCGCCACTTGTCCGGGATGAGAAACCGCCCACAGAGCGAAGGGCTGCTGGTTCCAGTCTTCCACCCCTTGCCTCACGAACCTGTAAACAGAAAGGCATTATTTGTGCTATTTCTATCAAATCATTGATTGTGGCCATTTAATGATCGAGCACAAGATCACAGGGGAACTTCCCTACAGGGTCTCTGATTTTTTTGTTCTAATTCAGGTAAATGGGACCAAAGAGCATTAAGAGAACCTTAACTCGTGCATAAGTTACATCCCTTAAATTCCTCTTTAACATCATCTGTGTGTTTTCCAATGAGGCTGCTGGGTTTCCAGGATGGAAAAACTGTATTAAACCAGGAGATGGCACCTGTCAGCCTTGGATTTCTAATACTACCAACGACAAAATCAGCATTTAAAATAATTTCTACAATCCTGAGTACGGGGCTGAAATCCCAGGTGAATGTTAATGGTAAAGTACTGTATTTAGCTTAAAAAATTAATTATAATTATGGTGGAAACGCTGGGTGGGTATTTAGGATAATACTAACAAACACAGGTATTAAAACTTCGGGGCCAATAGCTTTTCTGTAACCAACAGTGAAGAGTTAGAAACGTAAAAGACTGCTGCAGTCAAACTGACTAGAGACAGAGAGCCATGAAAAGGGTGACGCTGAAGGGAACAGGGCAAGGCAACGGCTCCAGGAAACAGACGCGGGACGGGAATGCGGAGCCGTGAAGGGGCTGCTCCCAGAGGCCCGCTGGGCACTGCGTCTCAGGGCAGCAGACCAATCTGGCCAGCGGTCAGACCCTGAAGAATCTCGAAGCCCACAACAGCTGAATGTTGTCCCTGATCACACCCTCAAATGGACATTCACACTACCAAACTGATTATTTTGTCATCAAATTCTATTGAAACAGGACAGGACTCGAGTCTGCATTTCTCTGCATAGTTCCCACGTAGATTAGTAGATCATGGACCCAGTTTCAATTTATATGTATAATACTTTTAGGATCTGACCACTGTACTTACTTTTTTAGCATATTGAACATACTTTTCTCTACGTTTACCAGCCACTGTTCTACAGCATTTCTTACACGAATTTTCCTGTAATGAAAAGAAAAGTTCCTGAGACATTCCTCTGATGAGCCAGTAGGCTGAGTTTTCTACACTCATAATGTTCATAGGCCAAAGGCCTATAACTCTATAATACCTTTTTCTTTTTCTAGATTTTAGTTTGGAAAACTACGCAAAAAAAATGTCTCTTAGTTCTAGTATACTCTGACATCAAAACCATGCATTTACAGAAGAGGCTCCATTAAACATGAATTTACAAACTGGATAAATTATATTTCAAAGCACTTTTGGATTCCTCATCAGATCATCTAAACAGGAACCCTGGATCTGGGCCCAGCTGGCGGTTTTGGTGGAAGGGAAGACTTGGGCACAGCATTAAAAAAAAATCCGTTCACATCAAGAGCTGTGCGCCAGTCAGCGAGTCATTGCCACAGCTGGCCAATGGGACCAGTGCAGCGGAAGGGCCTCGCCTGTTACAACTGCCTGGGAGCCACTTGTGGCGAAGCAAGGGTCACAGACGTATCCGAGGGAGCCGGGCCAGCAACCCTGAGCAGATTTCCTTCTTGTATTCAAACAACAAATCCTTGTGTTGGCTTTTGGGATAATGTTAATCAGTAATGGGCATGGAAAGGTAAAATTCCACATAAGTAAATTATCTTTGAAGAGAGAGAGTTTGCTTAGCAAACTTGTCTGACAGATCAGAAATTTTCCAAGCAGAGGTTTTAAATAAAATAAAAATTTTCTTTAAACTAAATGCTTAGCGTGTGGACTTCCGCCAAGATGGAGGCGTAGGTGGAAGCACTGTACCTCCTCCCACAACCAAGTTTAAAAACAAAAAAGCTTTAGCAACACACCAAGGCACATCATCTTTACATTAGCCAAGATTAAAATGAAGGAGAGAATCCTAGAAGCAGCAAGAGCTAAGGGGACAGTCACCTACAAAGGAGTTCCCATCAGACTGTCAGCGGATTTCTCAAAAGAGACCTTGCAGGCAAGAAGGAGCTGGAAAGAAGTATTCCAAGTCATGAAATCCAAAGACCTACATCCAAGACTGATCTGTCCAGCAAAGCTTTCATTTAGAATAGAAGGGCAGATAAAGTGCTTCTCAGATAAGATCAAATTCAAGGAGTTCACCATCACCAAGCCCTTATTATATGAAATGTTAAAGGGACTTAGATCTAAGAAAAAGAAGATAAAAAAGATGAACAGTGAAAGGACAGCAAACTCAGTTATTAACAACCACACCTAAAACAAAAGCAAACTAAGAGGACAGCTAGATCAGGAGCAAAACCATAGAAATGAAGATCACATGGAGGGTTAGCAACAGGGGAGTGGGAGGAGGAGAAGGTACAGAAAATAAGTAGCATAGATGTAGGTAGAAAATAGATAGGGGGGAGGACAAGAATAGTATGGGAAATACAGAATCTAAAGAACTCTAGACATGTGGTCATAAACTAAAGGGGGGAACGGTGGGGGAGGGGGTGTGCAGGGTGGAGGGGAATGAAGGGGGGAATAGAACAACTGTAATGGCATAATCAATAATATATACTTAAAAAATAATAAATGCTTAGTGTGTGAGCCAAATCTCATACTTGGGCAGCAGGAGCATCTCTCCTTCGGCAGATACGAGCATGACCACAGCAGGAGGGCCGATCTCTTGTTTCCATATCATCAGTCGTTTTATATTTTCAAAACACTTCACCAGGTAAGGCTGTGGACCAGGAGCAAATGTCAGTCATGCTATAAAATTCTGACCTGGTGGGGAAATGCCACTGCTGAGCAAAGAATAATGGTATTACCTGGACAGATTCCGGGTTTCTGCTCTCAGCCAGAATTTGAAGGAGCTCAGCATTGCTAAGGAAGTAAAATCTTGGGAACAGCATTCTTTTAATTTCAAAGTAGTCCTGTCCAGAATCAAAAGCAGCGCGGTTCAGAGCAGGTTGGATCACAGCCTCATTTGGGTGCCCCCACACAAAACCCATGATGTCAAAGTTACGGTATCCACAGCGGCGCCCATCAAAATAACATCTCACGTGCCATGAACGTTATACTTAAACTGCTAAAGAAAAAAATGCTAATAAGGCAAAACTAAAACAAAAATACCCCCCCTCCCAGCCTTCCACACACGCGCACACACCCGCACACGCCGTTGTGTGACAGGTCGGCACCAAAGCTTGGTTTCTTGGCATTGCGGGCACTGCGCCACGGCCCCCCGCTCTCTGCTCTCAGACCCCTAGGCTCCTGGAGAGTACACTGTCATCGGAGCCGGTCACCTCCCATTCCGGCGTCCACAGAAATCCTCTATCCCCACTCCCTCCCCACAACTGAGCTGCACGCACCGGCTTTCCCTCTTTTCTGGGGAACAGGTGCCCCTCCGGTGATGCCAGGCCGAGCTATTCCTGTTTCACTCATTACTTGTCCATGTCTGCAGTCTCTCTCATGAAACGTGGAAGTAACGCTCTCGGCTGCCAGCCCGCCTGCCTTCACCCCACAGTTCTTAGAGTCTGTAAAGGCAAGTCTTTACTTCCCCCCTCTGTCATCCTCATGCTCCGCCCTCCCCGCCTCCGGATTCACTGGGACCTTTCTGGTCTTCGTGCTGCGGGACAGGCCCCAGCACTGGCCTCTGCTTCGTTTTGATTTCTGGGATTGGCTGTTTGCCATCCCTCGGCCACTTCTCATCATTCGCCTTCAAGGTCCCCCTTCGTCCCCAACATGAACATCGGAGGTTGACGTCTGTGGAGCTCCAGCCTCATCATCCTTCCTCCCGTTATGCTCTTCCCGAGCAGTTCCGACACGTTCCCGGCTGCCCTCTGGCTCAGCGCACGTCCCCTCTGCCCTGGGTCTGTCACCCAGATGCTGCTGACTGAACGTGCTTACCTGATTGTCACGCAAGTGCTTTATTTCCACCACGTACAAAACTTACTTCTTTCCATACAAGCCCCCCTATCTCTCTAGTCCACTGCCTTCCGCTCTGCTGGCCGAGACAGAAGTGCAGGTGCGATCCCACCTCTCCTTCCCGCAGCCCCTGGCACCGCCTTCCTGCGTCCTCCCCACGGTCTCGCTCGCAGGCCCCGATCTTTCCAGTCTTCCGACTGGTTTCTTCATGTCTATTCTCACTGCCACCGATCTATCCACACTCGATGCTTCCGCACTGGGGGATATTTTTAAAATCAAATCATTTCACTCTCTGGCTTCAAATCCTTCAGTGGCTACTCGGTAAATTCAAAACTCACTGTAATACTCCAGGCCCTTCCAGATCGGTCCCCTGCTTCCCTGGAGGGTCCCGTCGTTCACACTTATTCCCTGGAGGGTCCCAACCCGCAGCCTCTGCTCCGTTTGCACCATATCATTCATGATGCCAGGAGGCGCCGAATTTGCCGATAGGGCCACATCTGTTCTCTTCTCCTGGCTCCGATCCTCCTCCCTCCCACGTGCCCACACCCTGTCTCCTTTACCTGGCTAACCCACACATTTCTTCCGAGGCCCAGGCCGATGACCACTTCTCCCAGGCTGGGTTCATTTCTCCTTAACATGGTCACACCATCCAGCCCAGCACACACCGCCATGCAATATGTCTTTACCATTTTTGTTGCCTGCAACAGACTCTCAGTTCTGTAACAGTAAGGAATGTGTCTTTTCTCTTTGCAGTCCCAGGATCTAGCAGCAGCGCCTGGTGTAATACACCCCATGCTCGGGGTACAGGGATGAACGGAAAATTACTGGTTGGTAATGATGCTTAGTCATAGCCCAAAGATACACTAGAAATAATTAGAGCGCTCATCTCAATGGCCGCTGTGCAAACTGGTTATTATGAACCAGATCACTGCGGGTGCAGCCCCTATGCCCGCCCCAGGTCAAGGATTTAAGCAGCAGGGTGTTGTCCTGGGCAGAGAACTTCCTACAGGCGGTCACATGCTGCGGGCACCCCGGAGGAGTCAGCGCGACCACTGAGGCCTGTGTGCAATGAGAAGAGGCCGGTGTTTGGAAAATACCTTGGCTTCTAAAGTGAAGTGAATACGTTTACCATAAATCTCAACTATTGAAACCTGGTATTTAAAGGACAAGTATGTGTAGCTGACAACTTAAAGTTCTGATGTAGAAATTTATAAAACCAGTGATATAAATTTAAAAAAATCTTAAATCTTCAACTTTTGCTGACTTCCTCACAATGATAGCAGTGCTCATTGGAGTAACATTCACTGAGCACTTTCTGTGGGGCAGCTCTTGCACTTTCAATGCATCACCGCCTCTAGACCACAGCCCCTGCCATTAATCCCAATTTAAAGCTAAGGAAACGAGGCTTGTAAAAATCTGATACTTGCCCTGGCTGGTGTGGCTCAGTGGACTGAGTGCCACCCTGAGACCCAAAGGGTCACTGGTTCGATTCCCAGTCAGGGGACATGCCTGGGTTGCAGCCCGGGTCCCCAGTAGGGGGTGTGAGAGAAGCAACCACACATTGATGTTTCTCTCCCTTCTTTCTCTCTCCCTTCCCCTCTGCTAAAAATAAAGAAAATCTTAAGAAAAAAACCCCTGATACTTTGCCGAAGGTCACTGAGACTGGTCCCTTTTGATAGTATTTTCATTCACCATCCAGACAGCGAGAGTTGGAACTACTGTTGGCAGCTGGAGTCGGGAAGACCTGCACCAGAGCTGGATTCCATAGCGCTACTATACTTTGTCGGTTAGTGGTTGTCTGCCTCGGGACTCATCATTTTACCTCAAGGCTTTTCTTTATATATCCAAGAGACACGTTGCAATTTTGCAGAGTTTTAAGAACTCCCGCAGAGGTGGTTACGTGCAAAACATCCAGCTTGTTTTGTACTTTTAACATTATTTCTTTCCACATGGATATCACTTCCGAGAAGAGCTTTGCTTCTCCAGGGAGCTGTCTTTAGAAAGAAAGTTAGAGATCATTTTATTTTTTGATGGTACTGTAATTAAAATCTATAACCTAGATGCACGGGGCACAGAATATTGTTCAATTTACGAAGTGTTTTGATAAGTTGCATTTTTGCTGACTGTAAGTTTATTTTTTGAGCATCATTACATACAAGGTTGGAGACACTATGCCAAACTGGACGTCCATCCATCACTGAACAGGATTACACTTAATCCAGGGTATAGGACAGGCAGGTAAAAGCTCTACGTAGTGCAAGTGGCAGTGATTTTGTCCCAGGAAATGAAATCAAACCAAGGGCCACTGACATGCTGGAGCGGAAGTGGGGCCTGGGGACAGCTGCTTGGAGGGGGAGCTGTTTCATCCGCGGCTACAGGAGGAGCAGGGTTTCCCCACGAAGGGATGGGCACAGGGGCATCTGGCCTCGGAACAGGGTAGACGGGCGCGTGTTAAGAAAATTCCAGTTCCATTTGCGATGATCTACTCCTAGGGGACGAGGAAGCGTGCAGCGGGTCCCGGAAACTTCCTCCGCACAACTGTCATTATTCTCTCCCCCTGGAAAGCAGAAGCAAACCCGCGCCGCCCACCCTGCCGCCCACCGACACTCTGACTTGAGGTCTGTTTCTGCTGTTGCTGAAGCCGGGAGAGGGAGGCGCTGTCGGAGGGTGTGTGGCCTTGCTCTGCCCTGGGCTCTGCTCACCTGTGTTTCCCACGCCCCTCCCACTCTAGCCCCAGCCCGGTTCAAGCTCCTCAGGACTGGGAGGTTGAGGTAGAAAGAAATGAGAGAAAAGGCCTTTAAAAAGAATTCAGCCCTAGTTGGTGTGGCTCAGCAGACTGAGCGCTGGCCTTTGAACCAAAGGGCCGCAGGTTCAAGTCCCAGTTAGGGCACATGCCTGGGTTGTGGGCCAGGTCCCCAGCGGGAGGTGTGCAAGAGGCAACCATACATTGATGCTTCTCTTTCTTTCTCCCTCCCTTCTCCTCTTTTTAAAAAGAAAAAGAAAAAGAAAAAAAATCAGCTAGTGTTACTTGCAATTTTTTCTTGCCTTTTAAATGTCCTTCAATGACATCGGGGCAGGTACCCCTGGGGTGCACTGCCAGGGCCTTCGGGGTACCCCAGCTGGCACGTCTGTGCTGCCCTGCTCCCGGGCTCTCCCCAGCTGCCAGCGTACAGTCATTCCTCCTCACTGCTGCAAACGGGGCGCCTCCCATACAGGCCTCCCCCACTTGGCTCTGACCAGCATCTGTTTCAGTGGTGATGTCTCAGGATGGAGCCCTCGGCTGTCTCACCTCAGGCTGAGCCAGGATTTCTCAACATGAAAGCACTGCTAACACCTGGGGGGCCAGACCATTCTTTGCTGGGGTGGGGGGCGTGCTTTCCAGGGCACTGTACATGCATAACATCCTCTATTCACTGGGCCAAATGCCGTTTGCACCTCCCGCCCCCCCCCACTGTGATCATCAGAAGTGTATCCCACGTTGCCAGACGTTTCCTGTGGGGGCAACATCCCCTCCAGGAGAGAACCAGGGGTCTGAGATAATCCCGTAGCCTTGCACCTTTTGCTCTGCTGTTAGAGGCTGCTTCAAAATTCCAGCAAAGAGGTCAGGCCTAGTTTCTAGCACCCCTACCTTTAGGGCAGTGCTTCCAGAGGCCCTCCCGCCATCACCCCTTTCTCCATATTGGGTGATGTGCCGAAAAAGACGGCTCAGTAAAAATCCTATCAGAGGACACTCCAGCCCGCCCTCCCTACACCTGCTCCCCGGGCCTCTGGGATTTTCTGGTGTAGCTCCCAGTTCGTCTGGAGGCAGGTAAACAGCGCAGCAACCTCCCCCACCACCCCGACAAATTCCCTTCAAAGAACGCTCCCCTCTAAGGAGTCTCTCTCGCCTCCTCTCTTTTTCACCGTTTCCCCTTACGGTCAGGCCCACTGTCCTTCTCTGTCGTCAAAGGCAAGTCCATCACGGTCCCATTTTTTCCCTTTTCTTTACAACTGTTGTACAGGAGCCTTCGGCCCTTAACTCCAAGCCACCCTGTCTCCAACCTCATAGCAAGTCCTGTACAAGAACAAGCTGGTGACATTTGGAACTCCCTTCCCTAGGAGCTTTATGTCTCCGTTAACTAAGTGTTTAGTTTGAGTTTAAGGCACTAAACTGTAGTCATAAAGGATATACAGAGCCCTGTGCGTTGGGTTTCTACTCTGAGGACTATCGGAATGAGTACAGATTAACACAAGAGCCTAAGGCATCGAAGGACAAGAACTGGACACGTACAACAGAGGTGGATACTGTTCCCGAGAAATACTAATGATCTGAACGTTTTTCTTTTGTAAACCTCTAGCAGTTCCCCTCTTGCCTCTAAAATAAAGCTCAAAATGCTTCAGCTGATACTCACGATTTTCTATCATCAGCTCGAACATGCCTCAGAGACATGTCTGCCCCACGGCTTCCTCCCTCACTTCAGATTGGCTCCGAAGCCCGAGCGTGGGACTGACCGCCCGCAGCTCAAGCTCTGCCTGGGTAGGACAGGTGCCTCAGCCTGAGCACTCGTAACACCAACCCCTTGACAAGGAGACCAATCAATTCAAACGCTAGCGATGAGAAGGCACAATTTTTAACATCGTCTAGGCCCTCTATTCTTTCACATGGGCCAGAGCGACAAACCAGCATTCATGGACGGCTGCTGTGAAGACATGTTTAGTGCCCACATCAGCACCACACTAACACTCGGGATTTTAATGACGTCTCTGACATTTCCTCCCCACTCCTTAACAGCTTTCTACCAGTAACTGACAAAGAAGGCTTTAAAAATGGTATTTGCAACCTTTCATGAAAGAAACAAACATAAGAATGGTTCAGCAGATTACAGTCCTATGCCTACAGAAAGGATTCTTTTAGAATGTTCCCAGGATGACTGGAAATGAAATACACACTGTGCCTTTTTTTTTAAACCTGAATGTGGCGTATTTTAAGTTTTTACCTTTGTATTTCTAAAGAATTAAAGACTGGTTCAAGGGAAAGCCACGACCTTTGGCAATTCACCCATTTCTCGAGAGTGTACGAGAAGAGAGCCAGGTTTTGGTCCCACTTGTCCACAAGATCCTGCAATGAATGATAAACGCACACAAATCTAAACACGGCAAATGACAGGTCATAAAACAGAAACTGAGGTCAAACTCAGAAGTGACCGTCAGTCGCTGACGTACAGGAAGTAACTAGTGGAGGGTCCGTGCAGGAGCGTGACTGTCATTGCACTCAGTCTGGGGAGAGCAGCAGTGCGGGAAGCGGCCGTGAAGCATCCACTCTGCTAGCAGCTCCGTCTACCCACCCCTGGCACCATCCCCACCCTCCACCCCGAGGGGTAGGGGCTCCAGTACAGTCAGGCCTCGGGGGTGCTATTTTGGTCCTCTCTGAAGGACACTGCCCAAATTAAACTTCCTGACAGTTCCTCCTGAGCAATGAATAACGTTCCCATAACAAGTTACTTTTGGTAGTTTAAGCACTAAATATTCAATCCACTTCTATATAACTGCACGAATGAGTTACTCAGTTCAAAAGCTCACAGGACCGCCAAAACTTAAAGTGACACAAAGGTGCAGACAATTTCAACATTTTCCCTTTGCCGCGGTATCTACCTTCATGGGCTCGACGTAGGAGGACCCTTTCACTGTTGCCAGCACCAGCTGGGACTCTTCCAGCTGAGCGAGCAAGTCGTCCAGAGACGAGATGATGAGGATCGCGCCTGCCTCCGTGTGGTGCAGCACCAGGTGCAAGGGAGTCGTGTTCCAAAGGTCAACGATCTTAAAGAGCATCTTTTCGAGAATGCTCTCACGAGTGGCTGCGGTTGATATTTCATTTATTTCACTTTCATACTGAAACATCTAAAGTGAGAGAAAAAACACATTTTTTAATATCCAGTGGAGCAAATAGTTCCTGGTACATTCAAGATGGGAGATTTACACGAGTGTGTTGAAGGTCTGACTCCGGTTAGGCTCACACTGTAGCCGCAGACTTCCTGGCTGAACCTTCGCCGCACGGCCCCTTCGAGTTTGCCGTCGTCGTCCTTGTCACGTTCTTCACATTCAGCAAAGACTTCTAACCACAGTGTCTGCTGCCTCGGATTCTCGTCAGCGAAAGACTAATTAACAGCGCCTGCCGTGCATGTGCAGACGGGAGTACTTCCTCCGACTCTTTTTCTCTGTGCTAATGCCCGCTGTTGTCTTGTGACGACATGCTTGCACTTTCTACAATAATTCTTGGGATGTGATCTTAGCCGGGAGAATGTTACTCCAACGGAGCCAACCTTCCGGGGCTTCCCTCTCTTTGCCACCTCTTTGGATGCGGTAAGGTTTTTCTCAAAATATGTTAGTGAAATTTGTGTAAGTCTTCTCTCCATGTGCCCTGCCTGGCAATTCCCACAGGACAAGACTGTGATACAAGAGCTCTGGGTTCACTCACCATGATGCAAATAGGGAGCGTCTCACCTGCACATCTCAGCACCAGCACGCCGGACCGGCTGCTCTCACCTCTGAAAGCAGACCCTAGAAGACCCTAGCCCTGTTCTCCCACGTCATTCCTATGGAGTCGAAGAGTGATAGCCACTCCCTAATTTTCTTAATGCAGCTCAGTGGGGACCGTGAACAAATATGAACAAAGTTTTCATTACATCTGTTATGGAAACTGCGAATAGATATAAGGATGGTGGCATCAGTTGGCTATGTGTGGCCTTCAAGGAACAGTTTTGGGAAAGAGGCTCGCCTTTTGACACAGGTGACTCAGCTAAAGGCAGATGAGAAACCATGGGACTAAGTTTGTGTGAAGAAAGAACTTTGTGCCTAATGTGGACATACTGAAATTGCTAAGTACTACTAAATCCAGACACTGAGAACATCTAATGCACAATTGCAACTGAATGGCTCTAGCCCCTTCTTTATGTAACAGGGTGCAGCCAAGGTACAGGGGATTTTGAATGGGGTCCAGAGCTCAAAATGTCCAAGATATATTAGAAAGATATATAGGATGTGCTCACCCCTCCCCCCCTACTGGTGTGAGTTGGGGGAAGGGACAATGGAGCAGGGCTATTGAGAGCTGTTGTGCATAGCAACAGCTTTGCGGCTAACCTCTGGCATGGTCATTTAACATATCTATAGCCTTTAACTGGTTTCACAGATGTGTTAAATAGCTGTGGCCATGCTTGGAGCCAGGGAGAAAAGAGTGACTTCCACCCAGGATGTAACTGGGAGGCAACTCCCTCTGGTCAAAGAGCCTGAGTGAGAGCTTGGAGATGATTGGCTCCACGCCATGGGGCCACGCCTGCCCAGACCCACTATGGCAGCCCAGTAAAGCTGGGAGGATATGGGAGTGCTGGCAAGTGTAGCCAATTGTGGGAGGAGTCAGAAATGGGGCTGCAGAGGAAGATTGGCTAGGGATTTAAACCCAGACACAGAAGCCATTAAGAGTAGAACCACGCAGCTTTGGCCAGAGTGGGGACTCCCGCAGCCCTGTGAGGGAGAATCACCATGTGGCTTTAGCAGAGAACCACCACTCAGCTTTGGCAGAGTGGTGAACCCCCCCTTCCTGCAGCGTTGCCAAGGAGAACCATGTAGCTTTAGTAGAGTGAAGACCCCCTCACAGCTTTGGTGGAGGGGAGAACCACGTGGCTTTGGCAGAGTACAGACCCCACAGCTTTGCAGAGAACCACATGGTTTGATCCTGGCTGACGGCACAGCTGATGGTGCTGGGAGCCCGAATCACAGACTTCTACTTCTTTTCCTGAGAATCGGTACCCAGATTAGAGCAGAGGGAGAGGGAAGCACTGTGTGCGTCTGTGGGTGTCCTGAAGGACTTTGGGATTTTGATGAAGACATTAGGTCGCTACTTTAAGTCTGTAGAGCTTTAAATAAACATTTCCTTTCCTTTTCACAAATCTCTGGCATTGAGAGACGTCTTTCCTCTGGTGGTGGACAATGTGAACCTTGTGGCGGTCCTTTCAGTAACAATGTATTGTTTCCCCCCCCTTGGCCCCTCCCTGTTCTGAAACAGTTTTTGGCCTCACTAGTGGACCAATAATCACGTCTCCCCCCCATCGGCCTCTGTTCTGTAACATTTATCATCAAAGTTTGGGACCTGACCAAACGAATGGTCAGATCTCCCAAATGGGTTGGTAATAGTTGCAAAATTTCAGATGAATCTTAATATCTATCGTAATTATTGCTGCTATTATAAAGCACCTGGCTCTCGAAAGTGAAAATGGTTAACCACGAAGTAGCTGTGTTCATCTTATGCACACTACGCACCTCTTCCACTTACTGTGACATTGCTTTTCACGTTATGGACTTTTCGGAACCTAACGCCTTGGACAGAATGGTTGTTAGATAAAAGCAAAATGTATTCAATTAAGAGGGTCACAAGGGAACTTGTGCCCATGCCTGCCCTGGACAGCCTTGTGGCGTGACCGCCTTCCCTGGGTCAACCCCAAGTGACATTGTATGCGGCTGTCGATGAAGGCCAAGTCTGCCGGCAAAGCCTGTCCAACTAGGCACTTGCATTGTCCTGGAGGCACTGCTGGATTTCTACAGGATGACCATGACCATCCAGGGACTCTCAGAGTTCAACTAAGATGGCCAGCTGGTTGTCCGTCCCCTCTATTACAACAATTAACCTCTGACTCCTGGCTACAGCATTTCAGAGGCTGAAGACCTTGTCCATTTTTGATTGGATGTTGAATTATTTTCACGTGGATCCTCCACGGACTGCACGGGACTTCCTTTTAAACCATCTGTTCCTGTGAGACGTGTAAGGGTAGCTTCCTGGAATCCTTGGAGGGACTGCAGGCCCCCAGTGGGTCCCCACCAGGCCTGTCGATCCAGCCTTCCGCTGCCTGCTGCTGCACTTTGTCTGCCAAATTTCACCCTTTACTTGTCCAGAAATGATTCCAAGAACCCAAGACTCAAAATAAAAAATTCACTGAAATTGTGCTAGACTTTTGGAATGCTGGTTTGAATAAACTTAGCTGTTGGCATTGACCTATACGTTCTGAAATTATCTAGACACTTTGCTGAATTCATCCTTGGCACATAGGTCAGTCAGGAAGCTGTATCTTTCCTGACCCAGGAAAGAATGAGAGATTTAGATGGAATGAAGAATAAGAGCAAGAGAAGATTAAAAGATTATTTCATAATTTTTAGCTTAAGCAGTTGGGGGGTGGTGGCGGAAATGGAGATGTCATTATTGAAATGGGGAAGAGAGGAAGAACAGAATTGGGAGATGAAGAGTGAGAAGTGACTCTTTGGCTACGTTAATTTTGACGCACCTTTTACACATGTAAGTGGAGATACTGAATAGGAAACTAGGTATATGAAACTTGGGAGGGAGAATGAGCTTAGGGCTGGAGATATAAAATAATTTAAAAAATCAATTAATCTTTTAAAATTATTTGTTAAAAATAAGTAAAAAATTCTTTTGAAATATTTAATCCCATTTCATCATTACGACAAATCATTTAGTAAAAAATTATAGGTATAAAAATAATGTTACCAATTTCCTTAGACTCGACACATGAAACATCAGTGGAGCTTAATGTAAACCAGGCTCAAAAATAGAAGAACTTTTAATGATAAGAATCGTGGGGGCCCTGGCTGGTGTGGCTCAGTGGATTGAGCACTGGCCTGTGAACCAATGGGCTGCTGGTTCCATTCCCAGTCAGGGCACATGCCTGGTGGCCAGAGGGGTCCCCGGGGAGGGGGCGTATGAAAGGCAACCACACACTGATGCGTCTCTTTCTCCCTCCCTTCCTCTCTAAAAATAAATCTTTTTTAAAAATCATGGAAAAACTATTTTTATAATAAAACCTACATGGCATATCAAAAAGTTGCTAATTATGTATTTAAAATACAATATTAAGTTATTGGTAGGACTATCCTAACATGTTCTTAATATATTTTCATTTTATATAAAATGGGATATATAATATTTTGATTTTTCTATGCCCGTAAAATATCTTCTCTATTAAAACACTATAAATAATAAAACACTAATTTCGTCTGTTACACATGAAAACCAGGGTTCTAATCACTTGGGTAACAGTGGCATAATGAACAAATGGATGGATGGATGGCTGGCTGAACCAACGCGGCCAATTAAACAGAACCGCCTATCGCCTTTCATCTGCCAGTAAACTCCCACTTCCCCAGACACTCCACTTGTTTCTCCCTTTTCTCACTCCTATTCCCTGCAGATCTACCTGCTCTCTCGAGATGGGCCCCTCTGGCATTTCACCCTCCTTTTTCAAACCGTTTGCCCTTACCTTGACTGCTAGAAGACTCTCGACCGTACAGTTTTTATGGAGATAGGTGGACTTTCCAATAACCTCCTGGAGGGCGTTCCAGTGCCGGGGCTGGAGGCAGGGGTTCCCCAGGGCGGTGATGATGGGCAGCTGCTGCTTGAAGTCTATCACTGACTGCTTGAGATGCGCCACCATGTTGTTCCTGGGCAGCCCTGTGGGCAGCAACGGCCGGGGGGCTTACCACGCGCTCACCACATTTTCTACGGCAGACTCAGTTTATCGGCTGTTGGTCTGCCCTGAAATAACGCGCTTTGTTCGCGCAGCCTCCCTGGTACCAGGAAAGCTGGCTGCTGGGGGGCTTCCTGGATTGTCACCGACAGAGAAGACAGGCAAAGGGACAGGCAGGCACATGTGTTTGCGTTGGAAAGGCTGTCAAGGGCTCTGGGTTTTTACCTGCTGCTCAGTCAGAACATTATGGGGCAAAGAGTCACTTCTGTTTTGTACAGAAACTATGTTGACACCGAACTGCAGGAAGGTAGGTGAGGACCTGGGTGGGGACCAGCGCTGCTCTGTCCTCTGGCCCTGACGGGGCGACGCTGACATGCAGGACACAGAGCCTGCACCGTTCAAGGCTCTTCGTCCTTGGCTGTAGAAGGGCAGGGAGGGGTGGAGACCTGGCCCAGGGTGGGGACTCGGGAGAACTGAAAACTGTACCCAGTTCGTACAGATGGGGCTTGTGAGTAATCAAATGTTTTTCAAGACATAGTTAAATAAAAGGACAAGAAAATAACTCTGGTTTTTGCAAGTCTATACTTTGGCAAACAGCATGATTTTACCTGGGGAACTACGGATAAAAGAAGGAGCTGTCTATCTATTATGTTCTGTACTGTTCTCCAAAACATACCCGACAAATAGAGAGAAGGCACCAAATGCGTGTCACGTAAAAGCAGGAAGGCTATGGGCGATTTGCCCCCAGTTTTTCTCTTTACTGGACTAGTGTGAGGAACAATTATTCCTTGTATGATTGAAGCACAAGCAAATGAGCGTGTTTGTCTGGAGTACAGCTGAGAGATAAGGGAGGGATTTAAAAACCTAAAGCGTCCCTTCCCAAGTGAAACATGAGCACCCTTGTGGGAGGGACATGCCGTCACAAGAAGTGCTCCCATGAGAACAGCCTCTCTGCACGGACCAGACCTCAGAGCTGATGATGGCACCAGGGGAACCTCTCTGAATGACTTTGAGGACGTCACTGCCCAAGGACACTGCGGGCGTCCACAGTGAGGATCTGGGTGAAGCTGCTGCCGGGGGTGCCCCTGGTCATCAAAACGTCAGCTCTAAGAGGAGCCAGAACCCCGGGGCAGTGTCTGGGCTCCAGCTGGGGACCCAACTTTTCAAGGACACACAGATCGTTATTAATTACTTATGTTTTGGCAAAGTTTTCATCTCTTATTTGATCGAGAAAACCACCCTACCCATAAACCCACACTGCCTCCCCCATCGCTAACGGCCACGCCTCGGGAACAGGTAAACACACGTGACCTGCTGCCCCAGAGGGCATTCTGCGTGTAATCCTAGGCGGGAAAACAGGAGAAAGGCACTCTTACCTTTTTCTAGTACGAAGAGGACGTTCATCCATTTTGAAACATTTCTCTGTATTGATTCTGTATCGATACTATGAAGAGTACTGTTTCTCCATTCCTGAAAGAGTGTTCCCCATTCCTCTTGGGCATCCCATAATATTTTCCTTAAGGTTAAGTCATACTCAATGTTGGAGATCTCCGACAGCGCAACCTGGGTGATCTCTTCCAGGTTAAAAGAATGCATGTGAGCCTTGGCATCAGTGAAATAATCTGGGTAGTTTGCGTATATTTTCACTTTGTGGGCTAGGCTTGCAGCTTCCTGGGAGAGGGTCTGGATCATTTCCATTGCCACTGGCATGCGAGTACCAGCATGTAAGAGGATGGGAGTGCTTATCTGCAAAGTTACAGGAAGACATTCTGAGAGCGGTTACGCACGCTCGCCGACTGCCTGGCAGCATGCAGCCTGAGCTTTACTGAGCAGGACTGGCAACCGCCGTCTAGAAAGATTACCTCTGGTATATAATTATGTGTGCTTATTATGATTAATTTTAATTATTATTGCCACCAGATCTATAGCTTACTGTGTGCCTTCTCTATTCCAGGCACATTACACCTCACTAAATCCATGCAATGATCCTGAAAGATAATTAATGCTTTTCACCAGTTTCCAAAGAAATTCTGAGGTTATAAAGAATTTCCCCACCAGCAAATGGTATGTGGAGACTCCAGGGACTGGCCTCCATTTCCTCCTCCTGACCCCGTCCAAGTCTGTCCTGCTTGCGTGCCGCGTGCAACGTGCTGCGTGCAACGTGCTGCGTGCCGCGTGCGACGTGCTGCGTGCGTGACACCTCCTGTGAGAGCCTGCCTGTCACGTGTTTGCCGAGCGTTTGCAGCAGTGGCCTCCAAAGAGGGGCACAAGTACTATTTTGCCCCAATTTTCCATGACTAGATTTAAGATTAAGGGCAGTTTCATTGATTTATTTTTTGTGCGCCTCGGAGAACCTAGTATAGCACAATGAAGAGGCAGTGGTTTATTGAACAGTTGTTGGAAGAATAAGTGAATTTGGATCTTGTCATCTTTTTTTTGCCAAACCAGCCCAAGGAATTGCATATAACATTGTTTCATGGGTAGTGTGGTCATCAAAATAAACACTAATAACAGTCAGTAAGTAGTATAAGATTGATAAACCCTATTTCTGTGATAGTGGATAAGGCTTAATATACAATCTGTAACGGTGATAACCTATAAAATGGATAAAATGCTTTTCCCTGGGCTCCTCCCATACCTCCCCATTCATTTGTATTTCTGTTTGTAAACCAGTCACCCCCAGCTCTCGAGCAGTTCCGGGTGGTGCTGGTAGCTGGTGGCAATCAAAGCCTCAGGAGCTTCCTGCTGAGCTGGGGTCCCTGGGAGGGTCAACCCTGGTGATTTTTTCCTGTCTGGGTTCTGCTGCTTTGCTCTGGATGAGGGCACAGCTGTGGAAGTGGATGGCAGAGCACTGCTACCAGCCCCGGCTTTCTAATCAGAGGACTGAAAAGAACAGCGCTGGGAATCTGGAAGACAGGGATCTAACCCTATTCGGCACTGCAAAATCTCACACTGAACAGTCCACTACCCAGAACCAGACCAGCCGCTGACTGGTGCCCCCGTGTGGTGTAAATCTGAATAGCACCACAAAGGCTTCAATCGAAATGACACCAGAAGAGCGGCCCCAAAAAAGTGGATTGAAACATGTCACCTACACCTAAGTCAACTGCCTTCTAAAGAACCAAAATATCAATGTTCTATGGCACAGGGGCAAACACAACACCCACGGGCCGAACCCGGCCCCCCACCTTGTTTTATCCGGCCCAGTACCTTGTTTCTACCTGGCAGCAGCCCCAAGCTCCTTGCCCCTAGATAAGGAGCAGTTACATTTATACAGTCCTAAAGTTACATCTGGCCCTTTGAAGGCAACCACGAAGCTGATGTGGCCCCTAGTGACACCCCTGTTATGGGATTTAAATAAAACACAAGAGTCTCACAGCCTATAAAATCCAGAATATATAACTCAAGGTTAATCTACAAAAAATCAGGAAAACCTCAACACATGTGGGAAAGATAATCAACAAATGCCAGATGACACAGATGTTGGAATTATCTGACAAAGAGTTTAAAGCAGGAATTATAAAAATGCTGCACCAAATAAAGAGAAGAATGAATACTCTTCAGACCAGGGGTAAAAGAGAAAGCCATAGCAAAGAAAACCAAAAAGATGTCATGAAGAAACATACGGAAATTTCAGAACTGAAAAACAATAAAGAAACTGAAATCTCCCTGGATCTGGTGCAGCAGCAGGACGGAGGTGACAGAGGAAAGGACAAGAACCCAAAGACAGGAGTTCACCCTGCAGAGCCCAGTCCCTCCCAGGAGCCACCGTGGCCACGAAGAGCTAAGTTGCCCACTGTCACACTGCTCCACAGGCACAAGGTGCCAAGGCCCAGCCCGCTGGCTTCCCTCCAGGACAGCGGCTCAGGGCCATGCTGGTTGGAGAGGTCCCTACAGGCTCCTTCGTGTCCTTTGTGGCAGTCACACTGCATTTCCGCATCCCCCTCCACCCAACCTTGATTCCCTCGCAATGAACTGATTGCAACACATCTCCATTCAGTCGGGGTCCAATGTAATACACTGAGATACAAAGAGGGCCAATGAGGAACTCTGCCCCCCATGTGTCTGTACATTTCAGTAGCATTTCAAAGACTGGGATTGGGTGTGTGTGTCCAGGAGTCTCCTGCGATCTTTGTTACATTTCTGTGGAGCAGAATGGGCCAACTGTACAGATGGAGAAACTGAGAAAACAGCAGCAGTAAGTAACACTGTGCCGAATACGTATTAGGTACTCAAAATAGAGAGAGGAAATACAACGTATTTCGGTGGTGAGGGTGAGGGTGAGGGGGTGGTGAGGAGGGAGGGTTCTGGTGCCCCAGCTCTTAGTTGCTGTGAGAGAGAAGGCGAGTGGCATAGCCCTTTAAATCTAAGGGCTAGATTTCCCCGGGGGACAAAAGAGCAGAGCATCTGGGTAGTCACTGACACACGGTAGAGCCCTGGTAAGTGTTTGGAGTGTAGGTTACAGCTCCCTCCCCGTGACCAGTGAGTGTGGCTGGAACTCTCTTGACCGCTGGGCCCAGACCGGGCCCAGCACGATCTCCGGGTTCCTCAGCCCTTCCCTGCCGTGCCCCGCTCTGGAAGTCTGTGGAGAAAGTCACCAGCTTGGCTGTGATCTGCTGTCTACAATCACTTGCGATTAAAGAAAATGAGAAATTTTGGTGAGAGGTTAGTGAGCCAGACCTGTGATTTCACACCCCATTTGAGCTCACCAATCGCCAAAATTCCGTTGTGGGTTCCACGTTAAGAACACACGGGTTAAATTATTTGCCTATGAGTTCATGGAAAGAAAATACCCATTTGCTTAGGTCTACATGAGACTAAGCTCCAGTTGACTTTTTAATGGGAAACAAACACTTACTTTGGCCTTTAGGTTGCTAATGTCGACCCGGAGACCAGCAACGTAAACTTCCAGGTTGTCTCTGAACTGAGTGACAGCAGCATCTTTGTTTATCTGGCTTAACTTCATGGTGGCCTTTAGGTGACTGAACTTGATGAGAAGGACTTTGTGCAGGGCGACCTGCTCTTCCGAAATGTGGATCTGGTAACGCCTCAGGACGGAGTACAGCTGAACGACTGTCAAATACTCTTTCTCCAACTGAGAGATTTTTAAGGAAACCGCATCCAAAAAGGTAAAATGTTCCAAAAATTCCTCTATTTCCTTGGGATCCCGTTCCAGCTCTCGCAGGGACGATTCTACAACCTGAAAGCATCGGTGTTGTGATTTTCTCATTAATGCCCGATTTTTCTCTTCTTCCTTCTGTCAAGTCTGTCAATCACTAAGGCCCGTGATTCCCTCTGTCAAACACCTTCTACCCCGTGTGCTTCCCAGACCCCGCAGGGTTACTTCCCAGGTCCAGGCTCCCCTCGCATCCGCCCTGGAGCCCAGAAACAGCTTCCCCCATCCCGGCCCACGTCCACTGTCCACCGGGCCTTCACGTCGCAGCTGAAGCGGGCCTCGCAAACACCGCGATGGCTTCGCATCCTATCCCTGTCCCAGCAGGGAAGGCAAGTAGAAGGTGGTACCAGGTGCGACTTTAGAGAGGGTTTGAGGAGCCGCAATGTGATCGAAGGCCCAAACAAATACAACGCACGTTGGAATTTTTTGGAGGATAACACTATCATGTATGTTTTCCAAGTCCATATCTTATAATCTACTAATCTTAAAGATTCTCAAGCAATAGGAATGTCCAAAACACTTACTTCCAATAGATCTGTGTTCTTTTTTTCAATTGTAGATCGCAGGAGGTTCTGGCTTTTATGGATGACATTCTGAATGTACGGTAAGCATTCTGACTGGTAGCCGAGACTTGCAACACTGAAAATACCAATACGCTTCTCAATGGCCATAGTGACAATTTGTTCGAGATAATTTCCGAATCTAGCTAGTATAGCGCTAAACTCTGTTGAAGTCAATTCTTGCATAAATGATATTTTCAGGCTCATGATTTTGGCCTTCTCCACCATAGCACAATATTTTATAAACTTGTAGCAGTATGCACTGACTAGGCACATTAACCTTCCAATGATACTCAGGATACTCACAATCTGTAAATAAAAATGTTAGAAAGTCAGAATTTTCCTTTAAGGGTGATAAGAGCATGGCCTGAGATACTAATAACTCTGCTAAAAATACGTACCAGTTGTATGTGGAGCTCGTTTCATCAGAAACCTCTACTAAATACATATGTTGAAAACCTAAGACTTTAAGAAATTCACATCACTTTTTGTATCCGGCTTTTACAGAAAGGTTTACAAGGCCGTTTAGCTCTATAATTAGCATGTTATTCGCAGCCACGTTCTAGAGATGCTGGCTGGTGATTCCTTTGCTGGTCACCCTGTGCCACTGGCCACACTCTGTGTCCTAAGAAGAGGCCACTGCCGTGTACTACGGGGCGTTGCCCAGTCCCCAAGATGTGGCTATTTTGGATGGGGTGGAATCCTGATCCAAACTAAGACCGTTCCATTCCCTTGTGACTTGGAACCGAAACACCCAGTCTCATGGTGGCGGGAAAGCCAGAGCCATGGCCAAGTGGACATGTCGGCCGGACAGTGCCCTGAGAGAACCATAGAGGACCGGGCTCGTTTTCACAGGGGAAGCTGGGAAGAAAAGGGTGAACAGAGAGGAAATGCCACGAGGAGGACAAACTGGGAATGATTTTCCAGCTGCTATACATTGTGATACGATAATCTTTCCTTAAATCCTTTTCATCTAAGAATGTCAGTGGGTTTCTGCTCATTAAGCCAAATGTTCCCTAAGAGAAACTTTTCAACTTACTTTACTTTGGTAGACAGGGTCCATTTCAAAGAGGATCTGACAATCTGGCCATTTGGTTTGCTTCTTAAAGTCTATTATACTTCGTGAGTTGCTAGATAAATCCGTAGTTAAAATCAAATCCGTAAAGACAGACAGGCGGGGATCTTGGCAAAGCGGAATAATCTTGGCTAAAACACAGAAGCAGAAAGTTAGTATTTTAAGAAGTCCCAACATAAGCAAACCCTGAAAATGATCCGTGACATCTCGAACTGCTGATGACTAGGGGCTGACTCTGTACGGGGAGCGGGGAGTCTTCTCGACTGATAAATGGGATTCAAAGGCAGGTGTAGAAGTTTGGGTTTAGTGTCATGCGAACAAAAGAACCGGTCTCAGGTAACTGGGGCGGGGGCGAGGCGGTGGTGAGAACAGAGACTGGGCTAAGTCACTGAGCACACACTGAGACGAAGTGCGTATGTTGCGTGAAGCACGCCATCCTGAGGATAGTAACACGAGGACATGCAGCCTCCATCACTAACGAGTTCGTAATCTAGCTGAGCAATCGGATATTCAAAGGCAAAAAAACAGCTTGGACTTCGCTTTACACATTTTAAAACAGCAACTCAAGATGAATCATGTACCTAGAAAATAAAACACACGTCTACGCATCTTCCGGAAGAAGACACAGGGAAAGTCTGTATGACTGAGTTAGACAAAAAGAAAGTTTTTAAATACAAAAGCGAAGGCATCATCTATAAAAGGGAAAAAAATCAATAAGCTGTATTTTATCAAAATTACTAAGTTTAGCTCCGTGAAAAAGAATGAAAGGATACGGCACATATGGGGGAAAATGTCTACAGATGTTGTAACTGAGGAAGAACCTGCATGCAGAGGGCATGTACAGACCTCTCGCAACTCCACACTGAGCGCAGGGAGGCAGGCTGGACTCCTCGGGCCGGCAAAAAGCAATCGGGTAACGCCTCAGACGCTGGCTTTGGCTGGAAGGAGGGTCTCTGAGCACAGCAACCACGCGATGTGACCGGAGAATGATGTCGTGTCTAGGGAGCTGCAGAGGGCCCCGCTAGTTCAAGGTCTGTGCCAGACTTAGGTTGTGGAGGAGGGACCAGTTCACGGTCAGTCTAGTAATTGCCATGTGGTCTCAGGTGCCGTTCGTGCCGCCGGAAAAGAGTGAAACTCTACATAAGGTGGAAGCAGTACCTTTCTTTTGCCGCAATACAGAAGGTGCTGCTTACCTGCTTTAAGTCTCTTAAGACTCCGTCGTACATCAACTGGAAAAAAATCCAAGCCTTCTCTGTTTTTCCTAATTCTACGGTTACGTGATCAACTCGTCCATGCTTAAGTAATTCCAAATTCACACTGATTTACCCCAAAGAGTGTGGATTTATGTCCCTAATATACCATAATGTCTGCCACTTCCCTGGGTAAAGGCATTAAAATGCCTAAATTGAAGAGAATATTGCTGAAGAATACAATGTATCTAATTAAACATTTAAAACACTTACTTATACATTTTTCAATGTCGGCCACCATATTTTGAATTTTTACTGAAAACTCCAATCTGTTGGGAGCAATAAAGAGGTTTGTGGGGAATTCTACAAGTCTAGGAGAAAAAACAACAAGAGCACATTTCAGAATAATGTAGTAACTACCATATAAAATACGATGACTTATAATGCAAAACTGTTTACTACTTACTCATCGTATTTATTCTCAAAGTCAAAGGAGACATTTTCATCTATTAGGATCCAGTGAAAGAAAGAGAACAAAAAAATCAATCAATATTTATATTGGCTACATGACAAGTTGAACCCTGGCTGGTGTTTCTCAGCAGATTGAGCACCAGCCTGCGAACCAAAAGGTTGCTGGTTCCATTCCCAGTCAGGGCACATGCCTGGGTTGTGGGCCAGTCCCCAGTAGGGGGCGTGTAAGAGGCAACCCCACATTGATGTCTCTCTCCCCCTCCCTCCCTCCCTGTCTCTCTAAAACTAAACAAAGGACAAGCTGATGTGTGCCAACGCTTTCCAATCACCCTGAGGATAACCTGGAAAGACTGTGTTCGAGCAGCGCGCACCCCGATTCTGATTACGGGGGTCTCCAATGGAGTCCGCGAGCCTTCACTTTTACTGGAATGCCAGGTGCTGCTCCTTGGGGAAGGGGGTGCTCGGGGCCCCTCAGCGACGATGGCACGTGTGTGGAGGTAAAAATGCCTGACGGCGCGGTTACCACGTGCACCACGGACGAGCTGGGGGTTCGTGCTTGCTGTGTGTGCCCTTCAACACACGCGAAAACCACACCCTCCCGACCGACGGCACACAGACAGCTGTTTCCTCCCACCTGTTCATTCCCAGCTGTCGGGATACGTCCCTTCACTCCTATGTATTATAATTTACCCTCATCCGAGGATGAACAATAATAAATTGTTTCACTGCTTTCAGAAAGAGATGAAGGGAGGAAGGGGGAGAGAGAAACATCGATTGGTTGCCTCCCACATGCACCTGGAGCAGGGATCGAACCCACAACCTAGGCGATGTGCTCGGACTGGGACTCGAACCCGCAGCGTTGTGGTCACCAGATGATGTGACGATTAATCCACATTGGCCAGGGCTCCCCCTTCCTTCGTAACACTCTCACCTGTCTTACCTGAAAGAATCTCCTCGAGGCTGTCCCTCATTTTTTTGGGTTTCATTACTGGGAGGACATCACTGGAGAGTTTTACGGCACAACGGGCTCCCCTTTTTGGTATTTCCTCTCCTTCGCACGTCGCCGATTTTTCAGAGCCCTCAGCAGATCCCTGAAAGTTCTCGGCAGAATTCTCGGAAGAAGTGCTCTCGGCAGGAATTCTCAAGTGCAGATTTACTTCAAATATCGGTGCGCATATTTTCCTCAAATCCTTATCCACTGTAATGCTATTCAAAATCTAATTTAACAGGTAAGATACAGTTCCAGGAACAGTATCGTCATGAAAAGAACATTTCATTTAGCGTAACACAGACCTAAATTTTACATGACAAGTAACTTCAGTGTAACTGAGTAACACTGTATTACCACATAACTGATACTTGCATGTTAAAATAAATGAAAATAAATTATGTACTCCAGTATTCCCCCCTGAAAAAAAAGCTGTGTAAATGGATGCCAGAATGGCCACATATCAATCATCTTAGAGCCTGTTCAAAATACGCATTCCCAGGCCCTAGCCCAAGGACGGGCCCCAGGAAGCCGAATCATTTCAAAGCTGAACTGGCGACTGCGCCCTGTACTCAGCTTTAGGACCCTGCCGGTCAGGAAAGCATTTCCTGTGCGTTCCCACAGGTCCCAGCTGTCCCCTGAAACCCGGCCATGCAGGCACAGGTGTCCCAACGGGAAAATGGCAGGGGCAGGAACAGAAGGGACACAACGCAAGTGTCCTGGGGCTCAGGCTAGGCACCCGTGTCTCACTGCAGTCATGGAATCACTGGCCAGAGCCTGGCCTTTGGTTCCAGCCAGAGACAAATAAAGGCGCCACCGGTACAAGCGAAGGCCATGGGCACGCTATTGAGCTGTGGGGACAGAGCCTGGGTAGGTGCGGGAGGTGCCGTGTGAGCCCGGCAAGCTCTACACAAATGGAGCAGAGCTTCTGCTTGCGGGGAGGAGAAAGTTCTGGGAGTGGGTGGTGGTGACAACTGCACTACGCTGGGCATGGACTAATGCCACTGAATTATACACTGAAAAATGGTTAAAATGGTCCATTTTAGGTTACGTCTTATCACAAGAGAAACATCCATTTGGACAAGTCCAAACAAGTATATAATGTGTTGCAAAGCTTATTCTGGAAAATGGCCCCTCCCGCTGGAATGACTGACCCTCAAGCCCTATTTACCTTCTGATATAACAGAAGCACAAATATTTTGCACGGAATCATTCTTGAAGTGTATGTCCCACAGTGTGACAGGCAGACATATATGTTGGTATCCTTATTTCTGACACAGAACTTACAGTGCGCTCCCACTGCACGTAAGGAGAAACTGGGGCTCCGGGAGCTGGTGTTCATGGGTCAGAGGCGGTCCTGCTGGCACGTGGCCTGGAGGTGAGTCGTGGGTCTGTGACTCCCAGCCCCAGTGACGACACGGACTGGGGCTTGAAAATCTTTTTGTAGAAAAGTCATGTTTTTTTTTTTTTACTGTTAGGCTTTTTGTGCCAACAAGAATGACTCAGACCGTTTGATTCCTCTTGGTGGCAAGCTCGGAATGCAACAGTAACTTCGGCAGCATTCCATGGGAAGTAAGGGAAGGACTTCAGCCCGATCTCTCGAGAGACAGAGTCAGAGCCGTATTTCCAACGTCCTAATGGGTATTTTCACCTGGGTGCTCACCAGTACCTCTGACTCAGCGTCTCCTAAAAAAAACTAACTGCTGTATCTTGGACTGGGTATTAGGATGAGCTCCAAAGGGCAGTCCACATCAGACATGGGTCAGCACAGGCAAAAACAGCAGTGAACCAAGGTCAGGTACTGGGAGCAAAGTGTGATTGAGATGCCAAAACCTGGGCTGTGAGCAGAAACGGAATCAGGAACAAACAGGAGTCAGAGAGGCTGCACAGGTCGAATCGAATCCCAAGCAAACTGGGAAATTAGAGTCAGTGTCGAGTTTTAAAACATCAGCAGTAGGATTTTATGTGATGGAGATCCATAGGCAAAGTTAACCGGTGGGGACGAAATTGAGAGGTACTATTTATAGTCTAAAATGAACAAATAATTAATACCTAAAATATACCAGAGAGTCCTAAAAATAAGAAACCGGATAGAAAAAAAAAGTTCAAAAGACAACAACAAGCCACTCAAAGAAGGAAAATAGTTAATACAGATGCTAAGCTTCACTATTAAAGAAATGTAGAAATAAAGAGTGAGACACCATATATTACACATCAGACTAGCAAATACCAAAGACTAAGCGGCCATCCAATATGGAGAAACGATACGGACCAGAGATCCGGGAGAAGCGCGCTGGCGATGGGAACACGAGTGTTTGAAACAAGCCGTCTCCGCCCTACGACCCCGTGGTCTACGCTGACGTACAACACGGGGAAGTTTTCACTGCGTCCAACACGTAAACCAGCTCAGAGGCTGCTCACTGCTGCCTTGTTAGTGGCCCTGCAGCCTCTGAAGTGACCTGAGTGTGTGTGGGACAGACACACAGAAGCTGGTGTGTGGAAGTTCATGCAACAATCAGGAACAGTAAACTGCGTGTGTGTGTGTGTGTGTGTGTGTGTGTGTGTGTGTACACACGTGTACTGTCACAGATTGGGTTCCCGGGAGGCAGACCCCAAGGCAGGCAGGGTGTTTGTTAAGGAAGGTGCTTGGGGTCAACACCTGAGGGAGGGACCTCACGGAGGCAGAGTGGGTGGAGGCCAAGCTGAGCTGTCCCACGGGCCGGGCGGCAGCCTCGGCCAGCCCTCTGGGAGCTCTGGGGCCGGGGCAGCCCTCTGGAGTCTCCCCAAGCTGCGCTGCGATGCCACGCCGCCGTTTCACCAGGCAGGATCATCAGTGCATGGGGGCCGCCGCACAGGGGGACTCGGCCTTGGACTAGGGGGTGCAGTTGGGGCAATCTCAGACAGCCGACAGCCACAGGCTACCCGCAGACAGCGCTCGCAGCCCCTGGGGCCACAGGACCTTCACGGGAGGGCAATTCGGTGGCCCATCGCCATGAGATCTAGCTGTACTTCCCGCTCTATCTGAGATGAATCTTAACAGCATGATGTGGAGTGAAAAAAAGTAAAAACAGATGGCATTTATGCAAATGGCAATGTGAATGCACCAATAACCAATAAGGAATTTTTTAAAGTTCATTCTAAACTTACGGAAAGTAGGTCGAAGACATATACACAAACTAGAGCGTGGTGAGTTCTCATAGAGGGAGGAAGACTGGTTAAGTATAAGGAAAAGGAAAAAAATAAAATAGAATAAAACAAGCAAGAGGCCTTGAATGAGCTGATGAAGACAGCATCCCATGAAGTAAGAGGAGGACCAACTCAGCTCTCTGATCTGGTCTCTTCAAAAATAAAAAAAAATTACAATAAAAGAACAGGTATAAGAACCTGTAAAAATTCAGCACATGGTAAAGATACATCTTAATTAATTGGAAGAGGACAGATTGCTCAATACACTACGGTAGTGCATTTGGGGAAAATTACTTTAGCTGTCTTATAATATGTATACCAAAATAAGTATCAAACAAAAAAAAAAGACTTTTCGCTCCACCGTATATTTCTATGGCCTTTCTTTGTCAAACTGCAGCCGGCTGTACCTGCGGGGCTGTTTCTGGGCTGCCCACCCCGTGCCGCTGACCTGTCTGCCTGTTCTGTCACTAAGAAATCACCGCCCTCGCCACGCAGCTCCGGGAGAACTCCTGACGTCAGGGGGCGCGAGTCCTCCCACTCTGCTCTGCTCCTTCACCACCATGCTGTTCTGCGACCTCTGCGTCTCCACGTAAACTCTGGCCTCAGTCTGTCACTACTCACAACAGAACTAGCTGGTGTTTCCTGCGGAGCTGCCCACGGCTGTACTCCAGTGCCCCGTTCAGTGCCCGGTAGATCGTAAGTGCACGATGATGCCTGAACGAAGGACCCGAAAGAGAGAAGTACAAATGCAGCTTCCTACACTGGGAAGGGGTGTGTGTGGCTGGGCAAGAAACTATTTATTGTAAATCACATTTCCATTTCAAAACTTACTCATTTTACTTACTTATTTTTCATTTATTCATTGAAACCTATGTTTATATTTTTCAAAGAGCATTTTTACCTCCATATCGAGGTCGGTTTTCACTTCGCTCTTTCTAGAAGAAGTAGCACGTAGGTTTGAATCAATGACGGGTTCTTCGGAATCCCTGATACTTCCAATAAAAGGAGAGATGTCCTCATATATTCTGGAATAAGAAATGGAAAGGAAAAACAAAGTCTTTAAACACTTATATCTCGTTAACATCCCTAAAATATAAATAACTAAACATTCCTCCAAAGAAATATGGCCAATAAGTATGCAGAAAGACTGCATAGCATCTCTATGTGTTAAGCAAACACAAACCAAGACCGCAATGAGATACCACTTCACAGTAGGACGGACATGTTTTTTTTTAAAAAGGAAAATAACAGTGTTGGCGAAGTAGGAACCTAGTGCTTTGCTGGTGGGAATTAAAATGGTGCAGCATCTATGGAAAACAGGAAAGAAGTTCCCCAAAGAGTTAAGTGTGGGGTTGCCACGGGGTCCAGCAACCCCACTTCCCGGCACATACACTGAAGAGGTGAAAACCGGACCAGACAGGTATCTGCACATCCGTGTTCGCAGCACCGCTGTTCAAATAGCCAAATGGTCAAAACAACCCAACCGCCCATCAACAGATGAATGAATCAACAAAATATGGTCTATACAATGGAATATTATTCAGCCTTAAAAAAGAAATTCTGATACACGCCACGCCACGGATGAACCTTGAAAACATTATGTTATGTGAAATAAGCCAAACATAGAAGACAAATACCGTGTGATTCCACTTATGTGAGCAACTTAGGACAGGCCAGTTCCCTGACACAGACCGTATCTTAGAGGTTACAGGCTCGTCGGGGGCTGTGCACAGGAAAGCAGATGTTACTGGTTACGGGAACAGGGTTTCAGCTCAGGACAGTGAGCAAGTTCCAGAAATGGACACGCTGATGGTTGCCCAATATGTAAAAATGGTCCATTCATGGTATTCGTGTTTTACTGCCATGAAATTTTTTGTCTCATTTAAGCAGAATGGGGAAGTAAAAACATTCTGCAAGTCTTAACTGAGGAAAATAGAGACAAAAACATTTACAGAAAACATTTATAGAAAAGTAACTATGTACAAGTATATAATAAGGAAAAATAGTTTTAATCATAATTATTAAAAAGATGATAAATTCATACACACACTGAAAAGTATAAAGAACTCTATAAGGTAGAGGGTAGCATTGGGAATTAAGAGACATCTGACTGATAACTTCAAAAATAGGAAAACTGGAAAAGGGGAAGAGGAAGAGGGGAAGCGGAATCAACAAAAACAAAGTAAAATAAGTAATAGGAGTAAAAAAAAAAAAAAAGGAGGAATGAGATTAAACCATACCAGCCATTACCAAATGTGAATAGGCTCAATTTCCCTAGCAAAAGACAAAAAACTATCAGGTTGGGTAAAAAGCAAAAATCAAATAATACTAAGATACATGTCTGAATACAAAGTGAAAAAGTAAGGTTGAAAATAAGGCTACATGAGTTTCTGGCCACAAGAGAATAGCACGGAATCCTTTTCTTTTTCTCTGTAACTGAGGCTCCGCGGACACATTAGTTTTAGGTGGACTGCACTCAACATTTGTAGTACTGTGAGACAATCAACACCACAAATCTAGCTACCACTTACCACCCTCCAAAATCACGCCATTTTTTCCTTTGATGACAACTTCTGCGCCTTACTCTCACAGTAACAACCTTCAAACGCGTACTACAATGTTACTGATCCCCACGCTGTACTTCCAGTTTCCTTGACATTTACTTTGTAACTCCAAGGATCTCTTAACCCCCTGCACCCATTTCGCTCACTGCCCACTGCCCCCCAGGCAATCTCCAGTTTGTTCTCTGTATCTATGGGTTTTGTTACGTTTATTCGTTTGTTTTGTTTTGTTTTTAGATCCCAGGTGTAAGTGAAATGCTATTCGTCAACCTCTAACAGGTCTCTCTCCACGTTGTTGCAGATGGCAAGCTTTCATATGTGAATACACACACACACACACGAATGTATAGCAAACACCTCTTCATCTGGTCATCCATCAACGAGACATTTAAGTGGTTTCCAAATCTTAGCTACTGTAAACGCTGCTGCAATGAACGTGGAGGTGCGTATTATCTCTTCAAATCAGTGTTTTCATTTCCTACAGAAAAATGCTCCGAAGTGGAACCGCTGGGTCTATTGGCAGCTCTATCTTTAAGCTTTTGGGGAACCTCTGCACTGCTCTCCTCGGCGGCTGCACCGGTTTCCGTCCCCTCCAACAGCGCACGAGGGCTCCCGTAGTCTCACGTCCTCGCCATCATGTCACCTCGTCGCCTTGGTGAACATCGCTCTAACAGGTGAGAGGTGACGTCTCGTTTTGTTTGGTTGGTTCGCTTTCCCTGGCGACTCGTGACATGGCGCTGCTTCTCACGCGTCCGTGGGCCGTTTGTGTTAAATTAAATGTCTAGTCGGGTTCTCTGCCCATTTTGTAATTGGATTTTGGTTGCTGTCGAGTTGCATGAGTTCTTTACCTATTTTGGATATTGACTCCTTATTGAATCCATGATCTGCAAATACTGTCCCCCACGAGCAGGCTGCCTGTTCATTTGGTTGGTGGCCTCCTGTGTTGAGCAGAGCTTTCTAGTTTGATGTAGGCCTTGTCTGTTTTTGCTTTTGTGCCTTTGCTTTTAGAGAGAGGTCCTGCAGCAAGGAGCTCGCTGCCTGTTTTCTTCGGACAAACAGGGATGGGAAAGCTGAACACTGACATGCCAAACCATGAATTCAGAGTCCTGACTCTATACACTAGAGTTGACATAAAATGTATCACGATTTTAACGCAAGGGCTAAAACTGGAAAATAGTAAAAGGTAACACATGCATAAATCTTCATGCCCTTGGATTAGACAATGATTTCTTAGAATTGACACCTAAACACTCTCAATGTAAACAAACAAATAAATAAATAAAGTAGACCCTTCAAAATCATTTTTATGCCCTAAAGAATACTATCACAGAAATGTAAAGACCTATAGAATGGGAGAATATTTTTTAAAATAATCCATTATTTAGTAATAAAAGTTTCCAGTATCCAAAATGTTTTTGTTTTTGTTTTTTTAATTCTTACAATTCAACAATAAAAAGACAAGTGATGCAATTTAAAAACAGACACAGGATTTGAACAGACATTCCCCCAGCGAAGACCCACAGACAGGCAGTGAGCTGCACACCGCCGGCCGGGAGGGAGACGCAGGTCAGCGCCGTCGGCAGGTCAGTGGGGCCAGAGTCAACGGTCGCGGCTGCTACTGACCAGACATTTGCTTCGTGTTCATTCTCCAACAACACCAGATACATACGGTTGTGATCGCCAGGTTACAGATGAGGAAATCGGGGTTTAGAGAACTTATGTGAGCTCCGACAGATTAACAGTAACTTAAGTCACAGGACTCATCAGAGAGAAAAACAGGGCTCACAACCCAGGTGGTCTGACGCCAGGAAAAGACGCCCTTGAACCAGGACCCACGTGCTCCTCCTGTGACGGTGATAAAGGCGTGCAGGGCGTGCTGGATTTTTAAATGGGCCATAGAGCGGTACACGAGGATTATAAAAGTGGAAGGACATACAGAAGTCCGGGAAAGACACACCAAAGTAAGAAGACATTGTATTTAAGTGACAGAATTTTTGTTTTACAAATTTTCTAATACACTGAATGAATAATAATTATGTTCAGAATAAAAACTTTTCCTACACACACACACACACACACACACACACACCAGTGTTAGAAGAACTAAAATTATGGTGTGTTGTCTGTAGACGGTTCTGTTTTAACGCAGGTTGAAGTCCCGGCACTGACTCAAGTCAGTGACGAGGCCTTGGGTAAGTGACGTAAGCTCTGTGGATTCAGTAATAAGTTAGAGAACCATATACTCACTTTAAGATTCTTTGGAATTCTATGAATTGATATATTTTAACTACTCTTCAATTATGATACTAAAACTTTGATTTGGTCGAAATGATGTTAATTTTGACGGTTTGGGCATAATTGTAAGTACTCCACAATTTCAGTTCATAGGCCATGTTTCACAAATTACAGTAGACAGATACCATTGTGGGAATAAGAAAAATGCTTTTTTAAAAAAAACGGTGTTTAAATAGAAGGTGAAAATATTTTGTATTCAACAGATCTTATACAATGGAATCAAGTCAAATTCAACTGAACTTTATGGCTCCTCCTAGAATCACTCTTGTATCTTTAAGAACTAGCTCTGAACTTTAAAGACATTGTGTGTCTATATGTAGAATGACCATATTTAGAAAAGTACAGAACACTCAGTTAAATTGGAATTTCAGACAAATAATAATTTTTAGTATAGGTAATATCTGGAACATACACATACTTAAAAATTACTCATTGTTTATCTGCATTTCATATTGTACTGGACAGCCCATATTTTACACAGCAATTTGACTTACGCACAATTTGAAAAAAATTTTCTGAAGTTTTATGGACAGTATGAAGTAAACTATTACCAGATCCTAAGTTCAGATAATTGTAAAAATTAAGTACACACAACTTGCTATAAGGAGAACTTTCAAATCTTAGCTTCGACTACTGGGTGTCTTCTCCATAGGTGGCGATAAATATGTACAGCCCCACGATTACAAATTCCCTTTATAAATAAAAAGCGTGATTTACTTGATGAGGTTTTCGTTCCTTCTTTCCACGGAAAACAGCACTCTGGCGGAATCGCTAAAGAACTCGCAGAGCAGAGTCACAGCCGTGTTCATCAGCTGGCGGATGAGCTCCTGGAACAGGCAGTCCACCAGCACCAGAAACCGCAAAACGGTTTGGAAAAAACGCCGACATTTAGGCAGTTTGAAATACGCCATGTTATTTTCAGAGAACTCCAACTTGAAACATTCTCTAATTTCTTCCTTTTTCGCTACCTACAATTCAATCAGCAATTGAGAGACAAGTGAGGATTTCCTATGTTAACACAGCATGGATTCTAGTTCACGGTATTTTTATTAGTCTGAGTAACATACTGGAACTAAAGATAACGCTTTCCACGAGAACCCCGCCTTATGCTTACGCTGCATGCTCACCTCGTGCTTAAACACGAGGCAAGAAGAAGACAACTTACGTTCTGAAGCCTGTACAGTCTGGCGTCTCACTTGTAGAAGCAGGTTCATTTGGGAAACCGAAATGGGAAGTGCACACTCACAAATGTCTGTGTTCCTGCGCAGAGGAACCCTCCTCAAATGCACCGAGGGCTACTGGGGGCAGGGGTGTGTGAAGTCTTAATGTACGGATTCCTAAAACGCAGGCCAATGCTGCCTCCTCTGTGCTAGGCCCCAGCAACTAGACTCTATCTTACTTTTTCATCCTCACCTGAGGGCATGCACTTTGACCTTAGAGAACGGGGAAAGGAGTGAGAGGGAGGGAGGGAAATGTAGACTGGCTGTCTCCTACACGCACTTTGAGCACGACCCAGGAACGTACCCCCGGGAATCAAACCTGCAACCTTCCTGTTTATGGGAGGATGCTCCAGCCAGCTGAGCCACGCCAGCCAGGGCCAGCCTTTATTTTAACACATATATGCTACATGACACAGAATTAAGAAAAAATTTACGTTCGTCAAATTTGATGTTAGATTTTTATATGTAAGTATAATTGTATCTCTTGAGACAACCAACTTGGCCGGTCAGAAGTGAATGTCATGTCTTGATCAAAAATACAGGGTGACATGAGGACCACCGAACACTCCTAAATTGTGATCCTAAAAATAATCTGGAAGCTACTCAAAAGGATTCCTTTTAGAGACACAACCATTTGATTCCTGGTGGACCTTCAAAATTCTAAAAATATTTCCAATTTCTGTACTCTTGTTAATTGGTCCTGCTTTTTCATTTCTGCTCCAATTGGTACCTAAATGCTTATAAGTAGTTATCCTTTTCAACCTGTGCTCTAATTTTTAAAAATACAACTGCATTAGTTTTTTATGTCACCTCTCTTCATATTTCATTTTGTTCATTTGTATTTTCTTTTTTAAATTAACTAGGTCAGTTGCTTTACAACTCGGCACATTTTTTCCAGTATGGGCGGCTGACTGGAGAGTGGCTTACCCAGGTGAGGAAGTTCTTTACTGAATCCACAGCTGTTTGAAGAAGCCCGGCTGAAGAAAGACGGGCCCCCAATTTCTATACCTGTCACGGGCCCAGCCACCCTGGGCCTGACAAAGGGAATACAACTTTTTAATGGATTACACTTTTATTGAAAAGGTTCTGTTTTCCGGGGAGTGATTTGAAGATTTTATGTGCATAATGCATAGATTTTTAATTGGTAAAATGGGCAGAGCCTATTCATTATTCAAAATAAAGATTTTCAGCCCTGGTACTAAAACAGTTTTAAAGAGCTTAACATGTACCTGTTTCAGTATGAAAATTACACAGTGATAGGCCTGGTCTTTACACTCAACACCAGTGATGCTGATGGGAGTCCTGCCCCCGGGCAGGCTCACGTGCCCTCTGCCGCCACTGGGGTGAGTGGGGCGGCGTCCCGGTCTCCGGGTCTCCAGGTCTCCATCACTGATTCTGGCTCTCTGTCCCCGTCCCATTCATGCCTGCGCTGCGTTCTTCCAGAGCCAGGCCGTCCCCAACGTCGCCCAGAGGAACACTTTCCAACCCAGGGAGGGGCAATTCAGAGTCACTTCGGGGCGTGTCTAGCACTGCCGGGCCCTGACGGCAGACATTCTCATTCCAGGGGTCTCGGGGTCCCAGACACACTTCATTTATGAAAAGCCGCACAGGTGCTTCTAGCAGGCAGCCTGTTGGAGAAACACTAGCCTAGAGTTTGGCCACCGAGTAGCTGGACATTTCAGTTTGAAAACTTCATCCAAGATGGCAGTGGAGGTGACTCCGGCCTCCGTGCCACGAGCCTGTGGCAGCCACAGCACTGCACACTGACGCTGGGTCCCGGCAGTGTCCAGGCGCCCAAGGCGGGCCTGGCGCCTGCTTCCTGCCCAGGCCCTCGTCACCCTGCCGCTGCACGGCCACCGCAGAGGCCCCAACAGCCAGGTGCACGCACAGCACCGGTGCCGGCCACCCCCGGCACCTGCCTTGCCCCCTACCCCCTGGACCTCAGGCCGCTGCTGAGTATCCCAAGAGCCCTTGCAGCCCCTGGGGACCCACTGCAGTGGTGTCCAATGACCGCACGGCTTCCAGTCCTCAGAAGCCTCAGCCAAGAGACATCACACCCCTCACAGGACCTGCCGCCTCCACGGGGCCCCGCGTCTGGCCTCCTGCACCACCAGACTCAGGGTCACAACACACTCCAGCATGTCCCAGCCACAGGTGCCAATCTTCCCTGATTGAAGTCAGTCCATAAAGAGATGACAGCTTCTTTCAATGCACATACATTTGGGTGAGGCCGCGGGGATCACGAAAATCAGGGATTCTCAAGTCCACTGAAGGAATATAGTCAACCTCCGGCCACCAGCCCCAGAGAAACAGACATCCAGGAACCACCCAACAAGGAATTCAAAGTCATCATTACCAAAGATGCTCAGGGAGCTGCAAAGGAGACCTATCAGGGATCACAGTGTAAAGTAGATAAATGTCTAGCCAACATGCTGTACATAGGAAACTAATATAACACTGAATGTCAACTGTAATTAAAAGTTATTTTAAATTAAAGAAAGAAGTTATCCAATCAGAGAGGGAAAAGAGTGAAAAACACCTACATCGTCAATGGGAAATCAAAAAAAAGTATCAATTGGTGAATGACCAGGTTCCAGAAGGAGAGCAGGGGTGAAGGGGGCAGGAAGCTCATCTGCAGAACACGACTGCAAACCGCGAAAGACCCCAAACAGCCACGGAAATCGTAAGGACAAAGTTGGAGGCACCCTGCAGTTACCTGGTATCAAACTCCACTACAAGGTTATAGTGACAAAAACATGGTACTGGCATAAAAACAGACACATAATCAATGGAACAGAACAGAGAACCCAGAAGTAAACCCAGGCCTATAGGGTCAACTCATCTATGACAAAGGAGACCAGAATATACAACGGGGAGAGAGTCCCTTCGATAAATAATGTCGCAAAAACTGGTCAGGCACATGTGCAAAAGATTAAACTAGATCACTTTCTGACACCATATACAAGTAAGTGGATTAACGACTTAAATGTAAGACCCAAAACCATAAAAGTCTTAGAAGAAAGCGTGGAAGACAGTCAACTCTGTGACTGCTCTTAGCATTGTTCTGGGGGGTATGTCTCCCCAAGCAAAGGAAGCCAAAGTAGACAGACAAACAAATGGGACCATATCAAACCAGAATGATGTGCACAGCTAAGGAAAGAAACCACCAACAAAAAAAGACAACCTACCGATTTCAACAGCAGGACTGGCGGTCGGGCTGATGAGTTCTTCTCAGAAGTTGATTTAAATGGAAATCCCTCAACAAACACTGATGACCAGACCCTGGCGATGCTGCACAGGAGAAAGCAGGGTGGCCCTGACAAATACTTTTACTACATCTCAGTGGCCTGAGTTCTTTCGTTAATGCCTAGTTGATCCTGCTGCCCATGGCCAAATTGTCCCAGAGTCTGTCTATGAATGGCCACGCTGAGGGAGGTCAGGACGATGAGGAATACGATAAGGAAGAGGAGGCTTTATTTCACGGACATAAAATAGCCCCACTTCGTCTTCCTGTCAATAGGCCTTGCAGACACTGCTACCCAGTATCTATCGAAAGTCCAACTCAGAGAAACAATGTGTGAAAATTAGTTGAGGGAGACCCCGCCCATGCAGTCCTCCAGGGAGCCTCAAACATCCTTCTGGATTCAGCCCAAGCAGCAGAGAGAGGCAGCGAGGCCTCCGCGAGGTGACGCTGTGTCCCCCCTTACCCAAGTGCATTCCAGAATCCCGTTCTGTGCGCTGTGGTCCCCACACGGGGGAGCTACAGGAAACAATCCTGTGACACGAGCCACAGCATATCGGGCACGAATGCTCTGAGGACACTGTTCACTGTATTACTGAGTCTTTTTAATGAAATCCTTAGGGAAGTTTTATCTCATCCAGTTACGCTTCTCCTGAGCAACGAGTTTTTGTCTTAGGGATACTGAGCTTGTAACCATTTCCTTTTATATGTCAGCTCAAGTTACACTTGAAGCGTCTGGAAAGTATATACATAAAAATGTACACACAATGATGTATACAAAACACAATAATACTGACATGCACGTGTATTTGCGTTCTGTACAGCATGCAGGAAAAGTGCCCGTACTGTGCCTTGTACGCACAAAGTACTAGCTGCTCGGCTAATTAACCACCTTTGTCTCTCTATCCACCCATTTCCGACACTTTTTCCAGGGGTGCACTTTAGAGCAATTGCCTTAATCACTACATAAAAACTGATAAATTGACAGGATACAATTAACAAATTACCTTTAAAATTGTTCTTTTCATTTCTGAAATAGCTTTATCCCTGATATCCTGAAGCTGTCCCAGTGCCTGGGCAGACTGCTGTAACTGCTCTTCACAGAACTCGTCCAGAGAGTACGTTCGAGACCTATCCAGCTAATTAAGTGACAGTGAAAGCAAAACCAAAATTCAGTTACGAGAGAGAGAGAGAGAGAGAGAGAGAGAACATGTCATAAGAAGGAGCGTATTTCATACTTTCATTTGTATGTTACTCTTTACATTACACTATATGCCTTACATGTTTTTCATATTCAAACACCCATTGTTAAATATAACTAAATCTTGATAAAAGACAGAAAAATATAGATATTTTCATTGTAATGAAAATTAAGCGAAAGCAAGAAGATTCAAGAGCCAATGTATTTTTTGGGAATATTCGTGAACCTGGGGAAGCAGCCATCCCAGGAACTGCTTTGCTTTGAAGTCCCAATTATTTGTCAAACTTAAAAATCTGAACACTAAATGTAGCATAAAGAGGTTAAAACTAAATAATACCGATAGGGTAAGAATTATGCTGAATTTTAATGTTTTAAAGGGTAAAAGAGAAAGATGAAAGATAAAAATAAAATGGATGTTGAAAAAATAAAACAAGCTCTTGATTTACAATATTAACTTTATTACATGAGTATAGTCGAACACAATTTTGAGCTGATTGTCAAATTTATAACTTGTTGAAGTCTAAGTATTATTTCTCTTTCTGGGTCTAGATGACTCTCAGTTTTACTTTTCAGTATCTCCCTCATATGGTGGCTAAGTTAGCTGCTGGAATGCTGTTTTAAGTGTTTAAACACTTAAAATCTATATTTCTATATACTTAACTTTGCTGAAAGAAAACTATTCCATATAAATCAAGTCACTCATTAAGAAGGTCACCCTTTCTTAGAATTATAGAACAGGAGAATTCATAAATTTAACCTAAACCTCCAAGTTGCAACTTAACACAATTTTTTTGACATGCTACCTATTGAAAGAAAATTAATTAGCCACTGTCAATTATGTATTAAAGATAATTATTTATAAATATCACACGTTTGGAGTTTTGAAAATAAAGAAAAAGCCTAATAATAGACTTAGGTTAAGTGTACAGAAGAAACTATGCATAAGAAATGCTAACTTACAAGTGACTGCCCCAGGGAACAGTAATGTTCCTTGCAGGTGTTTTAGAGTCGGGCATCCAGCGGGCTGGTTCCCTTACGGGTCTAGGTACCCGGGCCCCTTCTATTCAAAACCCCAACTGTTCTCCCTCATTTCTACGCACCAGTCTTGGCTTATGGTAACACACCTCCACTCACCTTCACAAGGCGTATGGCAGATGGATTATCTTCATGTTCATTAGCATTCTGGGGAGTAACCGCATCCTCACAAAGTCCCTTTATGTAAAGCAAACAGGCCTGAAATAGCTTATCAGCCCAAAAAAGATGCTGGGACAAAAATGACCTGGAAGGTAAAGATTTTCCACAGACTCACCTCTCCTTGGAAGTGAATGAAGTTAATTGAGAACTAAGTAGTGTAATTGGTTTCATATGCCCACGGTTGATATGTATTGCCTCTGTCACATTTTAAATGACACCGACAAAGATTAGTGAGCACTGCGGGTTGTGTCCGGCTGACAGGTCGAAGGCAAGGTGTTGGTGCTGCGAGTGAGAACCAAACAGGAGGGGGCACGAGAGCTGACGTGATTCCGTCACGCCACCCGGTTCTAGCAGTTCTGAAGCAGTAGGCAGGGATCTCCGCGAGGAATCACGTCACCCATGTGCATTAAATTTAAACACATCCTCTAACCACCTACATCCTAAAACAGAGAGAGAGGCCCTCAATAGGCCCTTTTCTTCGCTCTGTCCCTTCCCACTGGTGCGCGATCACGGCCACCACAGTGAGCCAAATCGCTTCGGACCACACTGGGAGGAGAAGCGCAGGCCAGGGCAGAAAGAGGCAGAGCGGAAGTGCTGAGGGCGTCGCTTTATCGAGGGGATGTTACTGAGTGAAAGCCCACCTGAACCAGCCAGCTACTGAGGCCGCAGAGTCGCTTTCTGGTGTCAAGGAGCAAGTTAACTATCCCCCTAACAACTGGCATGTAGTAGATGCTAAATGAACATTCTCGTACGTCAAAGAAAGGCAGGCCAAAGGCTGGGAGCAAGTATTTATAAACCAGTTATCTTAACAAAAAACCACATCTAGAGTAGAAAAAGAACTAAAGATTCAGCAGTATACAGATAAACAATCCACATAGAAAATGTACCAAAGACATGATGTTTCACCAAAGAAAATGTACAGGTGGACAATAAGCACATGAAAAGATATTCAACATCATTAGTCATGCAAATGCAAATTAAAACCACAATGAGATATTACCACATACCTCCCAGAATGAGTGAAATAGGATAATGAAACAGTAACAACCCCAAGTGCAACACAAACGAGGAGAAACTGAATCGCTTCCACATTGCAGGAATGGTGGAAATGAAAGGGACTGGCACAGTCCCTTTGCAACTCTTTGGTAGTTTGTTAAAACCTAAACATGCAGTTACCATAGGACCCAGCAATTGCACTCCTGGACATGACACCCCCACCCCGGAGAAATAAAAACACGTGTTCACCCCAAAACCTGTGGGTGCATGTTTACAGCAGCTTTATCTGTAGGAGACGGAAACTGGGGAACACCCAGGTGCACGCCAACAGGTGAGTGGCTGAACAAGCAGGGGTGCGCTCACACCAGGGGCTGCTACTCAGCAATGCGAAGACAGCTCACGTCTGCCGCCACCTGGCTGCCTCTCCAGAGTCAGGCCAAGTCGAGAGCCGAGCCCGAAGGCTACGCACTCCACGACTCTATCCAGACAAGATTCTTGGGAAGACAAAGTTCCAGAAGTGGAGAACAGGTGAGCCCCTGGCAGAGGTGAAGGGGAAGGGGGGAGGGGGAGGGGAGCAGGCAGGGTATGGACGGGCCATGGGAGGCACTGCTGTGTCCTTGGTCGTATCAATGTCACTGTCCCAACTGTCATACTTCACTCTCAGTTTGCAAGATGTTACCCGGGGGGAACCTGGGTAAAGGGTACACAGGATCTCTCTGGAGCGTTTCTTACATCTACAGCTGTATTTCAATCACAATAATCTCAAAGTGAAAAGTTTCATAACAGCAGCAGCAGCAGCAGCAGCAGCAGCAGCAGCAGCAGCAGCAGCAACAAAGCTTGACTGCTGGAGAGCCCACAAAACAACTAACTGTCATCGATCTCGGATTGCTTGATCATTCCCCTTTTGGAAAGCATGAAGTTGGGTCATGGGACCAAGGGACTCGGGCATGAGTCCCTCACAGCACCCTGACCTCCTCGTAGCACCAAACGACACACTGGGAAGTACGGGGCGTGTCTAGTATAGAGAGGGTCCGGCAGAAGTGAGGCCGGCTGGGGCGTGGCTGGTAGGGGAATAATACGGGCGTAGTAACTCTTACTTTGAACATTTCATCTAAAACGTCATAGGGTATGCCTGAGTGTGGTATTGTTATGCTACAAAATTACATGCTCATGATTTTGCAACAAAAGATTTTATAATAAAAAGGGGTGTTATTTGTGCTTTACCCTATATATACACATTTATACACACACAAACACACATGTTTAATATATAAAAATATTAATAGTCTCTAAAAATTAGATGGATTAAAATTAATAATCAAGGTTCTGGAAAGTGACTTTCTAACCACTGAGTGAAAACTGGTATCTGCTTCCATAATTACATATTTAAAATAAAGCTCCCTCTTAAAATTTCTGTAAATAGACTGCATATTAAGACTTACCTGCTCTTGGCCCTGGCTGGTGTAGCTCAGTGGATTGAGCGCGGGTTTGTGAATCAAAGCATCACGGTTCGATCCCCAGTTAGGGCACATGCCCGGGTTACAGGCCAGGTCCCCAGTAGGGGGCGCTTGAGAGGCAACCACACACTGATGTTTCTCTCCCTCTCTCCTTCCCTTCCCCTCTAAAGATAAATAAATAAAAAAAATCTTTTAAAAAAAAAGACTTACCTGCTCTTATCTGTCTTAATCCTTTTAACATTACATTTCCAAGTAACAAATGCTTTGTTAACTCTGAAAAGAAAAACACTTCTTACATTCTATACTCATCAATTTCAATTATGTAAAATATATTTAATAAAGGTTTAGTAATACTAAAAAATTCTCCAGAACAGGTCTTACCCATGTGAGTTACCTAAGGCCAATACTAAACCACATCACTTTTCTCCTAAATGATCAACAGAATACAGGGCAAAATATAAGTGACTATCATTATAATTCTCACAGATGCATAATCAACTTATTTCTAACATTCTGATAAATATAAAAACTATAAAATAATATATTCTTTTCCCTTATACATTTATTGGATTACTATTTTTAAAAGAGACTCATATTTCGAGAGGAGTTAAGATTCAATTTTCCCAGATAATGAAAAGCACATTAATAAGACATCATTGGATAGTGGTAAGTAAAAAGTGAAGATAATGTATACTGTTCTAACAATACGACACTTCTGTTTTTTAAAAAGCATGCATTTGCAATTTTAAAAACTCAAAGAACCTAAGTGAGGAGGAACTGACAAGCTTCCCTGGTGACTGTTCATCGCCCTTAGCTCTCACTCAGGACAGAGATGCGTCCAACTGGGCCCAGAAGTCCCCTTCGACGCCTGAGTACACTTTGCCGCCTGTCATCTGCACCTGTGGGGCACATGCCACGCACAGTCTGCTTCGGAAGCAAGATGTCTCCACCTTGATGGGAACACTCTTAGAGAAACAGCGAGTTGTGCTGGGATGCTCATTTGCCAAAGTGAGACCCCCTGTGTAGCCGGGAAGAGCTGCAGGGGGAGAGGAGGTGGTGGGGAGAGCGCCCACGGGCCAGCCACCCAGCCTGTTTTAGTGACGTGATTGGCCCGAGCCACCAAGCGGCTCAGAAAGAATCTCAGGGTGTCACTCAAACAGGCACACGCAAGGCCTTAGCAATCAGACGTGCCGCAGGGAAATCCAGTGACTCGGCCTCCACCAGGCTCCAAAGAGGCGCTGTAAACCAATTCCTGTCTCACTGGTAGTTCAGACCCCTTGAGTCCTGGCACCTCTGGATTTAGAGGAGCCCCGGGGGCCCCGATGATTTCCGGGGAACCCAGGTTGTCCTGATGAGCATCTGCACCAGGCCACAGGACCGCTTCTCCCAAATGTCTCAGGCAGTAAAAAAGCCACTGACGGTGCTCAAGTCCTCCCTGCACCGGATGTGTGGCGTGGCCAGTCTTAGTGGTTAACTCTTCATTTATCTCACGTTTGTGTGTGAAATGTTTCTAGTTACCATGGGAGTGACGAAAGCTTTACAAAATACGTTAAAAATAAAGTTTAAAAACCAAATAAGCTCTCCTTTTAACCCAACTAACATGTAACTTGCATTTTTCTTAACATGAATAAAGACAATGAGTGATTTTCACTGAAGCCAGATGCCATATAGAAAGATGATCCTTGTCCCAATTCCAATCGGGTTTCACAAGTGCATCCAGTGAAGATCATTCAGAGCAGGACGGACCCTGAGGATTCACTACAAGGTGAGGAGAGTGGTGGTGTTAGGCCTGGAATTAGATAAAAGTAGCCAAGAGGAACCTGAGGCAGGCTCCAAACTGTCTCAGCAAGGAAGATCGAAAGTACAGAAAGTACAAAGAGTGCTGGACAAGATACACCGCCTGTGCATGACCTTGTCTTTGCATAAAAGTATCCATTGTTGCAAGCAGAGAGCATAGCCATGTGTGTTCTCTTGAGATAGCCAATTGCTAACAGCTACGTCTGCTTCTGTATTTGCTTGCTTGCTCACCCCAATAAAAACCCCAGGCTGTAAGCGCCAGGCGCGACTCTCATCCGCAGCCATTTTGGCACCATGTCCTCGGACACCCGAGAGTTTGCCCCTGCTCAGGTAAAACTCTGAAACTTTGGCCAATAAAGTTCCATCATAAACTCCTGAAAGCTTCTGACATTTTTGCTCGCATTGGGGTATGTTACAGTGGAAAGGCCAACGCAGATAGGGTGCGAGTCCTCTGGGTGAGGTGAGCTGACAACCCAGAATCGAGAGCACCCGGCTTCACCTCCAGTGTCCACTCTACAGGGACCCACGGACCACGCACCCACATTCTGTACAAGAAACTTCCCGGGGTTGCTGGTGGAGTGTTCACACCACGCGTAACTCGGTTCCGGACACTAACCGCTCCCGCCTCTCACTCCTCCGGTCACGCCAGGCCCACTTGAGAACAGCCCCCAAGGGTGACCCTGCCTAAAACTTGGGACTTGCCACAGTCTGTCAGGAACTCCTTCCTCTCCAGACCCCACACTGTGTATCCTTTTCATCAGCCATCCGACTTAAAGCAGCAACACACATCCACACACACACGAAACTGTTTTATTTCTCTATCTTTCCGGCCCTTAACGCTACCTGGAACTATCTTATTTGTTTACTTATCATCTGTCTCCCTCCAGAGACCGACTAGAAGTCCTGTTGGTACAGAGACCTGTTGGCAGGGCCCCCAACAGTGGAGCAGCAAAGGTGCACGAGGAATATCTGCTCAGTAAGTGAATTTGCTAGTGAATCATTTCTCTGCTGCAAAATCCACTCACTTCCCTCCCTCGGAAGTTCCACAGGTTCTTAGTTATTTCAACTATTTGCAAGTTAAATGGAACAATTTAAAATACTGTTTTTTTTCTTTTCCTAGTCCCCAGCAGGTACCAGCAGATCACAAGAAAAGGGACATTAGAGAGGAACTAAAGAAATTATAAAACTAGATACAAACGCTAAGAGAACAGGAGTCTGGGACTACCCTGTGCAGGATTGAAGGGTCTCAGAAATCCTAATATGCTGTGATATAAACTTAGAACTAGCCAAATTTTTAAATGACCTTGAATCAATAAACTGGCCCAAGCTCCCTAACGCTCTGTTTTATTTTCCGCTGTAATATCTCATCTCCCTCTGACATTTTGCATACGTATGTGTTTCTTATTACCTCTCATCCACTACAATCTAAGTTCTCCGGGAGCGAGGCACCTGGGAGATTTGCTCAACAGCATCTAGCACAGTGCCTGGTTTGTAGCAGACTCTCAATAAACATTTGTTTAATAAATGAAATGCATGAAAAACAAGAGGTAAATTAAGGTCATGATGATCTTTTTAAGTTCACTTGACACTAAAATATCTCTTTCTTATGATATTTATCCAGAAATACAAAAGAGCTGTAACCCCTAAGTTGGGAAGCTCCTTTTAACTAAAATTTTTTCTGGGCTGCCCCATTTGCTCTGTTATTCCCCATAAATATAACGTCACTGTAGCAGAACCCCGATGTCATCCAGCGAATTGCTATTTCAAAAGGATCATATTACAGATAATTCGTTTCAGTTTCGTGCATCTCACCGAAAACTGGAAAATATCTTGAACTGCTGTAACGAATAGTAGTATCTCCTTTCCACGAGCCACTCCAAGGAAGGCGTGAGCTCTGCCACTTCTACGCCGTCCACTTTGGTGACCTGCAAATATAAAGCACAAAGATGTCACTTCTGAAAACCACGTGTCATCTTCAAGAAATCTGGAAAGCCTGTGTTTGGCTCAGAACTGCTTGTCTCTAGGATTAAGGTTTTCCTCCCTCTGACCTTCCCCACTCCCCATCGACGCTCACACGCCACTGCCCTTCACCTTTGAAACGAATGACGCGGTAACCGTCCAAAACTCCCTTCGATGCCGGGCTCTCTGGGCAGAGACGACCTGGAGGTCATACGCATCATAAAAGACTTTAGGATTTTTCCGGGGAAGGCAATATACAAATTCTCCATCATCTTTCAAAGGTTCCTGAGGTTAATAAAAAAAAAATTTTTTTTTTTAGTTCACTGGCCCAAATTAAGTAGTAAAATGGCTGAACAGATGACTCAGGAAATTGAAACAATGTTACTGTAGCTTGAAAATAACATCAGTTGGAAAAGCTATAATCAAATCAGGTCCGACCAGAGTCCAACAAGATCAATCTTAAGACTTAAAACATTTAATTTTCATTCTTAGACATGATGTGGTAATAAAACATGCGTGAACACCAGCCTGTACGCTTACTAACGTATGCTTGGGGACCCAAAGAACTTAGTAACACCTTCAGCGTATGTGCTGTGCTCCCAGTCAAGCTGTCTACCAACAGGAGAAGCCATGTGAGTACATTAAATTTATCGTTTAATTTGATAATGATGGTGGTTTGGTATAATAATAGCTAATACTCGTCAGGTAATGAATACCTAATGAGTCGTGTTTCCCATACGCACCTTCACAACCACAGGGTTTCTAACCTCTTACATTTAACCTGTTACATGGAAGAGACGATGGAGTTGGACCTTTGCAACCTCACCAAACAGAGGCAGAAACCACTACGTGGAGAAATCGGGAAATCTGAGAAGAGCCCCCCAGCCAGAAGGTGGAAAAGCAGGGCTCTGAGCCTCGGCAGCGTACGTGGCGGCCTCTCCCCAGACCGAGACGCTGCTGAGAAACCAGACGTTCCACACACAGAGGATTTCTACTCGAAGCTTATCTGAGCTTTGAGACGTCTAACTTTTATTGATAAAACACTGCAACGAAGTTTTGTTTAGTCTTGTGGGGTAATTAAATTTTATAATGAAAGAGCATTTAGTATTCTTGATTATAACTCAATGACTGATGCCTCCAGAAGCTCTTGAACTGAGTAACTAAACAGCTTCTAATCGCTGTAATTTTGAACTTTGGATCCAGTTTTACTTTCTAAAAAATAAAACTGTCAGTCTTAACGACTGTTAGGGTTTCTCCTCCATTTTCTCAGTGGCTTCATTTTCTTATTTTGACTCCTAACATAGTGGGTACCTAGAAACCTTAAAAAACAAGTTTAAAAGCTGCAAACAAAATGAAATAAACAAACTCTGAGTGATGAGGTACAGTATACAGGCTTTTTATAGCTAGTAGCCACTTGAGGCATTTCCGTTCTAATTTATGTGTCCAGAAAGTTGAGATCACTAGAAACTTAATGTAGACACAGTACTCAAAATGGATCATATATGTAATTAAATAATTCAACTGTAGAAGCACAAGAATAATATATTATAATTAAATTATTCTCAATGAAAAAATGATTTTCATATTCTCAATTCTTCTTCCAAAAATGACACACACCTCGATAGAAAGTCTAAGGATATTAAACTGATGTACAGCTGCATTTTTTAACTACTCCACCCCCTTATCTGCCAGGCCACATGCATTATTTCATTTAATTGTCAAAGCTCTCTAAGGTAAGTATTATCGCGTTCATTTCAAGGTCTAAGAAACTAAAGCTTGGGGAGGTTAGAAACTTGCCTAAAACAACACAGCAAGTACATCAACAGAGATTAAAAACCAGGGGAGTCTCGCTCTGTTAGGCACCTACTTTCCTTTAAATGGAAGCTGCCCTGGACCAATCGCCAGACATCCATTTACTGGCACTGTGCCAGAAGAGGGACCGGCAAGCTCCGGCCAGGACCAGGTGCCTATTTCCATGAACAGGTTTACAGGATCACGGCCACCCCTGTCGATGTTTAGTCTCTTGCTGCTTTTGCACCACCATGACAGGATGGAGGGACCAGGACAAAGATCACAGCCTGCAAAGCTGTGATTTAATATTTACTGTCTGGCACTTTTTGGAAGAAGCCTGCGGACCCCTGGTCTAGAACAGAGGCTCTCAGTTGCCTGTTGGCATCACCAGAGAGCTTAATAAAATACAGGTGGCTGGGTTCCACCCACAGAGCTCAGGTAATGAATACCTAAGGGTTTTTAACCTAAAAGGTATAATGAAGGTCGGGGGTGGAGGTGGGAACATGCGTTTTTGTAAGTTCCAAGGTGACGCGGAGGCTGCCGGCCTGGGCACTGCACCTAAAGGACCTCTGATCAGAAAGCAGGACGAGATGGCCCTGCTCAGTCTTCGATCACCTGTCATAAATGAAGTCATGGGAAGCAGACCTTACTTCTTACCACGGCTTGCCCCCTGGTCACATGGTGCTAGACAAGCTAAAATCTCTCTGAAGTGGTGGGTGAGGAGAAGGTGGAAAGGATAAGGGAACACAGATGCGGAGATAAAAAGTCAAGCACGAGGAAGTAAGAGGGAGAGGAGCAGAGTGCTGCAGAAGTACACTGGGACTTCTCAAAGCACAAAAACCTGATGAACGTGAACGTAAGTGTAGCTGCGAATTTCAGGCATCTGCTCTCCATTCTTTAAGTGAAATGATGCAATCTCAAACGCTTTTCGTGAGCATTTACCATGAAATGAGATAATCCAATACTAATGTAACAATAATGCAATGGTAATTTTGATGTACGTAATAAATAAAATGAAGAGTAAGACACAGTTTCAAACACTCGCCTTCCCAGCACGAAACCGAGTGAAATGGGATGATACCTTTAGCATGATCTGGGCTGCGCTGCGGGGACTTCTGGGTCCCAGGCTGCCGTCGGGTAGTACTGTTCGCCAGCCGAGCTTCTCCCTCAGCCGAACGATGTTTCTCACCACGCTGTCATCCTCTGGTTCTGGTTTGGGACACGAAAACAAGACCCAACACAAGTGTGAATATGGGCGCCAGTTAAGGGCAATGCTGAATGTTCCAAATATTTCTACACGGAGGAAAAATATAAATGGCAACTTACACTGAAAGTTACACAGACTATATGATTGGGGGAGAGAATATAGCTTAAAATTCAACTTTAACAGAAGCTGGAAGGGAGAAACAATGGTTTTCCATTTCAGAGAGAGGTCACAAAGGACCTAATTACGCGGGTGGTCAGCCAGAACAGCACACTACACAGAAACTGTCAGAAGGCTTTTCTGAGTCAAGGCCTGGGCTGCAGGTCAGAGGGGATGGTGACATGAGATGTGAGACGTGAGACCTGAGATGCGAACGTTCTCCCCGAGAACACCCATCCCACAGGCCCTTTCAGACTGCATCTGCCTTGCTGTCTTGGCAGCTGAGCCGTCTCTCCTTCTAGAAACAGTTGCTTCTCTTGGCCCTTGGTCACCACGCTCTACAGGTTGTCCTTCTGGCCCCTGAACTTCTGGGTACAATGAGTCATGGGAGAAGCACCCCAAGAGCCGTGCTGGCATAGCCGGCGGCGCTATGAAGCCGCCTGAGATCTCCGCTGCTCCAGAAATCACACACACCAGCTGATCAAAACCCCTTTTTAGCTCAGGATTCAAGGCGACTTGAGCTGTTGTGCAGAAGAGTGTGAGGATCCCGATAAACTTGGTGTAAGACGATGCAAATTTGTTCTCTCTCAGTTTCCACAGGTCAGGAAGAAGCCTAGTGGACTTCAAGCTCTCGCAGGGCTGAAATGGAGAAGCTGGCTGACCACGCCTCCTGCAGAGGCCTGGCTGGGACAGCACTGCCTCCATGCTCCCCTGGGGCGATGTGACTGCAGTCCCTGTTTTCTCGCTCCCCGCTGGGCAGGTCCTGTTCTCAGCTTCCGAAGTGTATGCACCTCTAGGCCCTTGCCCTGTGGCCCTTCAGACGCGGCTGCAAGGCGGCGTCTGTACTGTCTCTGGTCTCTTACAGGCTCAGCTGATTAGGTCGGGCTTGCCCAGGATAATCCGCCTTTTGACTGACTCAGAGGTAACTGACGAGGGGCCTTAACTATGCCTCAAAAATGTGATACAGAATGAAGTGATGAGAAGGGTGCTATTCTCCCACTCTCCCAGGTTCTGCCTGCACCGAGCGGGAGGGGGTTAAGCTGTGTGCACGGGCGTGGGGTTACGGAGCATATTCCAGAATTCTGCCTACTACAACTTCTTTTTTAAAAAGTGAGAAAATGTTAACATCTGTGAAGTCTAGGGAGTGAATACTTACCTGTTAGATTATTTTCTCTTTCATATTTGAAATTTTTCATAGTTTTAAAAAACATCCTAAGTACTTACGATCTCCCAGTCTGTCTTCACGGGTCTGTAGATGCTACAAAGGAAAGCACCTTAAAGAAATACAGTCACTAAAGGATTAGACTGTTTCTATTCATCTGGCAGCCATTAAGCCTAAACAGTTGCTCTTTCTTACACTGAAACCGGTTTCAGAACAACAGGACAATGTGACAAAAGACTAAGAATTCTTAGCACATACAGCAGTGGCTGCATTTGTTGTGATGAGAGCCACTGTTTTAGTTCCCAGAATACACTGCAAACTGAGAACAATTTAGTGGATGAAAACAATGCAATTCCTGTGGGTCAGGAGTCTGGATATGGCTTCCTGGGGGCTCTGTGGGGGTCTCAAAGGCTGCGACCAAGGTGTTGGATGGCTTGGTTCTCTTTCAGAGGCTCAGCTGGGAAGGGTTCCTCGTGTTTGCTCCTTCAAAGCCGGCAGAGGGGAAAGAGACTGTAGAATGAGTTTGCTAACAAGACGGAGCCACCTACAAGGCAATATAATCACAGAGTGACAGCCCATGAGTCTACCCTATTGGTGGGAACCAGTCACAGGTCCTGCCTCCACCCAGGGGAGGGGGTTAGACAAGGGCACCAACACCAGCACATCCGTGCAGGGCTTGGGCTGTCTGAGGCATTTATAATTCTGAGGATCTTCTCTCTAAAAAAAAAAAAGCAGCAGCAGCCTGGGTCCATGAGGGACCCTGAGGTTTAAACTTCAGCAGCTTTACTATAAATCTGCCCTGGAGCCCAGGATGTCAGTGGGAAATAGAAAAGCTTCCTTTTTCCTATTAAAACTTAAAATATTAATACAAGTGAGAATTTCAGGTATAGAGAAAGCACAAACTGAAAAGTGCTAGTGGAGGAAAATCTGTTTAAATGAGTAATTTATTGGGAGATTTCCTCTATCTCAGTCAGTCAAAGACATAAAATTATTCATTCTAATGACACCATCAAGTTTTACTGAAAGGATAAAACAAAACCATCCAAGTTTATCTCATTTCTAGTTCCGTGACCATAACCTTCAGAGATTTGTCTTAATTAAGAACACAGGCACTGAGCGGTCTGCCAAGTTTTTAATGTATTGATATTTCAGGTTTTCAGAAAGACCGTAAACCACTGTTCAAGCAACCGAACACAAAACCCAGTAAGACTGTTTCCTGGAAGCTCGCTGTCCGATATAAGCACACACGGCTATGGAACAATGTGAAAATGCGCAGCATTTGCTAAGCCGGCTGGGTAACGCCACCTACCGGTTCGATCGTAGGACACACGCCTTTTCCGCCTGGGTTTTAGGTAAGTGTGAGTTTGTTCTTGAGTTTGATCTTTTTTCCCCTTTGATTTCTTTTTATCCTCGTGGCCGGCTGGCTCTGGAGCAACAACTTGTTGAGTTCTGCTTTCCTGAAGGTGATCTGAAAACAAAACCAGCATTAGCTGAATCACCACGTGAGCTACAAATACCACGGTAATTCCACACGCCAAGCAACACAGCTGATCGTTCCATCAATACTGGATTGTACAGTATTTACACAGACTTTGAGTCAAAACGCCGTGGTTCCCAGCTCAATTACAAGCTCCCCCACTGTTCTGTGACTGACTTTGTAAGTTACCTGTCTGCCTTACTTTACTCACCTTCAGAATAAGGGTTGTGACAGTAAAAACCTCACAAGGTGTCCCAAGGATTAAGTTAGTTCATATGGTTAAAGCACTTTCTGAGGGAAATGATAATTATTGACTTTATTACAAAATGTGAATCCTCATGTGAAATACACACCAAAACCCTTTTTATTAACTGTAATTTGATAACTGAGACCAGAAAATGTTTAGACACGAGTGCAGAAAAGTAACATAAGACCTATTTCTCATTCCTTCAGTGACTTACCTTACTGGTGGATTTTCAACACAAAGAAGAATGAGGAAATTATTGGAAATCGGGTTTCTTTTTCTTTTTTAATTTATTTTTTATTGATTATGCCATTACAATTGTTCTATTCCCCCCCTTCATTCCCCTCCACCCTACCCCCCGTCCCCACCATTACCCCCCCTTTAGTTTATGACCATGTGTCTCAAGTCCTTTAGATTCTATATTTCCCATAGCTATTCTTGCCCCCCCATCTATTTTCTATCTACTGTCTATGCTACTTATTTTCTGTACCTTCTCCCCCCTTCTCCTCCCACTCCCCTGTTGCTAACCCTCCTTGAGATCTTCATTTCTATGTTTCCACTCCTGATCTAGCTGTCCTTTTAGTTTGCTTTTGTTTTAGGTGTGGTTGTTAATAACTGTGAGTTTGCTGTCTTTTCACCCTTCATGTTTTTTTAACTTATTTTTCTTAGATAGGAAATAGGGTTTCTAAGAAGCAAAGAAATTTGATTTTCACTGATTTAACAAACATTTATGCAGTGTTGGCCCTGAGCTCCCACCAAGCAGGTGATGAGACAGTAACTACAACCAAAACAAAATGGACACAAGTGAAATAGTAAGTTCTGTTTCAGCCAGAACCCGAACTGCTGGACGGAGCCAGGGGAGACCTGCCACGGACCTGCCCCATTCCAAGGCACCGAATGTGAATGACGGCGCGGTTTTCAGTTCTGTGGCGGGAAACAGGGCTGGGGATGAGAGAAAGACAGGAAAACAGAAGGGCTGTTCAGATCGGGAGGAGAAAACGTGGGCCTCGGTGGCAATTTCTCTGAGACACTTGTGAAACTCCCTTTATCTTTAACATCCATTCCAAGGGCTTCCCCCACTTCCTGGCCTCACCTGATACCTAGTTATTTTCTAAACGCATCACTGACAGGTCAGCCTCCCAAGTAGCGGCTGGCTGTACCCCAGCACCCCACGCATCTCGGGATGGGGACGTGGGCTTGCTCTCCTCCTCGCTCCTCCTTGCCCTCTGAAGGAAGGAGAGGAAGCCCCCGCCCCCTGAAGCACAGGGCTTCTCATCACGTCACCCTCCCACTCGGCGTCCACATCCACCAGCCGCCCAGTCACGCCCTGACTCTGGAACCCCAGCCCCGGGAGGGCCCTGTGTCCTCTGGGGTGAATCTGCCACAGGCTTCAGTGATCAAGAATTAAGACTTGTCTGACACCGTGTCCCTCCCCCCAACCCCGCTCTCTAACATCCTCCCATCTCTAAGCCACTTCCATGGCTGCCCCCAAGATTACACTCACGTGCCTGTCATCGTCAGCCTCCGTCCTCCCAGCACGCTCTACCCTGCGAACATCCCCACGTTTACACCTCGTCGGTCCTCTGGTCGTTGTCCCGTGACGTTCTCACAACCCACCAACCCTCGGCTGTCTTCCATCTTTCTCTTTACCCGGCTGAGGTTACCTTGCCTTTCAACAAACTCCCACCAAATCCCCAACTCCTTCTTTCCCTCTCGGCCGTGCGGCAGAACACCAGCCCTGGATGAACCTGACACCATGCCTGTGCCCACATCCCACAGCCCAGGGCTGTCAGAGAAAGGCCCACGCGTGGGTGGGTTGGAAATCTCCAAAATTTGTTTTAATGGACCACGAATGGATCCTGCACACAAACCTGAAATCCTACCGCCTGCCTGGTTAATGTGCTCTTCTGGATTTTTACAACCGTTTTGGATTTCTCCATGTGCCTGAAATCTCCAACCCTTTACCTTCCAATCTGTTTCAACACATCTCATTGCCTTCTTCCCAGGAACTCGGACATCAGGTGGGAATTCCTGCAGCTCGCCAAGTGAGCCGGGTGACTCTCGCCCGCACCCACCCTTTCCTCCTGCCCTGCTGACTGAGAAAGGGCTCAGTTTCCCCTGCCACACTAGTAACCCTTCCGTTCTCCGTTGCCTCGCCACGCAGCTCCGCCTTAAATGAAACCTACGCCTAGACCACGGCGCCTTCTAATTAGCAAGCTATACCTCGCCTGTCTTCACTGTCCAATTTCTTAAAAGAGTTGCATATAATCACTGTTCTATCGTTTACTGACTACCTGCTCCTTAATCCATTCCGGTCAGGTTTCAGAACCCCCATCAAACAGTGGTCAGTGAGCATGTCCCTCAGGCGGTAAATCTGATGGACATTTTCAGCCCTTGTTTGACTTGAGTCATCGGGCTTCCTGGGTGCGTGAGACCACATCTGCCATTTTTATTAGGATATAACTGACAGACAACAATGTATCAATTGCAGGTGTACGAGATAATAGTTTGATACCTATGTATACTATGAACTGCTCCCCACAGTATGTCTATTTAACATCCACCACACACAGTCACAAATGTTTTTGTGATGAGAACTCTGAAGGTTTACTCTTAGCAATTTTTAACTTACAATCCAGTATTAACAACAGTCACTGTGCTATACATTACATCCCCGTAAGTTGTTTATAACTCGAAGTTTGTAATTTGCCCGCCTTCAACCACTTCACCTACCCCTACCCCAGCCTCTGGCAACCACCGGCCTGTTCTCGGCATCCATGAGTTTGACGTTTTTTTGTCTCAGGTTTCACATGTGTGTATTTTCCCTGCAGGACTTGTCTTTCTCCGTCTGACATGTTTCACTTAGCAGAATGTCCTCTAGGCCCATCCACATTGTCGCAATGACAAGCTTTCCCTCTTTTATGTGGCTGAGTAACATTCCATTGTGTGTACATATATGTGTATATGAATATACGTATATGTATGTGCACTGTGGTATACACATATTATATATATGCTCATGTGTGTATATGTACTACAATTTCTTCATTCAGTCATCCACTGATGGCCACGTAGATTCTTCCTGTGTCTTATAAACGATGCTTCAAAAAACATGGAGGGGCAATACATCTTTTCAAGTTAGAGTTTTTGTTTCCTTTGGATAGGTGCCGAGAAGTTGACCTGCTGGGTCACACCGTAGACAGGGAGACAAGAGAGAATGTAGCAGATGGACCTGAGCCCCCAAGGGGATGGCCGGGGAGGGGCCCCAGGGCTGGGGCAGTGGGCTTGCCCCGCCAGGGAGGAGCCGCAGCCCCTCCCAGAGACAGTGCACACTGCAGGAGGGGCTGCGGAAGGGCGAGGTTCCCATTTGATTGCCCTTGTTTTTAACTTTTATTGTTAGAAAGTAGGGGCACAGGCAAGTAAGAGCCTGGCTAATGCTTCATTGGTGACAGTTTAAACAGATGCTGTGACGCGTGGGAGGAAAGAGCTGAAGAGTGACGTGAAATGACACCGGGCAGCCCTGAGGGTCCGCTGAGGCTGGCGACTGTGAGTCAGGCAAAAGCTGACAACGTGCTCCTGTGGGTTTTCTGCAAAAAGGCTCCCTGCCCCTCGGGGGACAGCAGAGGAAATAGACAGAAGCGCTGGTCAGAGCCAAAGGGGAAAGAGATGGGCCAACGGGGTGACTGGCCACCCCAGGTGCTGGCCACAGAGCGGCTGGTCCAGGACACAGCAAAGTGCACAGTGGAGACCCAGGAATGACCTTGGTGCAAGGGAGGGTACAGAGGAGCTGGACGCAAAGGGATGGTGTGGTTGAAAAATTCTACACATTACAAATGGCGGGACTTGGGGTAAGGAGAAGGAAGACCAGAAAATGGGGTTTTGTGGAGGGGCCATCGGGACACTGGTGGACAAGACCCGCAAGGCAGGTCACAGCACGGACAGAAGGCCGGGGACCCAGGAGGCTGCTGACCCACCTTTGGGGTCTTTTCCTCAGGAAAAAAAAACAGGTGACACCCGAGAAAGAGGGAGGGGAAGGAAAACCGCTACAGGCATGTCCGGTATTCCTGGTGGGGAATGCGGTGATGCCGCTGCTGTGGTTATTTTTAATATCGTGATCAGGATTGAGATTATGTTCCCTTTAAAAGACGATGTTTATATACGAGATATTGCTCATTGCTATGACTAACGAAATCAGTAAAGCACCAAATCCGGCATTTTAAAAGCAGATGCGAGCATTTCCATACATTTCACTTCATGCTATGAAACTCCCTTTCACCCCCATGTAAGGAAAGACAGACCAACATGCCTGGATAGTGACCAGCTTCGCAAACTTCTGCTGCTTCTGTCTCCAAGGATACGGAAAATGGCCGGCATTTTAATGTTCCCTTTCCTGTCGTTTGAGCTGGCTGATTCTCTGGTAGCGTGACACACTCGCAGTTTTCCTCTTCACATTTTAGAAGTCTAACAAGACAAAGAAAATAAAATGCGACGGCTGACATTCTTTGCAACTTCGAGTTTAAATCTTTATTCTGTCCTGTACAATATAGGATGTACCCTTCCAAGAAGTTTTTGATGGGCACTTTGATAAGATCTAAAAACCTGCGCAGTGCATTTAAATGCTAAATAGTTCTAAGTGATAGTATCATTAACGTGTTGATGCCGGAAGGGACTTCAGACTTCATCTAATTTTAAAAGGTGAAGAAAAGTTATCCAATTAAGTTAGGGGCAGAGTAAGGGCAGAATAGTTTTCTGAAATTCAATACTCCTATCTTACCCTCCTGCATAAAACAACAAAAAAGTAACCACCAACAACCCATATCAGGGTAAAAACTAAAATCTTTTCACAGTCTGTTAGCCAACTGTCTGCTTTATAAATGTTGGCGAGCCTTTTCATGAGAACGGAATCCGGACTCACTGCCTCCCATTTTCACGAGGCAGCGGGAATTCACGGTGCCGTACATCCTTACATATACTTCTCAGTGGGAAAAAAATACCCCTTGGTACATTAAACAAAAATACCTGAATAAGAAGCTAATACTTCTCTTCAAAGACAAATAAAGCACAACTCCTCTGGACTAGTTAATGGAGAGCCTTATTAGGCGTTCTTAAGTCCTTTCCCTTCGAGTGCTGACTTCCAATCGGCTTACACTCTGATAGTTTCCTCCTCACTGAAGGGTCTAATCACGTTTTCTCTCTCTCTGCAATGAACTAGTTACTGTTTTCTTAACGTTTAGAAATTCTTTTCACATTTTGAATGGTAATCTTTCCTCATTTGTGTTGAAAATATCTATATCTTCAGGTTTGTACTTTTTACTTTCTTGACGAAGTCTTAATAAATGTAAGTTAACTTGAATACAACCTGTTTATCTATCTTTGCCTATGCAGTGTGTGTTGCTTATGTCTTGTTTAGGAAATATTTCCTTACCTCGAGATAATGACAAAATTCTTTTATACTTTTAAGAACAGAGTTAACATACTGCCTTTCACAAGTCTTATAATTTATACGTAACTTCTTCAGTCCTTGAGTCTTGAGTATGATGTGCGGTGGATCTAAGTTCCCACCCCGCCCCTCCCCATAAGAATGCACAGTTGTCCCGGCTCCGTTACTGAAAACCCCGTCTTCCCCTCACTGACCTGTGACACCAAGTCGGTCATTAGCCTGTCTACCACGCTCAAATGATAGACAATCCTCCATCCCTGCTTCCTCATTTTTCTGTCCTTCTCTCCATCTCATACCAAGTTCATTACTAGAGTTTTGATATCTGTAAGACGCAAATTTTCTTTTTCTTCAAGAATGCTTATATAGTCTTGGCTCTTTGCTTTTCTTTATATATAAATTTTGTTACATTCTGATTTAAATTTTATCATTTTCTCCATAAAAATCAAACATATTCAAAAAATTATTTTCTCTAGGTACCTTATTCTTCATACCTATTACAAATGGTAGTTATAATCTGATGACATTTCCAACCTGGTACTGGACTACAGAAATGCAATTCACTTACATATAGATTTTAATCTAGTAGTCTTGCTAAATTCGCTTACTTTGGAAATTCTTCTGTACTTTCTTTGTAGATAATCACTTCATCTGTGAGTGATTATAGCTGGTTCCTTCTTTGTCAAGCCTTATAGCTTCCATTTCTTTTTCCCCTTTTTTGTATCACTGCCCTCCAAGAAGGGTCCTTGTCACTTTTCTGAATTGAAATGTTTTTAACACTTAACCATTATACACAATATCTGCTTTAGGGTTTTGGTAAGTGCCCTTAGTCAAGTAGTTTGCTAAGAGTTTTTATCAAATTGTATTAAATGCTATTCCTCCCTTAACCTATGAATGGTGATTGATATTGATAGATTTTCTAATGTTGAGCTAACATTGCATTTTAAGATAAACTATTCAATTTGATCTCGACATATCACTCATTTTTATACACTGCTATAATTTGTAGGTTAATATTTTATTTAGAATTTTTTCGCTTTTAAGGTTGTGAATGAAACTGAATTAAAAGGTTATTTAAACTATCTTCATAAATTGAGTCAGGGACAATTTTCTCCTTTTTTCTTCTGTAGAAGTTGTGTAAGACTGGAATGACCTGTTTCTTGAATTTTTGTTAGAACTCATAAATCTGTCAGAAACTCAAAAACTAAATTTGTCTGGGCCTGTGGTGCGGGCGCTGTGAGGGAGGAGGATTGGCTGAGGTGGCGGTAACTCAACCATTTCAGCGGTCAACAGACAGTACGTTTTGCTTATTACTGAGACTGTTTTGTTTGCTTGCATTTTTCTTAACATTTTTATCTTTTGTGTAGGTTTTCAACTTACCACCCAGAAATGGCCCACCGTCTCTTATTTTTTTAGTTGCAGATTTATTGTACTTAGCTCCTCTTCTGATCCAATATCAGTCCCTGGGCCATGCCTGGCACGACTCCACGGCACGCCATTCAAACTGGGGTCCCCTGGGCATGTGTGTTGGGGGGCGATACGTGAAGACAGCACAGTGAACGGTGCTTCCTCACCATCTGTCTGTGATATCTCCCCGCTTCCTTTGGCTTGCTCAGGCTTGTCACAGCGTTGTCAATTTTACTGACAACTGTTGCCTTTGCTGATTTTCTCTATTTTAGTCTTTGATTTCTATTTTGTTGATTTCTGATCTTTATCTCCTCCCTTCAACTTTCTCTGTGTTTATTCTGTTCAATTTACGCCCCCCCCCCCAATTTCTCAAAGCAGATTGTTAGCACGTTCATTTTTCAGGCTTTATCTTCATGTAAGTGTTTATGACTACAAACCCCTCTCTAAACACTAAAAGCGATATTACACAGTTTTCATGTGTGTGACATAGTTAATGCAGTAGATAAAGATCCTTTTTTTCCTTTCTTTTGCTATGTATTCAATTCTAAGTTTTTCATAATTTCCTTTAGGGGTCCTCCTTTCACCCATGAGTTATTCACAAAAGTGTTTGTTTCTCAGATACTGTTCCATTCCTAAATGTCCGGGGCGGGGGGGGGAGGTTCCGCTTAACCTCTTGTAATTGATTTCTAATTTCTCCATCTTCTCTGAATTGCATATTCTACCCATAGTCCATACCCAGAACCAACCACCTTTCGCCTTCCTGGGACTTCCCAGTTGTTGGCCAATTTCTCACACCCTTCAACCTCTTTCTCACTTTTCCCCATATCCAAGGGGACCTGGCGGAAGGAGTCAGCAGCCGGTGTTAATGTGCCTCTCTCTTGAGGTCCCAGCGCCTGAGAAAGTGAGGCTTCCCAAACTCCAGAACTCTCACCAACCCTCCCACGGCATCTCCGTGGTCGGACCGACTTCCCGCCAGCCATATAGTGTTGAAATGAACTGTATTATTTCTTATTTTACCTTGGTGTTGCATCGCTTTTCTCCTTGCTCGCATCTTGATTTATTTTTGTGGAATCGGTGGGTATACATGTTGCCATATTTTTTTTCCTGAATAAAACTGTGAAGCACTGGGCTGTAAAAAATATTTTTCAAATACAAAAGATGATTTTGCAGCTATAACTATAGGCATTCAAAAGCGCACGTGCAGTCCCCAACCAATCGGCAGGCTGAGTTTAATGTCCCGCTTACCTTCCAGTATGCCTTATGCCTAAGAGAATTTCCAGACCCTTCCCTGTGCTAGCAGCGCCTCTCAGGGTGGTCTCTGTGGGACCCCCCTTCCTCTCTAAAGCAATGTCTCCTTCGGACCTCGATGAGTTTACGTAAATACGATTCTAACTTACCCTGGTGAAGATAAGTTTTAAGATCATCTCCTCAGGGAAAATCATTAGAAAGAACTTAGGACCCTGGCCAGGCAGCTCAGTTGGTTGAAATGTCATCCCCATATACCAAGGTTGTGGGTTCAATCCCCAGGTCAGGGCACATCCAACAAACAACTAATGAATGCATCAGTAAGTGGAACAAGAAATCGATGTTCTCTCTCTCTCTCTCTCAAATCAATTTTTACAGAAAGAACTTAGGGAAGTCAGCTGAACAGGTCGCCTGGGCTGAACTCAGGCTGTTCCCCAAATTCACTAAGTCTAATACAAAGAGGCCACATTCATACACTGGCAGCCTTTCTCAGATAAAAGAGAAAAGAACACAAGGGGATGGGCTTTGAAACAGGAAAAAGTGAGGGCTGCTTTCTGATCAGGCAGGGAAATCTAACAAGACGCAGCAAGTCTCCGAGCAAAGATGACACATGGCAGGAAAGTAGACGCCAGCCAGAGCCTTTCAGCCAAGGTGCCAGCCCAGAAATCAGGGTAAGATATTGTAGAAATAGCTCCAACTGGCAGGGAACAAGCTTCAGGAAAATCAAGCAAGACAGACTGAAAGAGGCCAGGGGCAAAAGCAGTTCTCGCTAGAACAGCAGTGATAGAAATCTCTGCCTCGGATAAGTCGCAGACAGCTACAGGATCGGTGTAGGAGGGTCTCCCTAGTGAGGAGACGCAGGGTGCAGACAGAGCTTCCGTCAGCACGCAGATGGCACCAGGAACGGCCATGGAAGGGTCCTTCACTGCAGCTGAGAACTTCAGGGGAGAGCTCTGGGGTCCACACTCGAGAGAAGATGAGAACAGATGCTCAGGGAGAATCGTGCTGCGTTAAAACGCATCGCCGAATCAAATCCATTCTGGATCAGCAATGGAGTAGAGGTCCGCAGACTTTCTCCAGAAAAGGGGCCAAAGAGGAAATATTTTAGGCTCACAGGCCAGAAGGCAAAAAATCAAAAATATTACACATATCTTCGTAAAACAAAAAACACATTTCCACAGATGTTTTATGGAGGAAATTCAATATATGATCATAATAATTGACTACAATTATTTTAAAAATACAGGCCTATTAATGAGAAAAACAGAACGATTTTGAGGGGGATAACGTCACTTAATTGGGACTCAATGTCAGTATTACCAGTGATCAAATTCCTTTGTAAAAACCGCGCAGCTGCGGACCATCACAGGAACAGGTGGGAGGCCAGACTTGATCCTGGTCCATCACCTGCCAGCCCCTACTACAGAGTCTGTCTTACTCCCAACATCTGCTTCGACTTTGGAATGGCTCATATTTCCTGTCCTCACCATTACCATCAAACACCCAACAAACCTAAGAAAAGGGACTCAACCTCACTCTTAATCCCAAAAGAATGGCTTCAGAATTTTACTCAGAGCCAAGTTCCGTGTTAAGTATGAAGAGAAACATTTTCAAACATGCAAAATTCAGGAAAGACATCATCCACAAGGCCTTTTGCTAAAAAGTATGTGATAATAAATCCAAAAATCAGGACTTCTGCCAAGATGGAGGCGTAGGTGGAAGCACTGCGCCTTCTCGCACAACCAAGCTTAAAAACAACAAAGTTTTAGCAACAAAAACGCAGCTAAACTACAGAAAATTGAACTATATGGAAGTTTGACAACAACAAACCCTTCAGCCAAACCAGTAAGAGGGGCAGAGCCAGCAGCAGAG